GGACGTGAGGGGGCACGTCTGACTGACGCTCATACGAATTTGGAATTAAAAAATCGCAAGTTAATTTGGCGTTAATTTGGCCGATACGCGGCTGACTGGGCGTCATACGATTTTCACTTAGGGCACCTCGTCTATGATGAATACCGCCAAAAAAAAAAGGTAAATAAATAAATACTCAAAAAAATTCTTCGCCTTCGGCGAGTAAATAAATAAATAACATTTTCTTATTACTCATTATTTATTCACTATCAAAAGTTATCCCCTGGTACGTACGTACCTAAGGTACGTATGTAGCTATGTACGTAGCTATCTAGCTAGGTAAGAAAGTACCTCGGAGTTCGGGTCTTCACAACAGGGTTTTTTTGAAGCTAGTCATTCAAAAAACCTTCTAGTAGTGATGATAAAAAGTAGTGCCTTGGTAGAATATATCGGCATGACTAGATACAGCAAATCGTACAGTACTTCCGGAAGTACCTTCCAATTTAGCAGCTAGCCAAGCAACTACCTTCGTTTGAAGGTAAATCGCATCTGCTAAAATAGCGACTTTGCGTTAAGCAGTACGAAGCAAGATATGAGCAGTAAGGGGGGTGGTGGGGTGGAGCAACTTTTGTATAGAGGTGGTATCACCCAGAGGGGTGGTGGGGTGGTAGTAATTCAGACTAATACTTTCGCAGGGAAGCACGGAAGTACTTTTGTACCTTCGTGCCACGAATGCCGCCACGGTCACAAGAACGCGGTCGTATAGGGACCAGTGTGGGGGACGCACCGATCCGGAACACGTTGGCTTACTGCCACGTTCGAACCATGATCAAGAAGCACCCAGATCTTCAACCTCTAAAACGTAACTTCGCTGCAAAGCTTATGTACTGTTGGCCAGCCAGATTTGCTAAATAGGCTTAAGATATGCGTCGTTAGTTCCAGCTTTCTTTTAGTGACAGTCAGAATAACCATCTTGGAGAAGACCTTGCCTCTGCAAGTGTTGATATACTTCGAAAGGATCACCCTCACGAGGAAGTGCAACGATTGTAATTCCAAATGTCATTTCTCTACCTGTTTGTATTGTGAACTCTGGATGAACGGATGGTGTCCAGCTGTCGTCTCCTCCAACGCCCATGTGAACGTGATCAATGTGTACGTGCACGAAACTTTCTTTGACATTATCTAACACATCCAGCTCGTGGGTGTGAACTGCCTTTTCCAACGAATTCAACGAATGACGCTGAACAGTAATCAGTGCTTTTTCAGAATTATTAATTGCGAAAACTACTCCAGGTCCTAAGGTCCAAGAGTGCAACTTTTCTGGCAAGGTTGCTGCAGTCGCTGCATCATATTTTCCCAGATTTGAAGCAGACGTCGCGCAACGTAATGCCATCCAGCTGACATCTGAGCGTCCACTATTTTCACCTGGAATTATGTACGGGACGTGCATATCATCTACACTAGTGACGTAACGGCCCATCATTGCAGCTGTTTTTCGATCTGGATAGCACTCATTTGGTCCGCGACCGAACCACTCAATTCTCCGCATGCTGTTGGGGCTGCACATTTGCAAACCTACGCGCGGAAGTGGAGGTAAAGATCGGGAAGCATTAATTGTCATGAAGACAGATACTGAGCCTGTCGTGTGCACAACATGAGTAAGCTCAGCAGAAATTCCAGAAGTGTCATCGCAGTTATCTCCTCCTGAATTAAAACGATATGTAGCTGACATCCGGATTGAGCCAGACGGACCTGGTCCATAAGTTCGTTTTGTCGGGCAAGAGCAAGCCGATGGGTATTGTCGATAACAAAAGATATATAAATGAACGTAATATCGTCGAGACTAGACACTAGTTCGGAGTCCAAAACTTGCAAAAATAAATAGGATACCATCCTCAGACGATCCATGCCCGCTCTTCGCCAACGAGAGCAGTACGAGATGTCTTCGCCCCCTCGGTCATTGTCTGTGGGAGCACGCCAGAAGCAGGGGACAGGCCCTCCTACTAGTATCGGTAAGCCTCTATCGAAAGCACTGCGTACGGTGCCATTCAGTTTTCCAGTTAAGTAAAATGTTAAGTCCATTCCAGCAGCAGATTGCACCTGCAGGAGTCCTTCGCTTGATTCATGCACACGCAGAGTTGGAAATTTAGTAGGCAACGATTTCATAATTTTAGGACCTGGCAAGAAGCCTCCAAACGGCATAGGAAGTGTTAATTGTGTGCATGCCACTTCATGTCCACCATCACACCACGAAGTCGGCCTTTGAATGATGGTTCTGAGCTCAAGGTACAATTCTCGAAGTGGAGCGATTCGTGACGAATGATAACAGCGAAGAGCAGCGAGTGCAAGCTCACTAAGTTTTGGGAAGTAACTCAACCACGGGAAATTCAACACGCAGCCAGCGGGTATCACAGGAAGTGATAAGTCTCCAGCCGATAGCATGGTACCGCTGTCAGCCATAATAGTCCACGATGTCTGTAAACCGTTTAACGTTGAGAAGTTTAACCAGTTCCGGACTATCAAGCGGGGAGCTTTCCATTCCCAAGGGTCGAGGTCACGCCCTGTTGTGTGCGTTTCGGTACCATAAACGTCCACATCTGAATACGGTGTTGTCTCAGACGACATCGTCAAGTGAAAAGTGACTGGCCGCATTAAAAACTTGAGCTCTTCAGTCGCTGGATGAGGCCTACGATCCGGAAAAACCAAACCATTTATACAAAACTGTGCATCGTTCGGTTGGTCTCCGAAGTCTCCTCCGTACGCCCAAAAACGCTGACCATCGTGAGATACACTATCCAGGCCTTGATCTACCCAGTCCCAGACGAAACCCCCCTGCACTGCACCTTCCTTCCTAAAACAATCCCAGTACTTATTTACGTTCCCATTGCTGTTTCCCATTGCATGGCTATATTCACAGAGAATTACTGGTCGACCTTGTGCACAGGTCTCGGCTGCCATGTATTCGCAGGTGCGTACTCTAGCATACATCGGGCATATGATGTCCGTACATGTTGTTCGAGACCCCCCCGATTCGTAGTGCAGTGGCCTAGTAGAATCGTTTAACCGGGCCCAAGTTGCCATCGCGTGCTGGCCTCCTCCACAACCAGCCTCATTTCCGAGTGACCACATGATTATAGAGGCGTGGTTGCGATCTCGCTGTATCATTCGCGCCACTCTGGCGATGTGGGCAAGCCGCCAACGGGGGTCGTTCGATAAGAACGGTGTCGGATGCAGTCCCACATTGAATCCGTGAGTCTCCATGTTCGCCTCATCACACACATAAAGTCCATGTTCGTCACACAAATCATAGAAGCGAGGATGATTAGGGTAGTGGCTCGTGCGAACTGCGTTGAAATTATATCTCTTCATCATGATCACATCCTGGAGCATCGATTGTTTGGTCACCGCCTTACCGTGTTTTGGACAGTGTTCGTGGCGGTTGACACCTTGAATAATAATCGGTTCCTGGTTCACGCGAAGCCGCTGACCAAATATCTTTACTGTTCGAACTCCGACACGACACGCCTCGACGTCTGATATAACCTTCATTTTGGGGCCATTCTGATCAATCGACCTACCCAGTGGTGAAAGTGTTCGCATAACTAGGGTGTACAGATATGGTGTCTCTGCCGTCCAAAGATGAGCCGTTGGAATTTCAAGTTTTACACTAACTTTTCTGATGAAATAAGGTGGAGACTTTTCAAATGGCTGACCGTGTACTTCCCCTGGGTCACATAACTCCAAATCACTAGAATCAGTAGTGGCGTCCGCTACTAGCTTTCTGTTGGCATCGTATAGTTGTACGTCAAGATCGACATCTGAAGGCAGCGATACATCAGCAGTAACAGCTTCGTGTACAAAAACGTCAGCGACAACTAGAGCTGATCCAACTGATCCCTCGGGTACGTTAGTTGAAACTACATAATCAGCTATGAAAGTGGGCTCTTTAACATAGAGAACTACATCACGGTGAATACCACTTAGCCACCAATGATCCTGATCTTCCAGATAGCTCCCATCACTCCAACGCATCACTTGAGCAGCTAACAAATTAGTCCCAGGCAAGAGATACTCAGTTACATCGAACTCAGCGGGCAGTCGACTGTCCTGTGAGTACCCGACAAACTTACCATTGATCCAACAGTAAAATGCTGAATCAACACCCTCGAACACGACAAAAACTCGTCGATCGTCACTTATCCAGCTTACTGGCAGTTCAAAAGTCTGTCGGTAGCACCCAGTGGGATTTTCTAGCTCCCGAGAAACGGAAACATCCGCCGTCCACTTCCAGGCTTTGAGGATGCTGCTATCTCCACAGGTGGCGGAGGCAGAATGATTGCTTTTGGAAGACCAAGCGCCACGACGACGAGCACGAGGCGGGTCAAGTGGGAAAGGATAAAACATGTTCGTGTATATCGGCCGATCAAAACCTTCACACTCCCAGTTTGCTGGAACGCGTATTGTGTCCCAATTATCGCAGGTAAAGTCTCTTTCATAAAACCTCTGTGGCACCGTGAACGGTGTAGCCGCGAGGTGAAATCTCCACTTACCGTTCAAGATCACGTAGCTTGGGAGACACGATGTCGTGCATCCTGCAGACCAAAAATGAAGGGCAGACTTGATATCGGGAAAAGAATAGAGGGGCACGTGCCCTGCCCTGCTAACAATTTGCAAATTTAATAACGAACACAAAAATGATAAAATGATGACCTGTTCTAGATCAGGAGAGCACTACCTTTTGCGGCGGCTGATTATCTCAGGGTTTTCCCAGTCATATATCCCCTTCAAGACACGACTTCCCTGGGCATTAAAATCAAGTCAGACATGAGTACAAACTTCTCGCACGTAACGTTGTGGAAGAGCACCAAGATCAGTGAAACTGCAAGAACTGAACAGGAGTGGATGTAACGACCTACCGGGAATGGCAGTGCAACTCGATGAGTTGTATTAACAAAAACACGTCGAACGAGAGAGTCTGCATGCCATGTTTCGTCCGGAGAAGTAGAAGTTACTCGCGAACAAGCGTTGAACGTAAGGTCGTAGAGCCCATCGGCCAAACGCGTGAGAAACGCAGCCCAACCCGTGCGCCAAGTCCAAAAAGTGTAAAGAGAATCTATGTATGGTAGCAAAAGTCGGAGAGAAATTTCCTTAAAATCAAAAGTCATTCAAAAGCAAAAATGAAAAATGAAACGAAGGTCAGTTGCTGTGCTGAACTCGTCTGGTGTTGCTCACGGCTGAGCCTCAAGCTGTCCACAGAGGTATTGGTGCGTGACACGTACAGTACGTGTACACGTACGTAGCCCTACACTTTTATTTTATGCGTAGGGCCTACGTGTAGCCCTATCCTAGCAGTATCCTACCTTCGAAGGTACGAAAGTAGTTATCTACTGTACGTGTACACGTACTCATCAGTTCCTAGCATATTTTTTTACTATCTTCGTAGTCCAATATTCTACAGTATTTACCTTCGTACGGAAGTACTTTCGCACATGTCCTTTCGCAGGCTCGCAGGCCCGTGCCCACCACCCCTCGACAAGGCCCACCACCCCTGGTGGGGTGCCCAGCACCCCTCGACAAGGCCCACCATCCCTGGTGGTTTTGGGGTGGTGCGGCCGGTCGCATGCCGTTCGTGCGCTATGGGTATTTAGTCACAGTAAATTGCAGGGGTGGTACCACCCCACCCCAGGGGTGGTACAGTACCACCCCTCCTTATTGCTCATCAGATATCGTTGAAGTATTTTAAAGTAGACATGTACGTGTACTGTACAGTACAATCCTTCGAAGGTAGTACATAGCCCTACGTGCTTCGAAGATATTTATCTTAGATAGAATAGCTAGCTAGCTAGCTACCTTCGAAGGTAGCTAGCTAGTAGATAGCTAGCTAGCTAGTGTACAGCTGTACACGTTGTACACGACTGTGTGAGACACTGTGTAGCTGTGTACATCTGTACAACCTACAACATACGGAAGTACACGTACAATAAACGTACGGAAGTACTTTCAATAAACGTACGGAAGTACTTTCGTACTTTCGTACTTTCAAAGTACTGTACAGTGTACTTTCGTACAGCTGTATGTACACCTACACCTACGTACCTTCGAAAGTACTTTCGTACGAAGATAGCTAAGTTGTTTTACCTTCGAAGGTAGATAATATGTTTACTTATGTGTACACTGTACAGGCTGTACACGCAGCCCTAGCTAGCTAGTACGAAAGTACTTTCGAAAGTACGAAAGTACGAAAGTAGCTACGAAGGTACTTTCGTACTTTCGTACGAAAGTACACGTACCTTCGAAAGTACTTTCGTACTTTCGAAAGTACGAAAGTACCTTCGAAGGTAGCTAGCTAGCTACCTTCGGAGGTACTGTAGCAGACCCTGTTACTCAAAGAAATATTCCAAGTGAGTAGGTAATAGAGTATTTTGTCACAAGTATTTTTTAGTAGTAGATACTGGTGAGTATTCGGATATTTCGAAGTTTGAGTAGATAAATACTCTTGAGTATTTTGCACTTGGCATTACTTGGCATTTTTGAGTATATAAATACTCTTGAGTATTTTGCACTTCTCATGTTTGAGTAGATAAATACTCTCGAGTATTTTGCACTTGGCATGTTTGAGTAGATAAATACTATTGAGTACTTCCGGAAGTACGGAAGTACTTGAGTATTTTGCACTTATTAGACTGTGACTTTTTCTTGTGCTTTCTTGTGCTTTCTCACGGGGAAAAACATTCGTTCAAAACCTACAAATACGTTGAGTAGATAGATAGATACTTTGTATTTTTCGCCGCCTACGGCGAGTACAACGTACTGTAGATAAATAAATACATTCAGCAAAATAATAAAAATTTGCGTAAATAAATACTGTACTGTACTGTAGATATTTGGAAAAAAATTTCGCCTCCGGCAGATGAATAAATAGAAATAGATACACGATTTTCGAGTATCTATTCAAGTATTCACTACTCAAATACCTTTGAGTAAAACAGGGTCTGTAAACTGTAGCTAGCTACCTTCGAAGGTAGCTACTAGGGCCCTACAGTACATGTACTGTCTTGTACAGTAGCCCTCCTCAAACTCGTGCGGGTCACTGCACGAACACTTCTTACAAAAAACGTCTGCTCGAAGTCTGATTTTCTGGTGACCGTCAAACGCTCTGAAGGTTTATTCGCGCCGCGATGCGCCATTTACTAAGCTCTGCAAGCATTCGTCAGTACGATAAATGGTCTCTTGTATCATCACACGCCAAAAAACCGGCACTGGTATGTGCCTCAAAACATACTAAAAGTGCTGTCAAGTTACAGTGCACTTCTCGCGGAAGTTCAAATCGAACGATCCAGTTGCTACTTTTCCAACAATTCCGGCCGGCTAAACGTGGAAAGCTCCTCATTACGCGCGCGGACTCATTTGGGACCCTAAGCGAACGCCTAAACAGTGCCTGGTCTGCGCTGAAGGATGAGGACGACTTAAGTGTTGAAAACATAAGTTTACCTCTCAAGGATATCCGCCGAGCACTTCTCGAGGCAGACGTGTCCCTCCCAGTTGTCCGTCGCTTCATTAAAAGTGTAGAGGAGAAGTCCATCGGCGTCAAGGTTACCAAAGGTGTGAGTGCATCACAACAACTTACCAAGGTTGTCGCGGACGAGCTTTGTGAGCTCATGGGAGGGTTTGGTGGAGACAAGCTTATTTTCCGAAAAGAAGGAGAAGGGCCAACAGTCATACTGATGGCAGGCCTGCAAGGTGTTGGCAAGACCACAGCCTGTGGAAAGCTTGCGCTGTTCCTTAAGGCGCAGGGAAAACAAAGTCTCCTCGTTGCTACAGATGTGTATCGCCCTGCTGCTATTGACCAGCTGAAGAAACTAGGTGAGCAGATAGACGTGCCCGTATTCGAACTGGGGACTGATTTTAGTCCTCCAGACATAGCCCGCTCAGGTGTTGAAAAGGCAAAACTAGAAAATTTCGATGTCGTGATTGTAGATACTGCTGGCCGGCTTCAGGTCGACGAGATGCTCATGGCGGAGCTCTTGGCGACGAAAGCAGCAACTAGGGCAGATGAGACGCTACTGGTGGTGGATGCCATGACTGGGCAGGAAGCAGCGTCGCTCACTGCTGCATTCAATGACGCGGTTGGCATTACTGGCGCTGTTCTGACAAAAATGGACGGAGACACCCGCGGTGGTGCTGCGTTATCTGTCCGAGAGGTCAGTGGTAAACCTATAAAATTTATTGGCTCTGGTGAAAAGCTGGATGCTCTGGAGCCCTTCTTTCCGGAAAGAATGACTACTCGAATACTTGGTATGGGTGATGTAGTATCCTTGGTTGAGCGTGCTCAGGTGGCAGTGAAAGAAGAGCAAGCTAACCTGATGCGCGATAAGATATTGAGTGCAACATTCGACTTCAATGACTTTTTATCCCAGTTAGAGATGATGGGCAAAATGGGTGGGATGGGCGGGCTCACAAAGATGATGCCAGGAATGAACACAATGAGCGACAAGGAGTTGCAGGATGCTGAGAAATCGCTAAGTGTCGCAAAATCTCTCATCATGTCGATGACTCCGCGGGAACGTCAATTTCCCGACCTTCTTGTTGCAGGCTCAAGTGCAGCTTCACGTCGGGGGCGCGTCGTTGAGGGCTCTGGACGGTCTGATAAGGATCTCGCCAACCTGATTGTCATGTTCGGCAGTATGCGTGTAAAGATGCAGAGCCTGTCAGCTCAAATGAACGGGACAGCTAAAGAAGTTGGACTCGTACCACAGTTAAGCGAGGTTGACTTGAATAAGCTGGCATTTGAGGGTGTTGGGAAAAGAGTGTCTCCTGGGATGGTGCGGCGCCGAAAGCTGAACGCATCATTTGGGTGACGGAGGCTGCTGGATGTCTGGTGGTTCTTCAACTCCGTACGTATCGGCCATGCCATGCAACTAGGACGACCATTTTGTGACTAATAGCGGTTGGGTTGCATCTGCAGATCTCTCTGCTTTGCTCGTTTTTTTTGTGATAGTCAGCCAGATAAGTCCTGCACTAGAAATATGTTGTGATTAAACGTTGGAGGCTGCCCGAATTCTGACAACTAGAATTCTCGCCAATGGCTATCTTACGTACAGGATGTGGAAATGAAAAGAACGCATGATAATGACCAGTGAAATCAACCATAGGATCGGCTTATATCTAAATGAAATAGTCTGCAAAAAATACGAGAAAGGCAAGAGTTTTCATAAGAGTTGAGAGACAGCGCACTTCCAGTGGTTCTCCACTCGAGGGAAATTCATGGACTTAGCAAAAAGTGTCCCCACAAAAAAATATGTATTGAACATCCCTAACAATACTCTCAAAGCTCACCAACTTCCACCATGCTCGAGGAGATTTTCAAAAAACTCAGAAGGAGCCAGCGCCTTGAGCTCATTCCCAGCATCTTTTCCAGCGTCGATAGCATCTGTAAAGGACCAGTTACTGCTTCGAGTTGTCTCAAGGATTTGTTTTCCATCCAGAGATGCAACAAGACCACGGAATTCGAGATTGTTCCCGCTCTTGTACGCATATCCTGCAATAGGGGTGCGGCACGAACCATCGAGTGACGCCAGGAATGCACGCTCACACTCAACAGCAATGCGAGTTTCTTCGTGGTTTAGCTTCTCAAGGAACTCAAGCTGACGGCTATCACCAGTACGACAAGCGATACCGATTGCTCCTTGTGCAACAGCAGGTAACATGACGTCAGTCTCAAGTATTTTTGTGGCGTGCTCTGTCATGTCCATGCGGTTAAGCCCAGCTATGGCCAAGAGTGTGCAGTCAACAACGCCTTCTTGCAGCTTACGGATACGGGACTGCACGTTGCCGCGAAAGTTAACGCACTTTAAGGTAGGAAACTTTGCAAGGAGCTGCGATTGGCGCCTTAGTGACGCAGTGCCGACTAGAGCACCATCTGGAAGTTCGGAAAGGTCGTCATACTTAACTGATATGAACGCATCACGAACATCTTCACGAGGGAGCATGCAAGGCAAGATGGAACCTTCAGGAAGATAAGTCGGTACATCTTTCATGGAGTGAACCGCAATGTCGATGCGACCGTCAAGGAGGGCGACATCTAATTCACGGGTGAAAAGGCCTTTACCACCAATATCTGCAAGAGGTTGGTCAAGTACTTTGTCGCCAGTGGTCTGTTGTGATGGAAAGGAATGAAAGTTAGGAATAGTTTCGTTTCTGAAGTGCCAGCTGAACCTGCGATTCTTGGGGTCAATACACCGAAATCTTCTTACCTTGATGATGCATATCTCAAGGGCACCTTCCTCAGACAGCTCGACGAAGTTTTTCTTCAAGAGGTCACGTGTCATGTATGCTTGTGCCAGGGCTAGTGGACTGCAAGTGTCTTGAAAAGGTCAGGCTGGTTCACGAGTTCAACCAAGGTAGAACAGCACAAGAAGGAAAAGAGTGATATGATAACATGATATGCCAAGCGAAATTCGTCGCAGTACAACAGTGATTGATTTATTCGCTCACCTTCCGCGAGTGCCGATCTTCACGATGGGTTCATCTACCTCAGCAACTACACGAACGACATTGCGGTTCCTCGACGTGCGATGAGCTGACGACGCCGCAAGGGGAGGACTAACAGACAGGAACTTCGAGCGGAAACTCAACTTTCGTGTGGAAACAGAGGTAAAGTCAACACTTGCGGAGAACGACGCTGTGATCGCGACGGAGGCCATATTTCCGAACTTCACTTCAGTATAACGAATGACGAGTTGACAAGAAATGAACTTCGTTTCGGTACTGAGATCGAAATGCAGGCCCGTGATTGGGAGATAAAACAAGATCTACAGTAGCCGATCCAGCTACACACCGCACTGTACGAAGGTACACTCTAATAGCTTCATAGCCCTAAACAACTTTTACCTTCTACTGTACACGTGTAGGGCTACGTGTACGTGTACAGCTGTACACGTGTACAGTACGAGTAACGTTGTAGCCCTCTAGCTAGTGGCTATCAGCGAAAGGATATGAGCTTAGAAAGGATATTAAAAGGATGAGCGCGCGGTGTGCTGTAACATCGCGCAGACGCCGTTTTTGGCTCTGTAACTGCACGGCACATTAGATGACATCACCCGCGAGGTGCGCGGCTCGACCGCGTTCGTGTCTGAATCGCATGAGCAAAGCATAGACTGGCGCGATCGCGTCGATTTGTAAAAGAGCAATTTTCTTCGCAGCTACAGCCTCGACCCGCGGAGTTCAACTGCCGACGCAAGCGATCGTTTTTTTTTGCGTTGTGCGAATTTTAAATATGCGCTTATGTGTTCACGCGATATATTCACGAAGTTTTTTTACGTCCCTAACTGTTTCCATGAAGTTTCGACTTCGCGTACGCGAGCTCAGGAGACGGCAAATGTTTGTAACGCCGAGTCTGTTTTGCAAACGACGGATCTGTGCGCCGGGACAGCCTGATTCAGCGCCCCAGGTGTAAAAAACACGCTTGAATGATCGTTTACGCCGTATAGTCGATGTTCGCTTTGACGCTCCGTCCTCAACCGCGGCGCGCGCCTCTCTGACTGTCCTCGCGCGGCGCGACAGTTAAAAGGATGAGCTCACAGTAGCTCATCCTTTTAAAAACGTACTACACGTACGCAGTGTATATTTGATCATACGCTCATCCTTTTTCTAAGCTCATATCCTTTCGTTGATAGCCACTAGCAACTGTACTAGCTAGCTAGCTACGAAGGTACTTTCGTACTTAGCTACAGGGTAGTACGAAGGTAGCTAGCTACCTTCGGTACCTTCGTAGAGGACTAAGCGTGAATTGACGGAGCATATTGATTGTGACAGAACTATTGTGACTACACGTACTCGTAGTGTATCATACTGTACACGTGCGTACAACGCGTATGTTTTCTTCGAAGGTATGATATCAATGTATCTACTTTCGTATCATACATTGTACCTTGATACAGAACGAAAGTACTATGTACTGTAATAAACGTAGTACAGTACTCGTACGAGGATACTAGTGTACTTTTTCTGTACACAAACTACCTTCGAAGGTACGAGTACGAGTATAAACCATAATAAATATTTATGTCATCCCCTGGCTGTGTACGTAACGCGTTGTACAGCTGTACGAAGGTACACGACTACACGTACTGTACACGTATTGTAGATAGCTATCATAGCTAGAATGAGAAATTTAAAATGCCCCTCGCTGACAGCTTCTTGAAGTGTGGAGTCAGAGCGCGAGTCGCGGAAATAGTATGTCCGGAGCGCGAAGTGTGGACACGACGCCGTTCAAGATGAATATTGGCATGTTTAAGACTATTCCCGAGAAAGAAGTGGAGGTGCAGCTCTCCGTTCTCATCTCTGAGTAACTTCAGCACCACCACTGCCGAGTGCATACGAGGTGCGGTTATACCGCAACTTTTTCTTGCGACGGTGACCGTGTAAACTTTGTCGTTTTTCGCTCCTCGCCCTATTGCGATCTCTACTTTTTCGTGCAGTATTATGGTTCTGAAGAGCATCCGGATCTGTTTTCTTGATGGGCGGTTTATTTAAACAAAATATCTCACAATGCTCTCATCGTACACCTTCCAGGCATTCCAACGCGAACGACACAAGCCTATGTCCGAGGGACCAGTGGAGCTCGATGTTGGCAACTTACGAGGCAATATCTTTCTCCAAATGGTAAAACCGGGCCACCTATTTCGACTTTTCCAAAACCACGTACCACTAGCCCAAGGTTAACACAGTTCATCAAATCATTTCGTTATTTTTTAACTTCTGTATATTGGTCACCAGATGCATCATTTTGAAGAAGGCCAGCGTGATGACTTTTTTGAAATTTATGAGCGCTACATTCCAGAGTCGTACCGCGGTGCTGAGGAGGCCCGGCAGATGGAGTTTGTGCTTCAAGTATATTTTGCTGTCTTTCCCTCACTCCCCTACAGTGAGCGAAAACTTGGCACGGTCAAAACGTGTGGTGCCGTGGCATATGATTTAGGGAAAGGACTGGTGGAGCTTCGTCTTTATCTAGAGAACCGTGGTGTAGACACAGCTTGCAAGGAGGAGTTGCTACCTCTCTACGCAATTCCATTTGTTCAAGACCCGAGGCAACATTCTATTTTTAAGAAACTTTTTGAGCCAAGATGGACCATCGACCTTCGTGCGAATCTCGAGAGATTTATCGCTCAAGCTTCAGATGAGGTGCTTCCTCCACGAATTTTGACAGTTCTTAAGCAATATAACGATCTGGTGGCTATTTCTTCTGTAAAAAGTGGAGAATCGATGAAACTCAATGAGCGCGCTAGAGAACAATCGGGAGCCAGTTTGTTAATTGAAACATTCAGTACCGTTGACTCGCACGCTTCTGCACCTGATGATGCTTGGAAAACATTTACGACAACACGCGAGAATGAACTAAATTTGTTTTCTGAAAATGAACCTGCCTCTTACTCGATAGCTGCTCCCATACACATTATCAGGAGGACGACACCTTTGTTGAAGGGCGAGATATCAATGCACGATTTATGCCCTTCACTAGAGTTTTCGGGTACAGGTGCTGAGTACAACGCAACTAATTCCATATGTACTCGGGGTGCTGGTTTAGACACAATGGAGAATCGCGTGGTCTCTAAGCCACCAATCGTACTCCCAGAGGACATCCATGAAACTTTTCCAAACCGTAAATGTCTAGTTGAGCACGCCACAAACAATGCCGAGGATGCCTACTCTGCAGATATTCTTCCTGAAGGCATAATGAACACGTCGAGCATGGAGTGTTCGCCGTTTACTTCCAGGAATGACGACCATGAAGCTACCACCTCAACTACAGAGGAGAGAAGCCTGTCTCTGATTGAGGACTCCAGGCACCAAAATTTCAGCAACGACTCTGTTGAGCACCTCGGAGACTTTCAGCCAAAAGCGTATGGGAGTAATACCTCTGACAAAATGATAACCCCGTATGAACTCGCTGTCCAGTTCTGTGAACTGGACTACGCCCAAATTGTGTTGGACATTCGTGCAAGCATCGAACGACTCTTGAGTGACCCTGGAGACAATCTCGCTAAGGATCTTGTCATCCGTATACTGCAGGCACTCCGCTGGCGGATCACACGCGTGTCACGAAGTCAAAACCGTAAGATTGCTGTTCAGCTCCTCGTGAAAGGCGATATTTTTGCAATCCACAACGCACAGATAGAGAGCAGCCCAGAGAGTACACCTGGTAGCCTTATTGACGCACTGCTGGTTGGTTGTGGCAAACGGGTGCAAAGGGAGTGTTTAAGCCTGATCAATGCGCTTGCTTCTATCGGCCTAGGAAGGCAGTATCTCTTGTTACCTGGCAGTCGTGTTGTTGCAGCGTTGTCTTCTGTCATCAATCCTGCAGAGCACACCGTTTGTAGTAGACACCATCTCCTTGGCGCACTTCAAAAACTCAGCTTGCACGGCACTGCGGCGACTTTGATGGCTTCTCTCGGTCTTATGTCGTGGATATTGTGTTTGTTACAGCAGAATTTCAGCACTGGAGTCCAAATTGATTTCCCCGGTGCCCTCTCTGAGAATGATGCCGAGCTTGGTGTGGGGTTGCTGATGAACATGTCCCTTACGTCAATGGGTAAGCAAGTTGTTGAAGAATCTTTGAAGATGATGGAATATTTAGATATTTCGGAGACGAGTGAGACATCTGTCCTGCACGTGCTGAAGCAAGTACTGCAGAGCCCTAATTCACAAGTTCGCGCGTATGCAAATGGGGCACTTTACAGCCTACTTCACTCTGATTTTATTCGGTCGAAAGCCCGAACTCTTGGGTTTCTTGGGATGCTTGCTGATCTTGCGAAGCACAGCGACGTCACGTTTGTGCGACAGATTAACTTCGTCATAGCCCTTCTTTACTCAAGTCATCAAGCGCCAACGGATAACAACGATTCGCAAGAAATTGGTTGCTCTGAGGTCTTCACAGGATATTCTATCTCAGATGCTGAAACGTTTGTTGACCTTACACATGAAAGTGTGCACAGTTTTCTCAGGGATGAGGTTACACTTTTTGAATTGGGATTGGATACCCAAGTAAAGAACTCACTTGGCCACAGGGCTTATGATGGTAAAGTTGGCGAGGTACTATTACGGGAGGACTACGCTTCACTGGAGGATGAAATACTGAACCCGTCAAAATATTCAGAGATTAAGGAGACAGATGTCATCGCGTTCGGTTATGAAACACTCAATTATGCCAGCGAACCTGAGTTGATCACTTTTTCTTCTTTTGTTGGTCCGAACTTCTCGTCAGTGAAGTAGAAAAAAAAGTTAGCCTACCTTATATGAAAAAGTCGTGTCGAACTTCAAACTGAGCCAGAGCCAAAATATCTTACTCATACTATGTGTAAATGTACCAGCGGTGTCAGGCGTAGATAATGCCCACCGATGACGATTCGTTATACGCCTCTGATTCGCAACTTCTTTATTCGGGAAGGAATAACATGCACTTGGGAGAAAAATGTACATGCGCAATCAATTTGTTTTGTTCACGACCGCACAGATATATTTTATCTTATCTCACGAGCTCTGCTGCTGTTACGTCATTCGGTGAAGTGAAACATCTGCGCATGGTCGCCGGTGTGTGCATCGAAGTCATCAGAACTATGGACCAGGTATTCACAGATAAGAACAGTGTACTTAATGCCCATAGTGGCCAAAAGTTACAAACTCCGGTGAACTCCAACGAGTAGGCAGTCACTAGCCAGCCGATTTGAGTTGTAAACCAGCTGACTATACACGTGCATGTGAATATCGGCGAATCAATGCGGCGTTTTCGTCTTCTGCTCTGTGCTATGCGGTTCGGCACGTCCTTACTATTAACTGTACTACGATTCGCCGAGTTCCATTCTCCCAGGCACCGCAGAATGTTAATGTTTGGCACACAAAGAGGAAATAAGCACAGATACCAAACAAAGTATTGAGCTGTGCATACACTGTTGAGCGTGACAAATGCAAATGTTTGCATGAATAGGCAGAAAGGCAAATCGGATGCATACTTAATGCCAATAACCAGGATAACAGTTATGTGTGGAATGAGGCAGGTGTACCTCGATTGGAAGTTTTCGGCCATAAAAATACTGTTACCTTCAGTCGCGAGATACGCACTGTAGAACGACATTGAAAAGTTGTGGCGAATATCTACTCGTTTCATGTGATGGACGAATGTTTCTCTAAAAAAATCCATTCCATACCATAATTGATAGTATGCTACACACGCAATTGACAGACTAGCAGCCACTGTACAAAAATACACTTTCCTTGGAGAAAACATGCCTTTTAACAAACTTGTGCCAGTAGAAGCGCATGAAGTCTGGTGTCCAACAACTGCCGCAGTTGTCAAATCATGAGTGCGTGCGGGTACCTTCTGATCCACTTCATGCACGAATATCGAACCTTGTTTGTCGATATAGAGTAGCAGCGGCACTGAGTAAATGATAGGATACAAGCGAAAAAGGGTTGCAAAGGCAAAGCACGATGCTGCTCGAAAAGTATCTTCGCATTGGAGGCAACACACAATTAACATCAGAAGGAACGCAGTCAAAGATTCACAACTACCACGAGTAGACATCGTTATCGTATACGGGTTAAATAAATACGCTGCAGAGAGTGACTTTGTTTCGCTACCTCCCTGTTGACTCAACACCTTCTTGATCAGCACCCAAGACACAAGATCCCCGACCACAAAAAATGCCTTTCCGACCAGTGGGTGGGAAGTGACGTTAAGGACACAGGTGAACGCGAGAACTGGCGAGTAGCGAAACGTGTCCCTTTCGTAAGGGGAATCACCAAGTGTGACGAACCTGCAAAACAAAGAAAACGTGAGTTTTGACATGTTGACTGACAGGAAAACAAAAAATGAAGTGGTCTATTTTGTAGTGTGATCCAGTATATGTACCAGTATACCTCGCAGCGTCTGTGAACACCCCGTAATCGATATCCGTGAAAGGTAAACCCGCGCGAGCGTCCTGATACATGCCGTATATCATAAACGCAAGTCGTATCGCAAATGCAGCAGTAAGAACACTGCATTCGCCCGTTCGGAGTGGCGCTGACATCCCCCACCACTGCATTTCGGAGCAAAAGGGTCGCACGGAACTGAACGTGATATCACTGTTTGCAAGACTGACGCTGAAAAGTTGAAAAGTCCTCTCGATACAGGCCCTATTTTCATTGGTGAAAGGCAAAACCTCACCGGTGCACTGGCGGTCGCAGCTTCACAACTAACTTGACAACAGAGGTGTGCAAAACTGCACTTCGGACTGCAAGTCGGACCTTGGGGTTTGGACCTCTACTCAAAGCTCTCTCGTATCTTGAGCGACTCGTCGTGGGATCCCCGGTTTCAACGTTTTCTACAAAGGCATTCGGTCAGGACGAAGTTTTCATTCGTGCACTTCGGGTTTTTCACAATTGAACCATTTAAATCTCCTGAATGCCTCTCGGTTGCTGAAATGCCCGTGACTAAACGGATCCATCACATACAGTATAATAGACGAGGTCCCTATGAAGTCACCAAATTTTAAGGTCACGCTCCGGCAATCAAATTTCCCGTGCCAAAAGTACGAAGTTTGTACGCGTATTTAGGCTAAATCTTAAAAACGAACTTTCGTGCGCGCCCACGCGCCGTCGCTGCGCGGATCGATTTGAAACTTAGTGGCGATGTTGTCCATCATGCAGCGGATGCCCTCAAAAAGATTCGCGATTTTAGGACCATCGCGATTTAGACTACCCTGCACTGTAAATACGCATGCAAATTTCGTACTATTGGCACGGGAAATTTGATTACCGGAGCGTGACCTTAATTTGCGATTTTTTTATTCCACAGACTATATAAGTTGAGCGTCCGTCAGACGCGCCCCCTCACGTCCGCGCTTCCCCGAGCGCCGTTTTTTCGTCTTCTGTCCGCCGCGCAAACGCATGGATCTGGTGTCTAAAATCGCAAATGGCTGCTGCGAAAAGTGAACGTGAAAAAAAAATACCCTCGTACTGTATGTGTTTATCCACTTGTGTTTTATTATTACTGTACGTGTACTGTACGTGTACGTGTACAGTGTACAGCAGGGGATAACTTGCTCGACCCGCAAAAGTCTTCGCCTTTCGAAAACATACTGTATTACGTTGTAGCCCTACACGTGTAGTAAACTTTTACCTTCGAAGGTACTTTCGAAAGTACTTTCGTACTTTCGTACAATATTCAATACGAATGAAGGAATTTATTTTTACTATCATACCTTCGTATTAAAAGATAACTGTACGTGTACACGTACAGCTGTACACGTACAACGCGCGTTACAGTACGTGTACACGTGTACACGTACTGTACGTGTACATGAACTTCCGGAAATGACTGAGAAATATTTTAAAGTTCTTCTGCATAGTTGACAAAAATGACACTGACAGTCATGAGCTCTCAAGGAACAGCACGACAATTGTTTTCTTGTAGTTATGTTTGCTTCATCGCTCGTCAGGATCGCAGATTAACACCGCAACCGCAGCCCCGCTCGCATGCACTTGCACGTTCCCTCGACAGGTCTAGGAAATCATTGTCCTTGCAAAATGCGGATGTTGTAATACGTGAACTGTCTTCGACGCGCGCATCGTTGAGTCGAGCACGTCGTGGATATGCAGAGATGTGCTCAGGAAGGCATTCCATCACGTCTGGACATGATCTTCAGGGTAAGACGGTCGTTATTGTCGGACTTGGGTGGGGGCGAGAGTAGTCATACCTAAAAAAAGAGCTAAATTCTTTACGGGTCGCTTTCACGTTTTATAAGTCTGCTCCTCTAACTCTTTTTCTTGCTGCCGCTTTTGTGACCAACATGCAAGGAACTCAGGTCGGTCGGCTGCACGGCTCGCCTTCGTGCGGGGAGCTACCGTTATAGGCGTCGACCATAATTGTAGTTGCAAACAACTAAACGTCGTTGAAGATATTGAGAGATATTTGAATTTTGGAAGAAATGACTTTGCCAAGACTGCTGAAGTTGACAGGTGCTTGTCTGTCGGTAGTTTCCTGCGTACAGAGCTGGGCGACTTCAAGGAAGCCACATTTCAAATTGCGGATATCATAGTGCTCTCCCCTGGAGTGCCGCTGACACAGCCACAAGTGGCAGCAGCTTTATGTCAAACGAAACAAGGTTCAAAATGCACCGTAATTTCTGAACTTGCCTTTGCCTCGCAGTGTCTTCCAAAAATGCTGCCCATAGTTGCGATCTCTGGAACCAACGGAAAGTCAACGGTTTGTTCGTTCACAGCACAGCTGTTGGCGTCGTGTGACTGCCGCACATTCATGGGTGGTAATATTGGAAAACCACTTAGTGACTGTGCTTTGGAATTCATCTTAGCCGAGCATATTTGTGGCCATCTTGCTGATCTCGGCCATCATTGGCCTTATGACGCTGCCGTCGTCGAATGCAGCAGCTATCAGCTCGACCACCCGGGCACGTTGCGCTTTGATGCTGCCTGTATTCTCAACCTTACGCCCGATCACTTAGAGAGACACAAATCCATGGCGAACTATGCAACAGCAAAGACACAGATATTTGCTGGCCTGAGGGGTACTCACACACTAGCAGTGCTTCCCAAGAGAGAAAGTGCAAGAGGGCGTCATCAGAGCTATCAGGTAGAAAGTGACTCTACGACAGACCATATAGTAGACTTGGATTACGATGGAGCGACCTTGTTAGAAAAATGTCGAGAAGCAGTTATTAAGACACTTATGCGCCGAGTTTCCGAAACACCGAACGAGAGAGTTGCGTGTATTGGAGGTAGATTGGCTCACATAGGTAGTTTACCAGGTGTGAAAGTTGACCTGAATACAAAGATTGCTATAGTGCACTTGCCGTCTAACAGAAGTTCTTCTAGACAGAATTCACCTAGTTATGTAGATCTTTCTGCGGTATCTTCTCTGGGGACTCACAACATCCTGAATGCAAGCATTGCACTACTCATGGCTCACTCGTTGAGCCCAAAGGATTTCACAGTTGCACGGCTCAAAGTAGGACTTGATAGGCTAAAGCTTCTGCCTCATCGTATGCAACTTGTGGCACAGACAGGGAATCCTTCCTTCAGGGGTATCCATTGGGTGAACGATAGCAAAGCAACGAATATAGAGGCCGCAATAGTAGGGCTACAAAGTTATGGACGACGCGCCCTTGTTCTCCTTGGTAAGTGAACTTACAGGGACTCCACAAAGTTTCACCAACTGCTATGGACCTGTCAACTCGTAGCTATGCAAAATGAGTTTTGAAGAGCCAGTATGATTTTGATCCTCTCCACCTCACTATTAACTTTTTTTTGGGACCATATTTCTTGGCGGTAAGGCAAAAACTGGAACTGCTTCCAACGAACTTGGTTTTGCTGCACTTGTCCCTGCACTGCTGAAACATCAAGGCGTAATAACTTTTGGAGAATCAGGATCATTAATAGCTAATGAACTTCGAGAAGCTGGCATCAACCCGAAGGCAGAGGTCAGTCAACTGAGTGACGCTGTTACCCTGGCTCGAGCAGTTGTCAGGCGAGGTGGAGCCGTGATACTTAGCCCGGCCTGTGCGAGTTTTGATGAGTTTGACAGTTTCGCACAGCGCGGAGAAGTCTTCACACATCTCGTTCTTAGAGGCAACACTTCGAAAGCATAAATAGGTGTAGAGCAGTATGCATGCATTTTATTACAGGTCATGCATGCTAGGTTGAAATATTTCCTCTTGATTCTGTCCTTTCCAGCTGTTCAAGGCAGAAGATCGAGTGACTATAAAGGACTTTCCAGGAATTAACTTGAGACTCTCGCTGGATCATTCTGATGCCAGGAATCTTACGGCGTAACTCCCTAACGATAACGTCTGAGAGACAGTTGCTGGTTGCGCTTCCAGGTTCCTCGCTTGGAGGGGCGCGACTTGTTGTAGTTGTGTCCCTAAATGAGGACAAAAGTTCATATTTTCATTTTCGTAAGAAACGAAAGAATGGTGTGAGAGAAAAAATGCTCTGTTTATTGTTTACCTTTCCTTGAAGTCCTCGGTACTTCCGACCAGCTGATGTCAGACCACGCAACTCACGGTGTTTCTCAAGAAAGGGACTCGAATACAAAGATTTGAAAGGTGTGACGCGATATTCAGTTTGCACAAGACAGGCACTCGGATTTTTCGCGTTGTGGTATCCTTACATGGACGGGGGCGCATATCCAGTTGATGCGGGGATCACCTCGAATGACTTTGTGCATTGGATCGACCATGATTACTTCATAGTACTTATACACAGAATCCTGAGAAAAAATATTATGCCTGCTATAATAGAACTGAAAATTTTCAAGGTGAAGCACCTCGTTCAGCCAATAGGAATTGAGCACACGAAGAGCACCACAACGCCGAGCAGTGCGTTCTTCCGCAACGGATCTCAGGTTGCGAGCGAACTTGAGCTTCTTGACTCCTTGATGAACAGGCTTGCCATAGCGAATTCCCTAAAAACGTTCGAGATAAGTGATAGTAGAGTGAAAGTTGAAAGTTGAAGTTCGCTACATTGCATCTCTCTGCACGTGCCCATGACAATTAATGAAAGAAGATTAGATATTCACCTTTGAAACGGGCCGCTTACGGCCGCCACGACGGACTCGTGCACGGTATACACAAAAGCCCTGCTTCGCCTTGTATCCTAGTCTTCGAGCCTTGTCCGGGCGAGTCGGACGAGTCACGCGGCAAACTGAGGGAAGCTGCCGATACTCCCACACACGAACGCGCTGCAGGAAACGGAGAACATCACTTTGCTTTTTCTTCCAGAGCTCTTCAACATACTTATACGCCTGGAAAATTAGTGAAAGATCAGAAAAAATAATTTATTAAATCCTTAGTTCGAAAACCGAAGAAACTAGAGCTGGCGCGAGTTCGTGAGTTAATTTGCTAAGGGTATGATGCCGCGGTATAGAAAAAAAAGTGTTTGCTGTGGCAATCGGGGTGATCGCCGTCTCGAAAGCGTGGAAAACGGAATTCGTTTTGCGGCAAAATATATACACGTAGTCGCCTCTGAGAAGTTCGACGGTTCGTGTAAAGATTGCGGGCGAAAATGCGCATGCGTGATGGAAACATGCACGTATTAACGTACCCCCATGGTATTTAATGATCTGCGATTCGATCCGGATCGAAGTTTTCGAGAAAGAGATCACGAAATGGCCACGTATTCGCAGGCTTGAAATGAAGCCGAGAAGCCTTGTTTAGGGTTTACAAAAATAGTCTTGTTTTCGAGTACTCGTACAGTACAGTAAGTTGCAACTATACGTGTACACGTGTACACGTAGTGTAAAGTTGTAGTTGTACATAAAGTACTTTAGTATCAACACATGACGCGTTCCTTCGAAAATACCGTACGTGTACAATAGTACAGCAGTGTACACGGAGGGCCTAGCTACGGCATAAACGTGTATTACCTTCGTACGAAGGTACTTCCGGAAGTACAACGTACTTCCGGAAGTATTCTTTCGATCTCCGAAGGTATTAGCTGTGTACGATATTTTATGGTGTTGTACATGTACGCGTACGTGTACAGCATGTAGATATGTACGTTTACTGTTGTTGCACATGCACCTGTATGTTGACTATTTTATTATGTACAACTTGTACTGTATTTTATCATTGTCTAGCTAGGGCTACAATGATGATGCTACTTCTCGGCATTTATCAAGCACTTCAATACTCGTGCCACAATCATGCCGAAGCCAGAAATTGAATTAGTGTTGCAGATTAAGCTTACTTGGACTGAAAATTTTGTCGGTTTAGAAACAGATCGACGCAGCGACGGCGCGTGAACGCGCACGAAAGTATTTCCGTACTTCCGTTCGTACGTCTTTTGCGATTTGTTTGATATTGAATACGCACGCAAATTTCGTACGAAGGTACGTGTACAGGATGTACACGTACGTGTAATAACGCGTTTATGAAAGTATCACAACTTCCGGAAGTACAACTAGTTGTACAACTACACGTGTACAACTACTGTACATTTTTTTGTTGTACTTCCGGAAGTCAGATACAACTTACTGTACACGTACACGTACTGTACACGTACAGTACAACTACAACTACACGGAGATAGAGATGAATTTTTGGTTTTGGGAGGCATCACCGAGGTGTACGTGTACAGCTGTACACTACACGTACAATTTTTATTTTTTTTTAACCCTAAAAATACAAATCACCTACGAAGGTATCAAATTAGGTTTTGATAGGGAAGGCCTACGCTTTTTAAGCCGCGAATTAGCGTTGATGCGACAGAGTTAAGGGTGAAATGACCGCGAAGCGGTCTACCCTTTAAGCTCCGTCAATTCACGTGAATTCGCGGCTGAAAGGGCGTAGTACTGTAGTACGTGTACTCGTACAGCACAGTACAATAAAATTAATCTGTTAATTAAGTCTGTGCGAGGATAGGGTTACTTACGGCGAACGTGAAGTCTGCCACGCACACACTTTCTCTCGGTGCAACGCGACTCAAAGCGCGGTTATATTCAACGAGACCTGGAAGAAATGCCACACTCGCTTATGACCGGACCATTCGTACTGCATGATAGCTCTGCTGCGTATTCTGCGCGTCGCGGCCGAACGCTCGATTCTTTATCTTCGGATTTCTCGGGGAAAGCCTCCGTTTTCGCTAGCAGAGGAACTGGCGAAGGACGGACTTGGCGGAGGGGATCGACGGTCATAAACATGGCGGCCTCTAAAGAAAAAAAATCCCGAGACCTTGACATGATCAAAGGCATGCTCGACAACGAGAATACTCTGCTTGTCGCCGGCTTCCGTTACCAAGGACTTTCGGTAAGATGACTGAAAGCCCTACAACCTGGTGAACCGGAGCCTGTCTCGTCGGGGCAGGCTCTATAGATTTCTCGCTAGTGCGTCAACGCGTGAGCTCGCGCGCATTGGCATTTTTTTTACCCGCATATCCTACCCGTCGGTGATTTCCACGAAAACCTAGGGTTGTTGATTCCGCGAAAACCTAGGGTTGACAAATTTTGAGTGAAACCGAGCAGGATTCTTTCTATGGGCAGCAAGCACTCACTGCTGAACTCCTTTTTTTGCGTTTTCAGGTCAAGAATATGATCAAATTTCGCCGGCAGTTGCCCGAAGGTGCGCACCTTCTAGTTACGAAGAACACCCTTATGGTGAAGGCAACAGAGGGAACGAAATGGGAAGCCATCTCTGAGTGTGCAACTGGTATGAATGCCTGGCTCTTCGTCGACGAGAATATCGCCCCTGCGATCAAGTCTGTAAAAGGCCTTCAAAAAGACTGGAAGAAAGATGGAATCGAAGTGGATTTTAGCGGTGCGATCCTAGATGGAAAGTTCATTGACCCCAAAGGCATCTCGGCCCTTGAGAAACTTCCCACCAAAAAGGACCTCATCACCATGGTTGCAGTTGGCATCAAACAGGTTCCAACGAAGCTTGCACGGGCATCTAATGGTGTTCCCCTGAAACTTGCGTATGGCGTGAAGGCCATCGCCGAGGGAGAGTCTACCATTATTACGGCTTAAAATGAGCAACTCATATTTTTGATATTTAAGTCAGCTACATAGAAGTACAAATAGTCTCTTCCTTACTTGACCTTTCCTCGCTTTCAACCAGCAGAAAGTGTGAGTTACACGTTCAACAAAAACCTTATAAAAGTAACCAACCGAGTCCCAGCGCTGCGGTGGCGAACGCGCCTCCCCCCCAAAAGGCGCCAGAGGAACCAAAAAGATCACAAAGTCGACCAGCCATGTAGTTCCCAGCACCAAGAGCAATCCCCTGTGATAAAGCTGAGATGGCGAATCCAGTACCACGCACGTTGGGAGGCATCGTGGCTGACAATACGGCTTTCATGTTCGCTTGAGTCATGGCCATGTGCACTCCAACAGCTAAGTATCCTACGAAAACCTGCCAGGGCGTTTTTGCCAGCACCAAGACAAAATCTGCCACGATCATCATTCCGAACCCGCCCAAAAGCATGAACTTTCGACCGTTTCCATAAACTCCATTCTGATCCACTCGGTCTGCTACAACGCCCAATGGGTATGTAAGCAACGACTGTATAAGGTTTGTCGCGACCATAAGCATAGGAAGATATGCGGCCTTAAGCCCTACTGCATTCGCGTGAAGGGTGACAAATGCCTCACTAAAACGAGCAACCTTTAGAACGGTAAAAACAAGCAGTGCTCTCCAATACGGCCACGGGAGATTGACAGCCTCGCGATACGACCAGCGCCACGATCCCCACACAACTTTCTGCTCTTCTGTGTGCTCGAAATCCAGAGAAGATGTAGACCAATCAGTAGAACTGAAAGGATTTGACTGCAAGTTATTTGAGTTTCTTGCTACGTTAGGACCAATACAGACATCCGTTCTGCTATTCAGCTGCACTCGGGCGCCATCCAAATTACGCATGTTTCCTCTATACCTTTTCACTGAAAACATAGAAGCACCAGATGACTGAAGAGGACCAGCAACTGTTGGAGCACTTCTCTTGTCTGAACTGTGTTTGATTAAACTATGGGCAGTGAAGTTAGAATCATGAATCTCCACAACATCCATCCTAGGCACAGAGCTTCGGACAAAACTTCCATGCGCATAAGTATCAGGATTTGTTTTCGTTCCCAGACTTTGTCGATGTCGGAAAGTTCGTTCCTCTTCAGTTGATAAGTATTCTGCTTCCCACTCGCGCTGTCGGATTTGCCACATCTCCTCAGATTCCCCATGATAGCGGCTAAGCTGTGGGAATGATAACTCGCCAGGACGCTTCTCCTTGACCTCTTGTGCACGATTTTTCATATCTTCGAGGTGCTCTGTAAGCCATTCACTCACGAGCCGCCATGTGCGTTTCCCTCGATGCCAGGCCATATCTCTGCCTGAATCTTTGCAACGGGATCGACGCCAGCGCACTGGCTCATACATCATAGCAAGTGGACCGCGACCATGCCGCCGTTTCGAGGGCGCGTGACGTTCCGGATATTTGGGCATACCGTAGTGTTTTGACTGCAAACGAACCGGTTTGCGCACAAAATAGAGCAACATGAAAATTGCAAACAGGGACGGCAGTGCAGCGAGTCTAAAAGTCAAACGATAGTTATTTTGCGTGATTGTCATGCATATGACGGCACACATCGATCCAAATACACCACCAAGGGTGGTGAGCGACTGGTGTAAGCTATATGTGGTGCTGCGTTTCTGCCGGGGAGAGAGGTCTGCTATGAGTGCATCAGTAGGTGCCGCTCTTACACCCTTTCCAAATCTGTCGAGCAGCTTTGCAGAAACCACCCACTGCGAAGTGACAGCAGATGCAAGAACTAGTTTCATTGCCGCTGTCATAGCGGAACCAAGGGCTATTACCTTAACACGTGACTTTATAACATCACTCATCACACCAGATATAATTCGCGATAGGTTTGACATAAGCAGTGCTGCCCCTTCAATTGCACCGATTCGCGTGTTTGAATATCCGAGTTCAGTCTTCAGGAAAACTGGTAGCAGGGAGAACACCATACATGTAGATGATGTCCAGAGGAATCCGCAAAACGCCTGTGATAAAAAAGAATCATAAATGAAAAATGCAGTTTTGAGGGCGGTAAACAAGTTGAACAAGTGGGACAAGACTTAGAATTGAGGGAGAGATTGAGGAACTCACGAGCGCCCAACAGCTCCGATTATCAGTCTCGTTGAAGACGATGCCGGGAAGCTTTTGTCGTGCCTGGCCCGGCATTCTGTGAACAAGCCAGTTGAATAAACTCGTGTGTAATCCAACCTTCTGCAACCTCTCATCTTTTTGCTCATCGCCTTCCTCCTCATCATACTCACTTGAACTGGAGACAATTAAGTCCGTTTTACACTCATCTTCTTCGCACTCTTTGATCGTTTTTTTCAGAAGACCACGTCGAAAATCTTCGCCCGCATCACCGCCACCCGTACTCGTCATCGACCTCAGTAAAAAAATGTGACGACAAGAACTTCGGCTCTGAAACGAACATTTGCATGTTGGGCAAGTTTCGTGTGTGGAGAGCAGCGAAGCAGAAGTCGTAGCCCATTTAAGCGATGCGCTTGAGTGAACGTGAGCATGTAGGTATCTAAAAAAAAAGAATAGATGTCGGCATGCGCAACAGGATAAACGTCTTCAAACGAAGGCACGGTAAAGTAGAACATCAAGTGGGCGAAAAAACGCGCACCGGAAGTTTGCTGCAAAGGGGCGCTCTGGTTGACTTGAGGACATCCACGATACTCGCGTTTGGCATCTACAAGAAAAAAAAGATGTCGATGGTACGCAGCAGGATAAAAAACTTCACAGAAAAGGGCACGGTATAAGAACATCGAGTGGGTGCAAAGTTGAGCACCTGAAGTACGCCGCACCGCGACGGCCGGCTTGACTCGAAGGTGTCCTAGTTATACGCACACGGCGAGTCGAGACTGAGTGGTTGCCCGCAGAATATGCATTGCCAGCATACCACGTCAAAACGAGCGAATCCATCTCGAAGTCAAACCGACAGAAAGGAGCGGTTTCACCTCAGTCGCGACCTGCACATGGATATCTTTCCCCAGCTCGTACAATTCCACGACTGGTGCACGTGGACAAGTCCCGAGTGCTCCAAAGTCACCCTCGCTGGACACGTGCGAAGCTACGAACCCTAGCTAGCTAGACTTTAATTACAACAAGCGTTGTAAAATAAACGAACGTACTGTGCGTACGAAGGTACCTTCGTAGGATACTGTAGTGTGATATGATACGAAGGTATGTGTACAGTGTACACGTGTACGTGTACACGTACATGTACCTTCGAAAGTCCTTCGAAGGTACACGTACACGTACACGTACGTGTACAGTACGTGTACACGTATTTATTTCTTAATTTTTATTGATATTCTTCGTACTTCCTCCCGTATAGATTCTATACACGTGTACGTGTACCTTCGCACGGAAGTACACTACGGAAGTATGATACTTCCGGAAGTACTTCCGGAAGTACTTCCGGAAGTATGTACGACGTGTTACTTCCGTCGTACGGAAGTACTTTCGTAAGTTCTTATCTATCTTCGAAGGTACGAAAGTACTTCCGGAAGTACTTTCGTACGAAAGTACGAAAGTACTTCAGTATTTCCGTCCGTACACTTTTGTATGTGTTTTTGTCACGAGTACGTGTGCACGTACACGTACAACACAATTAAAGCATATCCTTTCGCTGATAGCCACTATTTTTATACAATAGCTAGCTAGCTAGCTAGCTAGCTAGCTAGAGGACTAAGCGTGAATTGACGGAGCAATGATTGTGACACTATTGTGACTACACGTACTGTACACGTGCGTACACGTGCACGTACCTTCGAAGATATTTTCGAAAGTACGCGAAAGTATTTCGAAAGTACTCTCGAAAGTACTTTCGTAGCCCTAGTTGTACTTTCGTACGAAGGTACGAAATAAAGTACACGTACACGTGTACAACGTTGTACTTTCGAAAGTTTCAATGTAGTTGTACGTGTACTTTCAAAAGTACGAAAGTACGTTGTACTTTCGTACGAAATAAAGTACACTACTGTAGTTGTACTTTCGAAAAGTACAAGTAAGCAAGTAAGGTAAATAAGGAAAGTACAAGCAAGTAAGGTAAATAAAGTACCTTCGAAGGTACGAAAGTACCTTCGTACTGTATGATATCTACGAAAGTATTTTCGCACGAAGGTACAACGTTGTACAGTACACGTACAACGCGTTGTACTCGTACGAGGATACTGTACACAAACTACTTTCGTACGAAAGTATCATATTATCTTCGAAGATAGAATACACGTACGAGTACGAGTACAGTACACGTACACGTACGTGTAACCACGCGTGTTCTGGTAAAATCGAACCATTCGAGGGCTAGCTACCTTCTGAAGGTAGCTGGCTACCTCCGTTGGACTGAAGGTGAAATGTTGTTCGTGCGCCGTGCCGCGATCCACAGCGCCTGCCGTTCTCCAGTTGTGCGAACTCTTTCGCACAGATATACAGGTATCAAGGCATTGTCGTTTAGAGCTCCGCAGGAACCCGTCGTAATTGGCGAAGAAGTGGACGTTGAGTGCACTGCTGTTGCTTTCGGAGGGCGTGGGGTGTGCAAATTTCCAGGAGGTTTTGTCATTCTATGCGAGCGAGCTGTGCCCGGAGAGAAGGTCCACGCGCGAATTACGGCCATAAAAAAAGGTGGACGCTACGCCGAGGCTGTCAAGATTCAGAGATTGCGACCAACCCCGTACCATGTCAACGCTCCGTGCCCGCATTTCGATCGTTGCGGTGGTTGCACTTGGCTTGACGTTGCTTACGATCAACAGCTTGCTTTCAAGCGTGATCAAGTGGTGGACGTCATGACCAGAATCGCTAGAATAAATGATGCGGATCGGATTGTGAATGCGATATCACCTAGTCAGCAGAGATTGCGCTATCGTAACAAGATGGAGTTCGCGTTTGCTCAAGTAGGGGACAACAGCAGTGGTCGCCCTGCGTTCGGCTTGAGACCAGCTGGTGACCACACTGGACTGGTTGAAGTTTTCACATCAGGCTGTGTGTTGCAGCAAGTGGTCGCAGACAAAGTTCTCGCACGATGTGCAGCACACCTGCATGCAATGGCAGACGTATCTGCATTGTTACCAGTGTTCAATCGGCGGACTGGTTGTGGGGTACTACGAAGCCTGACACTACGTACAGCTCCTCTTGCAGGCAGGTGCAGTGGTGAAACTGCAGTGATGGTAATCATAGCAGCAGCGTTGGACCGTCAAGGAAAAGAGACAAAGAAGGCATTTGCAGCCCTAGCTGCAGACTTAGCTACCATTGATTGTGTGCAATCGGTGGTTCATGAGCGCGTGTTATCGCAGCCAGAGCTACGCAGAGCAGAGGGGCGCAGGCAGGTCTGGGTTAAGAACGGACGTGGGATTCGCGGGCGAGAACACGAAAATGGAAGTAGTACCGCACTCGTGAGTGGTGACAACAATGAAAATCAGATCACGGTGTTACATGGCCCAGCTACCATCTCCATTACCCTTCGCGGAGTTGTATTTGCCTTATCCGTGAAATCGTTTTTCCAGACCAACACTAAACAGGCAGAAATTCTAGTGGAGAGCGTGGAAGAAGCCTGCGCCCTTACTGGGGAAAATACGGAGACAATCCTCGATTTATTTTGTGGTGTCGGGACCTTCGGCCTTTGCTTAGCGTCCAAAGCTCGCCATGTTTACGGTTGCGAAATTGTCCCCGAAGCCGTTGAAGACGCGAAACGAAACGCTGTGGCCAACAGAATAGAGAACGCAACCTTTTGGCAGGCCGATTTAGCACAGCTCTCCGAATCCATGCTATGTGCAGACAGCAAAAGTATGAGCAAGAGCATTGTTTTTGGTAAAGATGTGGTACGTCCAGATGTAGTGATTGTAGATCCTGCGCGCTCTGGGATGGATGTAACACTAGTGGCGATTCTCCGCAGTCTTGGCATCCCACGTATAGTGTATGTGTCATGCAACCCGGCCACACAGGCTAGAGACGTTGCATTATTGTGTGACGTGAGCGACAACACACAATCCGGAGATCTGCTTGCAAAGTACCGGCTCATTTCCTGCATTCCAGTTGACTTGTTTCCACACACACCTCACGTAGAAAATATCGTGGTGTTGGAAAGAGTGCCGAGCACGCGTGGTTACGAAGTATATTCTTGACTGAGAACGTCGACGGTTGATGAGAATGTCCTGTCAAAACCAAGGAGAAAGGTTAGTGAACTGCATGGCAGTTTGACACAAGGTTATCTGCGCACTTATGCAATAAAATCTGCAACATAATATGGCAATCAGGTACAGGTGAAGTTGTTGTAATTGAACGGACCTTGTTGAACAATTTTATTTTATAAATGGGAAGAACAAATTAGTGTATTTCCTCCTTCGTTCTCTCACTTTTGTTTTTTTCTCTTGTCCGAGAGACTGGTCCCCAAGGACCCCAATAACGAGCAGATAAAGTGGCTGCTCTTCCGAGCTGCAGCAAAGCCATTGAGCGCCATATAGTGTTAAGGTCATGCTGCGATCTAAATCCCTCCAGTCCTAGGGAAACCACAGCTGGTACTGCAGAAAACAACATTGCGAAGGCCAGGAAACCGAAGTCAGCTGCACCTTGAAACACGCCATCACCGACAAAGATAGCCGCGTTAAGCGGTTGAAGCACTGCAATAAGATACATCGGATACTCCACAGCATCGACAACATTTGTATCTGTAGTAAAAAATGAGGGCAGCAAAGGACCTGCTGCAAGGATGCTGATCCCAACAGAAGTGCCTGCAATCACTGCAAGTTGCAGTGTCCGATTTGCAGCTTCTCGCGCAGCCTTCACGTCTTCCATACCAAGTGTCACTGCTACAAGACTTTGAGCAGCAACAGCGAGGGCATCCAAAGCAAAGAGCGTCACCCACCAGACCTGTATGCAAATTTGATGCGAACCTGCGACGCCCATTTTAGCAGCTTCTGCAGTAGCACTCACCAGTACAATTTGCAGGAAGAGCGTTCGAACAAGCTGTGAAATAGAACCTGCAGCAAAAGGCTTCAACCAAGGAGCCGATCGGGAAACGAAACTTGATGTTGAATGAGGTCGATATGGGCGTTCGGCACTGAGATCAGGGATCAAAATAGAACCCAATTTGACACGGTCTGCAAAAAGCAATCCTTCTTCTTTTAGCAAAAAACAAAATACCACTGCGCTAACCCACTCTGCAGCAGTGGTTGCAGCAGCAGCTCCTGCGACCCCAAGAGGCGGTAAAGGGCCAACACCAAAAATCAAAATTGGATCGAGTACTAAATTTAGCATGTTGGCAGACAAACTCACGAGTAAAGGAGTGCGCGTATTCAACAATCCACGATATGCTCCAACAGCAACACTGCAAATGAGAACAGCGGGAGCGCTCAATGCCCTGATACGGAGATATGCTTCTGCATTGCCAATCATCGAATTCACATCCAGACCTTGGGGCAACAACTCCCCTTCAACAGTTGTCAAAATTTTTGCGGTGTTCACCGGGTCTTCAACGTCTGCGCCGGCCCATGAAAGGATAACGTCACTGCCTATTTCAAGGGAAAGGAGGACGAAGACTCCGAGAACCGTTGCCAGAACCATTGCACCAGCAACCGTTTCGGCGGCAGCTTCTCTGCCATACACTTTCTCCGACTTTAACTCTATCACTGGTCCTACTTCCTGTGGATACGGAATCGACCTTTCCCCAAAAGTGTCCCCTGTGCTTATTTGGCTAGCCACTAGCGGCCCTGTGACAACAGCAAGGAAGTTAAAGATTTTGAAGAAGAAGTTGAAAACTGTTGTTGAAATCGCAAGGCCACCCAAGGCAGCTTCAGCGCTGTTGCCATCGATGCGGCCGACGAATGCTGTATCGACCACCCCGAGAATAGGGTCAAGTAGTAAAGATGCCACCGCCGGCATCGCAAGGTTCCATATTCTTGAGTCCAGGCTCTTCGTCTCTTCATGCTTTTTACCTCTCCTATTTTGTATGTTGGCAAGGGTTTTCGGCTCATGTCGAGAGCATGCACGTAGACAGTACGCGTGTGCATATGCTCTACTTTTGTTCAGCACGCGGCAGGGCTGCAGAAAACGCGCGTGCATTCGACCAACCCAGAAGTCCGCTCTGGTTACTCGTAGCATATTTGTATTGCTGAACTTCAGGGCAGCTCTGCAGCAGGCATCAATCGAGATGACTGCGGCTCATGTCTCCATCAACCATGTTCGGATCGCACCCTCTCACCGATTGAATAAGAAAACTTCGGCCTGACAGTGGACAGCTGATACTGTAGATAGCTAGATACCTTCGAAGGTAGAATACTCGGGAAGAAATTAGCTGAAATGGAGCTGGAAAATTCACTGTTAGCGAAAAAAGGCAGTTTGCCCGCGGCGTTAAGTATTCCGGAAGTACTTCCGGAAGTACAACGCGTTACACGAGGGGAGGGCAATACGAACCCTAAATCCGGGGTATAACCTCGGTAACTAAATACTCATACAGTGGGAACCCGGGGTTCTTTTTTGGATAATAGATTTTATTGTACAGTACGAAAGTATAATATCCGTAGATCCATATGGCTACGTACGATAGATAGTACGAAAGTACCTTCGAAGGTACTTTCGTACTTTCGTACTAGCTACGTTGTGCGGAAGTACGTGTACACGTACGTTGTACGAAAGTACGAAGGTACTTTCGTACTTTCGAAAGTACTTTCGTACTTTCAAAGTACGAAAGTACGAAAGTACTTTCGTACGAAAGTACTTTCGTACTTTCGTACAATGTTCCGGAAATACATTTGTTGACAACTTATCTTGCATATTCCTTCGAAGGTACGGAAGTACAGTACGCGGTCGTGTCCACGAACAACACTGTTTATACAGTACAACGTTGTACAGGATAAGAACAAAACCCGTTGAGAGTTCGGCTTTTACCCTGAGCACGAAAGCCCAAAGACACAGACTTGACCACAATGAGCCGCGTCGCCTCGCCGTGTTCTCCGAGAATTCCAATCCGCTTGAAATTTAATACTCTCGTTCGCGCATCTTCCGCGAAATCTGATGCCTCCCTTGCACCACCTACGACGCGCAAACCTGCCAAGGTTCCGGAAGGTTGGTGTGGCCGTTCCCGACCATACTTCAGATTTACATTCCGTTCATAAACGATGTGATTTGATTTTAACCTGCATCCGGATCTCGTTCATCCAACCTGCAGGTACCCCTTTTATCCCTCCACAAGACCTCGCCTCTCGTCCTCGCCGCAACCGCCGAAGTAGCAACGTACGTGAGGCATTTGGTTTTTAACCAGCAACCGGATATCGTTCAACCAACTTGCAGGTACCCCTGTTATTCCTCCTCAAGACCTCGCCTCTCGCCCTCGCCGCAACCGGCGAAGTAGCACCGTGCGTGATGCATTTCGGGAGGTACGTGACAGAGTCATCGTCTAGAAAAAAAATCGTTATTCAACTTCATCGCTCACCAGTGTCGGGGTGAAAATGTTTTATTTCACTGAACTGAGTCAAGTTATCCCACCCCCTTGAAGAACAGACTATTTTGACCCCGTCAAACTTCATCTATCCAATCTTCGTCCACGACGGGGACGATGATATTCCAATCGGTTCGATGCCCGGGCAATCCCGCCTTGGCTGGAAGACAGGCATGATAAACAAGGTCCGCGAGGCTCGTGCAGCTGGGGTAAATCAAGTTGTGGTTTTTCCGAAAACACCAGATAACCTCAAAACCCCAACAGCTGAGGAGTGTTACAATCCAAATGGACTTGCCCAGCGCTCTATTTCTCTACTCAAAGATACGTTTCCTGATCTTGAAGTTTATACTGACGTTGCTTTGGATCCATACAACACCATGGGCCACGATGGCATGGTGCGCTCGGATGGTGTGATAATGAATGACGAGACCGTATACTATCTCTGCAAGCAAGCTGTTTCTCAAGCTCGAGCAGGTGCAGATGTTATATCTCCTTCTGATATGATGGATGGGCGGGTGGGTGCTATCAGAGAAGCACTTGACTCAGAAGGATTCACGAATGTCGCAATTATGTCATACACTGCGAAGTATGAAACAAATCTTCCTTATCTAATGCCTTTGAAAACTTTATGCTGCTTTTTTACTTACTCCCCTTCTTGTTCAGGTACAACTCTGCATACTATGGTCCTTTCCGGGATGCCCTCGCAAGTGCACCCCGCCCAGGTAACGAAGATTGGAAAATACCCTTGGACAAGGCAGAATACCAGATGGATCCAGCCAACTTCCGCGAGTGTCTCCGAGAAGCTGCACTTGATGAAGCCGAGGGTGCTGACATCTTAATGGTGAAGCCTGCTGGTGCTTATCTTGACATAATTCGTGCACTGAAAGATAGCACCACGCTACCCATCAGCGCGTACCAGGTCTCTGGAGAATACTCCATGCTCAAGGCGGCCGCAGCAGCTGGATATTTGAATGAAGAGGAAGCTGTGCTTGAAAGTCTTATCTCCATAAAGCGGGCAGGCGCTGATTTGACTCTTACCTATTATGCTGTGGATGCCGCAAAGTGGATCCAGGAGTTGTGAATCAACTTATGGTAAACTTAACAAACACATATGAAGGTATACATTATTGAGTGTACAGTGTACCATCGATATTGTTTGTCGTTGATAAACAAGAGCGACTGCGGAAGAGGTTAACCTGGATGTTGCAGGTGCAGAGCAGTAATCCTTGATAAGAAAGTATATCTCTAAATTTCTGTTGAACTCTGCACTAATCAATCAAATACACACGAACACGGTGCAAAAGTTCCGTTCAACTAAGTTTCTTACAAAATGCTCTACATCAACTTTTCATAGGCTCACTTTTATTTCTTGAGGAGCACGATGCATATTTCAAGTCAGTAGAAGAAACCAAATCATAGGGACCCCGCAAATGTTGATTTCTTAGAGGAAGCGTCCATTTCGTGAAGTGTGACAGAACAAGTGATGTCCGGGAAGTATATCCCCTACCAAGCACCTTGCCACCAACTTTCTTGCGGCGAGCTTCCTCATGATCGAGGATCCCGTTGGCAGTAGTGAGCACAATTACACCAAACTGCAGCATTTCGTTTTTAGATACTCATGCTCAGGGGAGTTTAATGTAATTGACGAGTTCAAAGAGGAATGTGTGATTTTGACTACACAGCAACGTACCAGTCGAGAAGGAAGGAGACGTCCAACCCAGTCTTCAACGTCCGTGTGAGAAAGATCATATCGAGGGCTACTCAAAAATAGTTAAGAAGAAAGTTTCCTTAAGAATTACGAAAAGAAAACCTGATAACGCCGCATTTATTGATGCGCCCATTAAGTTCCACCACAATCTTCCCGGATCTGTGATCATCGATGTATTCAAACTCGTTAATGTAACCTGAAGAAGAAGAGAACTCTTTTTCAAACCTCACTTGCAAATCAAAATGGACACTGAACTACAGGAATAGAGTTCGTCTATTACAGGAATAAAGTTTGTCTTTATCACGATACATAGCCTCACCATGCTTCTGCATGACTTGAAGAAATTTGATGACCACTTTCGAGACGGGCCGCACCAGTACTTGGCGCTTGCCTCGCTTCTCGGCGTTGTACATTGCCTGCAGGAAAGTTCAAGATCACCAAAACCCTAAATCGAACTTGTGAAAGAAAACACGCAGGTTATCCAACATCAGAAGTCGAATACAGGCGGGCAACGCACCTTTAACGTGTCGTTGAGTACACTTATACGGACCATCGCGAATTCACCGAGTCGCACAGGTCGAAGGGACGCGCCGGAGTCTGTGCCGCGTTCCGTTGTCGCCGCCTTTGAACAGGATGAAACTACAGTACATATGAGTACACGTACAGTATGATAAGTGTAAATCTCACGGAAGTACATGTACAGTTCGTGTACACGTACACGTACACGAACAGTAGGGCTACGTGAGAAGATGAAACATCTTCTCTCTGTGACTGACACACACATCAACTCCTGTCCCCACAATCGCGCACGGAAAGGCTAGTTTTCTGTTAGCACACACGTATAGCAATCGGCATGGTGAGATGCGATCAATTACCGCTTGTCTAAGTCCTTCAACGTCACATTCCTACAAAGTTTCCCCGACAAGTCCCGGTTCACGAAGTATTTCGCCGCTTTTCAGGTCAACGACACGACCGACGCCTCCCCCGTCGCGGTCGAAGAAAAGAAGGCATGGATGCCCAATCCTCGGGACGGTGAACATGTATTCGGGGTGGCACATATTTTCGCTTCTTTCAATGACACCTTTGTGGTGGGTTTTCTGTTGTATTTCCACAAGCCCTAAAGCGAATGAATGATCCCGTTCTCTTCTCGCAGCACGTCACCGACTTATCAGGAAAAGAGACTATCGTTCGCGTAACAGGTGTGTTCAACTCGCCCTATTTTATTTCTTAGAACAGCTCCACTGTACTTTTATGCCCGCACTCTTGCCCACGCTCTGTTTCCACTGCACCGCGGAAATACACTTACATATAATTGCACAAATACCAGGTGGCATGAAGGTAAAAGCAGACCGAGACGAGGCATCTCCATATGCTGCAATGCTTGCTGCTCAAGATGTTGCTGTCCGTTGCAAGGTGCGCTCGCAGTGTTGTGATTGTGAATGAATGTGTTTCGCGTTTTGTGGCGACGACTTCAGCACACTCAAAGCTGTGCATGAAAACATCTCATTTAGCTGTTTTTCTCAACAGGAGCTCGGGCTGACCGCTCTTCACATAAAGATGCGCGCAACTGGTGGGAACAAGACTAAGAGTCCCGGACCTGGTGGCCAGTCTGCCCTTCGCGCACTTTCTCGCTCTGGTCTCAAAATTGGCCGCATTGAAGACGTTACGCCTGTCCCCACAGACAGTACTCGAAAGAAAGGAGGTCGGCGGGGCAGGCGCTTGTAAAGTAGTCTTTTCTGTGAAGTATTTTAATTTCTACATACAAGATGTTTCTGCGACTATAAGTAATAATCGCATCTGCCGATTCGCAACAATCTATGCGTATTACGCAGTTGTCAATATCGAAAAACCCGAAAATGTGAAATGCTGTTGAGAAAGTTGGTTTAGCTTGCCCTCATTTTCAAGCCCCGCATTGAATACCAATGCCTATCCTAATGTTCATCGCCGCCAGCTCTGAAGCTAAATATTTGAATACGAAGGGGAGCTCCACCTTATCAATTTTAGTTCGTCTATTGCACACTCTGCAAGTGATCCCTTCAGACTCCCCATCACAGGAGGTGTGAAGAGTTTTCCCTGCTGAACAACCCAACGCACTACCTGAACCCATACCTGCCACACTGAGCTTCAGTGAGGGGGCAAGTATGCTTCCACAGTTGGAACAGACATGAGTAACGAATCGATCAGAACATGCATGCAAACGGTCGTGTATCAGGTAAGCAGCTCCGTGCGCGAGAAGTGCGTCGCGTTCCATTTCACCGAAGCGGATACCCCCACCAGATTTTCTTCCTTTAGTGGGCTGTTGTGTCAAAGAATTATTTGGTCCAACAGAGCGAACCTGGAACTTGTCGCTAACCATGTGGCGTAGCCTTTGGTAATAAACCAAACCAATGTAGATATCTACTCCGAAAGCTTCTCCCGTGAGCCCATTTACCATGGTCTCGCTTCCACAGTAGTCATATCCGTGTTTTCGGAGTGTCTCACCATACTCAGCAGCTGGAGGAGAATACGTTTTCTCTTTTTGGGCTGCTTTAAATGGGCTTGCGTTAATGCAAGCACCATCAAGGGCACCAGATTTGGATGCCATGCTCTCAACTAGCATACCAATTGTCATTCGAGAAGGAAATGCGTGAGGGTTAATGATGATATCAGGTCGGATGCCGGTTCTTTCGACATATGGAAGAGATTCTTCTGGCCAGAGAAAAGACAAGACACCTTTTTGGCCATGTCTTGAGCTAAATTTGTCCCCAATGATGGGGTTGCGATTATAGCGAAGGCTCAGTGCCATCTTTGTACTTCTTATACCACGAGACAGTGATGTCTGTATAACCGAGACCCTGTCAACGATAGCCTGGTCAGTGCCTTTTGCCTTGTGCACATGCGTTTGGCCAGTTATACGATCTACCACACTGGCAAGAGCACTGCCAGGTTCAATTATGGAGCCAACTGAAGGACTTCCGTCGATATTCAACGTGCCTTCTAGCGAATGGCTTCTCAAATCAAAATGACCGAATACTTTACCTGACCCAGTTACCAAAGACAACGTCTCTGTTTTGTATAGCGTTGCATGCGAGAAGCCACGTTCCATTGACCCTTTGCTCACGATCATAGCATCTTCCATATCGTATCCAGTGTACGCAAGTACGGCGATGACCGCGTTTGTCCCAAGAGGATATTCGTCGATTGAATATTCATCATAAGATTCTGTCACTGCTATTGGTCTTTGTGGACTTTGAAGCCGGTAAAGCTTTGTATCTGGGCGATAACAAAAAGCATGCAATGGGAGCCCCATAGTTTGTTTCGCCATTTGACACTGATACATGTTGCGTGGTGACTGATTGTAGTCAGACCAGGGCGTGCAGCTAGCAATGACTGATAACATGGCCTTTGCATTGGATTCTTCGTGTGTGAAGACAAGCTCTTCACTTCCACCCGAGCTTCCATCAGGACACTTTATTGACATGAAAGCCTGCTCCAGGGAGCTAATATTTTCGATGAAACCACTGGCTAGTTGTCTCACTGGACGCATCAATCGTGAAGATGACGTGAAAAGGTACAGGCCAGGAAAAGCCCCTCCGCTTCTGTTAACTAGAGTCGGTATATACACGACCTCAAGTGAGGGTGGAACCTTTGGAGGTTCGGAGACTTTCGCAGAGCGAAGTGTGGCAACAACCTTCGCACTGTCTGCTGCACGCATGAACCCAACCATCACGCCGTCGAGAGTGACAGGAATTAACACGTGAGGAGCGCTGGTGCTACGAAGTCGCCCTGTGGTAATCAACACGCCAACTGATGACAGAATCCTGAATATTGCAGCCATCTCTAGTCCACGATTCTGACCGTCACTTATGTGGACAAAACAAGAAGCTGTCAAATGGTTTAGCAATCCGCACGGGCTGCCGTCAGGGGTGTGTACAGGGCATAAAAAACCCCATGAATCTGGCAAAAGTTTGCGCACCGTAGTCGTACGTAGCTCTGCATAATAAGCACCGCGATGAATTGAGCGGAAATGAGAAAGATACCGCACGTAATTTAACTTGTCAGCAACTATAGTAAATCCAGATGTCTGGCTTAACCCTAAACCTGTCTTACTGACCAGATTTCCAGTCGCAAGGAAGTATTCAGCCATCCTACCCAAATCAATTCTTCCTATCGAACCTACTACAAGACTTAGGATCCGCTCCCTGTCATTCAAATCCATTGTTTGTGGCTGCCCTTCAAACTCCCGCAAAATTGTGTCCTTCACCTTTATCAGTGCTTCTGAAAGTTGCTCTCGCATAAACATCTGTAGAAGAATTCCTGGCAGTAAAACTTCATGGTGCATGAGAGAATCTGGATTGTCTTGTGAGCACTGTCCTGTCACGAGAGCGTAGAGCTTCTGAAGCATGAGAACGAGAAGGTTAAATTTATCTGAGCAAGTTGCTAGGTGAATGAAGACATGATCTCGAATGATTCTTTTACCAATGTCAATATTAGTCTCCCATGAGTCAGCATTGAGCCTTTCGCGAAAACAGATGCCAAGATATGATAGCGCCTGACTTCTGGTTTGAATTCCCAGTGTATGGATTTCCTCTAAAACCATGGCTACTCTCTCACTTGCAAACACATGTGCCCCTGGACCGGGAACCCCACTACAAACCACATCTTGCAATTCCTTGTCTGAAACTTCACAAAGAGCTATAAATACTAGTCCAAGGGGAAGAAAATACTCTTGTCGTCGGTGAATAAATGCAAGCCTTGCAGATCCGCCCGTAAGATAATGAAGACGAACAGTGCAGGAGTGTTCATCAGGTGAAACACAGCGGATTGCTGTTGCAAATGGAGTATACAGGTAACCACGAGATGTGAAAGCAGCGCGCTTCAAGCCCAACGAGCAAGGACATTCAAAAAAAAAATAAAAATAAAATGTTATTTCATTTATCAAAGAAATCCAACACACAGAGTCATGTATACGACTCTTGCCCAGCACCCAAGGTCCAAACAGTAAAAGTGCGTTTGAAACAAAAAGGAGAAATAATGTCCAACACTATTACAGTGAGAAAAACAATAGCGAAGGAAACATAGCAAAACAGTATAGACGATGAAATGATCGCGGGATTCGAGTTCTGCAATGTTCTACAAGTGCGCACTGTCCTACATTATATAGTGTCTGCGCTGTTGTATGAGAAGCCTGATCATGCGTTCGTTGCCATTTAGTATGAAGTAGCCACCGATTTCACGCCCCTCTTCACCTCGATTAATGAGCTCAGCACGAGATGCACTTGCTAGATGACAACGGGTCGAGCTGACCATAACTGGAAACTGACAGAGCTGTAGCTCGTGGTGGTACACCTCGCCAGCCTCACCCACGGACCAGCAAATATTTGCGGTCATCGGGGCTTTGTAGGTGCTTCCTGCTTCGCGACACTCGCGCGGAAAGACTCGAGGGTCGCGCGCGAGAGATAATCCATCACGCTCTCTCACCGGAGTCTTCATCGACACGCCGGAAAACCATAACCTGATACGTGAAGACTGGGCACTCGTGCCAGGGGCCTGAACGCTGACAGAGGCCATCCTTTTTATCACTTCTGCGAGCCCGTGCTCAACAAAATAGTTGAAAGAGGCCACATGGTTAGATACGATGCTTCTCAAAGCATCGCGTTCAGGGCTACCCCTGATGAAATCGTCTTGAGAGACATGCATGTGCCAGTGTCAACTTACACAGACAGAGTTTAAAGTAACGTGTCGACTGTTTTCTTTTATCCGTCAACAACAAATATTTCCGTTGGAAGTCCTGTCAACCTGTACGTGTACGTGTACGTGTACTGTACGTGTACACGTAACGTAGGGATAGATATTCTATCTTCGTACGAAAGTATCTATTCTATCTTCGTAGCTACGAAAGTACTTTCGTACCTTCGAAGGTACAAGCATTGTTGTACGAAAGGACGAAAATAGTGGCTATCAGCGAAAGGATATGAGCTTTTATACCTAGCTTTTATAGAGAGGATATTAAAAGGATGGCGTATGAGCAAATTGTCAGAGCGTAGTACGTTTTAAAAGGATGAACTACTGATGAGCTCATCCTTTTAAATGCCGCGCCGCGCGAGGACAGTCAGAGAGGCGCGCGCCGGGGCTGCGTCCGGAGCGTCAAAGCGAACATCGAATAGATCGCGTAATCTATCATTCCAGCGAGTTTTATACACCTGGGGCGCTGAATCAGGCTGTACCGGCGCACAGATCCGTCGTTTGCAAAACAGACTCGGCGTTACGAAACATTTGCCGTCTCCTGAGCTCGCGTACGCGACGTCGAAACTTCATGGAAACAGTTCCGAACGTAAAAAAACTTCGTGATTATATCGCGTGGACACATTAGAGCATATGTAAAATTCGCGCAGCGCAAAAAAAACGATCGCTTGCGTCGGCAGTTGAACTCCGCGGGTCGAGGCTGTAGCTGCGAAGAAAATTGCTCTTTTCCAAATCGACACGATCGCGCCAGTCTATGCTTTGCTCGTGCGATTCAGACACGAACGCGGTCGATCCGCGCGCCTCGAGGGTGATGTCATCTAACATGCCGTGCAGTTACAGAGCCAAAAACGGCGTCTGCGCGATGTCATAGCACACCGCGCGCTCATCCTTTTAATATCCTTTCTAAGCTCATATCCTTTCGCTGATAGCCACTAGCAAGCTACAGTACGTGTACAGTACATTGTTTCTGTACACGTACAATACTGTACTATGATGTGTACGAAATAAAGTACTTTCGAAAGTACTTTCGTACTTTCGTACAACATAGTATCATAAATAGTGTACACTACTGTGTTTATCTGATACAAAAAGAATAGTGTACTGTACGTGTACTGTACGTGTACGTGTAGTCTGCTCGCACTATCACATGTTTTGCCCGGATGGATAGAGCTGAGTCATTTTGTAATCAGATCTACACGTAGCGCTACAGTCGTACACGTACGTGTACAGTACGTGTAAAACACAGGAGAAAACGTTGTACGTGTACACGTACACGTAGTACAACTACTGTACACGTAGTGTGGTCTGTGAAGCTGTGAACGTTGATTTCTGGACACCTGTTCTTTCCCCTTGTTTTCACACTTTCGAGACTTCCTGTAGCGCATCATGAACACCCTTGTCGCACAACTAACTTCGAAGACGCCCTCATCGACGCGCGAATCGAGGTAAACAAATGATTGTCACCTGATAACGCAACGCTAGGCGGATTTCAGCTTCGCTCGTTTGTTTCGTTTTGCTTTTTCAAAGGATCACCTGACTGAAAGCCGTTTCGACGCTGCTCGCTACCGCAGGCGCAAATTAGGCGGTACCGTCTCTATAGTGGGCTCGGACTTGAGTGAAGAGGTAGTTTCCAACAATGTTCCCCCTGTAACCCCTGCGACGAAGTCAAAACTGCTGCGCGCGCCGCTTCGCGAGCGTACCAACTCACGGTTGAGCGAAGAAGCCGGCCTTGCGACTTTGGCACTCGAGGTGGACGAGAAGAGACCTTTCTATTCAGCGCCGCGAAAGACGTCGAAGACGGAACCTGACGATGATAAGTCAGCCGCGGTAACTGCTGCGCTCATGCTTGTGAAAGATGGCCTCGCAGCCCTCCGGACTGCAGGCACAGATCCTAAACAAAAGCTTTTGCAGCTTTTTGCAACCAGCGCTGAGTGCAGTGATGTGAAAGCTACAGTATCACTTTTCGTCATCAACCGTCTCGTAGACGCGCTCGACGCGCATGAAACGGTATCTCAGTCCATCCATGAACGTGTGCCGGATCGCATCGATGCCTCGGCGTTGGACGATTATGATAAATACTCGGTGGCAGCGGCACCCGGCTCAAGTTTCCTTAACCGTGTACCACATGGTTCAGCTGTCGATGTTCCCCCTCATACGATCACAAAAATACCAGACATCGTCGACGAGAACAACCTTAGCTATGGTCCCAGTAGATGCAAAACAGAACCCGGCGGCGGTGTGTGCGACACCTCACGGTGTCTAGCACAATTCTGTGGACCTTTTATTTTACCAGGAACAAAAGTTGAAGAGCAGAGCAAGCAAGTGTCGATTGCATCGTCAGAGGTCTTCGAGGTTCAAAGCGGTAAAACAGAGGTGTACAAGGATTTTGATAGCGAAGACAATCATTCGATGGCGGAGACAGAGATTGACCAAGATGAGTCAGTCACGGACACTGCCTCCGATGTCGGGACTGAATGTGGCAGCACTGAGAAGGCCCTGACCGCCGAGGAAGCAGCAGTTTCACTAGTTGGGTCGCCCTTCATATCTCCTGGCCCCGAGGTTGTGGATATATCTGATATAGATGCCGCGCGCACGGTTGATGGCGATTCGGATAATGGCAAAGAAATAGTCATGAGAGTGACGCGACCCCCGGCTATGTCAGCCGTGTCTACAGAGGAAGAGGAAGGCAATGCTCCCAGAAATCGCAGGAAACACCGACAAAGGCAAAGAGTCCGGATTGTGCTCAGTGACGATGATGGTGCTCCTAATTCACCAATTGATGCTAAAAGGATGCATATATCATCTGGGGCGGTCACGTCAAAGCAGATAACCTTACCGAGCGTATTGACAGCTGCAGTGGGGGATGCAAGTGGCAAGAAAAGAATGTTGCGGATCAAACCCACTACGCGAGCAACTATACGCAGCGCGAAAGAAGACGCGCACAGCGACAGTGATAATCTCACAGTTCCAACCGTAGAAGCAAGCCGTGAAGCCGTACATTCCGAGGTTGCTTGTGGAAATCCCATGTTCGCGCTGGAGAAAACGTCGAAAGTATCCACTGAGGACACAAGTGAACCACAGGGGTGTTCAGCTGGCCTACGCTGTCATGCCATGGTAAAAGATGTCATCACATCAGACCGCATGAAAGCGAGTATACGGCTTGGCGATAGCGACTCATGCATAACTGAAAGCGGCGACGAACCCGACGACATGGGCATCGTAACTTCGAATAGAACAGGTGTATTCACGGCTGCCGTTGATGAGAGGCTGACCAGCGAAAGTTGTGAACTTGTCACGGGGAGTGCAGATCCATATGGCATTGATAAACTTCGCACGCCGACCCCGCCGCCGCAGATAAAATATAGTTCTACCCCAGGCGGCTTCAATTCAACGACGCCCGAGTGTACTGGTGGTAAAAAAGAAGCTGGATTTGCCACTGTTCTGCCTCCAACGCACAGCAAGGCACTATCCGCAGCGTTTGCCAGTGCAGCTAAACCAGGAAAGCAGATAAATTTCGCACGGCACAAATCTGCTATCGCGCATGCCCTGTATGACGAGTTTAACGCCAATGCCTTCGATGGGAGACTGCCGCCTAGGCTTGAGATCACATGGAATGCAAAACTGCTGACAACTGCAGGGTTGACTCATTATAAGAAAATTACGCGGAGCAGTGGGATTTCGGAGTATCATGCGAGAATTGAGCTATCAACGAAGGTTCTAGATTCAGCAGAGAAATTGGAAGCAACTCTTTTACATGAGCTGTGTCATGTCGCAGCGTGGCTGGTAGATCACTGCGCGAAGCCTCCTCACGGCGCAGTTTTTAAACGCTGGGCCACAAAAGCGATGCGCGTGTACCCCGCGGTAATAGTGGACACTTGCCATAGTTATCAGATTCATCAGCCCTTCAAATACCGGTGCACCCAGTCTTGGTGCCAGCAAGAGTATGGGCGGCATTCAAAGTCCATAGACGTAGATGCCAAGGCATGTGGAGTGTGCAACGGCAGGCTAGAGTATATCGGCAAATTTAACTCTGACGGAACGCGAGTGGAAGAGAAGCCGCCGACAGCATTTAGCTTGTTTGTCAAAGAGCACTTTGGATCTGTTAGAGAACGTTTGCCTGCTGGGACACCGCACAAGCTGGTGATGAAGGAGCTGAGCATGCAGTGGAAGAGCGTGGGACGAACAGCAAAATCGATGAATAAGACACCGTTTAGTACGCTAGGGGAGGGAATGCGTGCGCTGAAACTTTGATGTGGGAGCAGCAGTCCGTCCAATGCAAACCTTGTTGGACCTTGACTGTTTCACATCTAATGTAGACCATAGTGATTTTTCACGCTAGCTACCAGAGGTTGCTAGCTACCTTCGCTACTAGCTACCCTGGGAGTGATAAATTTATCCTGGGCATGATATTCGAAGGTATGCAGCTATCTACTGTATGTATGAAGGTACTTCCATAAAACAAAGGGCGACACGTACATAGCTACATACTACATAGCTACCTTCGGAAGGTACATAGCAGGGGTTATAACTTTTAATAGTAAATAAATAATGAGTAAGAAAAAGTTTACTTAGTTTTTCGAAAGGCGAAGACTTTTGCGGGTCGAGCGAAATTAGACCGTCGATTGTGAGTTAAAACTGCGGTACCTTGAAATATTTATTTATTTACCTTTTTTTCCGGCAGTCGTGTATTTACTTAGTGTCGAAATTTTTGTAAGTTATCCCCTGGTACATACCTACTGCCGAATTAGTAGTGTACCTTCATAGTATGCGAAGTAAGGTATCATTCACAATTTTCGATCCCTGGAGTAGAAAACATCGTCTATTTCCTTGCAGGCCCTACGCGTAAGCCTACGAGAAGCTCTATCATTTTATGAAAAAGCATAGAAAAAAGTGACTGGAATTTTTTGACGTCTGCGATTTTTTTTGACTCTGCAACATCTTACCGGAGCATGAGTGTGCAACTGTGCATCCTGCATCGGCCGATGTGTACGTGGAAAGCGCTATACGTCCCAAAGGTATACCTTAGCCCATAACCTGGGACAAAAGAACAAAAAGCAAGATTACACTTCCGTACTGCCATACACGTGTACAACGTGTACATGTAACGTCATGTATGTAGTCGTGTACGAAGGTACTTTCGAAAGTACTTTCGTACTTTCGTACTTTCGTACTTTCGTAAGTACAACTACGTGTACACGTATTTTCGGAAATATGTATGAATACCCTCGGGTTATCTATTTCCGTAGGGCCTACGAAGGTACGTTGTACGTAAGTGCCTTCATAGATCGTGTACATTCATGTACTGTACGTGTAGCACTCGTGTAGCCCTACGTGTACGGAAGGAAGTCCGGAAGTGTTCGTGATGTACATCTAGGCCTACTACATACACGTGGTGTACGTGTACGTGTACGTGTACTTTGTAAAACGCGTTACTTCCGGAAGTACTTCCGGAAGTACTTCCGTACTTCCGGGAAGTACCTTCGTACTTCCGTACTTCCGGAAATACAAGATACTTCTTCGTTACGTATGTACTTCCGTACTTCCACTACGTGTATCATATGTAGGGCTGCGTGAGCTGCTGCGTGTACGTGTACGTGTACGTGTACGTGTACGTGTAACGTAACGTTGTATCCGATAATAAACCAGGGGATAAACGATAACCATTTAACTAAAATTTCGACACTTTATTAGAGTGTACATACATCTACCTTCGTACTACTGTAGTATGTAATAATATCTTCGAAGGTACTTTAGTACACATTAGATATTACATTTCTGCCGGAAAAACTACAATTTTAACTCAAAAATCGACGGTCTAATTTCGCTCGACCCGCAAAAGTCTTCGCCTTAGGCGAGTAGTTGTATGATACTGTAAATAAATAAATACGAAAGTACTTTATTTCGTACGAAAGTACACGTACTTTCGTACGAAGGTACTTACGAAAAACTACGATACTTATTATTGTATTAGTACGTACGTTTACAGTACAGTACAACTATTATTATTATGTACACTACGTGTACGTGTACACGTACAGTACATGAACTAAAACAAATATTTTACCTTCGTATTTTTATTTATTTTTCTTTATTGTACAGTACGTGTACAACGTACGTGTACAGTAGTGTGTCCTCCATAACCTCTGCTAACTGTAAACCCTGCAAAATGTACTGAATGAAGTACACGTACGGAAGTATGATACTTTCGGGAGTAGTTGTACTTCCGTACTTTCGTACTTCCGTACGAAGATAGAAATAGAATACTACGAAGGTACGAAAGTACAACGTAGTTGTATGACAACTTTAATACGAAGGTACTTATTCGTACGAAAGTACGAAAGTACGAAAGTACAACTACTTTCGAAAGTACTTTCATTCGTACTGTACACGTACAGTACGAATGAAGTACTTTCGTACGAAAGTACTTTCGTATTTTCGAAAGTACGAGGGTAAGATACTGTAGCCAGCCAACCACCTACCTGTACGTGTAGACCATTGTGCCCTTCAGCACCCTCGCTCACGCTCCTCTCAAAGCTCAGGCAGTGCAGTTTTTCGCACGACAAGACGATGCTTTCAGATGATTTCCTCGGGCATGCCGACGTATTTCTTAACCTAAGGTAATGCTGAATAATTTGATTCGTGATAGTGCACGAGCAGGCATGCTCTTCGCAGAGAGAAACACAATACCAGTCTCTCTTCTCGGCACTTTCTCGAGTCTTAAAGTTTTCAAATTATCAGGGAAAGCGAGCTCGACGTCGAAGAGCGCGAATTAGCGATGGCGCTGCGTATCGAGCAATTAGAGGCACGAGAAGCTGCATTTGAAGCTGAGGAGCCCATGCGCACCTTTGCACTTGACAAACGTGAACTCGCCTTAAAGCAGCGAGAGTTGGCTATTGAGCAAAAGATTGAGAACTTACTGCAGCGTGAAGGCGAGTTGCGATATTTAGAGTCAGTTTTAGCCAAAGAAGAGCTCGATATCGCAGAAAGGCGGTGGACGTTGAATGCAAGAAGAGACGAACCGGCTGGTGAAATGGCAAAGGTCTTCGAAGCTTTGACCATAGCGGGAAAGGAGAACATCGAGTCCTCTGAAGTGAGCGAGAACCTTTCACAAAGTGTTGCTGGTACTGTTTTTTTTGGGTCTGAAAGCGAGGAGGCTGCTTGGTTAAAAGTGCGTATGAAGGAAATGAAGAGGCGTCTGTTGAAATTGTCTACAACAGTCAAGATGGAAGGCAATTCAGATAGAGATGTTCTTGCACTAGCTGCGCATGCAGATGATCTCCGAGAACATTTACGAGTGATGCGGCTCAAGGCAGACTTGGCAGGGGTGATGAAGCTGGTGAATGAAGTTGCCACTGACGTTGCAAGTATGGAGGCTAAAGGTGTTGAGACTGAGGCCGAGGACAAGAAACAAGTCAGGGACAGTGACGTAACTGAGCTCAGCCTGGCTCTGCGTTTCAAGCAGTTGGAAGTCCGCGAGGCTGAGTTGAGGGCAAAGGAACAAGAATTGACACCTAAATGAAAAAGAATCAAACAAAATACCTTCAAAATGTCCCAAAAAACTGTTGGAATGGTGAAAATCAAAGTTTTCACTGGAAAGTCTTGCATCGTGAAAAAATCGTACTTGCTCCCTGACATGTGAGTACCCTGATTATATGAAGTGTATCTGATCTTACCATTCCGAAGTGACAAGTGGCAGCGAGAGAAGTCAACTCAGTAGCTGTCGTTTAGAAAAAGTCCGAAGTAGAAACGGAAAGACTACGAACTCGAATCTTGTCCTCAACGAAGTCTCTGTATTTGCCTGCTTCGCGCAGTAATTCCGTACAGCATGTTGGACAAGCCCATGTACTCTACAGAAAATCACTTCGTTCTGATTCTCTTGTGCGTTGAACTTCTTCAGATAAAAGGGGTTGTGCAACATCGCGTGACTTGTTCTTGAGATTTTCGGAACCGTCCACAATTCTGACGCTTTTTATCACATCGCCTGCCTTGATTTCGCGCAGCAACTCCTGCCCTTCGACAACGTAACCAAAAACAGCATACCGCCCATCTAAGATATTTGTACCAGACGGGGTGAGCTCAGATTCCTTCAGGAGAAAAAAGAATTGTGAGCTGGCTGAGTTTGGTTCAGCCTCGCGACGTGCCATTGCGAGGGTACCAAAAGCATTGAATGGCAAAACGGGCTCGTCTCTGTATCTGCCAACATCCTCGAAGGTGAATTCGTACACTGGAACGCCACTTTTATCCTTAGAGGCCATAATCTCGAGTGGAATCGTTCGCTCTTGCTTGGTAACTGGATCAACAAAGCCATCCAATCCTTTCCCAGCGGGCTTCCCTGACTGTATAACGAAGCCATCTGAGCGTTGAATGTCCATGCCGTCGTAAAATCCACGGTCAACAAGGTCAGCAAAGTTGCCTGCAGTTACAGGAGCGTTATAACCATCCAGGACAATTGTCATGACACCACTGTCCACATTGACGTTGTCCTTCACCTTAACCTCCAACTCGACAGTTGCGCGACCCTTTAGTAACGGACCGCGGTCATATGGAGCGGGTATCTGGAAAGGGAACTCGTTAACCATGTCCTCTTCGATACGGCTTACTAGAGACAGCGCACGCTGCTGTGCCAGCGGAACCTCCTGTTTATCTTTCTGTGCAACCACCACCTTGAAGTCCTCTAGCTGCTGCTGCAGTTCAGCAAGGGCTGCTTTGCCATCTTCCATCTTATCTGGAGCAACAGAGGCAAGAATTTTGATAGAATCGTTGTTTAGAACTTTCGAAGCACCAGCTAAAGATGCCTCGACACCTGTGAAACGCACCCCTGGCACGCGTAGGTCATCAGAAATGGACTCTAGTTTTCTTTGTACCTCGCGGATAGACTTATTCGTGATGGGTAGGGAATTCCGCAAAAGAGCACGCGCGTTCGTCACCGGGTTAGCCTCAAGACCAGCAATATCAAGGATGTGATGCGCATCTTGTACAGTCGCATCAGCTGAAGAGACAACTACGGCCGAAATAAGTAGAGTGAAGCCGATTTGACGAGCCGCAGAGGCGAAGACCTCGGCGGCATCACTCCGACTGCTTTCTCTTCTTTCGATAGAAGCTCTCGTCACATTTGCAACGTTAACGTGTCGACGGCGAATGGGTGTTGCATTGGCGCTCCGGAGGAATACGCCGGAACCTTTGGATAAACAACATATGACGGGGTGCATTCTTTCGCTCACTTTGCAGTGGGCAGGAAAAAGTGGAGGGAAGCTACTCGTAGGGCTACGTGTACACGTACGTGTACTTCGTGTTGTCCTCAAGAAAAATGGATCGAGAGAGGGCTACGTGACCCTCACGTACGCGTACGTGTACAGCTGTACACGTCCTGTAGGGCTACGTGTACAACTATTACCTTCGTATCTACGAAAGTATCTTCGAAGTAAGGTACTATTCGTACGAAAGTACTTTCGTACTTTCGTACTTTGTACGAAAGTACAACGTTGTACTTTCGTACGAAAGTATAGATAGTTAGATACGTTTTTCGAAAGTACTTTCGTACGAAAATAGAGTACTTTCGAAAGTACTGTACTGTACACGTACTGTACGTGTACATAGAATACTTTCGTACGAAAATAGAATTTACTTTCGAAAGTAATAAAACTTACTTTCGTACAGTAGGCCCTACGTGTACAGTAGGGCTAGTTGTACTTTCGTACTTTCGTACTTTCGAAAGTACTTTATTTCGTACAAAGTACAAAGTACAACTACTTCCGTACTGTACTTCCGTACGTGTATAAATACTTCCGGAAGTAAATACTTTCGAAAGTACTCTCGTACTTTCGAAAGTACTTCCGTGCAACGTTGTACACGTACATCCGTTACATGTACGTGTACAGCTGTACACGTACGTACACGTACAATAAACAACTTAGCCCTTGTACTTTACAATAAATTAATTTGGCGTTAATTACAATAAATTACAATAAATTACAATAAATTACAATAAATTAATTTGGCGTTAATTTGGTGACTTAGCGCATCTGGTATACCTTCGAGGGTACGAAAGTACGAAAGTACGAAAGTACCTTCGAAGGTACAGTACACGGTACAACTACGTGTACGGTGTACACGTACTGTACGTGTAGATAAACACATGCAAAAATTATTTAATGGTGTACTGTACGTGTACATACAGCTGTACACGTACAACGTGGGGCTAGTGGATATCAACGAGAGGATAGGAGCTTAGAGAGGATATTAAGAGGATGAGCGCGCGGTGTGCTATAACATCGCGCAGACGCCGTTTTTGGCTCTGTAACTGCACGGCATGTTAGATGACATCACCCTCGAGGCGCGCGGGTCGACCGCGTTCGTGTCTGAATCGCACGAGCAAAGCATAGACTGGCGCGATCGCGTCGATTTGTAAAAGAGCATTTTTCTTCGCAGCTACAGCCTCGACCCGCGGAGTTCGACTGCCGACGCAAGCGATCGTTTTTTTTGCGCTGCGCGAATTTTACATATGCTCTAATGTGTCCACGCGATATAATCACGAAGTTTTTTTACGTTCGGAACTGTTTCCATGAAGTTTCGACGTCGCGTACGCGAGCTCAGGAGACGGCAAATGTTTCGTAACGCCGAGTCTGTTTTGCAAACGACGGATCTGTGCGCCGGTACAGCCTGATTCAGCGCCCCAGGTGTATAAAACTCGCTGGAATGATAGATTACGCGATCTATTCGATGTTCGCTTTGACGCTCCGGCCTCAACCGCGGCGCGCGCCTCTCTGACTGTCCTCGCGCGGCGCGGCATTTAAGAGGATGAGCTCAGCAGTAGTTCATCCTCTTAAAACGTACTACGCTCTGACAATTTGCTCATACGCCATCCTCTTAATATCCTCTCTAAGCTCCTATCCTCTCGTTGACATAGCCACTAGACCTACACTCGTGTACACGTGTACTGTAGCTCTTTACTGTACAATAAAGTTGTTTAATACACGTACACGTACACGTGTACAGTACACTACACGTAGTACGAAAGTACTTTCGTATGTAAGAATACTGGAAAAATTTTACTTCGTACTGTACACGTACACGTACGTGTACTTCCGGAAGTACACTGTACAGTACACGTACGCGTACATGTACAACGTTACAGTACACGTACGCGTACACGTACACGTACAGCACACGTAAAACAACAATCTTCATTCGTACGAAAGTACGAAAGTACCTTCAAGATACAACTAACATTGTACTTTCGTACAACGTACTTTCGTACTTTCGTACAACGTACAACGTACTTTCGAAAGTACGTAGCTACGTACCTTCGTAGCTCGTTAGACTATGTACGGAAATGTTGTAGGGCTGTAGCGCTGTACCTTCGAAGATACAGTATCCTTCGTTCGTACGAAAGTAACAACTTACCTTCGTACTTTCGAAAATAGAATACTTCCGGAAGTACGAAAGTACCTCCGTACTTCCGTACGTGTACAACTAGTTCGTACCTTGAAGGTACCTTCGTACGAAAGTACTTCCGCACCTTCGTACTGAATGAAGAACCATGACATATGATAGTACACGTACACGTACAGTGCGTGTACTTGCTTGTACAGTGTATCTGATTATAAAAAGACTGAGCTCTAAAAGAGTACAACGTTGTAGTTGTACAACGTACTTGCTTGTACGTGTACGTGTTATGTACGAAAGTACGAAAGTACTTTCGAAAGTACGAAAGTACTTTAGTACCTTCGAAGGTATCTGATTGTGTATGGGTACTGTAGTACACTATGATAGCTAGAGTTCACAGCTGAACTTGCTGCCTTCTGTTGTTGTTGCCGTGTTTCATCTCTCCAACGCGCACACACTCTGTGCTGTGTACGTATCTGACCTGCTCGGACAACAACTCACCGAAGAGGTTTACGCGCCGTCATAGGTTCTGAGGAGAAACCCGAACGAAGTGGAGGAGCGCATCAGCCCTGGCTTATCGGATGGGCTGTAGCCAAAGCAAAGCGCCAGCGAAGACAGCGACCAACGGAGGGGACACGTCCAGGGGCAACGGTCACACCTGGATCGCATCTTACGAGGTGCTTCCTAGGGCCCGCCGCGCGGGTCCGCCGCGAGCTGATATCACCGCGCGTCTCGAGGGCCATCCTCCTGTCAGTCGCAACGACGACGTCACTGAAGTCGCCGTCGTCCACAGGGAAATGGTTTCAAAGAATGACAGCAAATTGTTCAGGGAGCATTGCACTGTTCCAGATGCCACTGTTACCGGCTCTCGCAAATCGTCACGATCAAATGTAGAGAGTGATACTGACGGCATCAATAACCAGCGGTTTTCTAGCGTGGTTGGAGAGGGCCAACGCGTCTCGAATCCAAAGCAGAGTGCGTGTGGCCTTCGTGAGCAGTCTAATTCTTGCTCAACAGAGTCATTTACCTATGACACTGGAGAAATACATGTGTGTGCTAGTTCCGGCTGTTCAGTAGTTTGGAGTTGCCCTGCCCCCTTTGGCGCTTCCTCGCAGACGCGTGTCTGCTCACCCTGGTTTAAGCTGCCTGCAAGAATATTGAACTTGACAACACACATAGAATGGCGGCTTTTCTGGGAAATGCACGACAGTGAAGATGATACACGCTCGTTGTATCTCGAATGTCGGCAAGCTGATCAGGTTTTCCAGGGTCAGCAAGGTGGTGTCACTGTTGTTGATTTCACCACTGTTAACGATGTCAGCTCAGCAGCAACAGAATTGCTATCGAGAGAAGACGGAGAAATACATGGAAGCCTGCAACAGCAATGGGAAGTTGACACTTGCTTCAGTTTTGCACTCCTTCAGCCTGCTAACAAGAAGGCGGCAACTAACCGCCATTTTAGACACTGGCGGCAAACCCAGCAAGATATGGAACGAGAGCGGCATGTACATCAACACCACGAGACGAACAATATCTATGCAACACCAAATAATATCAGCAGCAATATTGGAAACGAGAAAGTATTTAACAAAACGTTTGGTGAGTGCTGCTGCGGTAACGATTGCCTGATACTTGATGCAATCCAATTCTCCCAACGTTACATGGACATGGCAATGGTGCATCGATTCACGAACATTTGCTCCGATAACCCTTGTGGGTTTCAATGGGGCGCCCACGACTACCTCACACTTGACGATGTGTACAGAATTAGCGGTATCACAAAGAGTGAGGGTCGGTGTCATCATGAAAACAAGAAGGAAACATGCGAGGACCTGTTTATCGAGTTGCGGTTTCATGGGGTTCAAGTCACCACACGTGAAGCTAGTAGTTCCGGTGGAGCTGAGAGCTCAGTTCCCGCATTTCATCCGCAGGCCTGCCAGGGCCGTGTCGCGTGCAAAGTAGGACCGAGTGAGCAAACTATTTTGCGAGATGTGTCAACCACTTCAATGAGGAATCTACCACTGAGTTCCTTCCAACGTGCGCTGCCGCTGACAAGGTGCTTGCCACTTATGATGACACGTGTACCATTCTCACCGAACGGTAATGACACACTTGAGTCTCTTCTTGGCACAAGTGGCTCAAGTGTCCAGCTTCTCAGCCTGTCACCTTTACTCCTTGTCTTTGACCATTTTCTCTCAGCAGTCGAGTGCGATGATCTTGTGGCCATCGCTGCGCCAGATCTTCGTCGTTCACGCGTTACTGATGGCAAACTATCAGAAGGTCGCACCAGTAGCAGCACATTTCTAACAGGTTGCAAGCAAGAGGAGCCCCTTGTGCGCGCAATTGAGCAGCGGTTGCTGCGGGCCGTGCAGTCGGCAACTTTAATCGCTGCGCAGCCTAATGTATATGACTCTAATGAGCGGCACGGCCAACCTTACAGAGGATCTACATCTCGTTTTAGTCAGAGACCCAATTTACTACAGGGCGCAGAACCTATGCAAGTTGTGAGGTACACAGAGGGACAGATGTACACTGCACACTACGACAACAAACAGGGTTGTTTGCGTCGGACAGCAACATTCATGATGTATCTAACTGATGTACACAGTGGCGGAGCCACACACTTTCCGAGGGCAGTGCCAGTGTCGATGCGAGACGGGTGTGGGGACGCAGCTGGTATAAGAATATGGCCGAAACGAGGCCGTGCGTTGGTGTTTTGGAGCGTCTCGGGTGGTATCGAAGATGTGAGGAGTCTGCACGAGGCTGAGCCTGTTATTGAAGGAGAAAAATGGATAGCCACCAAGTGGCTGCGGGAGGACGAAGATTTGACGTAGCTTGCTGAGGGGTTGGCAGAGAGGAGGGTAAACGGCATTCTGCGTTGTGCTGCGATAACATACAGGACCAGACCGAGAGAATTCTTTTTTCTATGAGAGCACAAATGCTTGCGAGGTGACCTCTCACGAACTTTCCAGAACATGAAAACACCAGACGCTCCCCCGTGCAGAAATTATATTGTATTTATCGATGAGATCTCGTGCCTCGCTGAGAAACCATTAATCCTTGATTTACTTCTCCTTCTTCATCTTCTTCTCCTTCTTTGCTTTTTTCAGTGAAGGCTTGTCAGAGTCGTGCTCGGCCTTCTCCTGATGTTTCACATCTGCTTCTGGGTTGTATGCCTTTGGTGCAGTGAGTAACGAAGGAACATCTGTGGAACGATATTTATTGTGCTTAGACAGAGATTCCTTGCCCCTCGCGACGCCTGACGCTGTTACAAGCACCGACCCCTCGAGCTGCCGCAAGCGAGCCTCCACCTTTGAGCGGCTGTCGATCCCGATCGTAGCCTCACTCGATTCCCCAAGTGCGTCAACCCTGATGGATAAAGCACATTTTGCCGCCAGAACCCGTGAGATCTTCCCCTTGAATTTTGGTGCCGTCTGCCCAATAAGGCTAGCGTGATAAATTAAACCATATTTGGGAGTTTCGTGCTTTGTTTTCAAGGCTCGAAACAGGGCCTTTTCCGCACCAAGAATCTGTACTGTGGAAGCCGGGTGCTTTGCGAGATTGATCAATGATCCCGCATGTGAAATTAAGCGAGCACCTACAAGCTCGCCGACAAGGACAGTTAGATTTGGTGCAATAGCAGTCATTCTCGACTTCAGATAGTCATAAAGTTGCGTTCTGTACTCGCAAAGTGACACAACCTGTTCAGCGAGCTGTTTGATGTTGTTTAGGTCATCCTCACTGATCTCGGTGCCCATGGAAATCATAGCGGCACTTTTTAGATCTTCTTCTACATCCTCATCAAGAACGACTGAGAAGTCGTGCTCGGCTGCTGTGGATCGATCTCCCATGTGTATTACTGTTTTGGCGTACTGCACATTGTCCACGATAACTTTTGTCATCTCGGGGAAGTGCCAACCGTACCATTCGCGAACACGCATAGCATAGGTGTTGAGTTCCTTGTCGAGCTCGTCTAAAAGTCCGATCGCCTGGACGACCATGGTATCCACCTTGTCAGGAGAAAACTTAAGTTTGTATCGTGAAAGGCTGTGGGACAGACCAAGTGACATTGGAGCCACATCGATATCATCGAGTCCACCGATGAGATCGTTCAATTGGTGTCGGACTCCGCGCATGAGTTCCATCACATTAGCACTGTAGATGCATGCAATGCCTAACTTTTCTTTAATATGGCCACCAAGCTTGGCATCAGCAACGGCCAGAATTTCACCCTCAGCATTCTTCTTCAAAAACTTCTTCAGGTCTTTCCCGAGTTTGCTATCAACTAAGGACGCCGCTGCAGCGAGTGCCTCGGCAGTGTTGTCGAATTTGGAGAATGCTTTTAGCGATACCAAGTTCTTTGCTCCTTCAGTGGTGTTGAGTGCATTTTCGATTGCCTGTGCACACACAAAGTTTCCAACTCGTCAGGATGCGGGGGAACTAGAGCTTTATTTGCTCTCGACAAATTTTCAAGGGGCACGAGTTGCCAAAGCAAGCGCAGACACGAAGGATCGATGAGCGCAAGAAGTCCCGATTATAATATTCGATCGCAGGTTTTCTTTCACATCTGCTGCCGCCAAAGAAGGAGCATTTTTTACATGAAATCGAGGTTCGGGAGGGGAACGAGCGGGCACTCGCACCTCTGCGTCATCAATATTTCTTTCGTCTTTAATTTTGAACAATGAATACCCAGCAGGAGTCTCGAATAAAAGAAGCATCTGCCTTGAAGACTATCGCAGCCTCTCGCAATAAACTCTTTCCAGATGAAACGCCGCCAAAACTTCGTGAATTTTATGGTTGGCAAATAAATATTATCGGCAAGCGAGGGAGAACTTTCTACGCGAGGCGTCAGTTACCGCCTATTTAATCCGATTAAGATCGTCGACCGTGGATTTCAAGGTTTTGACCTCCTTCGCAGATTCGGCAAGGTGACTTATTTTACTGTTTATGGCGGCGTTCGCCACAATTAGTTACGCTTTTTCTTTATTTATTCACATTTCTTTTCAGTCTACGTACGAAGGTACGAAAGTACCTTCGTACCTTCGTACACGTACACGTACGAGTACACTGTACACGTACAGCTGCACGTGTACGTGTATCCATGCACTTGCACGAAGATAGACTTTATTCCAGCTAGCTAGCTATGATAGGAGGGCTATGCTATTATTAATACACGTACACGTGTACCTTTATCTTCTCCTCGAAGGTACGGAAGTACTGAAGTGTCCGGAAGTACTTTCGAAAGTAGGCCCTACAACGTTGTACTGTAGCCCTACAAGCTAAGTTGCCTTCGAAGGTACTTTCGTACGAAAGTACGAAAGTACTTCCGTACTTTCGAAAGTACGAAAGTACTTTCGTACAACGAACGTACTGTAGTTGTACAGTACGTGTATGACTTCCGGAAGTAGGGCCTAATAGAAAGTACGAAGGTACCTTCGTAGAACTTCTCGGAAGTACGGAAGTACGTTGTACTGTACACGTACGTGTACTGTACTTTCGTACCTTCCGAAGGTACCTTCGAAGGTACGTACGCATATGTCGAAACACCGCGACGGTGTGCCTGACCCATAAGTCGAAAGATTGACTGGGCGATTTGTGTTCACGCTAAATTACGGCTGAAAGGGTGTGGGCCAGTGTTCAGTCAACCCACACTTCATCCAGAGTCTCCGGACGCACTCACGTCGCCAAGGTACGTTCGACAACCCTAGCATCCCTTTACACCGCGCAACTACTTGATCACACTGTCATTCGTGTCAATACGCGCGAGTTGCGTGCATTTCATGGGTGCCGTTCCTCGCGAAAAGATTTCTCTCCGCGATTCTTTGCCCCACTGACAGTTTACCTCCCTCGCTCTCGCGCCCAGGGTCGACCAACACCCTCTAGACGCGCCGACGTCGTTGATAAACAGCCCTAGTCAGCATGCTAATTCCCAAGAAGAACCGCAAGGAGGTTTACAAGTACCTCTTCCGCGGTGCGTCGTCGTCTACGCGTCGTAAAAAGTGAAAAAGCCGCCGATCCCGCCAGCGACGTTGAACTCTCACCTAGCGTTCCCGCGGCATTTTCTTCAACAGAGGGCGTCATATACGCGAAGAAGGACTTTAATCTCCCATCTCACCCTGAGATCAAGGACGTCCCTAACCTCCAGGTGCGTGCACGCACCTCTTGTTGTTGAACGTAATTCAAACCCTAAAACCAACGTTCTAGTTGATCACCGCTGGTTCCTTACACGACCACTACAGGTTATAAAGCTTATGCAATCATTCACATCAAAGGAGCTCGTCAAGCAGATCTTTTCGTGGAGGTACTTCTATTGGTATCTCACGAATGAAGGGATCGAATACCTCCGTGAGTATCTCAACCTGAGCGCAGATGTAGTCCCTAACACTCTGAAGAAGTCCACACGTCCACCGACGAGACCGATGGCGGATGAACGCGCCCCTAGGCGTGATGCCCCCCCAGGCCGCGGTGGTGGTGGTCGCGAAGGGTACCGAGCCGAGCGCCCGGGCGGATTTGGCCGAGGAGGTGGTGACAAGCCGCAGTATGCTTGAGGGCACTTAGGAAAGTTGGGCGAGTCAGGAGTGTCAGTACTGCTTTTTTCACGGTCTTAAGCTCAATACTGAAAATTCACACACATCACATGGCAGACACGTCAACATCTTCGAAATCCTTCTCAAAGAACCACGTTTTCAAGGCTTTCGCCATAATTTCTACACCTCCGTGTACCTCGGATTCAAAGTTGAGCACCATGACTGGGTCGTGAAGGCTTTGGCGTAGTAGAAACCATCCGAATGCCCCGGTCCCTTCGTCCACGCGCACTCGCAGTCCCTCGTAGTTAATATCCAGGGGAGAGTATCCCTCAAATTTCCCAGCTTTCACGTCCTTTTTCAAGTTGTCGATGACCGCCAGGCCCACTGCCTTGAAGTCCGCAGCTTTGATCTTCAGGCGAACCTCTCTCTCTTCTAGTGGCTCCTGGAGTTCACTTAACAGGTCAGATATGCCACCCTCACCAGCAGCGCGCATTTTCACCGCTTGGATTATGATCTTCACCGCGATATAGGCGCCATCGTCCAGGTTATGATTTTCTTTCATCGCGCCGTGGCCGCTTGTTTCGATCATGAGGTGCGTCTCCACCCCGTCCTCATTCAGCTCTTTGCCTTTGTTGATCACGTTTTTGTATCCACGCATGTAACGCAAATGATTCCCCCCCTTGCTTTCGATGAACGACGCAAGGCCATCAGACGTCACTGAGTCAGTCACTATCGTACTTCCTGGGTGCTCTTCCAAAACGATCGCAGACAACAGCGCAATAAGCTTATTCCGATTGATCGAGTCTCCCCCCTTGCCAATAACTGCACTTCGATCAACGTCCGTGTCGAATATAATCCCAAGGTCTGCATCCGTGTTCACCGTAACATCGCGGGCGAAACTCATCGCATAAGGATCCTCTGGATTCGGGGCATGGTTCGGAAAGCTACCGTCCGGGTTCAAGAAGACGCTTCCAGATATGTCCGCGCCTAAAGGTTCCAACACGTGCGTTGCAAAGAAACCGCCAGAACCGTTCCCGGCGTCAACGACGATCTTCATAGCTTCGAGTGGCTTATCACCTGCGCCCACGCCCTCGATGATGAGTTCTCGTAGCATCTTTGAATAGTGCGTGAGCAGATACTCAGAGCAAACGACGCCGCTAATTGCCACGTTACCATCGACATCGGGAACAGAAACCGGGTGCCCGCCTGGGGTTTCCTTGCACCGCTTCGCCGCCGCGGTACAAATTTGACTGATGTCCTCCGAGTCCAACCCGCCTTGCTTCGTGAAAAATTTCATTCCGTTACGATTGAATGGCAAGTGCGACGCGGTGAGCATAACTCCAGCGTCGCAATTTGTCTCTTTTGTTATCGTAGTCATAAAACACGCCGGCGTTGTGGACAAACCGACATCAATCCCGTTTTTCAAGCCTTCAGCGACGAATCCACTGAATAAAGCGCTCACGAGCGCGGGGCCGGACAGCCTTGGATCTCTTCCGACCGCGATCTTCAGCTCTGGAATCTGTTTGTTAACTTTTTTCGCGAGCCAGTGGACAAACGCGGTGCCGATTAAGAAAGCTGCCTCTTCGTTGAGAGCCACGGGCTCGCCTTGTACGCCGTCAGTCGCCACGCCGCGGACATCACTCCCGTTTTGAAGAGCGAGGATGACTTCAGGTGTCGTCACTGTCGTCGTTGTAAGCATCCCACTGGATGCAGCCACGTTAGTCGCGGGACGGGACGTCGCGTGGTTACGGACAGAAGGTGCGACAGCAGCGACGATGCACGAGGGAGGGCTACGCTTCACACCCGAACGAAATCCGCCAACAGGGGCGACAGTGACAGAACGTGCGATGGCGTGCATCGGAACCGACGACGATAACGCGCGGCAGACTTGACAACGAACGTGCACTTCAACGTTCTGTTTATCTTTGAAGGATTATCAAATTTACTCGGGCTACGTGTGTACGAAGGTACCTTCGTACTGCAGTGTACAGGGGCCTGTACACGTAGGACTACACGTGTACGTTGTCGGTAGGGCCCTACGTTGTACACGTACGTGTACGTCAACACGTCAACAATAAGTTGAATAATCTTGCTTTACATTACAGTAGAACGTACACGTACGTGTGCGCTTATTATTGTAGTGTTAAATAGTTTAAAGTGGCGTTAAAAGCCCCACACACTCGGGGGTCAATTTACACTCTGTAATACGAAGGTATGATTTTACACCAGTGTGAATAAAGGTACAGTACACGTACAGTGTACAGTTTCGGGTACAAATTTGTACCGAAGGTATTCGTGTACAATAGTCAAAGGGATACAGCTACCTTCGTACATACCATAGCCATATGAAAATAAAAAGTTGTACTTTCTGAACCGTCAACTCACGCTAATCGCGGGCTTAAAAAGGATGTACAGTACGTGTCCAACAACAAACTTAGCTAGCTTGTATAATTTACCTTCGAAGGTACTTCCGGAAGTAGTTGGTTTTACGTCCGGAAATAGCCTAGCTACGTAGCTAGCTAGCCACTACGCCTCGCTAGACTATTTATCGTCCTACCAGCGAAGGTACCTTCGATGGTAGCCTGCTAGCCACTAGTCAGTACGAAAGTCTATAGTCCTATACTGTAGATTCCAAATAGGGCTACATAGTCTATCTTCGATTAGCCTAATCAGGGCCATATAATCTATCTTCGAAGATAGAAACAGGGATAATATAGACGTTATAGCCCGAGATGTAGTTTCGAAAGTGATCTCAAATACTTCCTTCCGTACAACGTGCACCTTATACATCTAGCTAACATATTAAACTTCTAATGTATTAACATTCCGAAAGTACAATCGTATAAAACCGTTACGAGTTCTTCAGAAGTACTTCCGGAAGTACGTTGTAGCGCCAGCACTGTTCTACATAAATAAGAACCTTCGTATCATACAACGTTACACGTACTGTACACGACTACACGTGTACACGTTCTGTACACGACTACATGTGTGGCCCAAGTTCTGATAGCGAGTTGCCTTCATGTCAGTCCCGGCTTAATACCACTAAGAAACACAGTATTCCGATGACACTGTACTTTAATATAGGGAAGTCGTTCATTATTATCGTAATCCGGCCGATGCATGGTATGAATGCAGCCACGCCACCTACAATATTATCTGTGGACAGTGTTGGCTGCCCAGCAGCATACAGCACAGTATCGTCCCCAAAGTTGTTGTCACCCTTCGTGAGATAATTTGTATTATTTAGCGTTTTTCCGCTGTATGAGCTTATCACCCGATGGACGATCGGTATTTTTCGACCTTCGATGTTAAAAACGATTACCTCCCCGACTGAGATACTCCTCTTTGAATGATTTAGAAACAGTATATCGCCCCGAAAGAAAGCTGGCTCCATCGAGCCGCTCAGGACAACGACCATGGGAGACTCACTATTAGTGAGATACACTAGTGACCTCCAAATGACAAGAGCAGAAGTAATTACAAGCCCAAGACCTAAAATTTGAAGTACGAGCTGGCGCCTGTTCAGCGAACAAAGCTCTGAGATCATGTCATGCGTCAATTTCACTAAGAAAGCGAGGCTCGTGATGAAGAAATATTGGCGACGCACATGTACGTGTACGTGTACAGCTGTACGTGTACACGTAATGCGGTCCCGTGCGTAGTACGGAAGTACCTTCATAGTAGATAAGTTGTTTATCATATCATACTTCCGGAAGCACGAAGGTAACAACTTATCAACTTATTATCTCCGTGACTGCTCTGTGTACACGTACATGTATGAATGACATACAGTATTAGATTAATAAACAACTTATGTTGTTTATGAGTATCTATCTAAAGTAAGTACGAAAGTACTTCCGGAAGTAGGGCCTACAGTACAGTACAGTATGTTTTTCACGCGTAAAAAATGGTTGTTTGCTCTCTACAACGTACGTCTAGCTATCGTAGACTTCCGTATGTATTTCTTCTCTATTCATAAATAGCTACGAAAGTACTTCCGGAAGTACTACGAAAGTACTTTCGAAAGTACGAAAGTACTTCCGTATGTATGATATTTCTTCTCTAGCTAGCTAGCTAGCTAGCTCGACTACGTGCGTGTACGTGTACAACTATTCATTTATTTTACAATATCATATGTCAACTTACCTTCGAAGGTACTGTACAGTACTTTCGTACGAAAGTACGAAAGTATTTTTTATTACATGTAGCCCTACCAGTCCTACGAAGGTACAGCGTTGTACTGTACGTGTACTGTACCTACCTTCGTACGAAAGTACAACTAACGAAAGTACTTTCGTACATTTTATAAATGTATTAAAAGTTTTCCCCTAAACACTCCCTTCCGGTCCCTTTACGTTGTACTTGTACACGTACGTGTACTGAGACAAAACGTCCACATAAATATCTATTGGTACACGAACACTACGTGTACGTGTACAGTATGGAAGTACGAAAGTACGAAGGTACAGTACTTCCGGAAGTACTTCCTGGAAGTACGATTGTACTTTCGTACGAAAGTACGAAAGTACAACGTTGTACTTTCGTACGAAAGTACTTTCGTACTTTCGAAAGTACTTTCGTACTTCGGAAGACACAAAGGGCTAGAATACCTTCGAAGGAAGTTGGCCGCCAGGTACAGAGAGTTCGTCGGTTGTAGGGCTCAGCGTCGATTTCTTGTCTATTTATGGACCAGCCCGTTTGTTTTAGGAGATATGCATAATCTTGACGCTGGCCGTCTGCTTTCTGCAATGAACGACGCGCTCGTTCATCTCAGGTCTGTTTTGTACATCACATTGTTGAAGCAACAAAGCAGAGTTGGAGACACGCTTCCCCACCCTTCTGACCTCTTTTTATCTATTTTTTCATTCTGCTTTACAGGAACGCGAAGAATTTGCCCACTTACTTATCGAATGGAACACAACCTCTCTTTCAAGTGAACGAGCCGCACGACAAACGACTGTTATTTCCTTTACACGAATTGGTGCTTAGCTTTATCGAAATCAAAAGCAGCATTGAGCGTCGACTTCAGATCACAACAGAAGAAGATGCTGCTGATACGCTTGCCTTCTGTACTCGAGTGGACAGCGAGAAAAGAGTGGAAAATATACTTTTGGCCTTGAAGAACCAGTTCAAAGTTGAAAGCAGTGAGCGCCACAGGCAGCTCGCTCAGGGTCTGGAAGTCAAGACAGGAGTTGTTGACGAGCTTGAAGTCATGTTTCAAGACAGTATTTATCGAAGAAATAATTTTGAAGATGCCGCGAGTTGTACTGGAGTCACAAAAGCTGCACTTTATCACGAGGGCGCGATATTATTGTCCAGGCAGCTTGAACACCTCAGGTTGGAGCTTTATCATTTCAGAAAAGAACACGCGGAGAAAGAGGCTGCCCTCATCAAGAAGGCGAGCAATGATGAAAAAAAACAAAGCGAACACCTATATCTCTATGATGCGGATCTAGCAAGCAAGGATTCGCTCCTCGTCAATGAGAAACTGAGCTATGATGCAGCTGCAAGCGAACTGAAAAAGAATGTATTCTATTTGCAAAAATCATGACGTGAAACCAAAGCTGACTTATTTCGTGGCCTTTACGTTGTTGAAAGTATCCAGATTTTAGCGACGTTGGTTAGAGCTGATGATATATGTAGCTTTCTGATTTATCGACCACCTACTCTTATTTATTTCGTCCCTTGTGTTATTCTACGTTTCCAGTCAACGTACATTTTTATACTTGTAGACCTTGTACCTTTCTCTGAGTACTATGTAGCCTTGGTGGCCAGGTTAGGTCATGCACAACTCGAGAGTGATGTTGCACCGCATCCACATCCTGAAGTTGCATACTTAATTGCTGACGTCTACGATTTGTTAGTATGCCTGAGTTCATAAACCCTTTCGAATACCCGAAGTGCTGCAAAATCTTCGCGAATGAAGCACAGTACATGAGTACATTTTCTCTTACATTTTCTCTCAGCTTTCTATGTAAGGCAGCGTCATCCATGATCTAATCTGTGGATGTGATGATATGAGCCAAGTATAAGAACAATTTCAACTGCGGAATCTATGCTCACTGTACACGGCTACACCCCAGTACTATGAATGATTCCAGAAAGGCTGCAAATTAAGGCACACGCGGTGTTTCGCACGCCTCATATTTATTTTTGAACCTATTTGGATACAAAAAACACATATTTGGTCTGATGAAATGACATTCAAACTTTTGTCACAGCTCTTGAGTTTTTTTTCAAAATATACGATCTTGTTGAGAAAACGATTCCACAACTCAAAACTATCGGTCACCATTCGCTCAGCGTTGTAAAGTCTGAATTTCTAAGGTCAAGTAGCTTGCTTCCAGGCGTGTGCTCAAGACCTATTCCTCTGATAAGTGCAGCGCCCTGTGCCCTAAGTTCTTCATCGTACTGAATATATGGAAGCCGGAAGACTGGCTCAGCACAATCTAGCATGGCAAGCATGGTGTTTAATCCGATGGGATTAGGCTCGGTGAATAACCTCAAAGTAGAGACTCACAAAGAATATGAAAAATAATAGTTGTGCTCAGTCTGAAAAGGTGGTAAAAATCAACAAAAGAAACGCTGACGCATTTTTTACCAACTCATCATCGGTAAGAGTCTATCACGAAGCTCGGGATTCGGCCCGTCATTTATCAACTGAGACATCAACCTCGGAACTATATTGCTGGTTACAGAGATGACCCCCACAGCTCCAGCTTCATATCTTGCATCATGCGCTTCATCATCATTTCCAGACCAGCAAACAATTCCCTGATCAGTGTAATACTTAATGCGAGCATTGCCTTCACATTCCTTTATACCTGAATGATTAAGTTCCAGTGTCAAGTGAAATTCATACAAAAAGTGTGACGTAGAAGTAAATAAGCAGTGAAAAGAAAAATTCAAGTGAAAAAATCAAGTACCAGCAAAATTCTTATGCTCAGCCAATTCGAGCATTATTTCTGGACTTATGTCTTGAGAAGTGCGGGCAGGGACATTGTACACAATCGTCGGGCCATATTTCAGCACTGCATTGAAGTGCGCAATTATTCCTTTCTTGGAGGTCTTGCCATAATACGGATTGATATGCAGCGCGGCGTCCATGCCTTGAATATAAGGACACCCAAAAGAGAAGAAAGAACAACTTGAGAATAATGTCAATAAAGTGGATGTCTTTATGTTGGAAAGAAGATTCTAGCGAATATAAATATCATGTACAGCAGAGCAATTTCTTTCTCACCAACGGCAAAGCCTTGAGATGAGGCATGAACAGCTTCGCGGGTAGAGTTCGAGCCCGTGTTTCCGATTACTTGTAGTTTATCACCATAGAGCTTCGCTGTATGTGCGATAAGCATGATGTGCTCGTCCCACGACATCAGCTGGCCCTCTCCTGTAGTGCCACCAACTACTAGTCCACCGACACCACACTCAATTTGATTTTCAACTAGCTTATCGTATGCAGCAAGGTCAATTTTGCCACTCGCCAAGTAGGGGGTCTTGATGGCAGTGATTAGTCGTGTTTTCTGTATTTCTTCCACAGTTGCAGTCATCTGCATCATGCTGGCATTCGTCCAGGTCTTACTCGCGTTACTCTGATATACGAGAAACCGTGATTTTCAGCATTTGTCAGAGGAAAATTATACTTTAACCAACATGCAAACACACAAGCACTCAAATCGTGAATCTCACCGCGATCGAAGCTTGCTTGACGCCGCGGCGAGTGGATCGAGAAAAGAAATGAGCGTTGACAACTTGCGCTGCTGAAATCTTGGCAAGAGTCGGCATCGATTGAACTTTGTGCTGTCCCCGGTCTTCGTGTTTGTAGTACAATGATGCGAAAGAAAAGCAGCGATAGCCAGAAAGAGCAATATCTATCTAGCCCTAGTACTTTCGTACCTTCGAAGGTACGAGTATCTATGAGTACGTGTACATAGCTACGAAAGTACTTTCGAAAGTACTTTCGTACTTTCGAAAGTACCTTCGTACGAAGATAGATAGGTAGCTACGAAGGTACCTTCGAAGGTACTTTCGTACATATTACAACGATAGTACAAGATGTACTTCCGGTAATAGAATAACTTCGTACGAAAGTACGAAAGTACTTCCGTACTTCGTTCCGTACTTCCGTACAGTACTTTATTTACAATACGAGTACTACACGTACGCCGTACGCCCTTTAAGCCGCGAATTAGCGTTTATGTACGGAAGAGTTTTACGGAAATAATACGCACTACATGTGCAGTACACGTACACGTACGTGTGTACCTGAAGGTAGCTACGTACAGTGCGTAAAGTACGGAAATATTATCTCCCTAAAGTCGTCCGGAAGCACACGCAGCTACCTTCGGGGAGGGTAGCTACTAGGGCTGCATGTACGTGTACAGCTGCTGTACACGTACTGTACGTGTGCAGTACGTTGTCCGGACCTACGTACGAAAATTCAGCCAATGAAATGCGTTTGGAGGCTCGCATGTAAAAACGGGTCCACGGGACCTGACGATGAACTCTTCCGATGAAAACCACTTTTGAACCAGTACACGAACATCCGTACTTTTCAAACTAAATACCCTGCCGCGCCGTGCTTCCTTCTCCCAACTTCCGACGCGCAGCGGAGGCGCAGATTGCAATACTGTACTGTACAGCTGTACGTGTACACGTACTGTAGCCCTGCATACGTTGCACTTTGAAAGTACGAAGATAGAATACAGTACGTGTACACGTACTGTACGCACGTACTGTACGAAATAAATAAAATCTCATACCTTCGTAGTTCGTACTACGTGAACTTCCGTACGTGTAAAGCTGTACAGCTGTACGTGTACACGTACTGTAAAATACACTACGTACAGTATCATAGAATACATTCGTACTTTCGTAATAGATACCGGAGCACGAAATAAAGTACGGAGTACGAAGGTTCGCGTACCCACGGAGAAGCCGCGCGCCGCGCGCGCCGTTTCGACGACACGAAGTCACGAGCGGCTCCTCCAGTCACGAACACCGTCCCGTGTCGCAAAGATCACGTTCAAGAAGTTTAGCATTGGTTAAGCTGGCATGTGAAGTTTCGCCTCGGTCAGCCTCCTATGAAAAACATATGAACAATTTATTTGATTTCAACAGTTACCAATCGACGTTGAAACCTAAACCAGTTGTAATAGTACGAATGGAATTCCTCTCTAGAGACCATTCAAAAACAATCGCCGCGTTTTCGACGACCTTAAATAACCCGCGTTCCGGCAGAGCTTCAGGTTGTTCAGTCTAAGGGCATTTAGTCAAATATGCCTCTCTGGACGGCAATTTTGGTCTATTCAGGGAGTCAGAAACGAAAGCACGTTTTCGTACCATCCAACTTCGGCAGTTGTTCGGCGAACCCTCCGGAAAGAAGTACAACGTTGTACAGTACATCTCCGTGATCGCCTTCAGCAGGGCTCATCGCGGTCGTGATTTCGCGCTGGGACTCGCGGGCATTAGGGAGCTACGCGCGCTTGAAGTTGCGCCTCGGTCAAGCATCCTTTGAAAATTTGCGTTGAATCCCCTGTTTTGTCCGATACATCGATCAACGCTGTCGTGATGGTACGAGCGCAATTTCAGACTATTTCTTAGGCAAAACGTACACGTACTGTACGAGGGCTACGCCGTTACCGTCTCCCTTTTCAAGGCCCACTTTCGTAATTTCTGTTCTCGAGGTTAAGGGGAAGTGGCCGCAGTCTTGAGATGTCCACCGTTTAAGAGGTTCAAAAGGAAACGAAGGTAACGGTGCAATGTGCGCGCAGAGATGAACGATGGATGTCAGCAAGGCTAAATGTTTCGACGATGTCCCCAAGCTCAAGAGCGCCGCGACACGTTCTAGTTCTGATGACGACACGCTGGTTCGGGTAGCTGTCCTCTGCGGTGGGCCGTCTGCTGAGCGCGGAGTCTCTCTGAATTCTGCGAGATCGATACTGGACAATCTGCACGGCTCGGGATTCACTGTTGACTGTTACTATATCGACCAGGGGTTGCGTGCATTCCCAATCAATGCTCGCCAGATCTATTGTAATACGCCTTCGGATTTTGACTTCAAGCTTCGTGGGAAAAGACGTGAGGGGATTCGAGATCCAGTTGCACTTGCTTCGCGCCTTCGTGCTCAGGGCGCGATAGCATTTCCTGCTTTACATGGCGCCTTTGGAGAGGATGGCGTATTACAAAATGCCTTGGAGGAAGCTGGCGTCCCCTTTGTTGGCACAGATGCTATGCATGCCTGCCGGGCATTTGACAAGTTCACTTGCTCACGCACTCTTGCAGCGGAGGGTTTCCCGACACTATCAATGACGCTACTCGAGCCTTCCTCAAATATGGATTACCACGCAACACTTTTGAGGTGGTTTGCCACGTGTAATCTTGATCCAGAGTTTGACTATGTTGTGGTGAAACCTGCCAGGGGTGGATCAAGCATAGGGGTTTCTATTGCACGTGGTGTTGTACAAGCCTCAGATTTAGCCTCGAAACTCTTCACGTCAGGTACTGATAGTCGCGTGGTGGTAGAGAGATACGCTGGTTCGGGAGTGGAGTTTACCATTACAGTTCTTGGCACAACAAACGAACCAGTGCCGCTCATTCCTACCGAGATAGAGATATTGGCAGATGTTGAGAAAGGTTTGAAAACTTCCAGGAAAGTTGGACCCGCCGCACGACTAGAGCAATTCAATTTTTTTGATTTTCGTAGAAAGTATCTTCCAACTATGCATGTCGTTTACCACACTCCAGCTCGATTTGGTACTGGAGCTATAGATAAGATTCGCAGGAATGCTGCTAGCATATTCAAATTGCTAGGTCTACGCGACTATGCTCGGCTTGATGGGTTTTTTATGCCAAATGGTGATGTAGCAGTTCAGTGGTGTAAAGAAGAGTTGGTATTGGGCGACTCTGAGTCCTTGACAACAGACGGGGTGCCAGTTTTCACTGATGTCAATGTTGTTTGTGGAATGGAGCAGTCTAGTTTTTTGTTCCAACAGGCAGCCGAGATCGGAATGACTCACTCTGCTGTACTGAGGCATGTTTTGTGCAGCGCCTGCCACCGCTCTAATATTCCCATACGTATGCAGATTTCAGAAAAGGAGAGGAAATCCAATGCTGAGACGCTCACATTTTATCAGCAACCCCAACTTAAAACAGAGAATGTTCCATGTCGTAAAGTTCCTGGCTATACCCATGCACACGAGCGGGTCAAAGTTTACGTACTCTTCGGTGGAGGTACATCAGAGAGACAAGTTTCTCTGATGTCTGGCACCAATGTATGGCTGAGATTACGAGAGTACCCTGAATACGATGTCGAGCCCCTTCTACTTGAGCCAACACCGATAGGTTGCCAACTGGATAAAACATACGTTTGGCACCTACCATATGCTGCAGTATTACGCCACACGGTTGAGGAGGTTTTGGCTGTCGCCAAAAGAACACAAAATCCAACCCCAGGTGCGTGTGCACGCGCTATTATTTTGTTGCTGCGGACGTACGGCTGGTTAGATGATGTTGAAGACAGTGGTACCGGTATCACCACGGCCGTTCGAGAAACAATCTCAGAGTTCGCTGCAACTGCAGCAGCAGAAAAAGCTATAATTTTCAATGCAGTGCATGGTGGTTGTGGAGAGGATGGCACGCTTCAGGCTTTGTTCACAGAGGCACGTGCGTCTTATACAGGCTCAGGTCCAGCCAGTTCACGGCTTTGTTTCGATAAAGCTGCTACTGGTGGCGAGCTCAAGCCACTTTCTTATTTTGGAATTCTGTCGTATAATCGTCTTCTTGTTTCGTCAAGGGTTCTAGAAGTGTTCCTCGGCCAAACATCAATAGTTGCGACAATCTGGGATGCTTTCGTGGCAACTGTCGGCCCTGCTCCTTTTGGCCTGTGCATTAAGCCGAATTCGGATGGATGCTCTACTGGTGTAGCACGTCTAAAAGGCTCTGATGACCTATTGGCCTATGCCACAGCAATATTTAATCATCAGTCACATCTTCATCCAGGGGACTTGCCGATGGCCAGTGGAATAGCTCACATTATTGAGCTTCCTGAGGAAATTCCTAGTAATTTTTTGGTTGAACCTTTCATCCCTACTGCAACTGTCTGCATAACCCGTTGCAGATCTGGCATTGAAGAGCTCTACTTTGAGGATGTGGCCTTCAGCACCACTCGTTGGATTGAAGTGACAGTTGGTGTGGTTGGTACAAAGGGACACACTGCTGCACTACATCCTAGCTTGACAATTGTAGGGCATGGAGATGTATTATCTCTTGAAGAAAAGTTCCAGGCTGGGACTGGAGTGAATATAACTCCTCTCCCTGCAACCATTGCTTCTGCAGAAGTGCTCTCAGCGGCGCGCACGCGTATTGCTTTCGCAGCCAATGCCCTCGATATTGAGGGTTTTGCTCGCATCGACCTTTTTTTACACGTCGATACTGGCGATGTTATGATCGTAGAGGCGAATACAGTACCAGGATTGACGCCGTCGACAGTCCTCTTTCACCAAGCCCTTGCAACAAACCCTCGTGCGAACCCTGCCGCGTTTCTGAAACATGCAATAAAGCTTGCACACAAATGTTCATGAAATATGAACTGAATCTGTATGAGCAGGCGAGGGCCACGCTTCTTAATAAACTTTTAACAAAAGGGCACGTAGGGATAAAGTTTTACGAAAGTACTGAAAGTACTTCCGGAAGTACAAGGTGGCCTGTGGGTGCGCTTCGCTGCGGCGAAAAATTATCCGCGCTTCGCCTGTGACTCCGCTGTGTGCCAGCGTGCTCCGATAGCGCTGACGCGCGTATTTTTTTTCGAATTACGTGGAGGACTATCTTAAATATTTTTAGGGCTATTAGGGCAGATTAGGGCTATTTATGGAAGTACTTTCGTACTTTCGTACTTCCGTAATCCGTACTTTCGTACTTCCGGAAGTACTTTCGTACGAAAGTACGAAAGTACTTCCGTACAACGTTGTACACGTACAGTGGTAGTATGTATGATATTAGTTCGATAAAACTTATGTACGAAATGTTCTGATTTTACGTTGTTAGCTACGTACGTTGTACACGTACTCGTACGTGTACAACGCGGTGTTCCTTTTCTAAACGCAGGAAGAAAAAAATGAGCCACGTGGAAAATAGGAACCCAACGCGGTTCTCTCAGGGCTCGGTCGGTCGCGTCAGCCAATCAGAAGCCGCCGTGCCGGCCTCTGATTGGTCAGCGGACGTCGCTTCCGCGCGCGATGGACGCGCGCACAGGCACGCGACGCACCCCCGCGCGACGCGAATAGTTTTTAATGGCAACGGGCATTTGCATGCGGACATGAGAGCGACGCGATGCCCTAGCGGCGCGGGTCCGCGCCCCGCGCGCGACACAGGCGAATTTTGTTTATTTTTTCTCGCGCCTCCATCGCGACGTCACTTAGTCACGCGCGTCCATGCGACAATTACCTGGATCCCCGCCCGTAGGAAAGCTCTCCGAAATGACCGAGATCGGTATCGTGTCCGCCCACATGATTCACGGTGCGGTTGAGTACCAGAGGCGCGGTACACCGCACGTGCACATGCTCATCTCGAACAGCCAGAACGTCGTCGAGTGATTCACGACGCCGCGAACCTCTCGGTCACGTTCTCGGCCGCGGCGGCCTAATTTCGAAGAAACTTAGCGAAAAGGAACCCAGGGACGAGTCATGTGGTTCTAAGCCACGGTCAACAGCACTTAGAGCACACGTTGGACGGAGGACGATGTCAAGCCGGGAGCGAAAGGGAGGGGAGGGACAAGAAGTGGTCTGTTTTGTCACCTGTCGCGACCACGCGTACTATTGTACGTGTACGTGTACGAGTTATTACAAACCAAATACCTGTACACGTACGTATCTAGCTAGACCCGTGTGCAAATCGGATACGAGTACGTGTACACGTACTGTAGAAACTTTTCAGACAAAATACTCACATACCGAGACGAAGTCTCGACGGGCACTTCTTGTAGCCCAAATATCATAACAACTTATACTACGTGTACAACGTATAGTAAATAAGTTGTAACAACTTACCTGATAGATATCTAAGTTGTCCCTGCTGATAGATATCTAAGATATCTTCGGTTTTCAGATAAGATACTCGTACTTCTACAAGCATGTATGACCTCAAGAATGATTCCTGATTCTAAAATAAAGGACCAAGTCGGTCTCGAGGAGGGAAGGTAAGGGTCACAATAGTTCCGTGAGACGAGCCAGAAATCATTCAGCCGAAATGGGAGACGAACTTGATACTCTCATAGGTTTTCTTGGCGATACCAGCAGTTCTACCCGCGCACGTGCCGCTGAGTTCATACAAGGTTTGACTGGCTCCGACGTCGGCATTTCCAAGCTTGCGACACGCGCGGGAGCTTGTTTGCCGAAGCTCTTGCACCTTTTAGGCGCAGCTGCGGCCGAGTCGAAGTACGCCGCGACGACGCTAGTTAACTTGACCGTCATTCCAGAGGTTGCGACGCTCGCAGTGGAGAAAGGTGCTGTCGAGCGTGTCATGGAACTTTTGCGCGAAAACACGATTCCTGCAGATCTTTTACTTAAGCTCCTGACAAACCTAACGAATACGGACGGAGGCGTAAGCGTTCTCACCCAGGAGGGCAAACCCTTAGAAGGTTTTTTCATCAGCAAGGTCGTGCATCTGCTCGCCATGGCGAAACCGCCGTCGATGTACGACTATGCTGCGTCGATCATTACAAATTTCACCAGACACCCTATCGGCCGGAGGGTATTCCTCGATCCCAAAAGAGGACTAATGTGCATGGCACTTGCGTCGTTGATTCCAGGGCAGTCAGAAGTAAGGAGGGTTGGTGTGGCAGCTGCCATTCGAAACTGTTGTTTGGATGATTTATCTTGCACGCGTCTTCTTGCAACCCCGTGCGCGGCACCAAGTGGCAACAATTCCTTTGATGTCTGTTGCAGCACTTCGAGCACTCATTCGTACGCAGAGGGTGGTTTGGAAGCCGTTCGTTCACTTATCCGAATAGTTTCCGATACAACGAAATCGCGGGAACTTAGTGATGCGGTCAGACAATGTTGCGCGGAGGCGATAGCTGCTTTGGCGCGTCAAGCTGTTGGGCGCGATGCCTTAGTAGCTTGCGACGCTCCCCAGTTGATAAGAGTCGGGTACGCAGAAGAAGACCACGCGGAGACATGTGCAGCACTAGAAGCTACAGCTACTATATTCATGTCACATGGATTGGTCCCGGAAGAACTTCAGCCTCCTGAAGGTCTGCGACAAGCTGAAATCCTGGAAGGAGAATAACTTCATCATTTCTTCTGATAGCTACGTTCGCGATGGCGTAGACCTGCAAGCTACTTCCGGAAGTACTATCAGCGGCTCCGGCGCAGCGGCCGTCGGTTAGTTGGGGGAAGTGCGGGTCGAGGTCGGGTTGATCGGCGGTCTCGATGGGACAAATGAGTTGAAAAAATCTAGAGTCTATTTTCCGTCTTTCTCTCTCCTCTCGCCGACGCGAAACCTCCTGTCTCGCTTCCCTCCGCGCCCGTCCCCGCATCATCGCACATCGTACAGCGCGTCCCGTGCTATCTTCACCGGTCTGAATGCGGGTGAAAATCCGCAATCTGGTCTGCGTAGATTAGATTCCGCACGAGCCCAATTTTTGTGATCTTCACACACACACACACACACACACGTCCACACACACACACACCGTACACGTGTACAGTACGTGTAACCGTTGTACGAAACGTGTAACCGTTGTACTGAAAACTTCCACGCGGGCGCGGCAGCGCAAATCCTTTTTATGGAGCCCGACACTGCTGGCGATTTCCACATCGCCCCGGCTCCGTGCGCTCGTGAGGCTCACATGGGTTCCATGAATCCCGTCGTGGGGTTGCTTACTACGTGAGAGGATTGTTCGTAGTGTGGTCTGCTCGCATTTAGATCACATGTTTTGCCCGGATGGGTTAGAGCTCAGTCTTTTTGTAATCAGATATACACACAACCGTTGTACGAAAGTAATAATCATACTGTACAACTACGTCGTACTGTATAAACGTTGTACGAAAGTACTTTAAAAGATATGTCGAAATTCTAGTAAGTTATCCCCTGGTAGCTATGATACGAAAGTAGTTGTACTTTCGAAAGTACCTTCGAAGGTACTTTCGTACGAAAGTACTTTCGAAGGTACTTTCGTACTTGAAAGTACTTTCGTACGGACTTCGAAGATAGATACTTTCGAAAGTACTTTCGAAAGTACTTTCGTACTTTCGAAAGTACTCTCGAAAGTACTGTACGTGTACCTTCGAAGGTATTCTATCTTGAAGGTAGCTATTACCTTCGAAGGTACACTATTCTATTATTTCCGTACAACATAGTTGTACACGTGTACGTGTAGCACTCGTGTAGCTACGGAGGTAGGGCCTAGTACGGAAGCACCTTCGAAGGTATTCTAGGGCCTAGCTACACGTGTACGTGTACAGCTGTACACGTAGCCCTACATACAGTACATGTACTGTACGTGTATTTCCGGAAATAATACTTCCGGAAGTAAATTTTTAAAGTACTTCCATAATATCAATATTTTGTACGTGTACGTGTACGTGTACTGCACGTGCACGTGCACGTGTACGTGTACGTGTACGAAAGTACCTTCGTACAACGTTGTACAGCTGTACACGTACTGTAGGATAAATGCTGTGATATGATACTGCACACGTGCACACTGCTACCTTCGTACTACAGTACACGAGTACACGCACACGTACAACGTACACGGCTACACGCACGTTGTACTGTACTTCCGTACCTTCGAAGATATCTAGTAGGCACTCTCGTGGATAGTGGATATCAGCGAAAGGATACGAGCTACGAAGGTACAACGTACTTCCGAAAGTATCCCTAGAAAGGATAAAAGGATGAGCGTATGATTGAGCGTATGAGAAATTTGTCAGAGCGTAGTACGTTTTGAAAAGGATGAGCTCATCCTTTAACTGCCGCGCCGCGCGAGGACAGTCAGAGAGGCGCGCGCCGCGGCTGCGTCCGGAGCGCCAAAGAGAACATCGACTAGACAGTGTAACAGATCTGTCCGGCGAGTTTTATACACCTGGGGCGCTGAATGCCCGGCGCACAGATTCGTCGTTTGCAAAACAGACTCGGCGTTACGAAACATTTGCCGTCTCCTGAGCTCGCGCGCACAACTTACCTTTGAAGGTACGGAAGTATCGGACCTTCGTTCGTACGGAAGTACTTTCGTACAATAATACTTCCGGAAGTATTACACTATCTTCGTTCGAACTCCTTCGAAGGTACTTTCGAAAGTACGTGTACTTTCGTACCTTCGAAGGTACGCAACTACGATATCTGTACGTGTACACGTACACGTGTACTGTACACGTACGTGTACTTCCGGAAACAGAATGACATATTGATATCATATCTTCGTACGAAGGTACGTAGAGCCAGGGGTTATAACTTTTAATAGTAAATAAATAATGAGTAAGTAAAAGTTTACTTAGTTCTTCGAAAGGCGAAGACTTTTGCGGGTCGAGCGAAATTAGACCGTCGATTGTGGATTAAAACTGCGGTACCTTGAAATATTTACCTTTTCTTCCGGCAGTCGTGTATTTACGTGTACTAAAAAGTGTCGAAATTTTTGTAAGTTATCCCCTGGTACCTTCGAAGGTAGGCCCTACCCTCGAAAGTACGTACGTACAGTACTTGTATTAAGATCATAATCATAACTATGGCATTATTAATTCAAGAAATTTTGAGTTAATGCTCCAGGCCGAAAACCTTGGACCTCCATCACCCCTAAGCAGTGCAGAGCGCGCGCGCTGGACGATTTTTCGGCCGCGCACGACGCGTCGCGCTTGGAGATGGGTGCTGACGCGCAGATGCGCTGCTCAGAGTACGCGCGGGAGATGATCCTGACCGAAAACGCTGCTCTTAGGAGGACAAGGGCAACTTCCATTTAATTTCTGTGGCTAGCTAGGGGAATCTAAGAAACTCAGCGCCAGCAACACCTCATATGTTACGACGCTTGGGCTTCGATCACTACTTCTTACCGCTGCTTCTGTGCACAGGACACTCTGACTTGTTCTCGCAGTGATGACCGCAGCGTTTATATTTGCAGGTCTGTTGGCCTTTCGTGGTGATGTTCGCGGTGCAGTTCTTCTGACTGTTTGCCATGTACTTACCACACTTCAACCCGGAAGGATCATCCTTGTGTTTCTCACTCGGAGGCTTCTTAGCGCGCGGTCGAACCTGACGATTACTCTCATTCGCGCCAGCGCTGAAGGATGTTAAGTCCGTGTCCATGAGCGAGGGACTTCCTGATGCGCGAGAGACTTTGAGGCGGATGTAATCGGCCAGCTCCAGGTTTCCCTTTGTCTCGCTTCGCATGTTCTTGAACACAGACTCGACGTGAGAGGACGTGCTCTCGGCGCTGTAAAAGAGCCCGCGAACGAGTGGGCCCGTGGTCGTGAAGAGACGCGCGGCGTACGAGACCATGGACCAAACTGGATAGATCGATTCGTTCTTCCTCTTGCTGGTGCCTCCGCGTTTAGTCTCGATGAAGAAAGGGCTCACGACGTAGGATGAACCAGAGACAATCTCGAGGTTGTACTCGTTGGCCGGAGTCATCGTTACGATGTCCCCTTCGGTATCCTCCAACACTTCGACGCCATCAAATTCAGTTGGCGCGAGCATATGCCTGGCGAGCTGATTTTCGTCTGTGAGCCTGGCAGTGGCCATCTCTTCTCCTTCTTCGGCCAGAAACTCCATGGCCATCTTATCCTCGTGCTTGGCATCATCCGTCTCGTCGTCGTCGTCGAGATCGAGGCAGAAATCGTAGTCCGTGGCGGCCTCGATTTCCGAAGACCTTTCCTGATCGCTTGTCGCGCGCGGAGTTTCACGTTGCGATTCTGCCTGCTGCACTGGGACTGGCGCCTGCACGACGTCCCTTGCGAGCGTCGTGTCATTGAGGAGCTTTTCGCCTTTGACGATGCGCGTAGCGCTCCGGACTCTCGCGTGGCAGACGCGACGCGCTCCCTACGGAAATAGAAGAAGTCGTTCACCAAGCTCCTCCTGCTGCCTCTGCTGGTTTTTCTACTGGAGCACCTGACGGAATGACTGCAGTCGAATACGCCCAGCAGCTTTCGCTTCTTGAAGGTGGTTCATCATTGAAACGCCAACGAGAGGACACGTCTGCGCCCTCCCCCGCCGTCGTAAGTGGCTGCGGTCGGACTTTGAACTTTGGTTCAGCCACGCGTCCTGCTACTCCCGCGGCTCCTCGCGTCGTCCAAACGACGCTCAACCAACAGTCGGGGCCGACGGAGTCCATCATTCGTCAGGGTACCGATCTCACTACGGAACTCGTCGATGACACTCTTGGAGACAACGATAGGTTGGCCACGATGTTCGACATGGAACCTGTCCTTCACAAGTACACGGACGCGGACGCGGACGTTGGCGAACGTATCAAGAATGCACCAGAGTTGTACATTCTGAGAGGTCTTCTCGAAAGAGTTGGGTGTCTCCTCTACGATAAAGGCATATTCCCGGAAACCGTGAAGTCACAGGGGAAACGAAAGGGTTTCAGACTGTATACTCGTAACGGGGACTTTGCCAACTTCGTCCGCGTCGTCTACATCAAACTCGTGGAATTCATCATCCCGAAAGATATCAAGATCGAGGAGGAGGGGGAGAACTACAAGACTGCCATCCGTACTATGAACAGCGAAATCTTTGCTGATCTCCGTCCGTGCATTAACACGTACATCACGCAGGGGTACATTCGACGCGGAATCATCGAAGATGGCGTCGTCTTCTACTAGATTCTTTCTGCGCGAAGTAGAAGCTGTGACGATTTCCGCGAGGTGGTAATGTGGAGGGTTTCGGGGAGAAGAGGGGGCGAGCACGACGAAGGTGACGACGAGAGGTGAGAGAGTAACGACGCGGCGAATGACGGACGATGTGAACGATTTGAATAACGACACGAGCGGACGACTTAAACGGACGATGACGCGAGCGCTCAACTTTCCAACGCTGCCGTCGCGGCGGCGTCGCGGCAGTCGCCCGCCGGCCGTTCCACAGCCACGCGCTCGCGAACGCCCACATCTCCAACCCGCACGGCAACGCGACGCAACACACCCCATCCCTCCCACGCGCGCGATGAGCGATGATCTCGTGCGGCGGCGGGGGACGTCAGGGAGGACGCGAACGGTGAGCTCACCGCGCGCCTGCGGCTCAACGTTGACGCCGGCGCCGGCGTCAGCGGTGACGCGGACGCGGCGGCGTCTGCCTGCGTCTCCTTCCGCGGTCGCGCGAACACAACCGCTCCCAATCGCGCGGCGGGGGCGATCGAGGCGTACCCGCGAGCGACACGACCGCGGGGGACGCGGCTCTCGCCGCAGCTGCTCTGCGCGTCTGCGTCTGCGAACCGTGAACGTCCCGCCCGTGTCGCCATGCTCCGAGCGGCGCCTGCGCGGTAGCGGCGGGTTCTCCGCCGGCGTCGTGGATCCTTATCGCGCCATCGCGGAGGTACCATCCGCGAGCACGCACTGGCGCGGTTGTCATCGCAGCGATCGAGATGGTACGAACGGTGTGCGTCGTCGTAGCATCGCGGGCGACCGAGGGGAACGTCGCGTCGCTGGGCATTCCGTGATTACTTACGAGTGCCTCTCGACGACGCCGACGCCATCGGGCAGCGCGATCATATCGCGTCCCCTCCCAGCCGTCTTGGACGACGAGGACGCGGGAAACGTCGCCGTCGCGCGAATGGAAGCCTCTCACGGTCTCGAGAGCGCGTTTCGTCGACTCTCAGCTCACGGCGCCGATCTGCGCGCGAAAGCTACGTTGCTGCGTGCACGGCGTCGCCGTCGCGACCTCAGCACGGCGCGACATGTCCCCTCTCAGCGCAGTGGCGGGCGGCCGCCTCCGCCGCCGCCGCCGCCGCCGCCGATCGCGAGCAGCTGCGAAGCACTTCGTCAGCTTAGAACTCACGACGTGCCTACAACACGTCCGCGCGGAGATGCGCGCGGGGCGCGCATCCACGCGAGAATGACGTCGCCGGCTACGTCGTTCGACTCGCTGGTCCGCCTCGCGTCGCCGCGGCATGCGGCCGCCACCGCCGCCCGCCGCCGCCGCCGCCGCCGCGGCCGCGAGTGGCGTCGGTGGCCGAAGAACTTTCACGTGTCGTGTTCGTGAACGAGTGACGACATCGCAGAGCTCGTGCACGCGAAGCGCGCGCGAACGTCGTTGTGCTTGAGTGGAGAGCCGGCAGGCGGCCTACGAGTACGGCACCTGCCCCTGCCTGACTGATACGCATACAGAGCATTAATTCAAGAATCCTTGGATTAATCATGCCATATATAGTTATGATTATGATCTTAGTTTTATTACGTACAGTAGTTGTAAAACATTCTACCCTGTACTCGTACACGGGCCCCACACGTACACGTACCTTCTTTCACGGCACCCGGATCGGCGCCGGTACGTCGTCGCATCGCCCGCACGCCCGCATGCACATGCATGTGGCCATTAAAACACTACACGCGCCGCGTGAGCCAATCAGAAGCCGCCGTGAGGCTTCTAATTGGTCGATGATAGGCGCTTACGCGCGCGCCAGACGCGCGCACAGGAAGTACCCTCGAATGTAAGTCTCGAAGGCACTTCTTATGACTGGAAATGTTGCAACTTTGTGTTCAGAAGGTGAAGAAAGGGAGACGATGAGTCGACAAGCCTAACGAGACATCTCGTGTATTTAAACATTTCTATCTCATTCTTATTACTCGCACGTTCCAGATGCTCTGCTTCCTCGACTGCGATTACAGCTCGAGCTCGAAGCGCCATACTCCATTTCCCTCATCGTACTCGACCAACTCAGCGCCCATCGCTCGCGTACGCTTGACGACCCTCTTCGCGAACGTGCCCCCGGTTTGCGAACTTTTCGTCGGCTTCACACCGAGCAAAACGACCGCGGCTCGCTTCTTTAAACCTTCCCCAGGGGGCGGCACAGGAATCGGCGACCTGTTGTCTTTTGTGTCGCTGTCGCCATATACGTACACTGCACCGCGTTCGATGCGAACCAAACGATCGAGGCTGCATCTCGTGAGATGCGATATGTCCACGGGATCAATCCAACGTACGGAACCGAAATCTTTTCGAGTCACCCTGAATCCGCGCAGCATGCGCGTCAATGTGCCGGAGACACTACCGATGGTCGACGGACTTTCTACGACAGCCCAGTCAAAAGAGTACCCCGCCTTCTTCGCGTTCTCGCTGAGTATGATCGCGCTTTCGTCATAGATGACCGCACCTCCTCCCGTCAAAGTCGCGAGGGATAACGGAGGTTCGACCTCGCGAATGCTCTCGTTCGAAGTGTCCGTTGGCTTTATGAATAAATCCCTCGGGTTCGACCGCGGTGTCAACAACCACTCGCTCGCGGCACTTTTCACTGTCGCGCCTCGGCTTGGTTGCGACGCCAACACACTACCTCTTGGTTTCAGCGCGAGCGAACCACGTCCCGTCATCCACAAGTGCGGTTTCAATCGTGGAGTCCACGCTGCAGCCAGAAAAACCGCCGCGGCAGAACCGTGCGTGCGTAAAGTCGAGTGCGTCGTTTCGTCGTGAATTTTCGGCGGCAGCTCAAGCGCAGCGCCGTACGGCGATACATTTTCCGCCGGTTGCGCCAAATCTTGGACCCCCTTCAACGAATGCGCGGTAGTTAACGTGTTTGACATGGCAGATGCCGTCAGAGCGGTGTTCGAAAACGAGAATGTCGGCGCTGTTGATGGCGTCGGCGAGATCGGCACAGGCGTATGTGCTCGCCCGAGCGTGCTGGCACTGCTGACTGGGTTGAGCGGAAACATCCCCAAAGACGTCGGTGCCGTCATCGACGGAGATAAGGTCCCACCCATCTTCATCGTGGGCGCAGAATATGAGGACCCACCGAAGAAAGGAAGCGCCTGCGCGGTGTACGGTAACGTCACATGGCCTGCGGAGGACTGCGGACCGAATGTGCCGCCGAGGGCTCTCACTGTCGGAGCAGCATCCGTGGCCGCGCCGCAAACAGACGCCAAGACCGGCAACGCGCCTGAGGCGGGCGTGATCGAAGCGCCACCGAAGCCTCCTTGACCGCCGCCGAATGTGAGACCCGGGCTCGACCCCACGATAGTGCCCGATTGGAACCCACCCACTGCAGTTGGTGTGGGACACGCAGATCCGACGAGCGAAGGCGTCGATGCTGTCGCTGCAGGGAAGGCGGCGGGGGACGGGGAAGACGCCGGAAACGTGCTCGCGCTGCCGCGACCGACTCCCGCTCCAAAACTACCGCCGATGCTGGGCGTCGCCCCGCCAAATCCACTGCTGGTCCCACCAAAACTAGCACCGCCAAAACCGCCAGTGCCGGTGCTAAAGCCCACCGCACCGCCGAAAGCGACCGCCGGCGTTGGCACGGTCCCTGATGCGTTTGCCGGTGGCAGCGTCATAGCGAAAGACGTGCCTGTATGCGGCGAAGACATGGTCCCGAAAGCATTCGGCACGGCGCTGGACGCGCCAAAACCGCCCGTCGCACCGCCAAATCCAGCACCTGCATTAAACCCGCCTGAACCGCCACCGAATCCCCCGGCGCCGCCGCCTGTGAACATCGACCCCGCCGGCGGGACGATCGATCCTGGGCCCGAATGACCAAACGTGGAAGGTATCGTGGAACCTCCCCCGAACGCACCGCCGATGTTGCCGAACACGCCGACCGCGGTACCTGTCCCGCTGCCACTCGCGTTCGGGCTTAACCCAAACGCGCCCGTGCCCGCCACCGCACCAGGAGGGTTTTCCCTGCTCTGGAGACGGAGCTCTTCCACGGACGTCCCGACGTTCGATGACATCGCGCATATGTGCTGCATGATTGCATGTCGTGAATTCGCGGGCACAAGCGATGGATCTGTGACCCGCGTCGGGGTGAACCCCCCACCTCCGCCCGCGAGCGACCCCGGTCCTCGGGGGCACTGGGGCGCTTTGTGCGAGCTGTCCCCGCACGTCGAGCACACGTGTCTTGAGCGGCATCGCCCGCTGTACCTGCAATTACTCCGGTTCCAGTGTGCGCACGCGTTTTGCACCGAGCCGCTGATTCCTGGCGAGGGCGTCGACGAAGACGCGCCCCAAGGCGTGCTCGTTTGAAATGACGACTGCGCGGGCGCGTTCGGGGCACCCCACGGGCTCGCGCCCGGCGCGGCTGCCCCCCCGAACGGCGACGGCGCGGGTGCGCCGCTGCCGCCGAAACCTCCAAGCGCGGGCGCGGGGTTCGGCGCGCCGCCGCCGAAAGGAGATGGAGCCGCGCCGAACGCGCCAGGCGTGGGCGCGCCGAATGGAGACGCGCCCCCTTGTGTTGGGGACGAGGCGATTCCTCCTCCGAACTGACTCCCCGCGGGCCCCGCGGTCGCACCAAACGGGATCGGGCTCGTCGCGGGCGGACGATTCACGCCGAACATGGAGTTCTGCGGTGTTGTTCCGAACCCGAACGACATCGCGCGTGACACGGCGAAGAAGGTGCGCGAGGAAACACCGCGCTCCTTGGCGAGATCCCCCTGAGAGTGAAAAATACAGGGTAGCCGGTCATAGGACATACGAAGGTACCTACCTTCAAGGTACGAAAGTATTCTATGAAGGTAGCTACACGTACACGTAGTCATAGTCATGCTACACGTACTGTGCAGTACGTGTAGACTCGTCTACGAAGATAGATACTTTCGAAAGTACTTTCGTAAGTTTTACAACTGTATTTTCGAAAGTACTTTCGTACGAAAGTACGAAAGTACAACTACACGTGTACGTTGTACTTTCGTACATTTGTACGAAAGTACTTTCGAAAGTACGAAAGTATTCATACTTTCGTACACGTGTACAACGTACACGTGACGCGTACAGGTAGCGTTTACTGATAAGAATAGTGTTGTACCTGTAGCAGAGTACAGTACAACGTTGTAGTGGCTATCAGCGTTTGGATATGAGCTTAGAAAGGATAAAAAGGCCCAGGTGTACAACGTTACACGTGTATGATAATCATTGTTTTTATTGTACGAAAGTACATGTACTGTACACGTACGTGTACGTGTACAGCTTAACAGCTGTACACGTACGTTGTACGTGTACACAGCTCCCTTCGGGTACGTGTACGTGACGAGTTGTGCGAGTCGATGAGCAAAATTTTTGCCGTAGTACATTTTGTATGAGCAATTTGTCTAATTTTCGCCAAATCTGCCAATTTCAGACTGTTTGCCTGTGAATATCTGTAAACGCTCGTGCGCGCGCGTACATGCTGCGGAAAACCATGGCGAACGTATTTTTAGTATACTGTAGCCTACGTCACTGTGACGTTCTTCGTCGGCGCGGCGCGTGTACTTTTCCGCAGAGGCGGCGACGGCGCAAACATCGAAGGTCGTTTTGTATGAGCAAACAGTGAGAAGTTATGGACGACTCCGCTTTCGTCGCCCAGGAGGCCGCACAAGCCGCCGCGACTTCCCTCTTAGGTGTTCCTCGCCCTGGGGGAAGGCCGAAGAAGCAGTCCTGCAAAAGTGAAAGCGGAAAAGACCGCGACTTATGGTGTGCGGGCTGTAGAAACAACAGAGTGTGCCGACTCTTTCCTACAAACAACGTATTGGTCGCGCCCCCACCTTCAGACGTTGGCTCATCATCAGCGCCTCGCCCGGCCCAGCCTGTATCATCGACGGAAGAAGACCCGGGGCGCGCTCTCGACGTCGAGGTTGCTGAGAATACGTCTACGGGAGTGACTACTGCACGGTGGACAGCAGTAAAACGTACTCGTAGTAAAAGTCTGAACGATACGAGTATATACTCCTGGTGAAGAGCTTATCGTTGACCAGAGCAAGAAAGCAACTGAACGAACGACGACGCGCGGGAGAGAACGAAGAGAGGAGACCGGCGCGGTCGCGGAGGAGCGAGCGAGGGACGCGAAGCGCATCGCCACGACACGGTCTACTACTAGAGCTACTCGCACACGCACCCGCCGCGCCGTCGCCGACTGAGCGTGGCGCGGTGAAAAAAAACAAACGCCCCGCCGCGCCGCGCACCGTCGCCTCGCGACTACGCCCCCTCTCCTACCTCCGCAGCTACTATCCACTGCAGGACATCCTTGTGCCCCCTCATTCGGGCTAGGGATTCGCATAGCTCCGGATTCCACGGACAGTCGTTCGCTCGCGCCCACTGCAACACCTCCAGGTGGCCGCCACCCGCGGCATCGCGACAAGTCTCCTTGTCACACGGAGCGCCGTTCGCTCGCGCCCACTGCAGCACCTCCAGGTGGCCTCGAAGCGCGGCGTAGGCGCAAGTGTCCTCGTCCCACAGAGCGCCGTTCGCGCGCGCCCACTGCAACACCTCCAGGTGGCCGCCAAACGCGGCACTGTCGCAAGTACCCTCGTTCCACGGAGCGCCGTTCGCGCGCGCCCACTGTAGTACCGCCAGGTGGCCGCCTTCCGCGGCGTCGCGGCAAGTCTCCTCGTCCCACGGACAGTCGTTCGCTCGCAACCACCGCAGCACCTCCATGTGGCCGCCAAACGCGGCATCGGCGAAAGTCTTCTCACCCCATGGAGCGCCGTTCGCCCGCGCCCACTGCAGCATCTCCAGGTGGCCGCCTGCCGCGGCGCTGGCGCAAACCTCCAGGTGGTCGCCTTCCGCGGTGTCTAACACAACGTGGGCGTCAGCCACTTCGACCCACGGGCATCCTCGTTCCTTCGCCCACTTCGCGACATCCACGTTCCCACCCCTCGCGATGCACGTGAACGTCTTCTCGTACCACGGGCACCCTCGCTCCTTCGCCCACGCCAGCCTGCTGATCGACCCGACGAAGTTAGGAACCCTCGCGAGCTCTCTCCTCACCGCCGCGACGTCCCTCACGTCTCCGACTGGCGAATCGAAGACGACGTCGCGCATCTTTCGGTTCACCGTCGCGAGCACCGCGAGGTCGCCGTCGTCGAGCCGCGGGAGCACGTTCCCGACGAAGACGTCGCGCGCGTCCGCGGCGAGCCGCTCCAGGAGTGGCTCGCGCGCGGCTTCGCGCTCTTCGAGACCGCGAGCGGCGTCCTGTAGCGCGAGCAAACGCGTCGTCGTCGTCATGAGCTCCTCCTCGAGCGACGTAGGATCCTCGACGCGGGCGCGAAGCACCCGCGGACGACGACGACGACGACGCGACGGGCGCTGCGGTGCGGTGCGCGACGGACAGAACGAGAAGACGAAGAATGCGGGGCGGTTTTGGTTTTTTCGAATGAGGCGGATGAATCGCGGCGGGTGAAAACATTCTTGAAAGGGAGTTGAAACGTAAATTGTTTGTTGAAACCGGGAGAACAGAAGTTTCATCGGCTCGGCAAATTTTGAACCTAGGCTGGTTCATCGACTCGCACAACTCGTCACGTGTACACAGCTATTACACACTTGTATTCTACGAAGGTACCTCCGCCTCGTACTTGGGGTGAGCAACCAACTCGAGTTTGCACAGACTTCTGAGTCATGCTGGAAATGACGGAAGAGTGGCTGAAAGCCCATTGCAAGAAACATGGCATGTATTCCACACCGTCTCTCAACGACAAAATCTTCTTGCACTTCCAGGGCTTCGGCCGTATTCAGCATCTGGAGGAGTACACCGGCCTGCGGTCTATTTTCCTGGAGGGGAACGGGCTCGAAGACCTCTTCGGGCTCGAGCGTTGCAAAAATCTGCGTTGTTTATACGCGCAGCAGAATATGATATTCGCCATCCCGCGTACTCTCCCCACTTCACTATCCACTTTAAACGTATCCAATAACAACGTCCGCAAGCTGGAAAATCTCGGTCGGCTACCTGTACTACAGACACTCCAGGTTTGACTCGCTTCTGACAAATAGGGATCGCATGCGTAATCTTGTTCAAACTTGCTCCCAACAAATCTCAACTGAACGAGCATGTCGGGTGCATGTATTATCATCCACAGCGAATACGCGACCACACGCCTCACGCTTCTTTATCCTTCTCCACAGGCATCACATTGCAAGCTGCATGACCTGGGTTCCATTCGAGAGTTGACAAAGTGTAAAATGCTTTCGTGTGTTGATCTTCAACAAAATATGATCGATGGTAGTCCAGAAGATATGGTGAGACTGTTTTCCTCTATGCAGTCTTTGGCATGCCTCTACATGCAGGGGAACCCAGTGGTTTCATCTATGCACCAATATCGTAAGCGAATGATCGCTGCGATTCCAACCCTGACATATCTCGACGACCGCCCCGTATTCAGTCTTGAGCGCACGTGTGCCGAGGCATGGGCTATCGGTGGGTTGACTGCAGAGAGGACAGCACGCGAGCTACATAAAGACATTGCAGATGCCAATTCCAGACGCCACGTTGAGTTCATGACGAATCTTAGGAAGAATACTAAAATGCGGCTGAAGTCACTAGAAGAGCAGAGTGTCGGAAATGATATCGCGGTGTGTACACAGAGTGACAAGATTGACATGGACCACGCGTGGCACTCGGAGCCAGAGCCATCACAACTAATCGCGGCTCGAACCAAGCTAAAAAAATATAGTGTGAAGGAAGGCCAAATCAGGTGCATTGCAAGAGGGAAAAATAGCTAAAATATGGTAGAATCAATGCCATCACGGTTGTCTACGCAGACGTGAATGAATAGCTTCAGGGTCAAGGCAAAATGTCCCATGAACTTTGCAGGCATTTGCTGCATTGAGGATGACATAAAGCAGGGTCATTTCGCTAAGTATAATTGAGTAGTATAATCCAGTAGTCCAACACGCGTTCTGGCGGTCTATCGCTGTAGGCTCGCCAAAAAATACAAGCGTGATTGATGTTACCCGTCAAAGAGTGCACGTACCTCGTGGGCACCCACGGCAGACCTAAATGACTCTAGGGCTTGTATCTTCGCACTCAAGTCTCATCACGAGAACTGGCGTTTTACACTCACTCCTATGCACTTCGCACTGTGCTCACGAACCCTGCAGCCCATCAGAGCTTGTCGATAATGTGCTCGACAACTAGTCTGCGTGTGTCTGCTGGGCTAGTCACGGTGTGACCAATCGTCTTGGGACTCACAAAAATCTCATGATCATTCCCACCACTGTATGTCTTATCACCAAAAAAGTGGATTTCTTCGAAGTCATTCTCCACAAACTGTAGACAGTATGTCTTATCCCAACCTCTCGGGAAAACATCAAACGAGATCTGACCACCGACAGAATAAGTGAGGTCAAACTCTCTGAACTGCACCTGAAGAACTTTGACCATCCTTTCACGAACACCTGCCACCTTGTCAAACTTCTCGAAGTCATCTCTCTCTTCCTGGCTGCAATTGCGGCCAATTGGGCTTACGTTAAGCATGCCATTTCGAAACTCCACGAAAGTACCACGCTTGATCGGAATGTCAAGATTGGCAATGTAGACAAGAATAAAATTCACGAGTTCCTTGATTTTCGCCTCGCCTAAGTGTTCCTTGAAGCTCGTTGCTTTCAGTAACTCTCCATTCTTGAATGCCATCAGACCATTTTCAGAGAACAAGTAGTCGTACTCTGTGTCCGCTGCTCGTGGGAATTTCCATAGTTGGGAAAACTTGTCAAAGAATTTGTTTTTGTGGAGAAGGTGACAAAGAACGTTAAGGTGTGTGCGTGCTCGCACCTGCTTCCCCTAGCTGCTCTTTGATCTTAGCCAGGTCGCTACCGCCGACTATCCCTACAGCGACCTTTTCTCGCAGCGCCGCCATGAAGGCAATCATTTCATCGTCGGCTCGCTGCAGATTAGATGGGTTGCATCGAAGAAGTGAACGTTATATATCGAGACAGAAGCGGGAAGTGGTAAGACGACAGACCGAACGATCATCAAAGAGCGAAGTTCTTTCCCGACGGTACAGAACGTGCAAGTCGTACCTTGCGGGGAACGGTGAGTGTCCCATCAACGTCAAATAAAGCAAGCACTTTTCTCTTATCTTGAGGTTGCGGTTTCGTCATCGCAATAGTTGAGAGTGCTGGGGTACCGCAGGCAGGTCTCCTCTGTCAGTATTTTTACGAAGGTAACAACTAAGTACAGTACGAAAGTACTTCCGGAAGTACACGTACAGTTACGTTGTACTGTACATGTACAACTACCGTTGTACTTTCGTACAAAAGTACTTTCGTACGAAAGTATTACGAAAATAGATAGAATACTTTCGAAAGTACGAAAGTACGAAAGTACAACGTTGTACACGTGTACGTGTACCTTCGAAGGTACTTTCGAGGTACCTTCGTACAACCTTTACAAGTTACTTTCGTACGAAAGTACGTAGCCCTAGTTGTACTTTGTACGAAAGTACCTTCGTGCGAAGTTACGAATCTCGTACTCGTACCTAAAGTATTTATTTTTATTACTGGGGCTCGGGGCTGCGCCCCTCCCGCGCCGGCGAGTTGCGTTGAAAGGATTCGTGGTTTCGAATCAGCGCCTCCGGCGTGAGGGTCTCGATCGGGCCAGGTTGATCGGCGGTCTCGATCGAGACAGCGGTATGAAAAAATCGAGATAGGGTAATTTGCGCGCGATGGCAAAACGGCGCGGTGGGGTAGTACGTTTTAATTTGATTACACATATCTCGCGTCGCCGTCGCCGCGTACGTCGTCGTCGTCGTCCCGTGGTGAGCGCTGAGACGTTTGAGGCGTTCGTTCTCGGTCTGTATTTTCGCCGCCGTGTTTTCAAAAGCCCCGACTCGGCGGTATTGTCGGCGGCCGAGGTCGTGCACGATGTGATACTGTAACGCCTACATAGTGGACCGCCGGTGTGCTCTTCGCGTGGTCGTGCGCCCAGACTCCGTGTGCTTCCACCGATTGCCCGCTTCAGCGCCACACGGTCCGTGAATCATATGCTTCAACACCAACGCATGTAAGCTAAGTCGTGCAGCGACTGAGAGCGACGTAGAGCTGAGCAATCGCCCCCGAGGGAGGCAAAGGCGGGGGGATCGTCAAGATCAGGTGAGCGTGGGGTAAGCCCCTCCTCTGGAACTCCACTGGAGGAAAGTGCCTTCCTTCGTCGGTCGTGAACAGAGTAACCGGAAGACACGGTCGCGGCGATGCGACTTCGACCGGACAGTCGTGCACCAGTCCGCGCTCGATCGTGCCGAGCGTGACAGACGACGGTCGAGCGATTGAATTGAGTCGACCCCATAGTCGAGGTTCTTGAACACTTCGGCAGCGAGTTCGACGGGGATGTCATCGAAGGCCATGGTGAGACGAAACCGCGCGAGCGATCGACGATTCAACAATTCGCTTCGCGAAGTGCTTCACCTGCGCGTTGTCTCGGGGAACGCCAGGTCGCGCGCGTCGTCGTAGTTCGTGTGCGCGGCCGCGGTCATGCTCGAGACCTCGCGACGCGTCGTCTCCCGCGGTGGCGCGACGGTCGTCCATGCGACGCGCGACGCGTCGCAATTCGATTCGCGAAGTGCCGATGCCGCGTCGCAATTCGCTTCGCGGAGTGCCGCGTCGCAATTCGCTTCGCGAAATGCCGATGCCGCGTCGCAATTCGCTTCGCGAAGTGCTTCACCTGCGCGCTGTCCGTGCTCGTGACGCTCAGGTCGCCGACCTCTGAGACATTGTCTCGACAGGCACTGGGTACTACTCGTACTCAGCCTGTTTGCCACTGCGGTGGATTTCCGTCCACCGCAGGAGAGACACGTCGCCCCAGCTCCTGCCACGGTCCGTGCGTAAAATTTCGCGAAAACTCACGTGCCGACGCGCGTTGGCGGTGCAAACGTCCGTGCACAATTTGAAGTCGAAAGGCGCGGCGACGGCGCGGCAGCGCGCGCGCGAGTACGCGCGAGTACGCGCGAGGACGCGCGGTCGGTCGAAATCGTCGACCGATGGGACGTACAAAAAAAAAGTTGCTATTATTGGATAAACCGTGTACACGTACGTTGTACTGTACCCGTTGTACTTTCGTACGAAAGTACTTTCGAAAGTACGAAAGTACTTTCGAAAGTAGGGCCCTACGATAGACCCTACAATAGTGCTACAATAAACGACGTACTTCCGTACTGTACGAAACTACGGAAGACACTTCCGGAAGTATCTATTTCCGTACTTCCGGCAGTATTACGTGTATGTGTGTACCTTCGTACGAAGGTACAGGTAGGAAAGATCACAGAACTGCATATGATACAGTAGGGCTACTAGTACTGTACGAAGGTGCCCGCGTGGCCTTCGATCAGATGTGATGATGCTAACATTGTTGTTGTTGTAAATAATAAATACTCATACAAGTTGTTATGCGCCGAATAGGTCCCTCGGGGTGGTAGTGAGATAGTGGGATAGTGGGATAGTTGGGGTAGTGGGTAGTTGGGTACGCGTTACAGTTGTGGGATAGTGGCATAGTGAGATCGTGAGATAGTGTGATAGTCTTATCATACCCCCCCGGTGGAACTACGTTTTTCAGTATCCTAAAACTCGCGGCCACCGTTTCGCCACCCTCGCGACTAGGGTGCTCGAACCCTAGCTAGGTTCACGGTTGCACGTTCGCATCTCCGCTCGCTCGTCGTCGCTGAGGACCCTAGCCGCGAGGGGGCGAAACGGGGCCGCTCGGGGGTGGGCGTCTAGTCCGAAGGGTGTAAGCGGACAGATGTGGGCATTCGCGGGAAATTCGTCGTTGTCGAAAAAAAGAGTACGTGTACGAAGGTACCTTCGTATGTATTTTTACACTCATGTTGTACTTGGAGGTAGCTAGCTATCATAGCTAGCTATCTACTAGCTAGCTAGCTACCTTCGAAGGTAGTAGCCCTTAAAGTGGGCTGCGTACTGTTTAGTTTGTACGAAAGTACTTTCGTAGTACTTATCCCAGTCCAGTGTTCCTAATGGACAGTCGCCTATCGAGGATACGTCGGTAAGTTCCTTGTGCGTGTTATGTGTATTGAATAGTGAGCTGTCGGGTGAAGCCCGACAGTCTCTTATCTCTATATATTTTGGTACTTCAATTTGACCCGCACTTCTCCCGACTGACCGACGACCGAAAGGAAGCGCCGGAGGCACTAGCTAGACTATTTTACTTTATCTGTACTGTAGGCCCAACACTGGCCCAACGGTACACGTGCACCACTACGTGAACTGTACGAGTACACGGACACGTACAGTACACGCAATAGTTGACAACTTCACCGTTGTACACTTACACGTACACGTACACTACACGTACGTGTACACGTGTACCTTCGTACGAAGGTACCTTCGTACTTTCGTACGAAGGTAGTACCTGTAGGGCTACACGTACACGTGTACGTGTACGTGTACGAACTTCCGGAACTCAAAGAAAAAACAATGGAGTCTCATCACACCAAACGCTACTACTCTACGCTGTGCTCGGACCAGCCGTCGAGATTTTGTACTTTGCGTCACTCCTACACGTCAGATGGTACCTACCCCAGCTGTATCCGTGCCATGTCGTGACATTTTTTGCACATCAACCTACGCGAGGTTACGAACTAACCTTGGGGTTGCCAGGATTTTGACGCGGCGTCGCGAACATGAAGTAGTGGCTTCCTGGCACTGCCGCGGGACTCCTCGAGCACGGAACCGCCGAAACAAGCTTTTTTTCTGTGCATCTATAGCTAACCGCTCGAGAAGTGCATCCGAGATACTTGAGCGCGCCAAGCGCTACACCAGCGACCTGACAGAGTTGGGTCTGACGATGCCACTGATCCGGCGAAACGTCGCTGGAGTGAAAAACGACCTCAAGGCACTGAAAGTGTACCAGGAGGCGCTGGACGGCATCGAACCGGTAGACGAGGACGACTGGACGAGGCTTGAGTTGGTGCTGCTCGATCTGAATTCTCTTCGGTTGAATAAGGCAGAGGAGGAGCTTTTTTGGGCTGAGCGGGACGGACAGATAGTGTCGCCAATCATTGACAATGCCGCTGGTCTTAGCGAAAAGGAGAAATCGGAGGTCGGAAATATCGTCGCGAATATAACTATGTGGAGCGTGCAGGGCGCGGTCTGGAACGCTCTCATTCTGCTCATTATCTTCATAACACTGGTCAACTTTGTGCTCAAGTAGGCAACAAGCAAAAAGGGCAAGTTGTTGCTTCGGTAAAGTCAGCTTGTCAGCCAAACATAGCAGTCGTGTTTTATTGTTAAGCCCTATTTCCTGCAAAGCCTGAATTACTGAACTGGCACAGGGCCCTCCTGTATGTTTCAATTCAAATCTTTCGTATTTCTACAAAGTCATTTGACTGTTTCGCTAGATCCGAAATGGGAGTGCGGCCTCTCCTTTTCATATAGTCTGCAACCTGTCTCAATTCTTTGTGTGAAACAAAAATAAACTTACCCCTGTCATCCAACACTCCAGTGATACGCCCCATATATTCCAGCGCTTGCACTCGACACACCGCGTCTTGGGTTCGAAGCCCGAAATCGGCAGCTAGCTCTTCCAGAACAGTTACTTTACTCGCCATGATGTGGTCGATAAACTCCTGCAGTAAGTCGCAAGACTCTTCTCGTATCAGGGTCTCTGCTGCGCCCTTGCTTTCAAGAGTGAAGAGGTCTTTCCATGAGTCAAATTCTGTGTTTTCCCTGATTTCTTGCTCTGCGCATAGAGCATCGCTGGCATCTCTTTTCGCTTTTTCGCGTTCGTCCTGTTCTACCATTTTCAAGTGGTACCTCTTTTCCTTAGAAGAGTAATTTGTGCGGCTTGCTTCCATTTCTCGCTGCTTTGTTTGCAGTACTTCTCTTCTAAACACTGCATGGTCAGCTTCTGTAAGATTCTCGTCCCCGTTACCAGCAATCGCGAAGCTTCCATCGCCTCGGCGAACTCTTAGTCGCCTGCAAGTACACGCAACACGTGAGTTCTCAGAAACGAGGCTCTCGGCAAAGTAAGCGTCGGTGGGCTACCTGAGATTTCCAGCAGGTCGCAGGCGTGTCACGCTGAGAGGGCGACCCTTGATATTTCGCTGTAGGGTTGGAAACACAAGCAACATGATTCTCAGTTGGAGCCAAAAAACTGTGGAAAATACGAGACTTACCGTGCCACCCTTCGTAGTATCTCGCCCGGTGCTAGAGTTTTGTCGTCCGAGTGCACTAATAGAACTGATAAGCAAAACAATAAGGAAAAAGAGCGTGCACGACGCCACAGTTGCAAGAGCAACGACTTCAGTCATGCTGCTCCTCGTGCCGGAACTTCGAGGTAAGACCACGAATTCGACAGGAGGACCTTGGCGCTGTGAGCAAAAGTACACGTACCCGAAGGTACATTTGTACACGTACACGTACTGTAGTTGTACGCGTACAGTACGTGTGGCCCTACTGTAGACCTCCGGAATTATTGGGGGGAAGGTTTACCTTCTCCCATCTACTAGGGCTACAACGTTGTAGGGCTAGCTAGGGGTATTTCCGGACCTACGTACGAAAATTTCAGCCTATCAAATGCGTTTGGCGCCCCGTATGCAAAAACGTGGCACAGGACCTGACGATGAACTCTTCCGATGAAAACCATTTTCAAACCAATACACGAACTTTCGTACTTTTCAGACTAAATACCCTGCCGCGCCCTGCCCCCTTCTCCCAACTACCGACTCGCAGCGGAGGCGCTGGGCCAACCAAGAGCTTCCCGAATCGTGGTTCCCTATGTAAAGTAGTTTGATGTAGTACGCGAAAAAACTACTCAGTACGGTTTTTCATCGCGAGGAGCGTCGATTTCACCCTGGCCAGCCCGGGCCTGTTGAAAGCACGACGAGAGGAGTCCAAATCCGTCGAGTTTTCAGACTGGGACCCGTGGCAATATTGCCGCTCACGCTCCGCAACATTCGGATTTTCCTCAAGACTATTTTCGTATGAGTATTTTGTGTAAAATACACAAAAATACTGTATGAAAAGCTGGGAAAAACCAGTTTTTTTTTGTTTTTTTTTTTGAATCGCGCTTCATCGGCATTTTCGATTCTCGAATCGATCAACCGAGCGCGGCGACAGAAGAGGAATCTCGTCAGGAGCTCAAAAGTGGGTCGATCGTTGAAAATGACCGATCAACGGATCGTCAGGGTCAAAAACCATCGTTCGGGAAGCTCTTGGTTGGCCCAGCCCTGTAAATAACCTCGCTCGTTCGAGGGCTAAGGGGGAGGTGCTGAAGATTCTCCAGATACCATTCTCCGCTAGCGTGCCGTGTCGGGATGGCATCTCGCGGCGCTGAACGGCGGCTGGCTCGCGCGGCAGAGTCTGGTGACATAAAAACCGTCGAAGCCCTTCTCGCCGACGACGTCGACCCCAGTCATGGAGACCGCCACGGGATAACACCACTGATGAAATCGTGTCACCAGGGGCATATTGAATGCGTTCGTGCCTTGCTTGCACACGGCGCGCCGTGGAATGAACTTGATTTCGAAGGTCACTGCGCAGGCGAGTACGCATCCGCGGGCGGACAGCATGACCTCGTCGCCGCGCTTATCGAGCACGCGGTTCAAGCTGAGCTCGTCCTCGGCGTCCTCGGTCGAGCAGAACGAGCGTCGAAAGTGCCCAACTTCTCGTACCTTTCCAAACCTGTGACGTATGATGGCGGTGATAAGCTCCTCGATACCAACCGTGACGCTGTGATGATGGACTGGGAGACGCCTCTCATGAAACGACATGCTGAGGCGATTTGCGCTGGCGGAGGAGACGTGTTGAACGTCGGTTTTGGCATGGGAATATTTGACAGGTGCGTTCGAGAGCACCCTGTTGTTTCGCACACAATCATAGAGGCGCATCCGGACGTGCATTCGTACTTGATACGAGAAGGGTGGGGATCACTTTCCAACGTGAGAGTCGAGTTTGGTCGTTGGCAGGATGTCGTAGACGCGATTATTACTGAAAACGATGCCTTACCTGGGGGTCGAACGAATCCAGATGCGCGTCTCTTTGATGGTGTTTTTTTTGACACGTATGGTGAGGATTATGATGACTTACGAGACTTCCACGCCTTGTTACCCAAGATAATGCGTAAAGGTGGAGTGTACTCTTACTTCAACGGCATGGCTCCAGACAACGGGTTCTTTCACATCGTATACTGTAGGTTGGCCGAGGCAGAGCTCGCGAGAATAGGTTTCAAAACGCAGTTTGAAAAGATGAGGATAGATTCAAGAAGTGAGTCGATTTGGTGTGGGGTAGACAGGAGATACTGGTGGGGGGAAACATACTTGCTGCCCGTTTGTCGATTGGTCGATAGGCGGGAGGAAGAATTTGGTGACCCTGAAGATCGTTAACATTCACACACACTCGCACTCGCACACACACACACACATGCACGCATACACACACACACACACATGAACGCATACACACACACACACGATCGCACCTCATCAGATACCGATGGCGTCAAACAACCGAGGCACCCCATGTGCACACACCAAGGCCCCCGTCACATCCTGAGCAAGCTCGACAACGGTTATCGCGGCTAAACGCATGTGCACAGTGCCTTGCGCGACATCCGCCTGTGCCTCACTCTCCGCCTTGACGTCGCCACCACGTCCTCCGCCAAAAACACCTTTGCCCACACGTGTGCCGCCAGCCTTTTTGTAGTGTGATACGTACCCACGTAGACAGCACTCTACGAATGCTTGCGCAACATATGAAATCGCCCACACGCTGAACTGAGATGCAGCGTGACCGATTATATATTTCACCGTGATAATCTTGATCACTTCGAAATACGATGCCCTATTCACAACGGCTGCAGACCGATTCACCACCCTCGCTCCAACCGGAAAATCGTTCTTCAGAACAAGGGGCAGGTGACTCAGCCATGAGAGTGCGCTTGGCATCAGAAAAGCATTGGCACCATCGCGTGTTATAGGTAAGGACGTCGACTGTGGTCTCCAAACTGAACCAGCGGCAAAGAAGAGCATGTAAGAAAACGTCCTCCACATCCGACGATAACACGTGCTCGCGGCGTATAACACTTCCCCGTGCGCATTTAATGGCATGGGATATAAACACACGCACGCGAGGACAATGCCAACAAGTACATACCCCTGACTACTCATCACAGTAGATGCTTCCAAACCATTCGTCGCCCACTCGACATGTGGGAGGAGGCAGCGTAGTAGTATTGCTCCAACGACTATCCCACCTTGAACATTTGCGGGTGAGTCCCCGTTCGCCATCCTTGCAAGGGATATGACAGTCATGTATGCAAACGCAAGAGAGTAGTCTATTACTGCCCACCACGGCGTTTTCATGTTCCAAACCCACTCAAAGCCATATCTCCATCGCAGAATCAGGAACGGTAAAGCAGAAGCTTGAATACCGGCAACGGATGGCCACGAGTGAACGCGGTGACGCATCAGTGAACCTGTGGAGGGGTTTGCTGGACGAATCGACGACATCGATGTCGCAAGTGCACCCTTCATCAAACATCCTATCCCGACGCAGAGGCAGTAAAACACCATGACGAGACGAGTGAACGCGCAGTCGCACGTCCACACAAGCAATGGGAGCAAGTTTGCATGAAAGCCCCGTGACCCGAGGTAACCAGCAACAAAGTAAAAGTAACGAACCCACCCGCTGTCATCTGGGTTCAAGCCCACCTTGCGCAGCATCGTTGGGACCATAGCGGCAGTGATATCAATCTGGTTCAAAATGTAACGTCGGAAGATGTTGTGCCAGTGTAGTAGAACGACGAGCGCGGGTACGCTAAGGGAGCGCGGGGAGTCTTGATCGGAGGGATCAAACTGCGCGAGCGGGGTGCCACTCGTTGTGCGCTTAAGCACGATTCCCGACTGCGATGACACAGCAGCTGAGGCAACATGCGTGCGAAATGGTTCCAGAATATCGTGGTCGCTTTCATCTGTGGGCACATTCCAGTATTGCAGTGATGATTCCGCGGGCAAATCCGACCAAGATGCGGACCTGTTATTTAGTTTCTTTGTAGGGATTCGCGGTGATAGCAAGGACTCAGATGATGAATCTTGATCATCCGCCAGTGGGGTGCTGTGTGCGACAACAAGCTTCACCTTCTGATCATCCAAGACAACGAGACGGATGATGCCGTCCATTTGAAGTGTAGCACCTGGACATTTAGCACGAGATCTGGGTGGCGACGCGGCATTCACTGACTTGGCCGGCTCGAGTGCTGGCGCAAGCACGGTGGACCCAGGGTCAATCGAGTTCCTTGCGCTGCGAATTGAGGCCGGGGCTTCGACATACGCTGTCATGGATACCCGTGCGTCCAGTCGAGCGGCTTCGACGCCGATTGAAAGAGCATGCGTAGGAAGTACTTGTGCAGCCTCCTCCGCCAGAACTACGAATGCCTTGGATAAGGAAGTTTTCGTGTGTGCTGCAGATGCATACACCCTTAGCGACACAGGAGGGGCGTGCTGCGCTGGGACAAGCGGGTTGACGCGAGCAACGCAGACGCCAATACCTCTCGATCGTGCCCTGCTCGCAATTTGTGCCAGGAGATTTATTTCATTCCCGGCGCTGCTTCCCGCAGCGAGGCGCAGCGGGACCACGGGTGAACCCGCATCCGCATCAGTTGTGAAACCTGGGATTCGCCCGCTCAGTGCCGCTTCTCGCAAAGCGGATGCAGAAGCTTGTGCTTGCGCGACGAGGCGAGGTTCCGCTGAAACCCGCCGGATCGCATGAGCAGCCGCTGTCGCCAGATACGGAGGAAGCGATGCACTGAACACGTACCCACTTCCCATGAGTCGTTGGTATGCGACTACACCAGTGTCCCCGGCACAAAACCCGCCAACACTCGCACCTGCACCTTCCAGGCTCGCGGTGATGACATCAACCTTGCCTGCATCAACGTCAAAGTGTTCAGAAAGACCGCGCCCGGTTGCCCCCATCGCGCCAAAAGAGCATGATTCATCGAGTATCAGGCGCGCGTGGTGTGTTTCTTTCAGCGCAACGAGCTCCGGAAGCGGCGCAACGCGGCCAGTTCCTTGAAAACACGCTTCGGTTATGAGCCACCTACGTCTGCCCGGGCGGGCAAGCCGTGCGGAAGTTACACCGTCCTCGGCCTCGAGGTTAGCGAATACTCGCGCACAGTCATCCGCATCACAGTGATTGTACCATCTGACGTCCATCTTTGCGAGTCGTAATCCGCCCAAAATACCGTGTCCGACACCTCGATCAACAACAGCAACGTCTGAACGATGCCCAAGTGATGGAATGACACTGGACACTGTGCACGCACCAAACGAGTACAAAACCGCCTCTTGGCACCCTAAGAAATCTGCTATTGTCTGTTCCACGTCCATGTGTGGTGGGAACGTGCCGTAAAACCCTCTCGGGGAGCAGCTGCCTAGACCCAAAGTTTCAATCGTCGCTGCACACGCTTCCTTCATGATTGGATCCGTCGTTAAAGCGAGGATATCTTGGGAGGATAACATCACGTTATACTCCTTGGGCTGCGTCGTGATCCCTGTAATGGAGTACGTATCAATTGGGCCGCTTGACGCTGGCGGTCCGCCGTCTCCGTAATCATCAGATAGCGGTGTGCCTCTTGAATGTAATGGGGCAAATCGCGCTGTGTTTCGTCCAGTAGCAAGGGAACGTGCAGCAGCAAGAGCTGCAGGACGCGCTGCCGCTGCAGCTGCTGCACGCCGGACCCTCCCGCCATGTTCTTTACGTTCGATCACTTCCAACGACCCAGGAAACCACTTGTTTGGCGGTGTCAATTTAAACTTGATTGACAGCTCATCCGATATATCACTAATGGCCGCGAGCGCGTCTGCGAGATCTTCTCGCGAATGCGCGGCAGAGACGCAAAAACGAACTCGCGGATATTTAACCGGTGTGGCAGGTGCTCCTACGACTACAGTCGCCAGTCTTCGGTTAAATGCAAGCCTAGAGAAGTCACCAATTTTGTATGGTTGGTAAAGCATCACGGGCATGACCGGCGAGGGGTGCTCGCCTAAGACTTCCAGGCCGAGTTCTTCTAAGCCATCACGAAAAAAATTAGCATTTTCTCTCAGAGCCCTCAACTTTCTCGCGCCTATATCAGTTCCGTCTTCGCCGGTGATGACCCGCAAAGATGCCAATATCTGTGCGCATACAGCAGGAGGCATGGACACCGCATCTGTGCAGCCCGCAGCGTACTGACGCACGCGCGCGATCGTCTCGTGGTCGGAGGCGATGTATCCACCTGCCGCACCAAAGCTCTTTGTAAACGTCCCCATCATGATGTCAACGTCTGCTGGATCCACACCAAGTTCTTCGCAGACGCCCCTCCCAGTAGCTCCAACTGCACCGATGGAGTGCGCTTCATCAAGCCAAATATACGCGCCATACATCTTGCACACGCGCACGATGTCGGGCAGGCAGCACAGCTCACCTTCCATTGAGTAAATGCCCTCTACAATGACGAGAATTTTGTTGTATCTTGGACCCTTCCCCGCGACTGCATCTTGTAGAATCAACTCCAAGTCACCGGGGCAGTTATGTTTAAAAGGCTTAACTTTCGCACCGGAGAGTCTGACGCCCTCTACGATAGAATTATGGTTCAGGGCATCTGAAATGATTAAGTCGCCTTTACCACATAGCGCAGGGATCACTGTCGAGTTGGTTGCGAAGCCCATCCCGACAACAACTGCAGCCTCCTTCCCTACGAACTTCGACGTCGTCTCCTCGACCTCGCGTATAGGTAAACTGTAACCGAGTTCTGCGGAAGGCGAGCCGTTGGTGATCGGGTGATCCATCACAGCCTTACGCACAAGCGGGGTGCAGTGTGTGTTCAACCCACCGAATCCGAGATAGTTGTATGACCCTAGGTTGAGGCAACGTCTCGATTGTCTGGTCGTGACGAGCTTGCTGAAGTAGCCGCGGTCGGAGGTCGGCTCGCGAATTGCTACGTCGATCCAATCCTCAGGTGACGAATAAACTGGGCGGTTGAAGACGTCTTCGATGTTGCCGTAGAGGTTGCGGATATAAAAGAAATCTTGAAGCTTTCCTTTCGAGAGCGCAGGGAGGTCATTGCGGTCGCCGTTGACGTCATCAGTGCGCCAGTCCTTGATACCTCTGAGGGAGTTGAAAGTATTTTTCGCAAGACCCTCGGCGACCTTTTTGTTTGGGGGTAAAAACATAGGTTGGATCGTATCGGTTCGGTTACTTTTGAAGGAGGAAAAGAGTAGGAAAAAGGCAAAAAGACAGCTGGGACAGTTTTCGGCGAGCCACGTAGCCTCGCCGTGCGATCGCTGCGCGGGAGACATGTCGAGTTGGAGGAGGCTCGGGGTGATGAAGACGCGACGGACGTGACGATCATGCCGTTAGGTCGTGAACATCGACTTCAGTCGATCGAACGGGTGATCCGCATCCGATGCGTCGCAAGCCGTCCGCACGATGCGGACAGAGAAACAAAGTTTCACCAACAGACAGAATCACAAGTTGTTTACCGAAGCGTCGCTCGCTCCGATAACGTGCACGGGTCGGGGAGGGAGATATTCGTGATTAGACTCACGTAGATGGCGTACTGGTAGTATGTCGCCGCGTCATGCCCTAGCACCCTGTATGCCGAGCCCGACTTCGCGAGACGCGTCGAGTCCGGAGCGTACGCATCATACTCCATGCCGCGTCTTCTCCTCTACACTTGCGCACCAACAGACTTAGGATGCGCGATCGACGTGCAATCAGTCGGGCCAGACGTGGAAGGCTATTCAGGGACGGATGTTGGTGGGGTCCAGATTTGTGCACCTTCCCGCGACTACGGCGAGTGCGGCCGAGGTCGAAAGGCACGAGGCAATGGACGACTGATCCTCAACACGTCTAACACTGTGCCTTCGAAGGTACAGTACAGCACGTGTACACGTACTGTACGTGTACGTGTACGTTGTACGAAAGTACTAAAGTACTTTCGAAAGTACTTTGAAAGTACTTTCGTACGAAAGTACTTTCGTACTTTCGTACTTCCAGAAGTAACTTCGAAGGTACAGCTGTACACGTACACGTAGGGCCATATGTACATACAACGTTTGGGTACAATATTATCTATCTATCTACGGACAACAGTATCTAACTATCTATCTATCTACGAAGATATCTATCATTTCTTCAGTATTTCTTCAACTTACTGTACAGTACCTTCGTACCTTCGAAGGTACTTTCGTACGAAATAAAGTACTTTCGCGTACTTTAAAAAAGTAACCTGCCTTCGTCGTACTCCACGTGTACTCATACTGTAGCTAGCTAGCTACGAAGGTAGTCTAGCTAGCTACGAAGGTAGCTAGCTAGCTAGCTAGCTGCGAGTAGCTAGATAATACCTTCGAACGAAAGTACCTTCGAAGGTACTTTCGTAGCTTTTTAGAAGATGGAATTTCGAAAGTACTTCCGGAAATATTAGAATACGATACTGTACAGTGTACAGCTGTACACGTGTACAGCAGTGGTTAACTTACTAAAATTTCGACACGTACACGTACGTGTACTGTACAGTTACGTGTACAGTAAATAATGATGACTGCCGGAAAAAAAAAGTAACGTTGTACGACTGTTGTACGTGTACGACCGTGTACACGTAGGGCTACGTGAGTGCTAACGTTGTAGTCGTGTACCTTCGTACAGCTGTGCACGTCACGTACACGTACTTCCCCGTGTTGTAGACCTCGCGCCCTCGCTTGACGAAGTTCGTGTCTCTCGCTTCTGTCTTGCGCATCCTGCAAATTGTTGAGCGCTGGTCATTTTTCGACGTGAACACAATCAACGAAGCAATGCAGGTGAACATTCGAACATGCGATCTTTCATCCGCACTCCCCGGACTGATTTCTCGACTTGATATGAGGCGGAACTCCCTCTTTCTCAAAAAAGTCTCCTGCATTTTTCTCAGGCGGCAACTTGCGCGATTTCAATCGCGACCGCAGCGCCTTCGAGTCGCAAATTTTCCTCACGCAAGATGATCCGAGGATCAATGTTTTTTCGAAAGGTTTGATCACCCATTTCTTCGTTTCTAAGGCATGGCATCTCGAAGTAATTCTTAGCAACTGACTTTCAGTGCCCCTGAAAGCTCGTTCTGCATAACTTCTGAGATAATTTCTTCTTTCCTCGTCTCTACCACGGCACGATTTTAGGCTACCCCACTCACGCTCGGCACGAATCCATGTGCTGGGAAACCATTCGCGCGATCTCGCCATGCGCGATTAGTTACTTCAGCGATGATGTCTGTATCTTCCTCTCCTCCAGCCTCCATAGAGGGTTTTGGGGATCACTGTTTTAAGGGCGCGGTCGCGAAAAAGTACCTCTCAAAATACGGAGAATCTGAAAAGCTCCTGGAGGATCCAACTTGGCCTAGGCGGCCCGGCAAAGCTGACATCGTCGCGAAGGCTGTCCTCGATTGGGCTGTCGACAACGGTGCTTCCGTGTTTTGCCACTGGTTTCAACCCATGGCTTCATCTGGTGTCCGCCATGGTCTATCTGCCCAGGTTCACCAGACTATGTTTGAGTTTGACAAGGACGGGAAGCCATTTTTCAAATTCGAAGGAGAACAGCTCCTCCAAGGCGAGACTGACGGATCTTCATATCCGAATGGTGGCATGCGCGCAACTCACACCGCCGGTGGCTATCTCTCAATCGACCCACTTTCACCCATCTTTCTTCGCGAAGATACCATATTCATCCCAGCAGCTTTTGTATCATACAATGGCGATGCCCTTGATGAAAAGACTCCTCTTCACAGAGCAACTCAAAAAATGTCTAAGGAAGGCACTCGTCTTCTGAAGTTGATGGGGTATGACGTCGATGGACTCATCAATAATATAGGCCTCGAACAGGAAATCTTTTTGGTGCCTCGGCATGCGTTTTACCGTCGTCCTGACCTGCAGTTTACTGGTCGCACCATCACGGGCAAACAACCAGCTCGTGGGCAAGAGATGAGTGATCACTACATGGCCCCAATTTCTCGTGCTACTACTGCATTCGACTGCATGCGTCAGATCCAGTCAGAGTGCTTCAAGATCGGCATTCCTCTCAAAACTCGCCACCGCGAGGTCGCACCAAACCAATATGAATTCGCCCCACTATTCGGGAACGTGATCAGTCAGACAGATCAGAACTTGATGGTTATGCAGATTATTGAAGAAGTTGCTTCTGAGAATGGCCTAGCTGCCCTGCTACAAGAAAAACCATTTTCTGGGATAAATGGTTCAGGTAAGCATAACAATTGGTCAATTGGCACTGTTGACGGCGTGAACCTCTTGAACCCTAAGCAGATAAACACCGCGTCGAAGAACGATGCGGTTTTTCCTGTTATAATGGCTGCGCTTGTCTCTGCCATCGATAAGCATGGTGACCTCATGCGCCTTTCTATTGCCTCACCAGGAAATGATTTTCGCCTTGGCGCGATGGAGGCTCCCCCAGCTGTAATGTCTACGTACCTTGGTGATGACACGGTACTTACTAGATCTAATGAAGACTGGCAAGGCAGCTGCCTACACTCCTTCAAAAAAGAAACTAGCATTCGGCGCCGAAGTTATCAGTGATATCGAGGTACCTTCTGAAGACCGTAATCGCACCTCGCCGTTCCCTTATGGCGGTTCCCGCTTCGAGTTCCGTGCCGCTGGCTCATCTCAGAACGTATCCTTGGTAAACACGGTTCTCAACACCATTGCTGCTGAGGCTTTCAGCATCGTTGCCGACCGCATCGAGTCAGGTGAGGAGCCATTAAAAATTGCTCAGGATCTCCTCAAGCAACACTCCAAGGTAATTTTCAATGGCGACGGCTACGACCCTGAATGGCCTGAGAAGGCTGTTGAAAAGGGCATTTGGCGCATTGACTCTGGCGTCGAGGCCATAAAAAAGCTTACGGATGCCAAGAATACCGATCTATTTCAAAAGATGGGCGTGCTTACCCCTCGCGAGTGTGAAGCCCGTCGCACGGTGCTTCTTGAACACTACACGGCTACAGTTGAGATGGAGGCCTTGACTTTGATTGACATAATCAACCAGCACGTGATTCCTTCTTGTAAAAAGGCCGAGCTTAACTTTGTGAAGCAGCTCGAAGACTCTGTCAAGTCCTTGAAGAGGTCTCTCCACGAGATCCATATATCATCTGAAGCGTCAGATGCCGCTGCACTTGCGCGCATTCTCCGCCTTGACACTATGATCAAGGTCCGAGAGGTATGCGATGAGGCTGAGTCACTTTGCCCTCCTTCCTTGTGGAGTCTTGCGACTTACTCAGAGCTACTTTTCTTGGATACATACCCTGAGGGTGATCTCCTTCTTTGAACTGAATGTCTTCAAGAACTACTATTTCAGAACTCAATTCCGTCCTTGTATATTTTTGCTGAAAGTGTTAGGATTGGGAACAAGCGCCAGGATATACCTTCGAAGGTACATATCTATCTAGGATGGGAGGGGTACCTCTGCCTTTGCCCCAAAAAACTGGGTCAAGCATGGGACTCTATACAACTCTTTGGTGTGATTAAAAATACTGGTGACCAGTGGACTCAGTTAGCTCGTTGTTCGAAAGAAAAAAAGGGGAGTGAGAATGGAATGTGTTAAACAACAACAACTTTATCCACACTGCTTCTTTCTATGAAGGTAATGACCAGCACTTGGAGACAAGTGAAATTCATAGGAACGAAATAAATTATACATTCTCTAAACAAACAAATTTTTGTTCTCGTCGGGTCCTCATACTCCTGTGCTGATACTTAGACTACATTTTGGCTAGACACTCTGCAGTGCTACGAGTAGACTGCTAGCTAGCTTATTAGTACGGAAGTACTTCCGGAAGTATTCTATACCTTCGAAGGCACGGAAGTACTTCCGGAAGTACTTCCATATCTTGGAAGGTATCTAATTTTCAGCTGCGACTACTGTGTATCTTTCGCTTGACAGAATGCCAAACAAATCTACTCTAAGGTATACAGTGACACTACAAACTTTCCGTTGAGTACGCAAAGACACAATCGGAAAGAAAATTTCCAAAGTAAGTTAAAATACTGCAAACTGTTTCATTTAAGGAGTTCATTGACGGTAAGCAGGACCTTCAAACGAACACCTTCGTGGCTCAAAGTTCACCACACTTTCGTACAAGAGATATCTTCCTCAGTTAAAAGAAATTTGGCAGCAAAATCTCCTTAACTCCAAGCAGCCGAGGAGAAAATTCAGAGCTCCGAATCACAATTCTCCATTATGAGTGAATAGACTTTTCAGTCACTTGAAGGATTCCTACTTCTACAAGAACCGCTGGTCCAAATTCGAAGTACTTCTCTGTTCTGAAAAGTAAGGTACTGGCTGTGGCCAGTATGACGTAAGAGTAAAAGCAAAGCCCACGATTCTAAGAATCTGTGGTACGGTTAGTATCTTATCATCCCGACAGACAGTTCTTCAATTCACAGACTTCGATGAAACCTATATTTTGAGAAAGTTGCTGTTACGTTGTGATGATTGTCAACCGTGAGCGACTCTTACTCAGTATCCCAGCTCGCAGCTGTCAGGGACACGACTTTCCCCTTATGATAGCCCACGGGATGCGACATACTTACGCGATACGCAACTTCAGCTTCGACGACAGCCTCGTCCAGAAGGTCTACGCCGGAAATGACAATAAGATTACGCGATCTGTGTCCAAGCGACACTGCAGATATGGGGATGTAGTTCAGAGAAGTCGACGTCCGCTGGTTCGGACAAGCGACCAACATTCCCTGTCTATCAGATAGGCTGGAAACAGAAAGACGAGCGGGAAGATGTTCACGCAACTGCTCTGACTGCCGGGGAACATTTCCTCGGAAAACGCGTGCACTTTCCCCTCTCACTTCCGTCAATATCCTTCGACCAAGCGTAAGTGGATCAAGACCAGTTCTTATCTCTTCCGTCACGCTTACCAGGTCCGAAACGCCGCGTCGCATCTCGTTATGCATCGCGTCTACATTAGCCGAGCGTGTGAGTATTTCAGCGTCTGCGCGAAGTTCGCTGATGAAACCTACGGTTTTGAAAGGGCAAGTGCCATCAGTAGAAGTGAATAGAAAGTGACGGGCTGCGACTGCGTGGAAACAGCTCCGTGTCAGGTAGCACCTAGTGCGCGGCCTGTTAATCTGCCGAGTCCCCGCGCAAGTATTGGCAAATCTTTTGTTCCTAGGGTAACTGCTAGAACCCCAATGGTGACGACGAACTCTCCCAGCCGCATACTCGTGTCTTTTTGTGAACAGTGTGACCGCTACAGGGTATTAGCTAGACTAGCTAGGGCTACACGTGTACAATGCGGTACTTTCGTACAGCACTGGTACTGCACTGGTACACGTACAGCATTTTAGTTTATTGACAAGGGAGTGCCTGTGGCTACGCTCACAATTTAATAAGAATCGAATATTTTTTGGCGAATCCAAGGTGGCCTGTGGGTGCGCTTCGCTGCACCGTAAAATTATCCGCGCTTCGCCTGTGACTCCACCGTGTGCCAGCGTGCTCCGCTTGCGCTGACGCGCGCTCCGCCCGTCGCGCCTTCGGCGCTCCAGTGGCGCGCTCCGCGCGCACCCCGGCGACTCCACCATCTGCCAGCGAGCATGCTCCGCCTGCGCTGGCGTGCTCTCCGCCTGTCGCGCCTTCGGCGCTCCAGTGGCGCGCTCCGCGTGCACCACCGCGACTCCATAATGCGTTAACGAAATCCGCCACTTCCGCCGCGGGGCGCGGGGTCGCCGGTGGAGTTCCGAACGGGTCTACCGGCGACTGAGTCGCCGTCAGAGTCTCGAAGGGGTCCATGCGAGTGAGTTCCGAGGCCGCCACTCACCTGAGGAAGCGGCGAGGGGTGCGCGCGGTGCGCGTGGCGAACGCGCATCGCACTTTTGACGGTTCATAACTCGTCGAGTAGATTTGTTTGCCCGTAGCATCGCGCTTGCGCGGCGTCCGCGCCCTTCGGGCGGCGCGGTTCCCTCGAAATCGTCGTCGAGAGGTCGCCTGGGAGGTCCCGAGGTGCGATCCGAACGTCGCATCCGGTCAAGTTCAACCTTGGCGCGCGCTTCGCGCGCGTGAACGCCGCGAATGCGCCCACCGCAATTCTGAGAAGCTCTGAGAGCGCAGCAAAAAAACCAACGGGCTTATTTCAAATGTTGATATTAGTGTTGTAGAAATAGACTAGCTAGCTAGTCTATCACAGCTCTCACACGTGCGATTCAGACACGAACGCGGTCGATCCGCGCGCCTCGAGGGTGATGTCATCGAACATGCCGTGCAGTTACAGAGCCAAAAACGGCGTCTGCGCGATGTTATAGCACACCGCGCGCTCATCCTTTCGCCCTTTCTAAGCTCATATCCTTTCGCTGATAGCCACTAGCTATCATACTGTATGTGTGTACACGTAGGGCCTAAGTTACACCTACAACGTTGTACGTGTACAGCCAGGGGATAATAACTTTTAAAAATAATAAATAAATGAGTACGTGTACGTGTACAACTACTGTACATGTACACGTACAGTACGTGTACAGTAAGAATAGTTTAATAGTTTTTCGAAGGCGAAGACTTTTGCGGGTCGAGCGAAATTAGACCGTCGATGTGAGTTAAAACTGCAGTACGTGTACGTGTACTTTGACATACTTATTTATTTACCTTTTTTTTTCCGGCAGTCATGATTGCAGTACACGTAGTGTACGTTCGTACAGCTTGTGTCTACACGTACGAAGGTACACGTATAGACAGGAGCTTCGCTCCAATCTGCTACCCTGTAGCTAGACACTCTTCCCACCTCTTTTCTAGTTTCGAAACTTCAGTAAGTTATCTGGTCTGCACCGCGCGCGCGCTCCAGACTGAGGGAACCCGCGATTCTCTTCCTTTCCACCCTGACCATCGTAGTCGAGAAGCGATCTCGCGCTTCAGGTTTGATAGAACGCGCTCGAGCGCGCGCGCAGTTTGGGGCGCGTAGGACGACCCACGCCATCACCAAAAGTTGCTACGGGTGGAGCTGGGGATGACAAGATCCTATGTGTAGTGACTCCGCCAGACGGGACACGACAATTGAGCGACAGAAGGTCGCTACGTGCTCCCCTTCGAAGTCACACGAGCAACAGAAAAGGAAGAGGCCGCAGCGGTGGGGAAAGAAGAAGAGCTTGGGGAAAGGTTCCTATGTGAAAGCGAACGCAATCACAACAAGAAGGTCCCCGCGCCTCGACCTCGTCCCCTTTCTGGAACGGGCATGCCCCCGTTCGCGAGCGACCCACTTCACCAGTGTGGCGTTGTGAGCGACGGGTGTGTGTGGCAGTGCGGTGTGATTGTGCACGGCTACATACTCCTCCGTGTGAGCTTCACGATAGATCTAACACTATCGATAGATGAAACGGCATAGCGTGAACGTAGATCCTAATCGTCTTCATCCGCAGGGGCACCCTCCTCCATGGCGTCTTCTAGGATCTCGCCGTCCTGGTGCTCGCCGCCATCTTCTTTCTTTTTCTTCTCAGGCGGCGGTGCGCGCTCCGTCGGTGCGCTGCGCTTCTTCTTCGGCTTCTTACCGATGCCGATCTGGGTGTGAGGAGAAAAGACGACGATGGAGGCGGCCGCGCGGTCAGAATGCGAGCGAGCGAGAGCGCGGGGACTAGAGGAAAGTCGGCCGGACCGATTATTCATGGAGAGAACCGAGTGCGAAGCGCGAGGTTGCGGACGTCTTTCATTACGAAGCGACCACGATTCGTCGCACTCTTCTCACCTCGTGCTCGATCGTCCCGATGTCCTCCTCGATCTCGGATTGCCGAAGCGTGAGTTGGAACGCCTCCCCCTTCGGCCCGCGCGCGCGCGCCATCGGCGCGACGGAGCCGTCCTCGTTCCACCGAGCCATCGGCCTTCGCATGAACCCGGGGTATACTAAGCGGTCATACTCATCAAGGGATTCGGTCGGTGTCGCCATCTTGGTTGCGGGTTTCCGACAGTGCCCTCAAGTGTGTGTGTGTGTGTACTGTATGTTCAAGGAGCGCCGCAGACACCCGCAACACTTGAGGTTGTGTGTCCGTACAGTAAAAGCTCCGTCAATTCACGCTAATTCAGGGCTTAATTAAGGTAGTCCTCTACGTAATTCGAAAAAATCCACCTAAAAAACGTACTCGTGTCCAAAAACACGTACAAACGTGTACGCGCGAACACCTGCGCGCGAAACCTATTTCCTTCCTCGAATAAGATCTAAACGGATTTTTTTTTGCACCATCGCGTTCCGGGCTTCAACGCCGAACTTCCTACGCCGGGGATTTTGCGTTCATGCTCTCTGTCGCGAGAGGGGTACGCGAACGTCGCGAATCGCGATTTCGGGCAAGATCTGCGATTTCTTCGCGACGCGCGCGAAAGTCAAAAAACCCCGGCGTAGCATTGTGCGCATGCCTTAGAACTGTAATCGTGCCAAGTTTCGCGCGCAGACGTGCATCGCGCGCGGAGGAGATAGGTTTCGCGCGCGGGTGTTCGCGCGTACACTTTTGTACGTGTTTTTCGTCACGAGTACGTTTTTTAGGTGGATTTTTTCGAATTACGTAGAGGACTACCTTAATTAAGGTCACGCTCCGCTAATTAAATTTCCCGTGCCAAAAGTACGAAATTTATATTAAATACGCATACAAATTGCAAAAACGCACTTAAAAAAGTCGCCGAGGGGTCTGAAAACCGCCTTCCAGGCCTTCTAAAATCGCGAAACTTTGAGAGAGCATCATCAAAAAATTGGAAAACATCGTGACAAAGTTTTAGATCAATCCGCGCAGCGACAGCGCGTGGGCGCGTACGAAAGTACGTTTTTGCAATTTGTATGCGTATTCAGTATAAATTTCGTACTTTTGGCACGGGAAATTTAATTAGCGGAGCGTGACCTTAAAGGTCGTAGGCCTGTACACGTACAATTAAAACTGTTGTAGTTGTACACGTACGTGTACACGTTTATCTTCGAAGGTACGAAAGTACTTTCGAAAGTAAGTTGCCTTCGTATTCGAAGGTACATTATATCATAGAATACGGACGGAAGTACTTCAAAGTAATTACTTTCGTACAAAATAAAGATTATTGTACTTCCGGAAGTACACGCCACACGGTACAGTAGATGTACCTTGTACTTCCCGAAATAGATACTTCCGTACTTCGGAAGTACTCTAGGGCCAGGGCTATTTCCGAAAGTACCTTCGTACTTCCGTACAACTAACAAACGTTAGTTGCTCCAGGGCAGGTCTCAGCAGGGCACTGACATATGTAGACAGCTAGACACTCATCAGTAATAGCTGTATACGTGTAGACTATTCTATCTCTACGTACAGTCTACAGACTGTCTACAGCTCTACACCTTTTTAAGGGACGGAAGTACGGAAGAAATTATTTCCGTACGTGTACAACGTACGGGTATCTGTGCGTGTACGTGTACTTTCAAAGGTAGAAATAGATAGAATATCATAATGATGTACGGGTACGTGTACACTACGTGTCTGTTTTACAGAAGTTCTTCCGTGCGTAAGTACTTCCGTCCGTATTATGTAGCACTTACGGAAGTACTTTCGAAAGTACCTTCGAAGGTATTTACGTAGATATATCATAATTACTTCTAGCGCAAAGGCAGCGCGCGCCAGCCAACATGGTCGCCGGATCCCCCCCGCGCATACGTACGAAAAACCTACCGCGATTACGTCGCAAAAGGCTGATACGGAAGTACGAAAGTACGAAGGTACGAAAGTACTTGCTTGTCCTGACTACCTCCGTATTTCTTTTAATATTAATTTAAAATATTCACAATAAGTTGTTACCTTCGCACGAAAGTACGAAAGTACTTCCGTACGAAGGCAACAAAAGTACACGTAATGTACGTTGTACTTTCGAAAGTACACTCGTTGTACCGTACGGAGGTACGAAAGTACGTTATTATTCTACACATTTGATACAGTATCATATTTATTTGAATCATGAATAATAAAAAAAACCTTCGAAGATAGGTGGGCAGTGGTAGGGCCTACCTTCGTACTTTCGTACTTTCGAAAGTACTTTCGAAAGTACTTTCGTACTTTCGAGTACGAAAGTACGAAAGTACCTTCGAAGGCACAGTACAACGTACGTGTAGATAGACCAACGCGTTACGCACGTAGCCCTAGCTAGCTAGTCTACGTGTAGCTAGATCCGTACCTTCGTACTTTCGTACTTTCGAAAGTACTTTCGTACTTTCGTACGAAAGTACTTTCGTACGAAAGTACTTCCGTACAGTGCTACTATCCATACAATACAAGCTACACGTACAAGGTACACGTGTACAGTACGTGTACGTGTAGCCCTTCAATGGAGAAGCCTTCGGTCGGTCTCGGGACAACCTTCGAGCTCAATAATATCCTGTCCTTGAACCCGTGACATAGCGCCCGCTCGAAGCGATCGGTCGCATCGCCAACAACCGTTTTCCAGACCTTTGATTTCGAAGAACCGTGTCCACCCGTGCAGAACCCTTTGACGGCGTCAGAAAAAATCCAGCGCAGCGGCGTCGTACGAAAATATGTTTTGCGCCATCAGCGGCGTTGCCCCTGAGTTGCCCGTGGTCTCGGTCAAGTCTGGGCATCTCTTCGAAAAGTCCCTCATCGCAAAAGCGATCCAGGTTTGTATTTCTTTTTGTTTGCGTTTGCGTTTCGTCACGCCGTGGCGTCCGTTCCTCGACGCAGCCCTTAATTCTGTGAAAGGGTTTTCGCCCTCCTTTACAGTCCACCTCGTTCTTGCTGACCACACCTGCAGGAGACGGGAAAATGTCCGATCACGAAAATCGCCCTCACACTTGACGACATTATCCCCATCACGGGTAATCCTGCGGTGAATTCGCGAGTGTTCGCGAACGCTTCTATTCCAGGCATGCTTGCGACTTTTCACAACGAGTGGGATGCTCTGATGCTTGAAACGCACCAACTCAAGAAAGATTTGCACTCTGTTCGGCAAGAGCTGAGCGTTTCCTTGTATCAGCACGATGCCGCATGCAGGGTTATTGCTCGGTTGGTAAAAGAGCGCGACGAAGCACGAGCAGCCCTCGTGAATGTGCAGGCTTCTGGCAGATCTGCCAGCACAATGGGGAAGCGAACCTCTACTGCAGCAGACGATGACGTTGCCTTTGACCCAGTTTCTGGCAGCACAAAACGATCAAAGAGTGGGATACCTACCGACGTCATCGATGTGTTGCAGTCGAAATCTGCGGAATTGAGCAAGATGCGAAAGAAACGCGAAACTGCACCCTCTTTGTCATCACCTGAAGCAATAAAACTTTACGATCTAAAATTGGCTTCGCCTTGTCACAAGACGTCAACTCACGGGATATACTCCCTCGCTCTCAACCCTGGAACACCGGCGATCGTAGCCACCGCTGGAGCTGATGGAACTCTTGCGTTATTCGATGCCAGTGTTGGTAAGCGCAGTACCCTGCTTACGGGACATGGCAAGAGAATAAACTCCGTCGCTTGGGCTGGCTCGAACCTGCTCGTTTCTGGTTCGAACGATAAGCTTGTTAAGGTCTGGCGACAAGAAAGCAGCGGTACATACAAGTGCACGTCAACGATCAAAGATGTGCACAATAATGACGTAGTAGCTGTGTCGACGCACCCAACGAATACATATGCATGCTCTGTTGGTGCCGACGGCCTATGGGCACTTTACGATATTGTCGCAGCGGAGTGCTTATCGTCAGTAAAAGACGACAGTGACAGCAGGTATTTGTGCGGAGGATTTCATCCTGACGGTCTCATCTTCGCCACCGGCGGTGACGACTCCTTTGTAAAGTTGTGGGACATGAAGACCCAGAAGAGTGTCGCGAGGTTGACAGGGCATACAGGGGCGGTCGCCGCTCATTCCTTTTCCGAGAACGGATACTACGTGGCTACGGCGGCAGCTGATGGTGTAAAACTGTGGGATTTACGCAAGCTGAAAAATTTCATGTCTATCAACGCTGTAAGCAACGCCACGTCCGTAGTGTTTGACAGCTCAGGGCGCTACCTTGCAGTTGGGGGCATCGAAGCAACCGTTTATGATGTCAAGAAAGACTGGGAGGTTGTGAAGGTATGGGAGGTAAAAAAGGGACCGGTCACGGCTCTATCGTTCGCCCCAGATGCCACTGCACTTTATCTTGGTGCTGGTGATCACAACCTCCGCGTGTACGCGTAAGGTCCAAATTGGCGATTGACACAAAATGCACACAAGATGCAACTTGCCTTGGGCACACGTGCTTTTTAGATAATGAAAATCCTTGTTACAGTTTGTGTATCGCTGACTTCCTTCGTGGCTGATTTTGTATTTTTTCTCCTGCTGACTTCCAGACTTCAGTTGCCTGCACATCCGTTTTTCAGTGAACATAAAGACCTCGTGAGAACTGTGTTTGCTGTCCATATCTATTCACTTGGATTCTCGCACGCGCACAGTGTCTTTGACGGTAATCCTGCTCTTTATTCCTATTAAAAGTTAGCGCCCCGGAGAAGAGAGGTCGCGTCTTGTCCTCAGTGAGATTACACGACTCACCGACGCTCAGTGCTGCTGCAGCCCCCATGCAACCATGCAACGACTTTAGTTTCAAAGCAAAATCTCCTTTAAAATTCGAAACCATCCAGATTCCTTTCAGACACGCAAAGCATACATTGTGACCTTGAATCGTACACGTAGCTAGTTTAATGCATACAATTGATGGTTAAAATAGGGCTACGAAGGCCTATCATAGAAATCTACCTCGAAGGTACCATGTCTTTTATATTATTATTTGTGCAGAAGTAGTATAGATAGTGATCTACTACCGACGTACCTTCGTACTATGATCAGCGCCTCTGGCTGCGCCGCCGGTATAGATGGGAGAAGGGGGCACGGCGCGGCAGGGTATCTCCCAACTAGGGTTTTTTCCGGACCAACAAAATTCAGCATATCAAATGCGTTTGGAGCCAGTCTCCAAAAGCCCGCCACGGGACCGGACAAACAACCAGACCGCGTGTATAGTCCTATGCCTTGAAGAGCTGATGGATCAGGGTGTTGACAGAGCTATCAGACAGAGGGACGAATTCGCATGTATTCGCGAGAATGGTTCAACTGAATTCAATCAACCTGATCAAGCGTGCCTTCATTCGGGAATTGCTATTGCTGTGTTTCGGACAAAACCAGACCAGGGAACAGTAGACAATCAAGAACACAAGGCAAACAGTCGGGATGCCTTTTCAGAGTATTACTAGTGAGTCTACTTGCCCTTGCCCTACATGATAATGCATTTGGAGGAAGTCTTTTTCGCTTCTGCCTTTCTCCGGGCAACGTGGCTGGTCGGATTATTCACAATTTCAGCCCTTACTATTTTGCGCACCACCTCGATCTCCTGGTTGCTTAAATCAATGCCTGCAAGGTCAGCAGCCACTCGATAAAAGGTTGTTGTGACATTATCCCCTGTCTTAGCTGAAACAAAATAACTACACATCTCATTTGCGTCCGCAAATTCGTTGTGCATTTCAGGTGTGACAGCCCTGATATGTGAAAGGTCTGCTTTGTTCGCCATCAGTGCAACGTATGGCATGAGTCGACCATTGAAAGTTTTTTTCACGAGAGCGTACCAGTCTTGCAAGTTCTCAAAACTTTGATAGTTGGAGATATCATAGATGAGCACTATCGCCTGTGCCCCATAAACATATTTATTGATCATTTTTCCGCCAAGAGTTTGTCCTCCGATGTCCCAGACCTGTATCGTGACGTCGATTTCAGATGGCAGGGTGACTTTTCGCACGAAAAAGTCCAGCCCGACAGTCTGCTTGTAGCTGGTCGGGGTGAAAAAAGTAAGAAAAAAGTGTTCAGTCAGGCTCAGCTCAGCTCAGTACGCATCACACGGTTTTAAAGAGGCATTTTTCTTCTTCGAAGAAATCCGGAAATCATGTTGACATCAAGGGCTAATTGTCTCCGTGTCGAAATATAAACAACCATACATTTTATTTAGAATGACCTCTCTTGCACAGCTGCAGGGCAAATACACTAGATGTACCTTTTTCCAAAATAGTCTTCTGTGAATCTCATCGCAATTGAAGTCTTTCCCACAGAACCGTCACCAAGTAGTATGACCTTGTACAAGAGGGATGGTCCAAAACCCAACAAGTCGTCGTATTAGTATGAAGTTGGCGAAATGTTGAAAAAAACAGAATGCGTTGGGCAGGGCAAACGTTATTAGTAAATCTTGATAAAAACTCACCTGAAGCTGTTCCGACTCTTCATCAGATTCAGACATACCTTTCGGAAGGAACAAGCAACACGTACAGTACACGGTTTGAGTAAGAGTAACAGCAACCTGTATCCAATCGGGAGGATGAGCGAATCAACCCTACGACGCCAGTGCTGTGTCCAATCAATATTACACACCAGCACCCAAAACTCTGAACAGAAGTGAAGAGAAACATGGTCTAAAAGAGAAAAACGCTCCTCGGGAATAGGGCTACTGTACAGTACGTGTGTACACGTACGTGTAGCTACTGTGTACCTTCGAAGGTAGCTAGCTAGACTAGTCTAGCTAGATAGCTACGAAGGTACGAAGATAGCGTACTTTCGTACTAGCTAGCTACGAAAGTACGAAAGTACTTTCGAAAGTACCTTCAAAGGTACAAAACGTACAAAGTAGCCAACTTACTACTACGAAGATACGAAGAATAGTCAATAAAATACACGTACACGTACTGTACGTGTACACGTACCTTTATCGGATTTTTTATTAGTTGTTTTTTTACGTGTACAGTAGTTTAGGGTATTCGTACTGTACACGTACAGTACACGTACAGTACCGTTGTAGGGCTACAACGACGTACGAAAGTACTTCCGGAAATAATACCTTCGTACAACTACGTGTACAGTAGTTGTATCTACAGTTCTAAACGTTGCTTGCGTGTTAGTTGTACACGTAGTGTAGCCCTGCCTAGTGCCTACACGTACTACGTGTACCTCCGAATGTACTTCCGGAAGTAAATGTTGTACTGTACAGTACGTGTAGGGCTATCAACCTTGATAGTCTAAAAGCTCCGTCAATTCACGTTTATTTCGCGGCTTGAAGAGCGTACAGTAGGCTATTACTGGAGGGCTACGTGTACAACTACAGTAGCTGTTTATGATCTCGTATCATACGTACTACATGTACTGTACACGTACTACTGTATACTTTCGAAAGTACTTCACTATCTATCAGCTTTATGAAGTACGAAAGTACGAAAGTACCTTCGTACTTTCGTACTTTCGTACGAAAGTACTTTCGAAAGTACTTTCGTACGAAAATAACAACATAGGGCTAATACTTTCGAAAGTACTTTCGTACGAAAATAACAACATAATACTTTCGAAAGTACTTTCGTACGAAGGTACGAAAGTACTTCCGTACTACACGTGTACGGCACCTGTACGGCTACTGCAGTGCTACTTCCATCCGAATCAGTCGATATGGCGCCGATAGCATAGCGCTACTGTACGTACGTGTAGTGCTACGTAGCGCTATGCAGCAGGCGCTACAGTGGCGATAGCGCTATTGGCACTATAGTGGCACTATCGGCCTGTTGGGCGTCTACAGGCGTGCTGGCCGGGCTGCGTCAGGGCGCTAGGGCGCTAGTAGGGCGCAGCCTCCAGGCTCCTACTCAATCGCTAGTGCGCTAGTGCGCTACAGCGCTACAGCGCTACAGCGCTACATGGCGCTAGAAGGCGCTAGAAGGCGCTAGTACGGCACTACAGTGCTCGCTGGGCGCAGCCTCCGGGCTCCTACCAATCGCTAGTGCGCTAGAGCGCTAGAGCGCTAGTGCGCTAGAGCGCTAGAAGGCGCTAGAAATCGCTAGAAGGCGCTAGTACAGCGCTACAGTGCTCGCTGGGCGCAGCCTCCGGGCTCCTACCAATCGCTAGTGCGCTAGCTAGAGCGCTACAGCGCTAGCTAGACTACGTGTACAGTACTGTACGTGTAGTCGTGTACATTGAATAAAAGGTAGATAAACTACAAGCTAGATAGATATTGTAGCCCTTGTACCTTCGTACCTTCGTACGAAGGTACACTGCTGCACACGTGCACAGCTGCACACACTACAGTACGTGTACGTGTGCGTGTAGCCCTGCAACTGCCCTGCCTACGTGTACGTGTACTTCGTGTCCATCTGTACAATATGATACCGAAGGTAATAAATATGATAATAAATAACTTAAAGTACGGAAATAGAATTGATACGAAGGTACTTCCGGAAGTACACGTATCAATCTGTACACGTACTTTCGTACGGAAATACCTTCGTAATACTTTCGTACTTCCGGTAGTACAACGTACATTTGACTGTACAGTACGAGTACAGCTGTACACGTTACAGTACACGTACTTGGTACCTTCGTACCTTCGTACGAAGGTACGAAGGTACAATGTACTTTCGTACCTTCGTATTCGATAAGATTCTCGCTTTTCTTCATCAGCAGTTCCTCGATCACTTCAAAGATCACGGAAGATGACTTCGGAAGCGTTGACGTCTTCGCATTCTGTTCTTCCAATCTTCAAAAGACATTCGCCCGCCTCAAAAATCTTAGCTAGGTACAGCCTAGCCGAACCATCTTCGTCGCTCTCAGCTCGCTGCGCATCGTTACCTGTTACACACAGAACTCCCAACCGGTGCCGCCAACGCTGTCGGCTTGCACCGTCCGAGGTAACATTCGCTATTGGTCGACAGCTTCAAACGAGTGGACAGGTGTGTCTGGCTAACACCTGCACCAAAAATCGTCGAGCATATCGGAATAACTTGGTCGCATATTGCGTCACGGATGAGAACACCTCTGATATTTCCCGACCAGACAGTGACACATTCAAAAAAAGAGTAGCTGCAGCTGCAGCTGCGCTGCGCTCAGGACAAGCAAACGAGTCTCGGCGCAAAACTATCTCCTTTCTCGATCAAGCATCCGAAAATGGATCCACCGAGAATGTTCCTATGCGTGTTGGAAAAGTAAAGCTTCCATCTGATAAAAAGTCAACGAAGAGTGACTTGTTAACACCTTTATCTGAGAACGAGGAGCAGATGGCTGCAAGTCAACGACGGCTTTTTGATCAAATGGTGACACTTCGAACGCGACTTAACGAGCGTCTCGCGGCATCGAATAAATTTGCAATGTTTCTTGAGTCGACGCTTGCAACTCGTGACAAGGATATCAAACACGCGAATGAACGCCTAGTTGCTGCACTGCTCGAGATTGAGTCCCTTAAACATATAGCTATTGAGGCTGTAGAGGCTGCTGAGAGCGAGTCTAAAACAAAAGAGCAAGTCGTTGCAAGGCTCGATACTCTGACGAAACGCCTTGATCTTATGCATAGTGCTCTTCGTCGTGATGTAAAAAATATTGATGCTGCTTGCATCAAATGCGTTCCCATTCGTTGGGTCGGCATGGCGTCTGACATCCGGATCATGGGTTCTTTTGACAACTGGACTAAGGGTATCGCGATGTCTCCAGAATTTATCGAGGGGGGCAACAATGTTTTTGTGGCGGATCTCATGTTAACCTCAGGAACTTACGAAATTAAGTTTGTAGTTGATGGAATATGGCAAACAGCTCCGGAGTGGGCTACAACTGGAGAGGGGCTGGGCGCTAATAACCTAATTGTTGTTGAATGAAAGGACCTTCCAGGCGTGTTTCCTGTAATATCCGTATGTGCCGCATGCACTTATTCTGGCTGTTACAAACTATTTACTCGAATTTTTCCGAAGAGACCTCTCTTAAGCGTGGCTTCAAATTCTTGATCGAAATTCGTTCGAATGGAATTCTTCTCTGACTCAAAATGGTGCAGACTGAGATCACAAAACAGAAACCTATCTCGAAATTTGGGAGTTATGTGTCTAACTTGATAGGCTGAACGGAACACACGAGAATGGAATGGCGAAATAGTTATGCTTGTCGTTGATGTCCCACACTCGCTGAACCCCTTCAGGATGAATAAGAAACAATTTTCCACTCCATTTGAAAAAATACGCAATCAAAATGTTCATGTAGCTCCCATTCCTTTCTTTGCCTTGGCCGCTGCCCTTTTTTTTGCATTTTTTGCTGCATTTTTGCTCGCTTTAGAGTCCGCAAAAGTAGCGCCAGGCGGACCAGAAGTCGCGGTGAAAGGAAATGGTTCTGTTGAACGCGACGTACGATATTTTCCCGGTTTACTCTCCTCAGGTGGAGCGTGTGCTAGGCTGAAGGAACCCGTACCGCTGGACCCGTGTGGTGGCACGTAAGGTGGCGGTTTTCTTGGACCAGATGTATCACCTGTGCCCTTTAATCCACTTCCATCTTCCTTCCGCACAGTCCCTGGTGAAATTGGTCGACTTTTATATGTCCCAGCTGCTACTGGCTGCCAAGTAGCTTCATACAATTTATTACGTTCAGCGTGATAGAGGAGTTCACCATTATAACGCCAGATTTTGAAACCGTTGTCAACGTTCAACCTGGGCGACGTAGTTGTTGTTAGCAGCCGGCGACCATCAGGAGACCATTCCGCCGTAACCATCACAAAGTGTCAATCAAAATAAAATTCAAGTGTTCAATCAAAATATGGCACACGCAGAAGTAAATAAACTTGCAGTAGCAACTTCTCACCGAACATGCCGCTCTCGCAAAACCTGTAAGCTTATACTTGCCATCCGCTTTTTTATCATAGAACCTCAAGTCCCCAGGTAAGTTGCCGAAACCTGCAAGGCAAATCATGTGACCGAAGGGATTCCAGCGCACAGTATTATGGGGTCCTGAACCCAGCTGATATATCGGTTCACATGTTAACGCCGAGAATATTGTTGCTTTTGCAGGCATAACACCATAAACAACAACAAATTCATCGCTATTTGGTGACCATGAAGCTTCGTGAACTGCCCCTTCTTTGTCCAGAGATACCTGGATGAAAAAGTCACAGACAATCACGAAAAGAGTTTTTATGCACACAAGTGAAGCCAATAATTTATGAACATGTATGAAAATCAACTCTCGGAAGAATTTAAGTCGGAACCCAGGACCTACCTTACAGTTCACGCGCCCGTCCACGCGTGCATAGTGTAGATTCGTTTCGCCAAAGTAGCTTTGGTTGGTCATGTCTACGTCTGATGATGCAATTATAAGGACAGCAGAACCATCCGAAGCCCATCTAAAGTCGATATCCTGCACCCGAAAGATGGACTTCTGCACTTTAGGTTCCTGCTTGACCAATTCCTGAGTTCCCGCAGATGGAACATCGTATAGGGAGACTTTACCAGGCTGTTTTTGGTTCGTCGGGGCAAAGCTAGCGATCACTGGGTGGTGACAGGGTGAAAGTTTACACTTGGCAACTTGTTCAACACGAAGGCGGACATGATGGGTGGTGAAGTGAGGAGGGAAAAAGAAATGCACTTCGTTAGAGACTGCACGACAAGCAATTCCATCGTCTGCACTGAACTGAATGGTTGGCCAGTCTGCCTTGCTGAAAGCCTTCTGAAAACAGTCATAAGCGATCGCCCCGCTACTCACTTCCCATACAGTGAGGTTCTTTTCTTTACCGGCTCCTAAGTTGCTTGCCTTCTGCAGCACGCAAAGAAATCGACCTGTGGTCGAAAACGACACAGCGACAGTTCCAGGCGTGTGAATCTGCAGCACGGGCACGAAGCTCTTCGCGTCATAGACGGAAACGCCAGAATTGTGCACACAAGCGAGGATACGCCCATCGACACTGAAGAGCGTCTGCAGAGCCGGGATATCGGAAAAAACACTCCGGCTGATCGCTGACCCGGCACTGTGCGCGTGGATGGTAGCACCAGCTGGACCGCGCTCTAAAATTCCAATGTTCGCAGGCAACTCGAGTGTTTCCATTGAGCCATGGGTCCGACACTTGCTATGCGACATCGTATGTGACGAGTTGCGCTAAGTGAAAATCGCATGACGCCCAGTAAGCCGCGTATAGGCCAAATTATCATACGAGTACTGTACACGTACTCGTACGAGTAACGCCAAATTAATTTGCGATTTTTATATTCCAAATTCGTATGAGCGTCAGTCAGACGCGCCCCCTCACTTCCGCGCTTCCACATGCGCCGCCGCAGCTTGAATTGACATGAAACTTTGCACAGGAGCCATTTGCGAATTTAGACAACAGATACATGCATTTGCGCGGCGGGAAGAAGACGGGAAGACCGTTTTCGGATCCCTATTACACGTACCGCAACTTGTCTATCGGTTCTCTCGTGAGTTCAACCAACAGTGCTACCTGTACCTGTAGCTTAGTGCACGAGTAGTGCACGTATACGCGTCGCTTTCACTCCACGTGCTAAAAAGTGTACCCGCCGTCCATGACGTGCTGGTCAGCGTTTGCGTGCATCCATGCCATCTTTTTCACATGCGTTATCATCGTGGTTGCTGAAGAATCGACCAGCGCTTCCAAAGTAGTCAGTGTCACTCTAACAACCGAATGGCAGGTGGGACAAACGGAACCAACTCTCACCAGCCGATTCGAATCTCTTCGTTTTCTGTTTTCTTTCTGAGTTTTCGAGCTGACCCTTTCGCCATCACACCATACCGGCCATCGTTTTTCCAAGGCAACTTCATCGCTCCTTGAAGCCGCAGAGTTCTTCGCTGACGAGGGCGACGATCAGTACTGGGCTTTCGTAGAAGACTGGAACGAATCTGGGGAGAAAGATTGTCAAGGCAACGTTTACGAGTATCTAGAGCGCCGTGCTGCCTCCGAGGAGACACTGAAGGTGCTGAAACTGTCGCTGAGTGTCAGAAACTACTCACCACGCCTCGAGATGTTCCGCTCGCTGTGGTCGAGCACTATCACTGCCGTGAAACGCACGGATGGCGAAAAAGAGACAGCTGGGTGCTGTTTGGTTATGGTCGGAGACAAGTTTGCAAGAACCAAAGAGGAACTTGCGTCCTTACTCGCTACAACTTCGAGTGGCACTCCAACTGCAGGTCGCCAGGCCACCCGACTTGATCATATTTATCCCGGTAAAGCAAGTATTCCATCAAGCCGACGCATTTTTGATTCAACGCAGGTTTTCACTTCCATTCCTATTGTGACTTTCTATGGCGCCATGGGCACACCATGCTTTGGCCACTTTCACGCTCTGTTGAAAAGTGCATCGGCACAGGGCCAAGTGCATTACGTTCACCGTCCTGTTATTATGAATGCAGAATGCGCAAGGAAAGGTTGTATCGGTCTTGGAACGCATGTTGACACGATCGGTATCGATGGCAACGTAGGTCGACTACACGTGGTAGGCTATGGGGTTGAGCTTGCCGTGAAAAATATGGAGTATAAGGCGTCTGATGACTCAATAATGAATGATATTGGGGCATTACTTTTGGCGCCAATAGCATCCGAGTCGCATGACAGCCTAGCTTTTGAAGTTGTCAAGGGCTTCAACTTTTCAAGACTAAATTATCGCTATCCAGAACTTAATCGCGAGCTCACTAGTTTCCGCCACTACCTAGTTGGAAAAACTGCAGAGGATGAGACTTTGAAGATTTGGGATATCAAAGACCTCGGTCTCCAGGCTACCCAGCGAATCTTACTTGCTGACGATCCTTTCCAAATGATGATGGACATCTCTCAGAACTTTCCTTCTCTGGCCTCCTCACTGTCTCGCTTGGATTTGGATAGTACGATCTGCGCTGAGATAGAGAATAATCAAAAGCATGTCTCTCCAGGTTCTCTATTTATGAGCATTAACAGCGAGCCCATAGAGCTGGATACAGTTGATATATTTACCTTAGCAGACAAGATCACTAGTGAAATACGCGAGGCAGCGCGATTTAGGGATATAGGTCTGGGCAGCACCGCTGTGCGCGAGTTACTTCGCTTGCGCATTGCCCCTCCTGGTAGTGAGTTAAATTTTCCACGGCTCAACCTCTTCGATTCCACAACAGTTCCGATCATCTCTTTCAACAAGAATATCGAAAGTGATCGGAACTATGCCCATTGGAGTCCTGACATAATGCAACTCATGAGACATAGCCAGTTGGGGCAAGTTCCACCAGTGCGTCGAAATATGTTCAATGTAATCCTCATCCTCAACCTAGGCCAGTCAAACAGTTGGCGTCTTGTCGACGCTCTGCATGAATACACTCGAGCAGGCGTGCCACTCCGGCTTGCATACGTCCTCGTCGATGACAGCGAGGGGGATACTGTTAAAGAACTTTGGAATCCCACCTCATTCTTAACGGATTTTGCAGAGTTTGAAGAGAAGGAGGAGCTTGACATCAATTTCCCTCGGGGACTGTCTCTTGGGACGGTTATAGGGAGAGCAGGAAACTTAATTTTGCGCCGGTTCGGAGGTGAAGCCCAGGTAGACTTTGTGAATGAAGTCGCAAATGCGCGAGGCGTGATGTTTCCAGGCAACCATTTCATACCTGCAGTCAAGTCCAAAGTCACGTGGTCTCTCGTGCAGAAAGCGTTCACTCGTATCTTTATACAATGGTATAGCAAAGTTGATAGCGTTGACTCAGATGATTTGGTAGCGCCTGACATGACCAAAGTTCACTCTCTTATTGATGCACATGTTGCCAACATTTTATCACTTGCCGGTGCAACTGAAAGTGAGCCTGGCGCGTATCTTTCTGAGGCCAAGGCACTCATCGCCGACAAAGGAGTCGCTGCCCCATCTGCACTCGTCAATGGTATATACTTCACACTAGATGATGCAGAGAGATTAGGAGCAGAGATGGAACAGGTGGTTATGCATTTTGTGCAGCAAGAAGCAAACAGTATAGCAGAGGCAGTACTTTCTGGGGTACTCAGCAATGAAATTCTAGATAAGTATCCTGGTGGCATATTTGGGTGGCTTCACCGCACTGCCGTCGCCAAAAACACTCCTTTCATTGTCGATAATGTCAAATATCCTCCCACATACGTAGAAATGCGTCCCCCGCAAGATAATTCAGAGGGGCTGCTGGCTTATATCGAGAATTGTGATGTAAAAGCTAGCAAGGGCAACACTTTGTGGGTGGTTGCTGATGCTGGGACACGAAAGGGCATGGATCTCATTGCAAGTGCATGCGAGTGCGCAGCACGCACACGTGCTGATGGTGAGAGCACGAATAGTCGTGTAGCAGTGTTACATCCTCCAGGGGTAGTTGCAACCCATCGCGCTCGAGCAGTAGCGCTTGTTTCACGATGGAAGACAGGCTACTACTGTGGCAATTATTCCACATTCTTGTCGGAGATACTTTCCTCAGATGCACCTGAGACGATCAAGAGTGCACTGAGTGCTCTCGGCATGGAACAGTATGCTTCAGATTCAGGCATGGATGATGAAGAATTAAACACTCTTCTTGAACAACAAGGCAACTTCGTGGCAAGTTTGATCGGCATGGATGCTAATGACAGCAGTGAAAGTGGCACTGACAGCATCGTGATTGCTAACGGGCGAGTTATCCAGATACCTACAGGTTATCATATGGATGCAGATGATTTCGCGCTGCTCATCTCGAAAGAGTCGAGCGCGCGAGGCGCGACAGTCCGTAATATTCTTGAATCGCATTCTCCAGTCATTCCTGTATCGAGTTCATTCAATATTTTTGACCAGTACATGATTGCGTGCTCTCTTGTGGCTATTCGTCAGACCAAAAGTGTTTCACGCAGTCAAGTACGTACCCTCGAGTCGCTAGAGTCGAAACACAGTGCCGTTATCGTTCAGGGCGATGGGGTTGTTGTAATGGATGCGGTGCTGGATCCCCTCAGTAAAGAGGCACAGAGGATTGCACCACTATTCTACGTACTCAGGGATGCATTGTTCCCTCATATCAGCATCCGTATCATTCTGAACCCTCGTCGAGAGCTTATGGAAATCCCCATCAAGTCATACTTCCGCTATGCAGCACCGAACCCGTCACTCGACGCGATTCCCCGCGTCCATTTTTCACAGCTGCCGCATCACCAGACCCTCACTGCACACCTTGATGTTCCAGAGGCCTGGTTGGTCACAACAGTGGTTGCAACATACGACCTTGATAATCTTAAGCTTTCAGACCTCCCAGAGGAGCAAGACACGATGGACGCCGAGTATCGCATCGAGGCACTACTAGTGACGGGATATTGCTCAGAATCTGGTGCAAAGGATCCTCCTAGGGGCACCCAGCTTATACTTGGGGATGCAGGGACTGTTGTGATGTCAAATCTCGGATACTTTCAGCTTCCTGCGGCACCAGGGGTTTTCGAACTTTCCCTTCGTCCAGGTCGGTCTGCAGACATGTATGTCTTTGCTGAGCATGTTGAAAGTACTAACAGCGACGTCTTGTTGACTGTCAAAGAGGAGCATTCCGCCCGAGATGTTACTTATTCATCTGTTGAGATTATCGTATCGAGCTGGCAAGGCATGACCACCCAAATATCATTACAGCGGCGGCCTGGAATGGAACGGGAGGACGTGTTGCCTATTCACCGCGGCAAAGATAAAGATGGTGGTCTATGGAATAAGATAATCTCGAAGTGGCGTAACGCCAAGAGAAGCAGACTTGAAACCATTAATGTATTCTCTGTCGCCTCCGGTCATCTCTATGAACGTTTTCTAAAAATCATGATGCTATCTGTGCGTCGTAACACCAACAACCCAGTAAAGTTCTGGTTCATAAAAAATTGGCTCTCGCCGCAATTCAAGGACATTTTGCCTCACATAGCTGCTAAATACGGCTTTGAGTACGAGCTGGTGACATACAAGTGGCCCACTTGGCTACACAAACAGACCGAAAAACAGCGCATTATATGGGCTTACAAGCTCCTTTTCCTCGACGTCCTCTTCCCACTCACCTTAAACAAGGTAATATTTGTTGACGCTGATCAGGTAGTTCGCTCCAACTTAAAAGAGCTTTGGGAAATGGATCTCAGAGGCGCGCCTTATGCATACACTCCATTCTGCGACAACAACCCAGAAATGGAGGGGTACCGATTTTGGAAGCATGGTTTCTGGCAGACGCATCTTGCTGGGAAGCCCTACCACATTAGTGCACTCTACGTAGTTGATTTAGAAACATTTCGTCATACTGCAGCAGGCGATAAGCTCCGTTTGATATACGAGACACTATCTAAAGATCCAAGTTCGCTTGCCAACCTTGATCAAGACCTACCAAACTATGCGCAGCATCAAGTGCCCATTTTTACCTTGCCACAACAGTGGCTGTGGTGTGAATCCTGGTGTGGGAATGATACCAAGACGGCTGCAAAGACAATCGACCTGTGTAATAACCCGATGACCAAGGAGCCAAAGCTCATAGGGGCAGCGCGCATCGTCGAGGAATGGACCTCGCTAGATGAGGAGGTGCGATCGTTCACAAAACAACTTGAGGAACACTTGCTTGCAGACAAATATGTGTTCACTCCACCTGTTCGTGCGCTCAGCTAGACTGTTGATTTCGTGCAGCACTGTTCTATGATAGGTCCGTGCGAGAGTGAAACTGTGAAGAGGAGCAGTCACGGCAGTGTACTGATGTACATCAGGCAATGTAATAGCTAGCTAGCAACGATGAGACCTTCGAATAAGCTCATAAAACTGACTTGTCTCAAATGAAAGCTTCCTTTTTAGACGTAAATAATGACCTTATAAAATCAAGGAACACTGTATTCTGTTCGCAGATATTTGATTATCTCAGCACTCTCGAACATTGCTGTCCCTGTGTTGGCATCTTCAAGATATGGTACCTGGAATTTACCCCCAGACCGATGCATAAGCTGCGTTCTTCGGGGGCTTCCTCTGGCGCAAGGTTGCAAAACATATGGAAGTTCGAGTTGGCTTAGTGCCTCGCGTACAACTGAACAAAACGGCGACGCTTCATATGCCCATAGCTGGAGGGGTTTAGTAGGTTGGTGAGAAGGTCTTGAGTAGAATGCACCTGCAGGTCCGCGTCGGTAGGAGGAAGTTGTAGATGGGTAGCCATCTGCAGTACCGCGTGCATTCACAGCTACCTGTGCACAAATAGAGGCCATGAGACCAGGGCGAACAAGTGGTGAGGGAACTGCACCATCCAAGTATTCGCTGTAGAGGTAAGTAATTATAGAGTCGGCCCCAGTGAGCTTAGCTCCAGTCCGCGAGTCCTCAAGGTATGGAAGTTGTGCATCTTCTACATGAACTGAACCGTGACTATCATGGGTAACACCCAACTGTGCCATGGCTGCAGACAACCGATTTCGAGTAGCACCCAAGGGGCAAGGTCGCATTACGCATGCAACATCAAGCATGCAAATTGCCTCACGAACACGGCGACAAGCACCACATCCTTCAAGTTCGTAAAGTGTCAAAGTAGGAAGCGGATCGTCTGTTCTGCTCAAATATTCGGTGCTCTTGGCCTGGTCCTCGCGCACCTTCCCTAGTGCACGAGCCTCCATAAATCGGAAGCCAAACGCACGAATCAAGGAGTATTCAGTGTGCACATCAGGTGATATGCAGGGCCTCCAGCCATTGACGAACAAGCCCGCCCCAGCTCGGAGAACACCTGTCCTCACTGTTCCAAGCAGTGAGTCTGTTTGTTCTTCAGCAAAAGTAAACAACCGAGGCGTTGCTTTGGAATTGTTCAACGCTGAAGTCGATAACGTTGTGGATTCGTTGATTAGATCAGATGTTGAACAGTTTGCTAATGATTCGGAAGTCATCCTGACCGAATCATGGACGAACGAGTCAATGTCATCGACTCCTTTAGCTGTGCACCACAAAGCATGTGCCCCATACGGAATTCGTGAAGGAAGTACAATACGCACAATTGGACCTGCTTGTATATTCTTAGCGTCCAGCACTAGACACTCAGATCGACCTTCCGCTGATCCCTTACTCTCGTCATGCACATAAAGCACTATCCAGCCGTCATCTTCGACTGGAACAGCGTCCATGTCAGTCACTGCATGATCTGTATCACTGCTGCATGGACTTGACATTCTCTGGTTTGCTTGGCTTTCAGCGCGAGATTTATTCCGTGGTACAAATTGAGCTTCCATGCCATAGCGCTTGTAACCATACTCGTATATCTCAGATTCACCATTTTGCAGGTCAAATTTAACTAAAGCGTCAAACTTTAACTGTGCGTCGCTCGTCAGCGAGCCGGTGTGTATTTTTCCAGCATAAGTAAAGCGATTCTTGATTCCAGTGTAAGCATCGTTGATTCGTGGAACTTCAACGGGAAGGTCAAATAGCCAACGTTCTGAGGTCACAGCTTGACGAGTAGGATTTATGCGCCATTCATGTATGCGAGGCACAGATCTGCCAACTTTCAGTTTGTTGCTTATCCACTCGCGTGTGCCATTTGCAGCCAAGGCTCCAAGAAAAAACCCGTCTTCTCTCACTCCAACAATTACAATTTCACCCGTGTCTTCATCTTCCCAAGCGTTTATAAAATGATATACCATTTCTGCGGTGCTACAGTCACACCATACAACTTTTTCCGAATTTTCCACTCCGCCCCTCTTCAAGAGTCCGAACCGCGCGACCTGGTCTTCATCGTACTGAAGAGGATGTTCACCTCTGAACATTCTTAAAGGGCGTATATTCATTGAGCCCTCAAATAACACTGTGTATTTTTTTGTCACGCAGAAGTCGTGCATGAAAGTTGCACCTTGCAAAGCATTGTGCCAGAGTGAGGACATCTGACCAACAGTGCCACTCGAATTTATTGTACCCACAGTGCAGTGCGGTGGGTAAACTGGATTAAACCCAAAAAACACCAGATCCCCACTATCGGGTGCTACCTTTGGATGTGCAGTAAATGGAACATAAAAAGGTAGTGTTCCTCCGAAGTCACATGGTCCTCTCGTTTCCAACGTGATCGTGTCTATTTCCCATGGAGGCATGGTATCTTGCAGGGTAAGCAACCGACCGGCAAAGAAGGTCAGCGCTGTGTTCGCAGAATCTTTTAAGAAGTTCCCACCGAGAAATAGGTTGGCGATCGCATGTGGAAGAAAAGAAAGTCCGCTAGTGTTCATCAGTGGTCGAAAAAGGCGCGAGCCGCTGCGCAACTCATCATGCCAACTATTCGTTCGGACATAGCGGTTTCGATAGCGGAGACGGCGATTCCTTCCTCGACGATGCTTGACATAAAAGGCTCCGGTCTCTTTTGTAAAGCTAGAAGTACAATTGTCTTGAACTTCCCCAGGTGTTCCTCGGTCACTTATTTGAGCTTCACTGGGCTTCATGCTCTCAAAGTCCAAGGCATAAATCATGCCATCGCCTTCGAACCAATGGTGCCACCCATTCGAAAATCCGATGTCTCTTTGTCTCGGTCCTCTGCCCCAAACTTTGTAATGATCTCGAGAGAACTTCGGATTCGGGCCAACATATATAAACTTACCGTTTGGAAACTCAAGAGGTAGTTCACCTACTACATGCATTGCGTTGCCGCTGACTACAGCGCTTCCGTCGGGTCCAGTGGTAGGAAAGTCGGAAGGAATGCTCAAGATAGCTGTTGTTTCTTCAACCAGAGGCTGGTAGTTACCACTTAGGAACGCCACACCGTGCTCACCATATCCAGCTTCCTCAAGCAAAGGACCAGCAATACGATCGCGGCTTGGTCCTGGTGCTGTAATCTGATGAACAGACCGCAAATCTGCGATTGATTGACTATCCTTTTTTGGCGGCATCGCCGACGACAGGGTCACTTCCGTGTTGGGGGTAGCTCGAACGGGCCCTAAGCGCCACGCAGTCGTTTCCTGGGTGGATACGGAGATCTGAGCGCACGACAAAGAGTCGTCCTAAGAAAACAGGCGGAGACAAAGTGCAAGGACATTCGCGTACCCGGGCACATTCTTGCTGCCAGCTTTGGTTATCCCTGAAGAAAGTAACAGGAGAAAGCGTGATCGAGCGGCTGCAGAACATACTCCCAGCTCTTCGCGAAAGATATTTAAGACGTGGCTCTCGTTCACTGCGTCGTCAAAAAGAGATCTCATGTGTACCTTCGTACTGTACGTGTACGTGTACGTGTACAGCTGTACACGTACAGTGTACAGCTGTACACCGCATTGTACAACGTGTATAGCTGTATGTGTACGAAGGTATTCTATCTTCGTACAGCTGTATGTAAGTTACTTACACTGCACAGTAAACGTACCTTGACTACATACCTTCGTATCTTCATATTTATTGTACACGTACGTGTACGTGTACAAGTATCATACGTTTACTTCGGAAGTACGAAAGTACTTTCGTACTTTCGTACTCAAGTACGAAAGTACTTTCGAAAGTACAAATCGTACGAAAGTACGTGTACAACTACTGTACGTTGTACGTGTACACGTACACGTGTACTATGTGCACTTCCGGAAATATTCATATTTCCGTACACGTACGTGTAGGCCCTACGTACTGTATTCTACGAAAGTACGAAAGTACGAAAGTACTTTACCTTCGAAGATAGAATATTTTCGAAGGTATGGAAATACTTCCGGAAGTAACGCGTTGTACACGTATGCGTACTCAACGTGTTTATGTACTGTAAGAGTACATCGAATACGTGTACTTCCGGAATACCTTCGTACGAAAGTACTTTCGAAAGTACACGTACACGTACAGTACGATTTGCATTAGGATATTATTTCGGATCTACTTTCGTAAGTACATGTACGTGTACGTGTACAGTAAGTGTACAGTAATAGTTACCTTCGATGGTACTTTCGTACCTTCAAGGTACAACATACGAAAGTATTTTCGAAAGTATTCTATTTTATCCGTACGTCGGTACCTTCGTACGAAGGGGTACATAGCTACATACAGTACATATGGAAATACGGAAATAGATGAAAAAAATACTATCCAGCGATTCTTTTGGTTCGATCCAGCGATTCTCGCATTTCCAGTGAAAATGCCCATACACTACAGCCCTCGTACTACGTCCGCGTACTCCCTGGGTTCAAACTTCAGTCGTTTGAAAGGGGTACCCGCGGGCGTTCGCGCGCTGTTGGAGTCGCGGGAGCGTCACGAACGCCGACGTCGCACGCGAATAATTTACTCGAAATACCATGATGCTCCGACCCATTCAAAAAAATCACACCACTCACTGTGATGATCACGACGTAATTAGCGCTCGAACAGGGCCGGGGCAACTTTAAACATAGCGTTTTCAGGGAAGGTGGAAAAAAAGTTCTCCTCCTTCAAGAAAGATTTTGCAGAGTCACCCTTGAGACATAAGCGCCGCTGACTTCGTTTTCTTTACGGGAAGTGGCACAATACTTTTGCTTTAATCGATGCCCCGCGATGTGACGAAGAACTCTTCTCATTGTACCGGAGATTGTTACGGCTATTCCGCGACGCTATGGCTGCGCGAACACGCAGACCTCGCGGAGAGGTGTAAAACTGTCAGAACTCTGATCGTACAACGTTGTAGACGAACGGGCCACTGAATCGTCAGACGGGTGAAAACCCGACCCTCGGTCAATGCTGATCGGTCAAGCCGATCAACCGCGAGTACGCGAGAATCGCTGGATAGAACCGAAAAAATCGCCAGATAATTTTTTTGCGGAAAATAGATACAGTAAGTTGTTACAACTTAAGTTGTTTAGGGTTTAGAACAACTTATCTATTTTCGTACGAAAGTACTTCCGTACTTCCGGAAGTACTTCCGGAAGTATCATAGACTACCTTCGTACCTTCGAAGGTATCATAGACTACCTTCGCACGTGTGTAGCTGTGTAGAAGGTACTGTGTAGTGTGTACAGCTGTACACGTACATATGTGTACTGTACACGTACTGTACCTTTGAAGATATGGAAATAATTTTTACGAAAGTACGAAAGTAGTTGTTTAATAAGTTGCCTTCGTACACGTAAAGTTATTTCGTACAGTACGTAGCTACGTACGTGTAGTTGTACAACTACACGTACAGTACATACAGTACATCTATTCCGAAAATATCATAGTAAAACAACTACAGTACCTTCGTATGTGTATGTACAGCTGTACACATGTACAACTACAGCTGAAAACCCACTTCTGCTCTATCTGAAGTATTCCTTGTATGATACTGTACGTGTACAACTACAGCTGTACACTGTACACGTAGGGATAAACATCGAGACGTTCACGTACACCGCCAGTCCGCCACCCCTCACGTTGCGACGCAAGGGAGAATAATACGTCGCTCGCGCGACGGGTATCTTGCGGATTCACAACTTCGGAAGCACCGACTTCGTGACGAGTATGAGACTTCTAACTTGACGGAATACGACGAAAACGCGATGACCGACGACGTCGCAGACGAAGGGGACTGGTACGCCGCGCTCGTCGCGGGCGAACACGTCGGTGAATGGCTCGATGTCGTCAAGAATCCGTCGGCCTCATTTGGCGCGCGCACTCGAGCGGCAAGAAGTCTCGTGAAGAAGGTTTCAAGCAATCGTGTATACGCTCAGGAGGCGAAGGAAGCGAGTGCGACTGATGTGTTATCCGTCGCGTTGTCCTCGCTGAACGATTATGACGGCAGTGACGGCGACGTCGCCTCATTTCGCTCTATTTTGATGGCCTCACTTAAAGCTTGCGAAGAAGCGCAAGTCCGCGGCGCGGTGTTGCGACGAGTGTTCACGTTCTCTGTGCCGGTTCCGAAGGAAAACAACAGCGAAGAAGCGTGCCGCGGACCAGTGTCGGTCTTCGTGAACGAAATCGAGCTTAGCGTGGGAGTTGGTGCTAAGCTTTGGAAAGCCGCGCACATGCTCTCGATGGAGCTTGCGTCTGCGCCGTGCTTATGCAGCGGAAAGGATGTGCTCGAAATCGGTTCTGGCGTCGGTCTTTGCGGCCTCCTCGCTGGTAAACTGAACGCCTCTAGAGTAGTTCTTTCTGACTTCGAGCCGCGGATCCTGCTGTCATTAAGAGATGCAGTGATCGATAACAAGCTGAACGGCAAGGCGAGGGTGGTGATGCTCGACTGGAGAAGAGAGCGGAAACTGTTCGCAGCAGAGAAATGCCCTCGGTCGAATTTGTCTACCCTATCGCACGAGGAGAAGATTTGTTCGGTACACAAGTGTGAACAGTCTGGGGTGCATTGCTCAACGCAGCGGGACTGTGGTCTTCTCCTCGCGTCGAATAAACACGGCGTTCGCGTGAAACATTGTCATTATGAAAAACGCGAGCACCGAGAGGAGGGGAATGCCGGTGCGAGAGCGTTGAGAGGAGAAACGTCACTGCACGAAACGGAAAAAGGTGCTCAAGTTGATGCCCTTGATGATCACGATCGGTTCGACTTGATCATCGGTGCGGATGTGTTATACGAAAACTATCACGTAGACATACTGCCCAAGGTTTTCGCGCGGAGGCTGAAGACGAACGGCATAGGAAAACTTTGCGGCGCAGTCAGGTATCGCAAATTGCTCGACGCGTTGATTCAGAATTTGAATGACGAAGGCTTTGACGTGACGGAGACAGACATAGGTGCTAAAATCGGAGACTGCTGGTACGACGGTGGTTACATATCCTTGACCATCATGCCTACTACTTACGCGCCCGCAGTTTCATCAACCGCTACGGCAACGAATTCCGCGAGAGAACATGCAAGCTTTCGCGTCGCTGACAATGCCGACCAAACTGCATATCATTGGTCATAGACCGAGAATGCTGCCGATTTCTGATATCAAAGCTGCGATAACATCTTGTAAACGTTGCGACGAGCGGCCTCGGCAAGAAAAACTGTAGTATACAGCACCACTGTATGTGTTTTTATGCAAGAATTGGTGCGAGAAATAATTCTTTCTTCCACACGCACACGCATTCATCCCAATGCTGCATATGCGCGCAACGCGGCTGTGATATTCTCTCTGTCAGCCTCCAGTAATGAATCGCCTCCGAGCATGAACCACGGTGGTCCATCAAGAATCGTTTCAACGATACAACGCATGCCAGCGCCAATAAAATACTCAATTGCCGCATTCGCGACACCGTGTTTTGTGTCCTCTAAAGCAGATAAGATACCTTGGAAGCGTTCCCACCCACCTACCACGTTACATATCACGCCCAAGGAATCAAAAGCCGCCGTTCCTCTCAGAGTCGCGAGATCTGGTGGAGTGCGCATCCGTAAATACCTTTCATCAACCAGCCCGCCTAGCAGGACATTATCCACGATAATCGGAATACGGAGTTTTGCGCACTGTGCCTGTAAACCTTCACCTTTGCAAGTGAACATTTCGAGAGCCGGAAGAATGGCCGCATCCGGCTTGCCGCCTTCAATCATGCACTGTCGAATACTTTGCTCTGTGGCGTTGGATAAGGTCACGTGCTTGACTTTACGCACAAACTCGCCATCTGCAGCGCAGACCGCTCGTAGTGCCTTGACACACTCGCCAACGCCAGGTACAGCGTCGTCGTGCCAACAGAGAACGACGTGTTCCAAGGCATCAACGCCAAGAACGAAACATTGGGTATTCACCCATTTCTCCGCGATCGAAGATGCGACGACATAATCGTACAACCGCGGGGAAAACCTCGGGATCACTGAACCATCACTCTTTTCGAAGCCCACCTGCTTGACAAACTCTGCCAGGACTCGGCTGACGCCGTTCAAGACGGCTTCGCTCTTCATACCAAACTTGTCAACTGAGCACAACGCCCCGCCGGGTACCACCGCAGTCATACCCACGGCGTTATACGACATCAACGATTCGATCCAGCCTATAGTCGTGTATTGTTCCTTGCAAAGGTTCGTAGTCAACGACTCGTAAATTGTCTTGTTAGTCTCGAAGTCGTTCTCAGCAGTCGAGAGTTTCTCAGCGAGGTTCTCTTCTGGCAGGGGTTCTTTGAGATCCTGTGCAATCAACAAGGGTGAGGATTTCATGGTTATGAGAACAAGAGATCGGTTTAAACTGGCTGCGAGTGGTTGAATCGCGCCGTGAAATTCGTCACTTGCGCTGTTGTGCACCTCGAACGCCCACGCACCTCAGTTGACGCACTTTCCTTTCCCCCGTTACCCTCCGCCTCGGCCGCCTTCTTTTCGATTCTCGCTTTCGTTTCCTCGATCATAATACCCAGTTTCTTGATCGACCTGAAGGGCTGGGACATCCGCAGGCGCTTCGGAACTTGCAACATAAGCGTCTCGAGCGGTTTGCGTCCGCTGTTCGGATCGACCGGTGGTTCCTCTCCTCCCCCGGGTTCCTCATAAACCGGGAGCGCTCCATGCGGGAGCCACACGTTGATGATGACCATAGGAAGCCCGGTGTCGTCGGCCACCGTCATCGCGCGCGGATTTGGGTTTGAAAGCGGGCCAGAACCTGGGTGACCGTGTCCGTTGATAACCTTACCTTCGAAGGTACCCCCGTAAAAAAATGCCCTATTATGATACCGTGTATGTCTGATTACAAAAAGACTGAGCTCTAACCCATCCGGGCAAAACATGTGATCTAAATGCGAGCACCACACTATGATACCTGTTGTATCTCACAGCACCCGTAAAGTCGAAAAATACAATACTGTAGTCAGGTTTACGAGTATAGATATCGTGTCCGGAAAGCGTCGATTTCGAGTACGTGTACGTGTGTACACGTACGAGTACAAAAATCGAAATTTCGATTTTGCTTGCTTAAGGTCACGCTCCGCTAATTAAATTTCCCGTGCCAAAAGTACGAAATTGAGACAAAATACGCATACAAATTGCAAAAAAACGTACTTTCGTACGCGCCCACGCGCCGTCGCTGCGCGGATCAATTTGAAACTTCGTCACGATGTTGTCTATCAAGTTGCCGATGCCCTCACAAAGTTTAGCGATTTTAAAAGGCCTGGAAGGCGGTTTTCGGACCCCTAAGGATCATTTTTAAAAAGAGTCGCAGGAAAAATTCTCAGCTTTTCGCCCGGAAAGGGACGGAATTCCGTCCCTGAACGAGACTAACTGGTACGTGTACACGTACAGTACCGAAACAAATCCTGTACTATGCTGTTCGCGGGTCGCCCTTACGGGCACGTTTAACGGCGCGCGCGTGGGCCGATTTGCCTTTCAAAATTTTCGCCCTTCGATCGTGAATCTCCGGTCAGCCTCGATGAAAAATAATCACTGATGAAAATGCGATGAAAATTTCCCCACCGGAAGGACGCGGTTTCAACGTTTTTTTTACCCGACTAATTTGAAACTGGCGAACGTGACCAAAATGGTCACGTTCGCCACTTTCCGTGCGACCCGCGAACAGCATAGTACGATATGAAACAAAGCCCGTCACTCCTGCGCAACTGTCTTCAGCTCCTGCAGTCCTCGGAATCCTAAAGGAGTAAACTTCGAGGAACACTGGTCCCCAACGGTCCCCCCGATCAACATACGCCGGTCCATCCGTCACAGGAAAGACAAACGAACTGACATAAATCCTTAGTCCACAGATTGATCACCCGATTGACGGGACGTCGGGGTCAGGTGGTTACTTTCAGGTGGTCACGCCGATATCGTGGGTTAAAATAAAATGGTGGTTTCCAGGTCATGAATTCGTCCTTCACGAGCTCATAAAGCAACGAGCAATTGAATGTAGCGCGTAAAAGCCAATACCTTGCAACATCGCGCGTCATCGTCCGCCACAGCTGGCACTAAACTGAAGTCTTGTCAGTACAGATATGCTAGGTAAATGCCACGCTGCTAAAAAAACTCTCTTGCGAACAAGTAAGACTATTCAAGACGTAGCTGAAAGTTGCCAGGTCTACTCGAGCGATACCGGTCAAACGCCGCTCAGAAGAACTCCGCTGCAATTCGAAGTTAGCAAATGTCACCGCTGTGGCCTTCTCGACGGGCCGAATAAAACTCCCGTAAATTCTACCCAGGACTTGTTGACTGTTTCAGAAGTTGGGCGGAGTCTCGGCTATCTTGTTCACGTGAAATCAGCTGTTGATGCGGTAGTCGAGGGCACGCGCCTAATTGCTGTTTCACGGCTTAGCTTGCACTTCGAAAGAGCAGTGGCAAGGTATTTTGGCAAGAGCTGGAACACCTTGTTTGAAGAGCTCTTGATGTGTCATGATCGCAGTAATGATCCTATCATACCAACGGATTCGAGTGCCTCCGCATTTCTGTGCGATCGACTCGCCTCGCGTTTTGTGCCATCTCAAGAGATCAACGGTATATTATTTGACTTGCTCATTGAAATAAGCGCAGCGCGGCATACTATTTCAAAAGTAGCGTTGTCAAGAACCGCTTATTTAGCTACCCCAAGTCCTAATGTCTTCAGGTCGACCACTGGAAAAAGCATTAAGCTGACACTTCACGATGCCGAAGTTGAGATAAACGAACAGCAATACGAAAAACTTCGATGGCTGTATGAAAGTGACATACAAGCAACGCAATTCGGCGGCACATGTGCAAAGCCATCCTTGGCCAACACATTTTGTGAGAGTGGAATCACTTTCCACTCTGCTGTTTTTGCGATGCTTTGTCGATACGCCTCTGCACATGGTGGTATGCATTGCATGGCAGGAGGACATCACAACGCGCTTCATGGTGACGTTTTTGATGCACTTAACATTGGACTTGGAGTTCATGCTGAGTGCTGTGCGTCTCCACTTAATTGTCACTGGCGTCTATACTGCAGTGGCCATCCTGATACCGATTTGACATTTGGCTCATTAGGTTCAGTTTTTTCATTTGACCCGGTTGATGGCTATTTCGAGTGCAACCCTCCCTTCGAAGAATCTGTATTGCTCGATTGCATCAAACACATAGACTCTTTGCTAGATGTGGCAGAAGTTGCTGGGAAATCCTTGTCATGCGTTTTTATTGTACCGCATTGGCCAGGTCGTAGAGCCTGGGAGACGCTCTTTCGCAGTGTTCATAAGTCGCACACAGAGGTGATACCTCTTCGCGAGCATGGATTCCTTGAGGTATTGACTGGACCTTTTTCTGCAACGTTTTCTTACAACTTTCATTCTTGCTTTCTTTCGAAGCTCAAGACCTTTGTTTCACATTTGATCGAAACACATCTCACGAAATTTTTATGCAGGGGACACAGAAAAAAAATCAAACCCTATACAGAATGTCATCGTGCAACTCCTCTGTGTTTTTTCTGCAGACAACAGCAAGCAAGTGCACACATAGAATAACACCCCATTTGATTACCGGCTTGAGAGAAGCATTAATGCCATCTAGTCCGAACAAGCATTGCCCTGCTTAATTTTATGCAGGGGTCTTCACTGAATTTGAAGCTGGCGACTACATCCAAAGTCTTGGTCTGTAGACATTCCAGCCGGCAGCAGCAACGAAGTCAGTCTCGATAAAGGGCGAGATTAAGGTGAAGGTAACGCAAGTCACTTTCTTTTTGAAGTTGTTGAGACTCATTTCGAGTAGCACGAGCTCAGCGAACAGAGAATTTAACACGTCCTATCATTCTGTACTCATATTTAGTACTTTTCGGAACTCAGTACTACCTTTGAAGGCAGTTTGAAGGTAGCGTGTAGGAGCTGGTTCCAAATTTGGAGGAGGTCCCTTCTAGCTAAGGTGTACTAAGGTGTACTGATATTTTCTGCAGAACAACTCACCTAAAGAACACGCGCGTGGGAATTACCAACAATGTTTGCCGATTCGTCCACCTGCTCGATGTGAACTTAAGAGCACTACAAACAGTCGCGCGCTCCGCGATATGAAAAAGGTGACCTGTGATGGAGGATGTATTTCTGACAAGGTTTTAAAATATATCGAACCGTCTGGTGTCTTGTATCAAAAAAAACATGAAGTGAGAGAAAATTTGCCGAACAGTGGACAGTTTTCCCGCCTTGCTGCTGAAGTGAAAGAAGACTTATACTAGACAACACGGTAGACAATGAAATGTAAATGAATATCTCCTCAAATGAAAAAGTATGTTAGCTTTCATTCAGGTTCGCCAAGCGTCTGACTGCTCCCGCGTTCCTTCCTCTTCCCACCAGGTTGTAGTCTTGTATCCACTGCGCAAAAATTTCATGGCGGACCCATCTTCGTCAGCCAAACCAAGGGCAACGAGCATCTCCTCCTTCGCTTCTCCCAAAGTGAACCTGTCTTCATCCTCTGCCACGCATACCAGTTCCCCTGTGTTTTGCTTGATCATCACCTGCCAAGGTGCAGGGTATTCTCTGAAAAGAGCACCAGAATAATTTAGAACAAAAGGCGAGACACTGATAGTGCGGGAGTAGGCCCGTGGTCGAAGGTAATAAATCGGCTTTATTTTGGATAGAAAACGGTAATGGGTATCTTTATCTGGAAAAGAGAAAAGACCAAGATCAGCTCGGAGCGTATCAAGTTCGTTGTTAAGGAATACTAAAGGTTTTCCACAGGTTTTTGTAATGCAAAATTGTTCGGCAGCGGGCAAATCTATGGTCGACAGGTTCACTATGGCGAAAATATCGGCGTGGTGCTCTAGGTTCAAATCTTCCTCTGCAGCTCGTGTCCGAAGACCTGCCCCTTCAACCAGATTCTCAAAGAAAGTACTTACGTTTTCCGTTTTTTTCCCGTCAAGGGTATTGAGCGTGCAACCTTCAGATAACTCTAACATGTTGGAGAAGACATTTTTTGCTCGTCGGTACTCAGTTCCATCGGGTAAAAGAATTTCACAGGTCTTCCCTGTCTCCTTATAAACTTCGCTAAAAATGGTAAGAGCATACTGAATGTTTAGATCGATATAAACATCTGAGGCGGCTTTGTAGTTAGCATCTTCTCCTGGCACGGATGGAAACTCCACCTCCATAAGACTGTACCCGTCAGTGAGTCCGTCAACGACACATTGGTAGGCGTGGTGACAAATATCTTGGTAAGAATTCGGACTGTAAACGGGGCGACCATCACTTCGATTCTCACGTCGCGAGGAAGGTGGATTCACCTCCACGGAATCGGCGCTCGCACGGAGAAACACGTGTCGCCGAAACGCGGTTTTTCCACAGATGTTTCCCTTAGAAAAAAGACTCGCGCGACTGAACTCGTGTACCTGATTTCGTACGCAAGTTGCAGCAAATATCATTTCTCTTTAGTTCTACCGTGTAGGAATTATCCTTTCCTCAAAAGCAATCGGTGCCAAATATCCTCCAAAGCAATTGTGTGCACTGTGCACGTGTGCAGTGTTGGCTTGCAGGATCATGCGCGTCAGAAGAAGTACACAATACAGTTGTACACGTACAGCTGTACTGTACAACTGCTGTACACGTACTTATGGAAGTGCGGACGGAGGTATCTTCGAAGGTACGGAAGTATCATACTTCCGGAAATATGAATGTCTAACTAGCAAGAGGAAGTACACATACACCACAGTTAGCTATCGATTTAGTCAGCTAGCATAGCTAGCTGGCGAGATAGCGAGCAAGGTAATCCTTTTTATTGTCAGCATACGCTATTATTGGGCTACTTCCTTACTTCCCTACGTACCTTCGTAGTCAGTATCTACAACATACGAAGGTACGAAAGTACTAGCTACGAAGGTAAATCTACCACCGAAGGTACGTGTAGGGCTACAGTATGTCGTGTACGATTACTATTATGTTGTACGAAGGACTTGTAGCGGTCGCGGCGGCAGGACGTCGACACGTCGGTCATTTACCGATGCATTCGCTTCATCACGCGCGTCGAAGACCCGCGCGCATCGCGCACGTCGTTTCCGGCGTCACATCCCGCCGTCGTGTACCGCGTCGTTCCGTGTGACTTTTTGGTCATGACCACCTCGGTTGACGATTTGCATATTTTCCAGACTAAAAAGTCTCGTGCACGAATACTGGCCTACGCCCTTTAAGCCCTGAATTAGCGTGAATTGACGGAGCTTAAAGGGTTGAACCCTTCGGGTTCATTTCACCCTTAACTCTGTCGCATCAACGCTAATTCAGGGCTGTATTCTGTATCTATTGAAGTCTCACACAGGGAAGCTAGATTTAAACCACAAAGTATTTACAGCAACCACCCCTGGTTCAGCTGTGGATACAACGAGTGCTACTGGTGGGGGTCAAGCACACGAGAACCTCCCTCCATACATAGCAATCCACATATGGAAGAGAATAGCTTAAAATCTATGTAAATAATAGTACAGTACGTCACATTCGCCCGGAAGGGCTGCGTAGTCTATCTTCGTATCATAGCTACTGTACAGGTAGTCTGATAAACGTTCGTATTACCTTCGTAGGCTACAGTACGGAAGTACTTTCGTACTTTCGTACGAAAGTACGAAAGTACTTCCGTATGGAACATTACTTTCATAATAGTATTTCCGGAAGTATGATACGAAGGTACACTACAGTACACGTACGTGTACGTGTACACTACTACGAAAGTATTATTAAAACAACTTACACGTACTCCCGAAGTACGAAAGTACTTTCGAAAGTACTTTCGTACGTTCCAGTACGTGTACTTGCGGAAGTACGAAAGTACTTCATACTGTACAACCGTTAAACTATTTGTTCTGTCTCCGTGTCCAACACTTCCGTACTGTACGTGTACAGCTGTCCACGTACTTCCGGAAATACGTGTACAACTGTGCACGTACATCGAACATAGCGCTAAAATCCGGGCGATCCCCATTCGACGAGTCACAAAAACTCGCTTCGTGTGCAGTCGCGAGGCCCCCGGAATCGTGAAAAGATTCTGCAAGAAAACAGCGATACTGCATCGTTCTCGTCTCGCGTAACTAGCTTTTGGCCAGCACTTCTGCGATGGGTAAGTGTGCTGAAACCCCTCGAATTGCGGTGAAACTTTGAAGGAGACTTTCCGCAAATTACCTTAGGGTTTCAGAATCGGATGCCTGAAAGACTAATCCGCCATAAGTCGTGATACTTGTGATATTCTTTCGCTCGCGGTGATACTCACCAATAGTCTTCCTCAATATCCTCCGCGAAGTCTTGCGACGTTTGCTTCTCTCCGAATCTTTAGGGTCTTGTTTTTTCCGCCAGTCCCTCAGCTAGCTCGTTTCTGGCCAACAGAGCACATTTTCGCTTTCTCGGGCGCCTTCGGTGCCTTCTCAATTCGCAAGAAGACATCATTTGTACGTCATTGCGTATTTGATGCGCTCTCCTTGATCCGCTAGCTGACATTAACCGCATTGTGTCTCACAGTAGGATTCAAGGTACACGAGCTCCGCACTAGAAGCAAAGGTGACTTGCTCAATCAGGTCAGTAGATCTTGATGCCCTTTTCTTAAATTGTTCAAGACGCTTCTGGCCAGCACCTGCGTATCTGGTTACGACATTGTTTAAACCGCTCATACTATGAGACATACCTTGCTTCCTTTCCCTGACTTTATCTTGTAAACAGTTAAAAGAGCTAAAAACCGAGCTAGCGGCTCTTAGGGTGGCTAAAGTAACCGGGGGAGCACCAAATAAACTCTCTAAAATCAAGGTAGTGAGGCTCTCAATCGCCCAGGTACTGACTGTCATCAGACAGAACCAGCTCCAGAACCTTCGTGAGGCTTATGCTGGGAAGAAGTACGTCCCTCTTGATCTGAGAACGAAGAAGACTCGGGCCATCCGCAGGCGTCTTCTATCAGCTGATAAGAACGTGAAAACATCTAAAGAAGCGAAGAAATATGCTTATTTTCCCGAGCGAAAGTATGCTATGAAGTCCTGATTTTTTGGCTAGATAAATCTTTTTTTTTTAGTTAAAACAGAGATAAATGGCTTCCAACAAGCGTGACAACACGCGCGCTGGATGAGCACGTTCTCTTTCTTCTCTTTGTAAATTCTTTTTTAACCTCGTTTTATCAAGTATCCGATCTGTACGGTGGACAGCTTGGCAATAATGGAGTTCCTTTTTTTTTAAAGATCTGGCTGGACCTTGTCGTTCACGCGCACAGAACTACTTTCGCTTTTGCAACAGATTGCCGAAGACCTTCGACTATTAAATCGAAAAAAAAAATTGATCTTGAGTGTCTTAAATATCAACAACTTCTCTTTCGAGACCCGAGGGCTATTTTAGTCCGTGCGACGAATGTCTTGATCACAGGGTTTGCGAGCATGAATAACTTGAACAAAAAGAAAAGTTTACATGAATCACTCAGACACGGAAAAAGCCCATTAGCGGGATCGAACCGCTGACCCCCAGCTTAGGAAGCTGACGCTCTATCCTCTGAGCTAAATGGGCAGTCCGGAGTGATTTTCTTCGGGAAAAAAGTGGTCTTAGTACGCAAAACTTGTCCATAATACGCGAATATGTAGTGTATATTACATCCGGAAGTACTTCCGTACTTTCGTACGTACGATTGAATGTACAGTAGTAGTAGTTTTATGAACGGAAGTATCTATTTTCGTACCTTCGTACGAAGGTATTTATTGAGCTGTACACGTAGTAGTTGTACGTGTACATAAACGTGTACAACAAATACGAATATCAAGTACTTTCGTACTTTCGTACTTTCGTACTTTCGTACGTTCGTACGGAAGTACAACGTTGTAGTTGTACTTTCGTCCAATAAAGAAGAACAAATAAAAATATTTGTCGCAGGTTTATGTACACGTAGGGCTAGTATTACTGTACGTGTACAACGTACTGTACAACGTTATTTTCTTACATTACACGTGTACGTAGTTAGTACAGTATGTAAACTATGTATGTAGCTATGTACGAAGGTACTTTCGTACTTCGTTGTAGTTGTACCCAGTACAGTCCCAGTACTAGTTGTACTGTACGCGTACAGCTGTACACGTACGGGTAATAATACGCGTTGTACAACGTTGTACATGTACTTTCGTACGAAAGTACTTTCGTACGCGAAAGTACTTCAACATAAATACACGTACACAATTCAAGAACTACAACTACAGTATGATACTTTATGTAATCATACAGTCGTACTTTCGTACACAGTACACAGCTACACACTGATGAGTCCCGACACCTTCACATTCTTGGAGGGCTCAGATCCCTAGGCCCTACACCTTTCTTACACCGTTGTATTTACGGAAGTACGGATATAAAAGTAATACAACGTGACTATGTACGGAAGTACTTCCGGAAGTATAAACAACTTACTTCCGTACTTCGGTACAACCATACCCAACGTTCCTCATTTTGAACTTCCGAAGTACGTGTACCTTCGTACTTTCGTACGAAAGTACTTCCGGAAGTATGTACTGTAGGGTAGCTAGCTATGCAAAATGTACGGAAGTACTTCCGTAGCTAGACTTGTATGCACGGAGGGCTGGCTGCTAGGGTAGCTAGCTAGTAGTATGTCAAACTATCAGAACAACTGAGTGTGTAGCTGTGTACGGAAGTACGGAAATAAAATAACGCGTTTGTACGGAAGCACGGGCAATAGACTACGTTGTACTGTACCGGAAGTACACGTGTACGTTGTAGTGTAATTCCGGAAGCACGGAAGTACGAAGGTAGTTCCGGAAGTAGCATATTTATGAACTTTCGGAAGTACTTTCGAAAGTACGTGTACAGCTGTACACGTACTTTGGAAGTACTGTACACTCGAAGTTACAAAAAAACGTGTAGCGACTCGCGAGCCATGTGCACAACATTCTCATATCACTGTTATTCAGAGCCTATGAAGGTACATTAAGGCTACACGTAGCTACTACCTTCGTACCTTCGATTTACATAGCTACATACGAAGATAATGTACGAAAGTACGTACGAAGGTAGGTATGTACTATGTAGCTATGTACATTGTAGCTAGGTACTGTACCTTCGAAGGTATTTGTACATCGTAATAGTCTTTTAGTATACAACTTACTCCCGGACATAAATAGTACTTTCGTAGTACAAAAATATGTACTGAAGTACGGAAGCAAGCAGTGTACGTTGTACATCTGTGTTGTACCTTCGTTCGTACAACGTTGTACGGAAATACGGATGTTACTTCCGGAAGTGCAACCAACGTACAGTACACGTACACGTGCACGTGCGGAAGTGAGAAGTATCCCTTGTACTTTCGGAAGTCTCTATTTCCGTACGGAAGTATTTCCGTACAACGTTGTCCGGAAGTATCCGATACTTCCGGAAATAGACACATACGAAGGTACCTCAAAAGACATATCTTCTCGTATGATCGATAACTTCCGTATCCGATACTTACGAGAGTCGTACGAAGGATTTGTACTGTAGCTAAATTGTACTTCCGGAAGTATTCTACTTCCGGAAGTATGATACTTCCTGGAAGTACGTTGTACGAAAGTACCTTCGAAGGTACTGTAGCTATCTAGCTAGATAGACCGATAGCTACATAAGTTGCCTTCATACGAAAGTACAAAGTACCTTCGTATGACGTACGTGTAGTTGTACTGTACTCGTACCACTCTCGCTTGCCTCAAATGTTCAAAAGGTTTACTGTACGTGTAGTTGTACACGTACAGTAGAAAGCTAGCTAGACACGTACAGTAGGCTAGCTAGGGCTACAAAAAAGTTGTACTTTCGTACTGTACTTTCGTACTTTCGAAAGTACCTTCGAAGGTACGACGGTACGTAACTACGTATGTACAGTAGCTATGTACTGTACCTTCAAAGGACTTTCAAAGGTATCTATGTACTACCTTCGAAGGTACCTTCGTATCTAGTACGTATGTACGTATCATACGAAAGTACGGAAGTACGAATGTACGAAAGTATCATACCTTCGAAGGAGTTTCGAAGATAGCGTAGCCCTACTGTACTTTCGTACGTGTACAGTATACTTAGTGTACACTACTTGCTTGGTACGAAAGTACGAAAGTACGAAAGTACCTTCGTATGATAAACACTTGTGTCGCTGAATTCACTCCGTGGTAAAGTCGTTTAGTCAAAGCAGATACAAAACCGCGCTTTTGTTCGATCTGAGAAAAAAATCAGACCCCTCTTTTCATCAATAAGCTAGTTGATATTTACGAGTCAAATGTCTAAAGACAACGACGAGTGAGTTTCCGCGTCAATTACCAAAATCCTCGAAAAGCTTTTCCACGACTTCGTCTGACTTCAAACACGGATACGATCTTGTGCAGTTATGATTATCTATTTAAAGTGGTCCTTATCGGTGATTCGGGTGTCGGCAAATCAAACTTGCTATCTCGTTTTACGCGAAACGAGTTTTGCTTAGAATCGAAGTCCACTATCGGTGTTGAGTTCGCAACTCGCACTATCGAGGTACCACACTACACCATAACTAACGAACTGAACTTTCAAGCGTGAAAACTACTTGCTCTCAGGTTGACACAAACACAATCAAAGCACAAATATGGGACACGGCTGGTCAAGAGAGGTACAGAGCCATTACGAGTGCGTATTACAGGGGTGCTGTAGGGGCGTTGCTTGTGTACGACATAACAAAGTCCGGTAAGTGTTCTTCTCCTTCTTTTTCTGAAGTGTTAAAACCCTCCAACTATTTTTGTCACGTTTTTGTTACAGAATCTTATGAAGACGTGGAGAAATGGCTGAAGGAACTTAGAGACCACGCAGATGCAAATATAGTTATCATGTTAATTGGAAACAAATGCGATTTGAAGCACTTGCGTTGCGTTCAAACTGAGGACGCACGCTTATTCGCTGCAAATGAAGGTCCTAACATAGTAAATAAGCTGTTCCTTTAACTCACCTATTTAACTTACACGACACATGATACTTTGATATGTTTTAATGCACTTCGTTTACAGGACTGTCTTTCACTGAAACCTCTGCACTTGAATCAACTAATGTCGAGCTTGCTTTCCACCAAATTCTAACTGAAGTTTTTCAGATAGTTTCGAAGGCAAGATTTTTCATGTTAAGTCCAACATTTTTTCTTACGAGCACTTTTCATAGAAGTCCCAGTCGAATGAATCTAATGATCAGAGTCAACGCCACGGCTCTAGTACAATTGAAGTAAATGCAATCAACGACGGCGTGAAGAAGTCAAAATCACAGTGTTGTAGTGCATAGTGAGTTAGCAACTGTCTGATATAGTGTATGTTTTAGGATTTGCACCAACGTGTGACGACTCGGCTGCATCAGGTACAGTAGATTACAAGATTGCTCTATCTAAAGGTATACTCAGTTAACTACACGCTTTCAGGTCACTGCTTGCTTGGTAGCGCTAATCACAAGACTTGCTTTCTGGTTAAATCGGTTGTGAACAGGAAAGACTTAGGAACGTGAGAGTACAACGTATAGTTGAATGTATACGTGAGAGTATAACATAGTTAAATGTATACCGTAACCTTTCCATATTCGGTCAAATTTTGGATGGAAGTGTATGTGTTTATTTACACTCTCACTTCGATTCGTACGTACGTGTACGGATATGGAAGTTTAGTTACTTCCGTACAGCTGTAGGGCCTAGTTTCATTGCTCCACGTGTAGTTGTGTACATGTACGGAAGTACTTCCGGACGTAGGTCACAAAGGTGATCTCAATACAAATAAACTTTACAGTGGTTTCACCCGACATAACGAATACCTTCGAAGGTATCGCTGATCTACGAATCCGGTGAGCGTTATCTTTCGGAGGCGGCGTTGTGAAGTGCATTCACGGCTGTAGGGGAGGGGATTTGCAGCACAGTTGTGTGTGACTATAATGCTCCTGATTTTTGTGCACGTACTGTTACTTTATACCTTCGTACCTTCGTACGAAGGTAGATCATAACACATACACTAGGGCTAGCTAGTATCGATAAACTATTTTGTATCTATCTTCGAAGATCTTTCGTACTAGATAGCCCGAGGCCCTACATACTGTACATGTACACGTACAACAGTGTATCGGATACTACTTCGAAAATATCTTCTTATTTTCTTTCTCCTTTTTATGCTGTACTGTGCCTTCGTACGAAGGTATGATGCAGTATATCTGATTACAGTACACGTACACGTACAGTATGATATTAAATACGAGAACAACGCGTAACGTAGCAGATAGAATATCTTCGAAGGTACCTTCGAAGGTACACGTGTACAACGTACAACTACAGTAGTACTTTCGTACCTTCGTACCTTTTGTACTTTCGTACTTTCGTACTACTTTCGTACTTTCGTACTTTCGTACGAAAGTACTTCCGTACGTACGAAAGTACGAAAGTACTTTCAAAGTACAAGCTACCTTCGAAGGTACTTTCGAAAGTACATTTGTTAGTTGTACTTTCGTACTAACGTTATACGTGTACGTGTACAGTGTGTATTAGGTCTGATGAAATTCCCGTGCTTGGACTCGTCCAGCTTGTCACCGAGCCTTGATGTCTCTCCGCCAGCTTGTGAAGGAATTTTGCCAATTTTTGACTTGGAGTCCTTGACATTGCGTTTTCATTGTTTTTTCTCTTCCACAGGTGAGCATTCAGTTCTCGGCCACGGATCCTCGTTCTGCAGCGGTCAGGTGAGCAGTTCAGAAACCTTCACAGAAGTTGGTCGTGGTGTAAATTAACCGAAGGTGTCACAGAGAATTTCTGCAGCGATGTTTGGCGCCCAAGGCGCGCGAATCTAATCCAGACTGCATAGTTTTTCATAATGTTCGATCGGATGACTGCCCCCCCGTCGTATCTGTTGAGTTCGGTAAGATACATTCCGTGGCAACCATTTAACACCATAAAAATATTTTTGTTCTATTTGTCAGTTAACGGGTTCAAAGACCAATTCAATTGTCACAAACTTACAGTTTCTGATATCATGAGCCGGATTTGTGATATTTCTGATACGATGAACTCGGAAGAATTGCTTGAAAAATCAGGGTTGAAAACTTCAGAGCTTAATCTACGCAGCTTCATTAAATAACGTGTGTTATGCTGGCGACGCAAGGCATAGTGAGAACCCACATTCTTGTAGTGTTTACTGAGAAGAACTACTCTCAAAAGGCAATCTATTTCGGGGCCCTGAAATCTTCGCCTAAGCCATAAAGTAAGGCCGAAGGCAGAGTATCAGAGCCAAGTACTGGAACTTGGCCGAGTAGTCTTCGTTTTTTTGAAAGGCCACCGCGGGCGCTCACATCTGTGGCTTCTGAGGGCCCAGATCCTTTCGTTAGTTCCTGGATACCCACCAGCGGTACGCGCAGTCCACTTTTCACTGCGCAACCAGCTTCTTTGACACATGTATCCAAACAGGCCTCCCTGACAACTTTATTTCGACCAACAGATTTATCGTCTAGTGATGCTTGTTGAGCGGGCTGAACCTTCTTTGCAGTACCTGCTTTCTCCATATCTCTGTAGTCAAGAGCATGGGGACTCAGCGGTTTCGTAGTGATACCTTGACCTGGTATGATTTGGATTCCCGAGGATTTCGCAAGAGGAGATACACGATCGGCGGCATCCTCATAGGAAATCGATTCTAGTTCCACTTCAGCCAGTGGTAAACCTGTGTGTGCGAGACTTGACTTGCCTTGAAAAGTCAGAATGTGCTCTTCAACTTGATGCCCGATACCTTTCTTGTGAAACTTGGAGCTTTCAGGAGCGTCATGGTTTTTTCCAGTGCAAGACTGAAAATCTTTGAAGTTAAGCTCAGCTTCTTCTTTGAAGTGCTCTCGAAATAGGATTCCTGAAGTTTTTCTTGAAGTGGATAGCGACGTCGAATCCTTCACATGGGGACAGTAGGACTCCACTACCTTTGTATGCTCGAGAACTGACATAGTGTTTTTCTTGAGATGTGAAACCTCAGCATCTGCTTCACATAAATCGGCTGCAGCACCCTGCAGAGCTTCTTTCAGACAAACAATTTCACTCTTAAGCATCGAGCTCGAGTATTTCTCCTCCGAAAGCTGTGCACCAAGAATTTCGCACTCAGCTTTTTTGTTCTCTGCGTCGTCGTTCAATGCACTGCGCTGCATTTCAAGGACCCTGATGTGTTGTCTGTAATTGCACATTTGAAGCTTGATGGAGGCTAGGCTATAGTCTCTCTCACTCAAATCTCGTTTATACGCCCTTGCGAGCTGTGCAAAAGGCCGTGGAAGGAAAGGGGAACACGGTATCACGGTTGGTTGCAAGCGAGGTTGTGCAACTAGTTTGCACGCAAGAGCAGGCAATCCTGCGTCTGACGATACGATATCCGATCTTGGAAGGAAAAACAATTGAAAAACAAGGCGACGAATGCGACAACAACGTCGTAACAAGTAAAATCGCACCTCACGAATTCGTTCTTCTGACTTGTTCCTCTCGGCAAGGAAGGCATTTACGACGATGCTTAACTTCTTTCTCAATAAACTAATTTCAGCTCGTCTTAAGTGCATTTCTTTACGAGGAGCATCCAGTTCTTTTCGGGTTCGCTGCCGGAAATCGGTAATATCTGATAGTTGTGCCCTATGCATTTCGTGAACGTTTTTGAAATGTGGAAGTAACTTTTTTCCCCTCGTGACGCTTATGAGTACACGTACTATGTTGTACACGTACGTGTACTGTATGTACACGTACATGTATTTTATCCCTACAAAATAGTGCTGCATGCGTGTACGACTGTACGTGTATTGTACCTTGGTAGTCGTGTACAGCTGAACACGTACACGTACAGTACGAAGGTACAGTATCCGATAGCCCATTTTATTTGGACAACTTTTTATAAAAAATGACGTCGTGTACAGCTATCGTTGTAGAGCTGCAGTTGTAGACTACGGAGGTACAACGTTCTTTATTATAAACAGGCAGGGGAAATAAAATTTTATACTTGAACTTCGACAGTGAGTATAAATACATGAGTACAAGTGTTCGTTGTCCTTTTGATAAATAAAGAATTACCTTCGTACTTAAGTTATCATTGAGTGCAACAGTCATTCAGCCAAGAAATGAATAACTAGGGCACTAGAGCTAGCTAGGATACCTTCCTTTCGTGTGATACTAAGTTGTGCGATATGTACACGCATGACTCTGGAATATTTATTATTGTAGCTTATGTATGATATTGTTGTTTATAAACTATTTTGTTATGTACAGAATACTACATGAACTACCTTCGGTACAGATCTACACGCTTGGCTACTTAACAGTGCTACACGTGTACGAATACGTAGTAACCTATCTACGAAGGTACCTAAGAAGGCACCTTCGAAGGTAGCTATCGGATACTTGTACACGATAGTAGCTAGCTACCTTCGAAGGTAGCTACTAGCTAGCCTAGCGACCATGGGTTTTAATTAAAAATAGTGCAGTACTGTACGTGTATAAAGTTTAATACTATTTCTTCTGGGTAAACGTACGACGTTGTACGAAGGTACGTGTACAGTACGAAGGAACTGAATAAACACATTCGACGTACAGTACGTTGTACTTCCGGAAGTACGTTGTACACCTTTCTTTACTTGCCAAAGTCGGAAAAAAAATTTGAGTACGTCGTACTGTACACTACTTCCGTACGTTATATATCGCTACCACTATGAAAAATGCTACAGTAAGTGTACAAGTTACTGTGCTGTAATTTATACGACGGTAGTACCTTCGTATGTATGTAGCTATGTACGGAAGTACTGTACCTTCGAAGATAAAGATAAACTTATTATTGTGTGTACCTTCGCAATTCGTATAAAGTTGTTAGTATTATTTAGTAGCCATATTTCCGGAAGTATGATACTTCCGGCAGTACTCGTACCTTTTTCTGGCTGTATTCAGTACGTGTACAGCACGCGTACGTAGTCCTTATAAAATACTTTCGTATTAAACTTCGTGCACACGTGTACAGCTGTACACGTACAACGTTGTAGTGTACTGTACGTGTACGTGTAGGATACATTCAAAATATGTACGAAAATATTTTAAAAAAGATACTGTAGTTGTACTGTACATGTACCCCATAAAGTACAACTTATTTGTACGAAGAACTATTAGCCCTACAGTACACGTACACGTACAGTATTTGGGCCTACTGCTACAGTACCTCTTTCAACTGTTCAACTGTCTCTACTCACTGGGAAAGTTATTACTCCGAAGGCGCAGTCTAAAGAGGCCCGTGCTCGCTGGCTTCTAAGCCTCGTGGATGACCGACGACGAGCTCGAAGACTACGGATTCGAATACTCCGATGAAGATCCCGATGAAGCTGACGTAGATGCCGAAAACCAGTATTATTTCGCGAAAGGTAAGTTGTCAAGTATACTGTCTATGTGCTCATCACTTCATTCCACTGAATTTTTGGGGCACACTTATTTCGTGAAACAGCTCTGCTGGAAGCAGGAAGTTTTAAAGATGCATTTGATGGTTTCTCGGCAGTATTAGTTATGGAAAAGGAGCCAGGCGAGTGGGGTTTCAAGGCTTTGAAACAGATCGTAAAATTACACCTAAAGCACGGTGACTATGAAGATATGTTGATAACTTATCGCCAGCTGTTGAAGTATGTCAGTTCTGCAGTTACTCGCAACTACAGTGAGAAGGTTCTCAACTCTATCATCGATGCAGTTAGTGTTTCGCCTAACGCAATGTTTCGTCAAGAATTTTATGAGACTACTCTGTGTACGCTTGAGGATGATAAAAATGCGCGTCTTTGCTTCAAAACTAATCTGAAGCTTTGTAACCTCTGGCTTTCAATGAAAGAGTTTGTTCGAGTTGGAAAGTTAATCAAAAAGCTGCACCAAGCTTGCCTGAAAAACGATGGGTCTTTTGATCAGCAAAAGGGAACTCAGATACTAGAAGTGTATGCTATTGAAATTCAAATGTATACGGAGCAAAAGAATAATAAGAGACTGAAGGAAACATATCTGAGAGCTTTAACTGTCACTTCTGCTATCCCACACCCTCACATCCTTGGAATAATTCGCGAGTGTGGCGGGAAAATGCATATGGCAGAACGACAGTGGGGAGAGGCAGCAACAGATTTCTTTGAATCTTTTAAGTCCTATGACGAGGCTGGCCAGTCTCGACGTATTCAGAGTCTGAAATACTTAGTTATTGCGAATATGCTGATGGAGTCTGATGTGAACCCTTTTGATGCACAAGAAACACGTTCTTTTCGTTCTGACCCTGAGGTAGTAGTCATTACTTCATTAGTTTCCGCATACCACCGGAATTCCATATCCGACTTTGAAGCGCTGCTCATCACCAATAACCAGCACATCATAGAGGATCCATTTATTCATGATTATGTCGAGGAGCTTTTGAAGAATCTTCGAACTCAGGTGCTCTTGAAGCTGATAAAACCATACACTCGTGTCCGCTTTTCGGTGATATCCTCAGAATTAAATATACCAGAAGTGGACGTGGAAGCATTATTGGTATGTCTTGTTCTTGACAGCCGAGTCGAGGCAGATATCGATCAAACGACACAGACAGTTGCACTTGGAGCCTACATGCACGCGTGTCGAGGATCACGAAATCGAGGCTGGGAAAAGTGGGCTGCATTTATAAAAGCTCACACAAGGATACAAACACTACGAATCAACTGAATATCTAGTTTATTTTGAGCACAATGTGGACGTGATTACTGCGTGGCTCACTTTCTCTTCTCAATTTCCAAATCATCGAATTAAGTCTCTCTTCGTCAAAGAACATTCTGACAGTTTCATTGAAAGCTCCTGTTGTGAAGAGACTCCAGTAGTTGTCTGTTCAAAAGAACGATTCGGTGATAAAAAATGCGAAAGTGCCTGAGTACGAAAGTGCTGTTTCACATTGTTCCAGTATGAGGTCTATGCACATTCAGGTTTGTTCCGTCGAAAAAATCAAAGCCTGTATAGTGGCTCTATGCCAAGAATGTGAAAACATTGCCTTAGCGATATAGCTGTAGCTTGGCAGAGAAACGTCCGCGACCTCTCCTGTTCACCGCCTAACACCTGCAAAAAGGAAAATATGACCACAGTATCAGAAATGAAATACTATAAAAACAGTCAGATACCTTGCAAGATCCATAAAATTCGTTGAACGTCACACATAGGCTGTACGTGTAGTCACAAAGTCGTGAAGGAAGAAGATCCTTATAATAGTTGACGGTGAGCTCTCAGTCAGGAGGAATATAACATGTCGACTGAAAAGGTACCTGTACTACTGACTCAACTACGTCGGGGAACTTCATAATCGTGAGAGCAAGCACTCTTTCAAACTCATCTTTCAGAACCTTGAGAAATGCATTAATTGCATGTTTTGAAGTGACTATGCAGTAGAAACACGCACCAAATCATTTATGCTCAGAGGCTCAAGGTCCTGGGAATGATAATTCCATCACGAGAAGGTGCCATAAAGGTATAGTCAACTTACCTGTGTGTGAGCACGCTCCAAGAGGGAGGAGATACGTGCATGCGTGTATAAGAGATAGACCGCAGTGTTGCCCTGAAATTGTATCCGTGTTTCGTTGACAAAATAGCTGCAATACAATCTTCAAAATCATTGTACCTTAAGGTCCAGCATGCGTTCATATGAAAATGTGTAGTTTGTTAAGCTTCAAGAAAACAGAATTAGACTGCACGGAAATTTTACAAAAAAACTACTAGATAACAACCGATTATTATGAAGATCCGCATATTTAACTGCTGCCACACCCATAATACGTGACGCATCCTAGTTGCAGGGCCATTTCTCAGCCACCATTAGTTGCCGTTAAAAAAAAGTTCAAAAATGACAAATATATATGAATAACTGAGAACTTACCTCTAGTTCGTCATCACTTAGAGTGCTTTCTCTTCCTCGCAAGCTATCTAAGCACCGAGATTGTGCTTCGCGCAAAAGGGATTTCAACGGCACGGTGTCTCCTGATCGGGTGCGAAAACGTTTGCCGTCAACCCCCTATAAATGTAAGATAAGAACGAGGGGGTGTTTTGACGAGGAACACGCAATACACCATAACTAGTCCAAATCCGACATGATCCAAGCTGACATTCCCCTGTAAAAGCAAGCTGAAAAAAAACCTGATCTCAAAATAAAAAAGGCTCGTACGTTCTCTCGTTTTAACCACCCTGCACGACTAGCTGCGTCAAAAATGGCGTCGAAATGCTGTTGTGAAAGCATTTCAGTCCCAATGAAAACATGGCTATTTTAACCAGTGAACTACCTTCTTCTGACCGACATCAGTTACATATATTATCCAGTCAGCGCAAAGATCGCTGATGCGCTGTTTAACGAGGAGCTCAATTGAATGATTCGTAGTCTTCTCTAAATGGAAAAGTTGTATGCGAGTAAAGAGAGAAGAAATACCTGCCACAAAGCAGCAAGGTCTGTGGAAGCATAATTAAAGCTCCCATTACTCTTTCTGCAGATTAGAGGGGAATCACTGCCATCTGCGAATATGCACAATGCTCCGTCACTTTGCACGGCTATTTCTTTCTCAATTAGCTCACTGAGCACGTCAGGGATCAAATAATTATAATAGCTTTCTCCGCGTTCCAGAATGTGAACATCCAATAGCCGATATATTTCCTCGAAATCTTGTCGACTAACCTGAAGATTTAGGTCGAAAATCGGCATTTCAAGTTTATTCCAAGAGAGAACGCAGATCGTAGTCACCTCGCAGATATCGGTCCATTTTTCTTTTAAATGTTTATCACCAGCTTGTAGGTGCACCACAGCTGCCCGCGCACGTTTCTAGTGTAGAAGTGGTGAATATCTTCGAGGAAATCAGAAAATGAAACAAAGGAACCTTGAAGTCTTCATCAGAATCAAAACGTATTTTCGATTGCTGAATTTGTAAAGAGGATCAGTTGGTGCGATCTTCCACAGAAACACACAGGTGACTCACCTTGTACAGCTCCTGGAGATTTTTTACCTCAAAGTCGGACGATTCTGAAATATCCTCGAGATGAGCAAGTAGCATTCCAAACTGAGTTCCCCAGTCTCCAACGTGATTTAACCTAAAAAAAATGGCCCAAAACAATAAAATGCTTCTGCTGAAAGAGTACAAGAAACTACATTCTCAGCTCACCGTATAACTTCAACACCGACGAATTCAAGTGCTCGACAAATTGTCTCCCCAATAATTGTGCTTCTCAGGTGGCCAACGTGCATTTCCTGCACTAAAATAAGGATATGTCAGAATGATGTTAGACCAAAAGTAAACGAAACACCGCCATCAATACACTTTCCTTGGCAATATTCGGTGAAGAGTAGTCCACGACTGCCCTCTTTGCAGTGAGTTTTCTGAACTTGCGAGTGGTCTCAAAAGTTCCATCTGGGTTACAGTGTTGGTGTTTGTCAAAGAATAAAAATAAATCGGGGAGTTGCTAACCAGCTGAACAATGAAAAACGCGGAGGGCTTCTTGTGCAAGAAATTCACGTGAGAATGTAATATTTATGAATCCTGGGCCGGCAACCGCCAACTTCTCAAAAAAACTGTTCTCCGCTGGTATTGCCTTTGAAATGTATGACAGTCGATCTCCAGATGAACTTTAACATTGACAAGCAATACCTGAATTATTGCCTCTGCCAAAGAGCGAGGGTTCTTGAAGCGAGTATCTCCTCTATCCTTGAGTTCAGCAAAGATCTTCATAGCGCTGTTACACTGCGATCCATGGAGAGAAGGCAAAGCATGAAATCAACCTCTGAAGCTTAGGAGAAGTTTGCCTGCCTGGTAGTCCCCTAACGCTCTATTAGAACACTCGGCAATTTCAAAATCTAGTGACGACTCTCCAGGAAACACTACATTGCCTGCCTGCGAAAACATCAACTTCATCGTAGAGCGCAGGCTATCTCCACCTGTCGAAATTATAAGGGTAAACTCAGTCACACAAAATGGTTTGCGACGCTGCATAGTTCTATAAAACGACCGTACCGGTGGAAACAGGAGCCGCAATTTCAGAGAATCTCGCACGCGGATGATATTTACGTGGCCGAGGTAGATTTCCGCGTCGGGGACGATTCGCTTGACCCAACTGTTGCCGAACTGAAGCTATTCTGAACATGTCTATCGACGAGGAGTGCCTCTTATAAAGGTGTAAACTGCGCGAGTTACAGAGCGCCCTCGCACTCATAACTATTCTATATGAAAAGATATTGATTTTTGATTTGATTGAGTTTCGTCCAGCGTCACTTCCTCAATGGATCAAAGGGAAAGCAGTTGAATCCAGATAGATTCAAGTGAGGCGGAATCGTAAACGACAGTATAATGTATAAATTAGGGCTAATCGTTTATCATTGTTGTACGTGTACGCACGGAAGTACGAAAGTACGAGGTACTTTCGTAAGGTACAGTACGTGTACACGTACAGTATCTAATACCGAAGTATCTATCTTCGAAGGTACCTTCGAAGGTACTTTCGAAAGTATTAAATAATGTTGTACAAGTAGGGCCCTACGAAAGTACTTGAAAGAGTCTTGAAAGTATAGAATACCTTCGTACGAAGACATGAAATCCATTTGATATGCAGTCTTATCTGTACGTGTACGCGTGTACGCGTAGCCCAACATGCGCGTATTTTCATAGTCGTGATATCATAATCAAATGTTTATTTTATTAGCAACCCGTACGGAAGTACTTTCGTACCTTCGAAGGTAGCATATCTAGCTAGATACCTTCGAAGGTAGATAGCTAGCTAGATACCTTCGAAGGTACGTACTTATTTTTAGATATTCTAGCATATCTATTATCTAAGTAAATAAGTTGTACAACTTAATATCCGATATCGTACACTACTGTATAAAATAAGATTATTTAACGCGTATTTATTATTATTCTGACTTTATTCTGCATACTGTACGAGTATTGCAAAAAAATTTATCTGGCTCTTTTTTCGGTTCTATCCAGCTCTTCTCGCGTACTTCCGGTTGACCGGCTTGACCGATCGGATTTGACCGAGGGTCGCGTCTTCACCGGTCTGACGATTCAGTCGCCCTTTCGTCTACGATCAGAGTTCTGACAGTTTTACACCTCTCCGCGAGGTCTGCGTGTTCGCGCGGCCATAGCGTCGGGGAAAGGCCGTAACATTCCTCGGTACAGTGAGAAGAGTTCTTCGTCACATCGCGGGGCATCGATTGAATTAAGAATACTGTGCCACTTCCCGTAAAGTAAACGACGTCAGCGGCGCTTATATGTCAAAGGTGGCTCTGCAAAATCTTTCTTGAATGAGGAGAATTTTTTTTTCCACCAGCCCCCGAAAACGCGATGTTGAAAGTTGCGTCCGGCCCTGTTCGAGCGCTGATTACGTCGTGATCATCACAGCGAGCGGTGTGATATTTTTGCATGCTTCGACGCATCGTGGTATTTCGAGTAAATGCTTTGCTTGCGACGTCGGCGTTCGTGACGCTCCCGCGACTCCAGCAGCGCGCGAACGCCCGTGGGCACCCCTTTCAAACGACTGAAGTTTGAACGGAGCTGCGAGTACGGAGTACGCGCGCAGCGGAAGCGTATGGGTATTTGCAATGAAAATGCGAGAAGCGCTGGATCAACCAAAAAAAGAATTGGCCTGGACGGGCTGTAATATCATGATATTGAAGCATTTTCCACTATCGCCCACGCCTCTTTCATCTCTTCTTTCAAGAACATGTCGTGGTACAGACAAACTGGGCACACCCACGTGCCATCATCCTTGAAGTGTTTCGCGCGCGGGTGTTCGCGCGTACCTTCGAAGGTACACTTTTGTACGTGTTTTAGTCACGAGTACGTTTTTTTGCTGGTTTTTTTCGAATTACGTGGAGGACTACATGTACACGTACTGTACTGTACACGTATAGAATACCTTAAAAAATACTTTCGTATACCTTAAAAAATACTTTCGTACCTTCGAAGGTACCAACCGCTTACCAACAAACCACTTGGACCGTGGTAGAAAGCGTCACCTGCAACAAAGCGGCTGTTTATCCTCGGATTGTCACTTGATTCGCGATATAGACACATTTCGACGCGTCGTCTTCGAGCTTTCGTTGGCTGGGCAGCCTTCACGTCACAGTTGCGACCCTGCTTTCAAACCCAGCGCACGGTCGCCCTTGCTCCAACTGCGGCGGCAAGTCAGTATCACGGACGTGCACCCACTATGAGCACAAATCTTCAAGCATTCGATTATGATCTCGTGGTTGTAGGTGGCGGTTCTGGCGGCCTCGTACGTGCCCCCGACTTCCCCCCCAAAAAAACCCTTCTGTTTAGTTTGAACGTTTTGGAAACAATTTCTTGTCAAACTGTGATAATCCAGAAGATATCACCAGAAACATGTTTTTTTTCTCCCCGTGACATCAGGCTACTGCTAAAGAGGCTGCAAAGCTCGGCGCCAAGGTCGCATGCCTAGATTTCGTGAAGCCATCCCCAGCAGGAACAAGTTGGGGGCTTGGCGGTACCTGTGTCAACGTTGGCTGTATTCCCAAGAAATTGATGCATCAGGCTGGAATTTTGGGTGAATCCTTCTCAGATGCCAGAGAATTTGGTTGGAAATTAAGGTCTGATGGCCATGATTGGAGTAAAATGGTGAACGGTATTCAAGACCACATTGGATCTTTAAATTTCGGGTATCGTACTGCGCTACGAGATAATAATGTAACCTACATAAATGCTTTCGGGTCTTTCATCGATGAACACACCATCACGGCGACCAAGAAGAACGGTAAAGTCGACAAAATAACTTCTGAAAGATTTGTGATTGCTGTCGGTGGACGTCCAAGTTACCTCGACGTCCCCGGTGCTCGTGAATGTTGCATTACTTCCGACGATGTCTTTTCTCTTCCAAAACCACCAGGCAAGACACTATGTGTTGGTGCCTCATATATTTCGCTTGAGACAGCCGGGTTTCTCACAGCTTTAGGTTATGACACCACTGTTGCTATCCGCTCTGTCCCTCTTCGTGGCTTTGACTCTGAAATCGCCGAAATGGTAGTAAGTCATATGGAGCGTCATGGGACCAACTTCATGCGTGATTCCCAGCCAGTTGCTTTCGAGAAGGCTGCCGATGGTCAAATAAAAGTATCTATTAAGAATACTGTCTTTGGCTCTGAGTTTGCTGCTGTTTTCGACACCGTGATACTTGCTGTTGGTCGCATGGCCGTGACTGAAGGGCTTAATCTGGCTACTGCTGGAGTTCACGTGAACCCTAAAAACGGCAAGATCCCAGCAGTTGACGAGGTGACTAACGTGCCGCACATCTTCGCAATCGGTTGGGAGGAACTTGTTTTATGTGCATTACTCTTGACGTGTTTGATCTACCTTTTGTATTCGATATAATACTCCTTTGGAATTTATTCGCCATCGTCGACCCTTGCTTTTGGAGACGTGTTGGACACTCGTCAAGAACTTACGCCTGTTGCAATTAAGGCTGGTGTTCGTTTGGCGCGGCGCCTTTATAGTGGAAGTACTGAAAAAATGGACTACAGTCTCGTGCCAACAACTGTCTTTACCCCACAGGAATATGGTTGTATAGGCATGTCCGAAGAACAAGCCATCGAAATGTACGGCGAAGAAAATGTGGAGGTATATCATTCGTATTTTAAGCCACTCGAGTGGACGATAAATCATGAGGCGCTTGATGGGGTCGCACACCGTGAAGACAACTCGTGCTACTCCAAGCTCATCACCAACTTGTCGGATGATGAACGTGTCATTGGATTTCATTACATTGGGCCGCATGCTGGTGAGGTGACACAGGGATATGCCGTTGCAATGCGAATGGGTGCCAAGAAGAGAGACTTTGATGGCACCGTAGGTATACACCCCACTGTTTCAGAGGAGTTTACCACTCTTTCGATCACAAAACGCTCAGGTGTTGATGCTGCTAAAAAAGGGTGCTGAGGATAGATAGCTGCTGAGTTATCCACAACAGTATCCGGCAGATACATAATCTGTGTTCTGGTTGTTGTGGTAACTCAGCAGCAAATAATAACTCGTGTACTTCAGAATGTCAAATTCCTTGTGACAAATAAAGGTAATATTTGTTGCGTTATTTTGAAGTTGAAGAACAGTGAGTGGACTGTGAAGGCAGAATTAGAAAACGTGTAGCGCGTAGGTTCAAGCCTGATATTCCCAGACAAACTGTATTAAGAGCATTCCTGAGTTGATATATCGTTGCAAATTCGTTTCTTTCAAATCCCTGTGCTCGCTACCGCTAAGTAAAAAATATCATAAACACCAACGTTCGGACCCATTTATCGAATTCCATTTCCGCACTTGACTGTGTCGCCACAGTGACAAGTTGAACAATGCATGCCATCATCGCTACATGAAATGAAAGTTAAGAGAGCATTCCAACCGCGCGCAGAAGATTCAATTTTATTCCCTTATGTGGGCCATACACAAAAAATGGATCAGTCAGCAGTCCTTGATCACCAATACCTCGCCATTTTTGCAAAACTGGCTTTCTATTCTGGAAACAGGTAATGGAGTGCTCGCCATGATATGAACCGACACCACTCTCTCCTACCCCACCAAAAGGCAGCGCCGCGTGGCCCGCGTGGTATACCACCCCGTTTATCGTGACACCCCCCGCTGTCGTGTTGTCTAAGATGATCCGCTGTTCAGTGCGACTTGTAGAGAAGATGTATAGAGACAACGGCTTTGGGCGAGTGCGGACGTGTGCAACTGCTGTTCGCAAGTCATCATAGGGAATTACACAAAGAATAGGGCAGAACATCTCTTCAACCATAAGATCCGAGTCCCAACCGCAAACAACGACAGTAGGCTCAACTCCATTGGCACTTTGAGACCCATCCCCACAGACAAAATTTTCACCCCGAGTACCCACCTTCCCTAAAAAACTCGTGACTCGATTCAAAAGACGGCGTTCACTCGTGCTACCACCTTCACGCCCCCGGCAGCTCGTGCCCTCAGCATCGGCTTTATGTATTAGCACATCGATCCAATGCTGCAACTCCATAGTAAACTGGTGAAGCACTGATTCATGACAAACTACATATTCTGGCGCGATGCACTGCTGGCCAGAGTTGAGGTTACGGCCCCAGATGCACTGCTTTGCAGCTATTGAAATATCTGAAGTCTGGGTGACAAATACTGGATTCTTACCCCCGAGTTCGAGGGCGCATGGGGTCAAATTCTCGGCAGCACGCTGTGCGATGATTGACCCCACCCTCGTCGATCCTGTGAAGAAAATGAAATCAAACTTTTCTGCAAGTAACGCCGACATCACGTCGACTCCGTCACCCGGTATGTTTGGTCCCACCACGGTAACCAACCTCGGGTCAACATAACGCACGAGAAGATCAGTCAGTAGACGAGATGAAATCGGGGCATCCGTGCTTGGTTTGAGGATGACATTGTTTCCAGCAGCAATAGCACCAGCGATAACCCCACTTGTAAGTAAGAAAGGATAGTTGAAAGGTCCAACGATCAGAACAAGCCCATAAGGTTCCTTTTCGATCCATTGAGAACTTGGGAAAGTGAGCAGCGAAAATGCCCCGACCCTCTCGGGGACAGTCCAACGATATATATGTTTAATGAGCTTGCGCAGTTCGCTTTGCACGAGCAAGAAGTCGTAGTACAAGGTTTCACCAGAAGGTCGACGTAGGTCTTCCCACACTGCGTCTAGGATCACACGTTCGTTTTCAGCCACCATGCTCAACAAAGCCTCAAGGTTCGCGCGTCGGCTTTTGATGGACAGAGTACATCCAGTGTTGAATGCGGCTCGCATCTCCGAAACAAGTGCGATGACACTGAGAATCCCAGGAGCGCTCGTCTTGCCGACCACGTTCCAGCGCTTGCGAACCTTCTTCAAGTCGGCGTCTTCCGACACGAAGTAATTCTTGTGCACAGACCAGACAGAGGGAAAATAACGATAAAACACAGATGTGCACGTGAGACCGCCGAGCAGGCACGTTGCCGCGATGAATCTGCAGGCTTGCGTCATCAGGTATTTCCCCATCCCAGTTTACGTGCTAAAAGTTGTTGCGTGCGAAGGAACCTTCAGGTCCAGAAGGAGCCTCGTTCAGCACCGGAACGGAAGTACGCAGGGCTACGTGCTTCTGCACTTCCGTATCAGCGCCTCTGGCTTGGGCCGTCCGTCAGTTGGGAGAAGGGAATGGGCACGGCGCGGTGGGGTATTTCTAAAAATCGTACGAAAGTACGGAAGTACGGAAGTACTTTCGTACAACTACACGTACATGTGCTCCCGTACGTGTACACGTTCAAAGCACATGAAGTTTTTACGTACAGTGTGATACAAAGGCTACACACTACTGTACGAACGAAGGTACAGTATTATTTTTATGTTCATATATACCGTACTACTATGTACGAAAGTATGATAAAGTATACTAACGTATTATGTTCTATCATAATAGTACGAAAGTACTTTCGTAGCACATAGCTAATACTTTCGTACATACAGCGATAGTTGTACTTCCGCATTATATGATACTCTTGTAGTCAGCATAAATTATTCCGTCCCTTTCCGGCGAAAAGCTGAGAATTTTTCCTATGGGCAATTGGAGAGGCGTGATTTTCTTATTGTAGCCCTATGGGGAAATTCCTCTATGGGGAATTTGTTCGGTTTGCGCGAGCGCGCGCGCGGGCGCACGCAGCCGCGCTCACGCCTGGTGTACGAACGCGCCCGCCGCGTCTCGACTCGTGAGCCTCGAACGCGTCGCCTGGAGGACGCGGAGAGCTCGCCACCCTCAAAACACTGCGCTCCCCCCGCGCGGAGGGGGGGTTCGAGCTGGGCTGACTGCTGGCGCGCTCGTTTTTGTGCGCGTTCCGCGGGAATCGTGAAATCACTACTTCGCCGCCTTCCGGCAATACGCGCGCGCGTTTCTTCACGGTAAGAGCTAATGTTTTCGCGCGTCATCGCACGCATCGCGGTGTTCTTCGCACTTTATCTCATTTTTGCGACGGCGTTCGCGAGATCGCGGCGACGTGAGCGGCGGTTGAAGCGCGGAGGGTGGAGGTACTGTGGTAACTAAGAATGGATCGGTATGGTAATTTTGGCCGTGGACAACTTTTCCCACCTGCTGAGAACAGTCTGTACTGTACGTGTACATGTATTCGTTGGGCCCTTCTGTACATGTACGAGTAGGCTAACCGTTTAATAACCGTGTACGGAAGGCGTTCAGCTACACGTAGCTATTTATATCATAGTTTCGGTCGATTTGGCTGAGCAAAACTCAAGGCAGAAGGGAATGATTCCTGTATTTGACTGTCATCCTTCGTCATGCACGTTGCAGTAAATTCGGTGATTCCGTCCTATCTTTATGTATTAGACTACAAAAACAAATCAACTAGCGGCTGCTCACAACTAAGCCATGCAACGTTCAGGAGTGCGAAGGTTGTGACTCCCCCTTCTGTATTTACCCAGAGGGTAGCCGTATGTGCACACACTCTTCAAAATCACACGCATCTTTCCTGCACTCGTGCTAGACGCGCTCCAACCAAAGTAGCGTGCGCCGCCAATATTCACACTGTCGGCGGGGACAAGACCACGAAGTTCTTATTTGGAATTTTGTGGTTTTTTGCACACCAGCTTATTGGAGTCGGCAACGATGTCATTATGAAGTACACAGGCAGCACCCTAGGCGTTGCTCAGGTGGTCTTTCTCCGGTTCGCCTTTGCAACTCTCACGATGCTACCTGTCATGATTGTGTCAGGCATGAACTCATTCAAAACTGAGCGTGTCCATTTACACGTAGCAAGGAGTTTTCTTCTGGCCACTGGTATTGCACTCTACTGTCAAGGGCTAGCCATCGCTCCGATTGCTGTTGTTACTACTCTTAACTTCACGATACCACTTTTTACGCTGGTTATGGCACGCGTATTCATAAAGGAGAAAGTCGATGCCATCAGGTGGATCAGCACTATCGTTGGTTTTTCAGGTGTCGTCATAGTGGTTCAACCTGGAGGTTCAGGTTTCGACCCCATGTGGTTATGTGTGCTACTCTCTGCTGCTATGTTTGCTGCCCTCGACGTGCTCAACAAAGTTTTTGTCGGGAAGGAGTCTTTTTGGTCGATGATATTTTATACTGCCCTATTTACTTCTCTCATTGCTACTATTCCTGCGCTCTTGTCCTGGGTTGCACCGACAGGTTTTCAGCTCTGCCTACTCGCCATCCTTGGTGCAGGGGCTAATCTGCTTTTGTTTTGTCTTTTGAAGTCGTTCAGCCTCCTAGATGCTTCTGCTCTTGCGCCATTCCGATACACCGAACTCATGTGGTCAGCGGCGGTTGGTGCATGGATTTTTGGCGAAATTCCTACTATGGCCACTCTCGTTGGGGCAGCAGTTATTATCCCTTCGACATTGTATGTTGTGTTGGCTGAGAATGAAAAGACGAAGTAGATACTGGTAATACTGACTACTGACTTCTTATTCACCTTAGCTCATCAGAACAATTTATGCTCTCACGAGCAGACTGCACGATTGAACAAGGTAAAACTCGGGAAACCCCCCTTCGCGAGTCTCAGAATTATGCGCCAGTAGAACAGACAGGGGAAGTGCGCAGATTATTCCATTAAAACTATAGATGCAAGCTCAGAAGCAACACCAACAATCAAACGGACACTTACCTGGAGCTCTAGATTGTTCCTCTGAGGGGATTTGGCCACATGAGAGATCACTAAAGTTTCCAAAAGATTTGTATACTGGCAAACCTTCCTCGAACCTTCGTGGCTGAGCAACAGGAGTCAGGTTGATATTGACTTTCTTCCTGGACATTCCAATCTTCCTGTGAATCTCGCCGAACGGTTTTGAATTGCGTTTTCGCCTTCCTTTCCGCCGCACTGAATTTTCTATACAATGACTGACAGAGGGCTCTGTCGCTGTCGTTTTTCTTACAGTGAAAAGGACGTCAAAGTCGAAATGATCCCCGACGTCAGTCACAGAATCCGGAGCACCTTCACTACATTCGCCGCCTGTCCGGTGTTCGCTGACAGTTGACTGACCACCGACATCAAAGTGAGCTGTACTTTTCGTTACTTCTCCGCTATAATCCAAATAATCTCTCATGTTGGTGCAGTTGGATATGGCAGGACTCCACAGGAATCGACTCGACGAAAATATCTATTAAGTAGCCCTACTGTACACGTACACGTGTACACGTACGTACACGTACACGTACTAATAAGTACGAAAGTACGAAAGTAGTATCTATTTTCGAAAGTATGAATATCATATTTCCGGAAGTATGATATGTTGTTTTACTGTATATCTATTTCCGTACTTCCGTACGAAAGTACTGTAGGTAATAAGTACTGTACGGAAGTACTTTCGTACTTCCTTCCGTATGTACTATGTAGCTAGCTAGCTACAGTGTGTAGCTGTGTACGAACTACGAAGGTACTTTCGTACTTTGTAGCATTGTACTTTCGTACTTTCGTATGATACTGTACCTTCGTTCATTATTCGTGCGGAACGAAGTACGGAAGTACTTCCGGAAATACTTTCGTACCTTCGAAGGTACTTTCGTACTTTCGTACATACAAGGAAGTACTTCACTTCCGGAAGTACAAAAAAAATCGTACGAAGGTACGAAAGTACCTCGAAAGTAGCTCGCTAGTAGCTACGTAACTTCGAAGGTAGCTAGCTAGACTAGCTTGTAGGGCGAAAAATACGTAGCCCTAGCTAGGCCCTATAGTACATGTACACGTACGTGTGGGTAGGCAGATAAATACCTTAAATATAATATACGAAGGTTTTTGTGTACTTTCAAATTCAACTAACGTTAATAGTTGTATGCAGATATCTTGCTTCGTAGGGATCGGATACATACATACATACGAAAGTACATACATATTTACATACTTTCGTACTATTTAGCTGCATGCAATAAATGCATAATGAAGAACGTTTCAAGAGGGCCCCGGCCCTGTACAACACTTTATACTGCAGGGCTGAATGTGTCTCCTGGCTAGATTGTCGTTCTTCCTTCGAGCGGATGGAAGTACTTCCGGAAGTATCATACTTCCGGAAGTACTTTCGTACTTATTACTTCCGTACAACTTTATGAGATACCTGCATTCAACACGTCAAAAACAGACGTCAAAAGCGGACGTCTAAAGCGGAACTCGAATCGTGTTCCATTTCAGTTCGGTAGAAAAGGCCTCGTGAATCAATGCGAAACTTCGTGGACGTCGACCCATGTACGCACAGAACATGTCCACGAAGTTTCGCATTGGTTTACGTGGTCCGGTCGACACTGTGCGCGCGCGCGTGGTTACGCCTCGATCAAGCCTCCTATGAAACTCCTCTGATCAATTGCCCGTTTTCATCGGTTACCAGTCGACGTCGAAAACAAAACCATGTAAAGACTGTCCTCGCGAAGACATTTCACTCCACAGTAATAGTACACGTACAGTACTGTAGTCCTGCTGCGACGTTTTATTTAGTCTTTAAGTAAGCAAGCAAGCAAGGTACGAAGGTACTGTACAGTAGGCCCTAGCTAACAGTACAACTACGTACCTTCGAAGGTACTTTCGTACATATCAACATAATATTTTTATTTACGGAAATAATAAAATATTAAAATTGTACTTTCAGTACTTCCGGAAGTACACGTACGTACAGTACATACAACGTTAGTTGTAGCCTAAGTAGTAACAACTTAGTACTGTATGTAGTACGTAATAGTTGTAGTTGTGTATGTCAATATCGATAGATAACATATTAGATACATCCGGAAGTACTTTCGTAGTTGTTAATTTATTACGCGTACGTAGCTACGTACAGTACGACTAATAACAATAAATATCATACGAAGGTAAAACGGAATAATGAATGAAGTACGTGCGTGTACGTGTAGTTGTACATACACTTAGTCCCGGAAGTACCTTCGTACACATGTACACGTATGATATTATGTGTAGTTGTGTACATGTACTCCCGGAAGTACTTTCGTACATGTACACGTAGTGTACACGTACACGTTACTTCCGGGAGTACTTTCGTACGAAAATACTTTCGAAATAAAGTATACTTCCGGAAGTACAACGTTGTACTTTCGTACGAAGGTACGAAAGTACAACGCAGGGCCTACTGGCCTGGCCTACCTTTATTTATTTGAAGGTGGTCACTCACTTACGGTACAGTACTTCTGAGAAGGCGTCCACACGTTGATGTCAACGAGTATCAACGATGATTTTTCAAGAGGGCCCAAATGCCCAGGTAAGTACTTTCAAAAAATTATTTTTGCGCATCTTCAAAAAATTAAGTTTGCGCTCTCCAGGAACAAACAGCGAGGCGGCGGGCAATGCCGTAGCTTGTGCCGGTTGTCCAAATAAGGTAAAAAATTTCTTTTTTTTGCTTTGATTCGCAGTTGACAAGTTGTTCTCCTCGGGAAATTCCCAGGAGGCGTGTCAGACAGCTTCGACGATAGATCCCGATGTTCTAGCTATTAGGCACAGGCTGGCGAACGTGAAGCATAAAATATTGGTTCTCTCAGGCAAAGGCGGCGTTGGTAAGAGTACGTTTGCTACTCAGTTGGCGTATGGTCTGTCTGCCAGAGGAGCAGAAGTTGGCTTACTTGATATCGATATATGCGGGCCCTCAGCACCTATAATGTTCGGCCAGGTTGGCCAAGATGTGCACCGATCAAACAGCGGTTGGTCCCCTGTATACGTGAAAGAAGGACTCGCAGTGATGTCTATAGGCTTTCTTATGCAGAATCCAGATGACGCAGTTATCTGGCGAGGCCCACGCAAGAATGGTCTTATCAAACAGTTCTTAACAGACACTGAATGGGGTAATCTTGATTTCTTGATCGTGGATGCGCCCCCTGGAACATCTGATGAACATCTCAGCATCGTGCAGTACATGAAACTTGCAGGGATAGATGGTGCACTTGTGATAACAACACCTCAAGAGGTGGCACTAGCAGACGTCCGCAAGGAAATTAATTTCTGTGCTAAAGTTGGTGTGCGAGTTCTCGGTGTTGTTGAAAATATGAGCACCATGATTTTACCCGTGGAAAGTGTGCAACTGAAGTTTATTTCTGGTCCAGACGGCGATGTAACTGAACAAGTTCGTAAAGTTCTTGCATTACATTTTCCCTCTCCTGAAAACGAGGTTGCACCGAGTAGTTTGTCTGCACAAGTTGATATATTTTCTTCAAATCTTGGTGCAGCCTCTAGAATGTGTAAATGGGCGGGTGTGCCTTTGCTTGGACAGGTTCCCCTTGACCCTGCCATCGCAACAGCAACAGAGCGGGGTTGTTCTCTTTTTTCTGATGAAGTTGGTGGCCGAAACCAAAACATACGCAACTTAAGCTTGGGAATAAGCCCAGCGTCGTTTGAAGCCATGAAAACGATTCTGGACAATGTGATTTGTGCTATTTCTGAAGTTCAAAGCGACGTTTTCAAGACAGGACAGTTGTGAACTTTTTCTTACTCAGTCTATCCAAAAGGTGTACGTTCGGTGTCTTCATCACACTTAAAGTCATAAAGTGGGTCAAGTAGGCCACAAGGTAAAACGTGTCTTCTACGAGCACTGCAATTGGGTAGGGCGGGCCGTGATCGACTTTCTTCTTGCCTCGTGATGTGATTTTCAACAAAAAAATGGGGGACAGCGGTTTCAATTTCGAATCTGCCTGCTGCCTGACGCCTACCTCTCGTTTCAGTGGCACCCCTCTCACCAGGTTGATTTACAGTGGTACGTGCGGTGCACTGATGAGTTTCGCGGTGGTTGACATGGTAAGGACTCGAGGGAACTTGCTGCAAACTGCGTTTGAATGCAGGATGTAAGTCTAGTAGTTCTGGTAGAAAGGATACGCGTGGTTAGAGTGGCATCTATGTCATTTATGTCATTTAGAGTGGCATCTTTGTCATCTATAGTATAGACGTTTGGTTAGAGTTGCAGATGAAAGAGTATATATTTCTTCAAAAAAAAATTCAGGGAGCAGTCATCTAAGAGAAGAACTGAATGCGGACGGCTGGTTGGTGACAGTTGGATGATGCGATACAGAGAGGTGGCGTAATTTTTGGACTCTCGGCGCATTTTACTGTGCTGAATGTTTCGGGAGCGATGTGTGTTTAAATGATTCGTAACACGCGTGGTAAAAAGTACTTCTGTACTGTACATCTCAGGTATCTACTTCCGGAAGTACTTCCATACAACAAAAATGGAGGTATGTAGCTCTCAGACCTACTTCTGGAAGTACGTAAATACTTTCGTAATGAACTTTACTGTTGCTTCACTAGCTACTCAAATGATACTGTTGTTCCAAGACGACAAGCTATGGACTGGGCAAGGCCTTGATTTATACTTCACCACTTCATTCACCAAGCCGACTACGGAGTATTTGTGTTGACTTTTAATAGTTTTACATTTTCGCAATATGGCCACATGACAGCGAGTGAACTTGCGTTTGCCATAAGACAGGGTCTCGCCGAGTTGAAATAATGAAGGTTACTAACATGACCACGAAGACGGACTTCTATCAAACGAACCCACCACTTAGAAAGTAGTTGCCAATTTGGATTTTATGTCTGACCTGATGCATGCCAGAAATAAACAAACATGCTCGAATAACTTGTTCTCGAGGGTGAACAAAAAAGAGAGAAAGATGATTCAGAAGTATTAATTTACCTGGGTGTTATCTTTTCGATAAAATGTGCCCAAATCTACGCTAACTGAGCTGTCATTGGCCTCAATGTCTAGTTTTCCCTGTGAAGAAACAAAGTCAAACATTTTTCCACAGTGGGTACACTCTCGAATTTACCTGCAGCTCAAACATACCGCGTTCGCGAGTAGCCCCTCGAGTACACCTGATCCTGAGAAAGACACTGATTGGCTGGTAAGCTGACAAGCGCTTATTCACTTAATACCTTAAAGACATACACAACGTATTTAGCCAGGAACTGATCAAGAGGTTGCTGAAGGAGTTCGTTCGAGTTCGGAATATTAACCAGGGCCCTGCGGTTTGGTCTGTTCGGAGTACTGTGTGAGTCCGGAGATATTATACGAAGGTAGATATAGCAGTGCACATACGTACCTTCGAAGGTACCTTCGTACTGTACATACACGTACGCACATATGATAGCTAGCTTGAATAGCTTGTACTGTCACATGTACAAGAAATATGTTAAAATGTACGAAAGTACGAAAGTACGAAAGTAGCTATGTACAGTACTACACCAAGTGTACGTCTGACATTCCTTGCTTAGATGCTCACCCTCATGTCACGCCTCGAATCGTTCAGTTCCTCAGCCGTGGGGTAATCGTGCAAGCTCTGTCAATTTACCTGCGATTCTATCAAGACTTCTAAAAAGAACTATGATCAGATCGTGTACTAGTACGAGTACGTTTGCTCCGTTTATATCTCAAAGTCCAGGTTATGTGTTCCCCACTCTACTGCAGCTTAGTTTTGACGTGCTCTTATCGCATGTTCAAGATCTTACACCCGAGCAAATGGATGCACTTCCTGAGGACGTTCAAATGAACTTATTCGAGGGAGTTCTCTTCCAAGGAAAGCTCAATGTGCAAATTTTACAACTTTTCGTGGTTGCCTCGCGTGCTACAGAACTTCTTGGTGAAAAAATCAACAGCCTAAAACTAGAAGCCCTTCCTCTGCTGCTGCAAAATATAGGAAATGAATGGCCTGGTCGTAAATTGGCGTGATCTCAACTGCGAACTTGCAACATGAAATCAGGAACAAGAACAGCCGTGAGAACTGACAGGATACATCACTCGGTTTGCAGGTGGAACACCTGTGCTCCCCGTCCTGACACAGCAATGAAAAGTTCCTCACAGGAAGAAGAACCGCTAAACCATACGTCTAAACTCTCTGGCTCAGGACATTCAACAAAACTACCCACCAGTGGAACCACGCGCAAATTCTTCATTTTCGCACTTATTTCTTCGCCCAAATTTTCAGTATCAGCTTCGGTGACAACTCGCCACAACCTAAGGCGTTGATCTTGAGCTGTAGTGGCAATTATTCCATGCTCCATCCAAACTGCTTTAATCGCCGAACTATGCGCGAAATCTATGGAAAATGTCTTAATGATTGTCACTGACATATTTATACAACCTTCCTGGATTTCCTTGTTCACCTCCTTGGCAGAGAATTCAGTGGACAACATTGTCACACGGAGCGCCTGATCATCACCCACACTAGCCAACAAAAAAATGCCAGGATTTTTAGGTGCCTGCATCAAAGAAACTGCGTTTATCCCCGACTGGTGCAGTGAAGTGATGATGGCTGCAGGCTCCAACACTGCGATATCGTCGTGGGCTTTGAGAGCACTGGGCATGACTTTACCAGAGGGACAGAGTGGTGTAAGATCCCAAATCGCAAGAGTCCCGTTTGTGGCCCCACTACATGCTATGACTGCAGTATCACGATCACGAGTATCTATATTAACAGCGGTTACGGCGACTGTGAGTATAGGACATTTATGTTGTCCAAGCCTGCCAACTTCGCGCCAACACCCTGTGCCGGGGCTCCCAATTTCTCGAGTTAAAGCCAAAGCTAAAAGAGAACCTTTTGAGTTGGCTGTAACAGCCATACAAGTGAATTCGGGATCTGTAGAACATACGGGTTGTGCATCGAATTCAATTGGAACGAAACCCGTTATGGACAGTAGACGCTGATCAGAATCAGTAGACATACTCGCTGAGTTCCTTTTCTCCAAAGCCCGATTTTTGCTGGTAAACTGGCTCTGCACAGTCAGTAGTGTTGTTTTTAGTTGCCAGCCAACTCTAGAAGTCGCAGAATTGCTCATGGGATATTGAAACGTTACAGGATCAATCCATGCGACACGCCAAGCCATGAGTGTTTCTTTGGCACCTGCCGTGATCAAAATAAATGATTTCGGAGTGTGTTCGGAAATAAGGTGTAAACCTAGCCCTCCTCCTGCACACTCAGGCAGGAGACTCATTGCACGTACAGATGTACCACCAGCGTGTGACCCTACCTCTGTTGAGATATATCGATCAAGCATAGAATCTTTCTTTGAATACACTGTGGAAAGAATTGAGCCATCCTCAGAACCTGTTAGTAAGCCCAACGGCAGTGCTGACGATGTGCCTGAAGAGTGAACAGGCGGAGGCACAACACATATTGTATGTATCTCGCGACTGATGTTTAAGACGGGAAACATTGAGTGTATCAAAGAAAACTGTCAAGTGATGTGAATGAATTGCGATGGTGTACATACAAGTTGAAACAAAAGGATGAGTCATTAGAGAAACAAATCGTTGCGAAGCACTTACAGTTATCCCAGACTGGGTGAAATACATTTCAGGGGAGGGCATGGGATCGCACCCATGAAACCATGTATTGAAGGTGTGCTTTTCCTGTGGAAGGCAACTTCTGTGGCTGACTTTGCTATTCAATTGGTTCTTGAGTCTATAGCACACTGTGAGTCTCTGCTCTCTATAAAATGCGAAAGTGAATTTGAAGCCTCGAGCTGAGGCAGCTTCCAAAAAAAAAGAATGTGGCCTGCGCCAGCCACCGCAAGATAAGCGAAGCAACTCGCACTTGTCTGTCAGACTGTGTATCAAAAAGTCTGCCTGTTTAAACCCAGCCACCAGAGATGGAGATTCGTTCATAAACCAGGAAAGGGAGGAATTGGCCCATGAAAGCACTTCCACAGAAGATATTTCAGCGATTTGGTGCCTTGACACACTGCAAAAGTGGTACATATTATGTTCATAGGTTTTAAGAACTTTGATTCCGACCGAGGCAGCCCTGCCATGCCCTTCCTTTCGGCCTTCTGTCAACAATTTCTGCTCCATGAACTCATTCTTGGATCTGGTTAGCTGGAGTACTGAAGTACACAAGCATCCATCTCGGCCACCAGATGTACACTCGATATTGCCCAACAGATGGCTGGCTTTGTGGCGTTCAATCTCATGGCCATGGCTGGTAGCGGCCCAATGTGCGGCCACAAAAGAAACGGCACGCGTTCCATGTACAGCACACATCACTGCTAAAGGAGGGAGCCGCGCTGGCCGCACGGATGCACAACTTCCAGTAAATGCTGCTTTCGCTTTAAAAATAACTCTTCCGTCAAATGCACAAACATTTCCGGCACTGTCACCAAGAAGTACTAGCCCAGATATATGGTGAGCAACGGCTAAAACACGGCAACGAAAAGAGTTTGAAGCCTTGCAAGCAAATGCCCAATGGATAGACAGTCCACGTTTCTCTTTCAATAGATATTCAACCCAGACCGTGATTTTACCCCCTACCTCAGATACAAATAGTATTCCGTTGAGGCTCCCGCGATTTGGCTCATCAGAAATACGGCACGAAAATACGTCAAGGAGTCTACGGGGCCTACTCGCTTGCCAGAGACTCTGAATCTTTGACTTGTTGTCTGACACTGATACAATAACAACTCGCCCGCGTGCATCACCAATCGCCAAGCGTTCATGTCCACTGACAGATTCAGACGATTCCAATACTGCGAGCGAAATGATATCCACCTCTACTGCAGAACAATAAACGTTTCGCCATCTCCAGCTATGCTCATCTACGTCTATCCTGTGAACTAGGCCACTAGTTGTAGCAGCGTAAAGAACTGCAGGTGAAGCCAGACATAGTGCGCATATATGCTCGCCAGTACCTTGTTGCATCCGGCAATTTACTACACCCCTCTTCATTAATAGGGTCTCTGGTTCAAGGGCAGAAGATCCAATGAGTTGGTCGTACTGAGAAGGATTGTTGGAAGTAGTGCCCTTGACTGGTCGGTTTTGATCCAGGACTTCTAAAAATTCTAAAGGTTGTGTTTTAGTCGTCAATGATGATGCTACGTGATTCACGGAGGTTAATGGTGCATGAGTAGGTGCTGCTGACCGTGATTTATCTAACGAGTATTCTGACAGATTCCATAGTTTTATGGACGCATCAGCACCAGCTGATAAAAGGAACGGTCGTTTTCCGGGTAACTCTAGCGGAAGAATACGCCATACTCCCCGTCCCTTGTGACCTCGGAGAACGGCAACTGGCCTATCGAGGCATTGCTTTTCAGACAGTTTTGATATGTCAGCACATGGTAACTCCCAAATTCGAACGGTGCAGTCCTCCCCCGCAGTAAACATGAGCGAACGGTTCGCAACCTTCATAAGTTTACAGTCCCATACTCTAGCGGTATGTCCGAACACTGTGACTTGTGCCCCTCCTATGCATACAGGTTTTGCCATAGTACCTGAGATAAAGGGTCGATCTGGAACAGCCCAAATACAGGCTGTACGATCGTCAGAAGTAGAATAGATTTCATTCCCACGAGAAGCCCATGAAACACGCATAATGCTCCCCTCGTGCCCTCGAAACACTGCGAAAGGCTCTAGTTGATAAACGGTGTGTGAAGGAGTTTCAGCCTGTATTTTCCACACCTGAACCTCGTTAAATATTGTGCCACCAACGACCTCCAAATTAGCCATCGAGGTGCCACGCAGAGCAAGGGTGTATAACATTGAGGGCATGGAACATTCTACGCGGCGTAGACACTGTGGGCAGCAATTTTGGTTGTCTAGTTTGAAGTGAACTGTCCACTGCTCCACACAGTTGTCAGCCAATCCTACAGCAACGGTGGGCCACTGGGTTCTTGAAGCTTGCGCAAGAGGAATAACATCGTGCACCCAGTTACCGCGTGGTGGCAAGTTAGCTAAGACGCGCACTCGACGACCTTCGACTTTGGTGTTATCCAAGCTATACAATCCAACCAGGGCGACACGCCTTTCACCCCAGACGATGATTGCTCGCTCGCTGACACGGTGAACGTCATTTTTAGCAGACAATCCATTCGGGTTAGATTGGAGGCTAGAAGCGGACACGATCCCATGTATCCGTGCAACGCTGAAGACTGGCGCGACCAGTATGGGAAGCTCGCCTTTGCCACTGACCGGATGGTAGCACTGCAAACTCGCACCGACACCAACAACAAGAAGCGTTTCGCGTCTGCCCTCTGGTGTACTGTTACCGTGAGCTGTTGTCCCGGCTCCTCTGTCCCCCTGTGATAGTGGTAGCACACAAAGGGCAGTAACATCACCCACGTACGCTCCCTTCCTTAGACGATAGTCGACCGGCATCCGTCACTGCTAGAATCTCGAGAACAACCGAGAGAAAATGCCATGTGTACTTCCGGAAGAACTCCCGGAAGCGGAAGTGTGTAGCCCTACGAAGGTACGGTATTCTATGGCTACGAGAACTGCTACGAGTATATAGGGTACTGTCTGGTATACTGTACAGGTGTGTGGATCTGATTACAAAAAGACTGAGCTCTAACCCATCCTGGTATACAGGTACGTGTACACATAGAATTGTACGAAAGTACTTTCGGAGTACTTTCGTACTTTCGAAAGTACGAAAGTACTTTCGAAAGTACTTTCGAAAATAGAATATTTATTGTTCAATAATAAATAATAAGTTTATTTGATATTAGATAATAAGTTGAAGGTACAGTACTTCGGGATATCCTGCGCGTGCGTGTGGAAATCACGTTACTCCGTCGTCTTTCTTCGACTTCTTCCCCGTCCGTTCTTCTCTAACCCACCGGGTCGCTTCACAGTACACCAAAACAACGAGGTGACAGTCGTGCAAGGTGTATGCGACGCTCTTTATAACAGGCAAAGGGTTGATTAAATGCAGACCGAGTTCAACGATGGCGATGTGCTGTTCAGGTACGATGAGCTGCAGGGGACCGCCATTCAACAACAGAAACCTTGGGGCAGAAACCCACATTTCTTCAAGCACGTCCGTATTACTGGTAATGCTCTCATCAAAATGGCAAAGCACTGTCGTTCTGGTGGGAACCTTGAGGTAATGGGCATGTTATGTGGTAAGACAGCAGGTGATACGTTTCTTGTTCTCGATTGCTTTGCACTCCCTGTTGTTGGGACCGAAACCCGGGTGAACGCCCAAGCCGAAGCATACGAGTACATGGTTAGTTTTGTGCAGGCTCGTCAGCAGGTGGGTAGACGAGAGCACGTGATTGGCTGGTATGTAAACAGCAAACAACGTTTCACTTTGAGAACTTAATCAATATTCCATTCTTTTATTACTCAACATCATTTTTTTCTCAAGGTATCATAGCCACCCTGGCTATGGGTGTTGGATGTCTGGTATTGACTGCTCAACTCAACTTTTAAACCAGCAATATACAGAACCATTCGTCGCACTTGTGATCGATCCAGTTCGAACTTGTGCTTCCGGTCGAGTAAATGTCGGAGCTTTCAGGACATTTCCCCTTGGTTATAGTCCACCTGATGATACCAGGTTAAAGTATCAGACTGTTCCCACAAACAAGATAAAGGATTTTGGTGTCCATGCGAACCAGTATTACTGTCTCAACACTTCCTTCTTCAAATCTAGTCGTGTTTCCGCAGTGCTCGCGGCAGCATGGAACAATTATTGGGTAAACACGCTTTCATCATCACCCTTGCATACTAACCAAACTTTCGTAGCTGGGCAAATTACAGATATCGCTGAAAAAGTCATGCTCAGTGACTGCCTCGAATCTCCTCATCAAAAGAAAAACAGTGTCTGTACCAGTAAAGTTGCAGCTGCACAACATTGTAAACTGCTGCTTTCTGCGTATGATGGAAGCATTATTTCTATGGAACAAACAAAAGGATCTGCTAGCCGTGCGTTGAAGGAATCTATTTTTAATTTTGCTGTGAAACCAGGAAAGGTCCTCAGCAACCAAGGAACTTTGGTTAGGGAACGCTGACGCGTTTTTCTCATCATGGCATCGAGCTTTCTTAGATACTGGGGGCGCGATCTAAATGTGCACGTTATTCGTATTTAGGGGGTGAGCTTATGTATCTGCAACAGTTTTCTGCACCAACAGGGCAGGCACTTATATGCACAATAGCTATTCCTAGAGCTTCACCAAATCATGCTGACGAGAAGACAGTTATTTGACTACATCACACTACAGGAGGCGGCGGGACTGCCGCGTCGGGCTCCAGGTGTGCAATGCGTGACGTTCCTATAAGCCGCTCCTAATACACCACCGCATGTCAAGACCAGATATGCATCAGAGTCGAAGCAAAACAACATACCGGCAGTTCTCCATCAGATTTACCTTCTATTAGAAAACACATGTCGACAACAAGGGTACGCACGTATCTATTTAAAAAAGCACAAATTAAAATGTACGAGAGATTGGACGTAGTTTTCTTTTGCGAAATGAAGATAGTTGGAAAACAATACCCGAGAACAAAGCGAACGACATTGTTTGCGACTGTGCTACTCCCAATATCGATGTCAACTTCCAAATAATTCGGCCTGGAATGATACACTACCTACATACTGGACTGAGCGCAAAACGAAATAAATAGAACTACCAGAGCACTTGCCTTTAATGCTCTACCGACAATCAGCGGTTTTGTTCCAACAGCACGTTGGACCACCCAGGGCCCCTACGAGAAAACACGAAATAAGTTCTCAGAGTAACCTGAATTATTTTCAAGACATTATACCCACCAAAGCAACACTAGGAATCAATTTCAGCCGTGAGTTTCTGAATGCATCATCACCATGGACAAACCGACTGAACAAAGATGACTACCAATTCATAAAATCTCAGAAGCGCACTTAACTTTTTGAGTTATGGAAGTGGTGAAAAGTAAATTACCTTATCGAGTGGAGCACGTAACCGGTAATAATAAACTATTGAAAAATGACGCGGGCCAGGGACTTGAATATTAACAGCAAAGACAAAGCTCTCTTGATAATCATTTTTCTGTAGTTCAAAGAACATTTGATCACTGAGGGGCACTGGGTACCGAAGAAAACAAAGTATACCAACAAACTATGTTGACAGGTCCCGGAGGGACGCGAACAAATGTTATCGATTCGCCGATAATCAACAAACCAGTCAACTGCTACAAGCTCAGCGAAAGGCTGTCCCGCTGGAACTTTCTTGCGATCGTGTAGGTAGTTGCTACCCCGCACTCTAAAGTTGTCACCGTCAGGGGCACACCAGCAGTTTGTTGACTTCAACCCTGCTTCAAAAGGCCACTTACCCTGATTGATTATGGGATGAGAACGTAATGCTAGCAATGTGTAAAAAACAATGCTTCAAGTTCAAGAATACCTTTGTAAGTGAACCGATATTTATCAGCTTTGGACTGCGTGTATTGCAGACATCGCCAGCATACAAACTTGCCTGACCGTGAGGTTCTGTTGTGTCGGTAGCCATGTACTGAATCAACAAATCTGAAACAGCAACTTCAGAGCTAGCTTCGAAATATTTATCTTCGACACCCTCTTTGTCAACACAAGCAGAGATTGATATTTTGCTTGACGGAATATCGACACCTTTCTTTTCAATTTCACGCTAATAAAAAAAGAATAAAACAGGTCACGCCCCAATTCAACAGCAAGGCACTTACCAGTTCAGATGTATGATCACAAAGCTCACGCAAGCCTGCCACTTGAGCGATGACAATTCGTTGTGGCAATGATATTCTGCCTGCATTCATCCAACACAAACAAAATAACAAAATCAAACAAAAATATATATACGTACACCTAACCTGATCGGCAGAACCACTCGAGCCATAAATTGTGCTGCAACTTGACGACTTTGGTCACAAGGCAGGCGCTCGACCATTCAGGAGTTATTGATCCTGGCTTCCCAACATTCAGTGCACTAGCCGAACTGAAAGGCGATATAATCCAACCGCCAAACATAACACCTCGTGACATTCCACGAGTTCTTTGACACTGCGCGAAATATACGTGTTTGTAAAGTGAGTTCTCAAACACGAGTACACAAAGTTCATAAAAATACAATTCATACCATGGGATGTTCAACAGAAGAATACACGATTACATACGACCCATCCGGGTCGCGATTCCAACATCTAGATAGACAGAAGTCTTGTGTGGAGCACTGCAGCTTTAAGTCAAAAATGACACTCTATCTATAAAAGAGTATCGAATACCTGTTTTCTAAGGGAGAGGTGTATAACATCTGTGTGTTCATCAATTGACTCCACCACGTATCCGTGGTCAAAGGTCAGATCCCATTGACGTCTTGTACTCTCCAGGTCCATGACAAGCTTGAAAACCAGTTCAGGTCTCGAAAATATCAAGGATATGCCCTTTGAAAATCGGTTGAGCCGCCCACGAGACCAAGAGCTGAAGAACTAGTAGAAGAAATATGTAAGGATAAAATCCCTCACCTTACAGCTCGACGAGGAACATTTTGATGAGCTCAACTGCTGACTTTCGGCGGCAACATTAGGGTCTTCTTCAAAAATCCGTAACCCGTTCTCGAAACACGATAGTCGCCAGTGGTCCCCTCCATTGAGCTGGCTAGTCGCGGCAAAAGACTTGAACGTCTTTGGTACTCGTTAGTCAGCGGGAAGAAAGATAACAAGAATTGAGCACGTACCCTGAAATCGTGTGCTTCCATCGTCCAACGCTTGCGCTGCTCTCCGCAGCACTAAAATGATGATACGCAGATGACGACCGGACACAAAGCGTTTTTTTCGTGAGCTCACTACACTCACAGCCTGAGAAGAGTAAAATAGTTCATGATACGAGTACGTGTATTATCATTCGATCTATCGAAGCACAACGGTATGTAGGTAGTTCACGTATCATACGTGTACGTGTACACCGCGTTTATGTGTACAGCTTTGCCCTACAACGTTGTGCATGTACGTACTATACAACTGTACACGTACACGCAACGTGTGAAAATAAAATAGTCTATCTGGCCTCGGACTACACGTACACGTACAGTACGTGTACACGTAAACGGAGCGGAAGTTTAGGTAACTCAAAAATCGACGGTTTAAATTTCGCTCGACCGGATGAACCAGACTTCCGCGCGGGAGAAAAAAAAGTTCCGCGCGGAAGAATGCCGCCATCTTCCGCGCGGACTTCTAGTTTTTTAGCGGATTTTTTTACTCGTCGTTCTGGAGTTATTTTTGCCCGTATAGACTTTTTTTAACTTGGACGCGCTGCGCTGTCAGCGTTTTTTTTTGGTTTTTTTCAGCGCGTTCAGCGCGTCCAAAGGGCGGAAAATCTGTTTCGTCCGAGGGTCGGTCGGGAGTTTCAAAACGGCAGATTTTTTAAGTAGTAGAGGGGTCAGAAAACCGCTTTGCCGACCTTCTAAAATCGCGAAACTTGTTGAGGGCATCAGCTGCATGATGGACGACATCGGGACGAAGTTTTTGGTCGATCGACGCAGCGACGGCGCGTGGGCTTGCACGAAAGTAAGTTTTTTTGCGAAGTAGATGGAATGCGCATGCCTTCGAAGGTACTTTCGTACAAATTTTGTACTTCCGCACTTCTGTACTTCCGTACTTCTACAACTACAGTACGTTGTACTTTCGTACCTTCGTAGTACAGTAGTACTTTCGTACACTACTAAAATCTAAAAAAAAAAGTCAACGGGTACACGTACAGTATGGACTTTTTTTTTGCTGCGCTATCAGAGCTTCTCAGAATTTTGGCCAATCAGAGGCGAGATAGGGGTGAATCCTCACTCTGATCAACTGATCGGCGTGGAATGAGTTTGGCAGTTTCTCCGGTGAAACTGATCGATTGAGTTTAGAGTGAGCCCCCGTTTACCGTGCAGCGAAGCGCACCCAGGCCACCTTGTTTTAAACTACAACTCCAATATGTTGTACAACTCTACATATAGAGTACATTCCGGAAATACTTCCGGAGTACGGATGTGATCACAGTGCTACCTGCTACCTTCGTACGAAAGTACTTCCGGAAGTATGTGTGGTTATTTATAGGGCCTAGCCTACGTATCTAATGGGTTTAGTTGTAACAACTTACGAAGGTACTTGGTACTGAGTTTTCTTGGATATGCGACAGCTTTCTTTTACTGTACAGAGTGTACGTTGGGTGTAACTTATATAATATTATGTTATGATCACCAAATATCATACTGTAGGCCCTACTGAATTTCCAACAACTTTATTCTTGCTATTTTATTATCATATCATATCCGATACGAAGGTAGATAGGTACTTCCGTACCTTCGAAGATAGATAGGGTACTTCCGGAAATAGTATCCCTAGCTAGGAGTACGCGTACGTGTGCGTGTGCACGTAGAGTATTAGATACCTTCCGTACTTGTATCTTTATGTTAGACGGTACGTTCACTACACGTACCTTGTACGAAAGTACTTTCGTACTTCCGTACCAAGTCTTGTACCTGAAGAGTTTTGAAGGCACGGCGACACTACGTGTACGTGTACTGTACGTTGTAGTTTGAGGCGACTTCACTTAGGTTTCCAATTTTCATTTTTTTTGGTTTTTTTAGTACACGTACTGTACGTGTAGTGGTAAGTTGTTAGTAGCAGTAGATAGTAGTAGTATTTTCACCTATCAAATGTATGTTTAATAGGGAAGGCCTACGCCCTTTAAGCCGCGAATTAACGTTGATGCGACAGAGTTAAGGGTGAAATGAACCCGAAGGGTTCAACCCTTTAAGCTCCGTCAATTCACGTTAATTCGCGGCTTAAAGGGCGTAGTACGTGTACGTGTACGTGTACAGTACACCACATTGAGGACGACCTCGTTTCTTAACACGCGAAGATCTGGCAGTTTATTTTGAAATCGTTGCACCATTTTTGCCGACCTACTTCGCGGAGATTGTTTAATTTTTTTCCGCCTTCTTCCGTAGATTTCGAAGATGTCCGGCGTTGACCACGGGTGAGCCTTGAGGCGTAAAACTTTCGGATCCCTTTTCTGCGCCTCGCGGTATTCAGGCCTGGTCGCCCAAAGTGGCTCTTCGAAACTCCTTATCAGGCGGACAACACGCACTGTTTCGGCCACATTCCTAGCTGCTAGTAGATAAGAGTAAATAGTCGGCACGCCTTCTAGTTGATTCTTCTTTTTTTTCCGCGCAGGCGGGAGCCTTGCCCTCATCGTATTTTCGACGACATCGGGGGCGCGTTTGCGATGGGTGTAGTAGGCGGTGGAGCTGTGAATTTGCTCAAGGGTTTTTATAATTCACCGAAAGGTCACGTCATTGCAGGTGGTTTTGAGGCTGTGAGGCGCGAGGCTCCCAAGATCGGTGGTAGCTTTGCTGTTTGGGGTGGTCTCTTCTCAGCTTTTGACTGCACCCTCGTGGCACTGCGTCGCAAGGAAGACCACTGGAATCCTATCATTTCTGGCGCACTAACCGGTGGCACGTTGCAGCTGCGATACGGTCTTTCATCCGCGGGGAGATCAGCAGCATTCGGGGGGTTTCTTCTCGCAGTCATCGAGGGTATTTCTATAATGCTAACGCGAGTCACTGCACCGCCCCCTCCAGTACCCCAACCAGTTGATTTGCACACTGGTCCTGCTGCTAACATGCCGACTCCGCCCGTCACTGTCAATGAAAGTGCCTCGACTGAAGGTTTAATGCACGCCTCCTCAGACGATAATATACAAAAACGCAGTGGGTTTTGGTCGGAGAAATTAGGCGGAGGTGGTAAAGAGAGAGACAAACAACACCGGCAATTTGTAGACCCTGAAACAAAGTAACAGGAACCGACTTCAAATGAAAAAAAAAAATCTGTTCGCATCGCCGTTCAACGTCACTCCACCAGTAGCACCGTTGATATAGAACTCAACCTCTGTAGATACTCTATTATATCTTCGAAGATATCTTCACGCTCCGTAGTGCAGGGCTTTAATTATGCCAAATTACAGTGGAGTAAAGTATCCGCAGCATTTTGTTCATTGTCTGAACAATAAAGAATAGCCAGCAACGAGTTTATTATTTCCGGAAGTGCATGCTCACTCTTAGTAGTTTAGATGTGCGTCTGAACTAGGGTACAGTATTTGGCCATAAACCCTGCGTCACAATCGAGAATATGTTGGTGGATTCCGTCATGTGTGGTATACACTCTCTCTTATTGATCACCGATTAACGAGACAACGAGGTAGCTGGTTGCTTGTTTATGAATATTGCCATAAATGAGCCAGTACTTTCAAGAGTACGATATAACACGACAGGTGGTCTGGCTCCAAATTGACGCCCCCCGAGTGCAAACTTCTCAAATATTGTAAAACTTCCGGTCGAGGTACCCATTAAAGGTTGCGGTGCGATATTGAAGCGCTGAGTCTTCCTCATTTCCTGCATGCTGAGTTGTGTTTCTTTTACGATAAACCCTACCAAGTCTTCAAATATAGAAACCATTCGTGGTCAAAGTTCAGCACTCTGAATACTCAGTCTTTCAACAGTATCTTTTAGGAGAACAAGTTTACCTGTTGATGGCACCGCAGCAACGAGAATCTGAAGAACACCATCAAGAGAAATAGACTCTTGGTCATAATTCGCTGCGCATATATTTGCAGCGCCAATCAGCCGAGCGTCATTGAGCTCACGTATTATGCGTGGCTTGCTTGGATCTGAAACATCCATGACAGAAATCGTCCCGGCAGTATTTCCTACTATATAAATAAGATTTTCTATTAGAACCATTCCAGTTGCACCAAGAATTGACTTGTGACCGTATGGGGCCCAACCTGCATCTATATATGAAACGCCTAACTCGTCATATTTTCCTTCGTTTTTGAGTGTAGCTGCTGGTCGAGCCAATCTAACACTTGCTTGCATAGCAGTAACGATTGAAGGACGACTTTGAGAAGTAGTATTCAGCACAGCAAAGGTTCCCCCATTTGCTGCAGAGATAACGAAAGTGAAGTCAAGGTACAAGGTGCCATGCTTCAGAATACTTATTACACCATCGAAGCGCTCATCCTTTATGGAACCTATCTTGAACAGAACGCCATGGGGACTGAACGACAATGTAGATACACGTCTCCCACGTTCCGAGGCAACAACTAGGTGGGCATCATCAAGCAGACTAACTGAATCTGCTCCCGATAATTTGATGGAGCTGAGATGTACCGGGCTTGCTTCGCTGGTGATGTCAAAGGATACAACACTTGCAGCACCAGGCACAGCAACGAAAGCGAGATTTCCTTTTACTACAACGTCCGCAGCTCGACTCAGCACAACGAAATCAGATATTGTCCCTAGCACCTTTAACTCTCGTGGATTTTCCACGTCAATCAGCATGAGCGTGTCTGTCGAACTGCAGGTCACGGCAAGGCGCAAATTACCCTCATCTGCGGACCGATAAATGTGCAAGCCGCCACAACCAAAGAGCAACGGATGCCTTAGTGACACTAGGAGCTCAGGCTGTGTTGGGTTAGAGACATTAACAGCAGCAACGCCGTTGCCCGCGATATAGACGACAGCGTCCTCAGCTACAACAGCTCCAGCAAGCAGAAACGCAGGGTCAGTTAGCTCTGATATTACATGCACACCGCCGTGGGCATTTCCCAACTGAAACAAGACAGCCGTGAACACTAGCACGAGCTTAATTTGCATGAAGACCGGCGAAGAAGGATATACTGTATGACAAAACTCAATAGAGCCTTCCTGTAATCGCACGTAAGTCTACTAGAGTGGAGCAAACTTTTGAGAGTTCGATTTCGAAAAAAACAGTGCAAGTATCGGCCAGTCGATGGGCCTCGTTTTGTGCAATAGCGATAGTTTCTTGAGACTGGTGGTGGGATATTTGAGCACCGTCGTGATAGACTCTTCGTTGCTTTCTCTAAGTGTGTGTGTGCGTTTAGGGAGTACTCCCGGAAGTTCCTTCGGCCCAGGTATACCCTTGACGAAGTTTCAAATCGATCAACGCAGCACGGCGCGTGGGCGCGCACGGAAGAACTTCCGTACGTTTACAGTACGTGTCGGAAGTACCTTCGTACTTTCGTACATACAGTACACTTTTTTTTTTTAGTATTTATGATGTCATATGATACAGTACGAGTATTACGAAAGTACGAAAGTACTTTGTACTTCCGTACAATACGTACATACGTAATATTACGTATTGTACGGAAGTACGAAGGTACTTTATTTCGTACGAAAGTACGAAAGTACAAAGTACCTTCGTACGAAAGTACTTTCGTACTACTTCCATACCTTCGTACATACGAAAGTACTACTGTAAAGTTAAACAACTACGAAGGTACTGTATGTACTACTTTCGTACCTTCATAGATAGAATACCTTCGTACGAAGGTAATAATCACACTACTGTACAGTACGTGTACAACGTTGCGTGTAGGCCTTGAGTAGTACATTCCGCACATGTACGAGTACTTAGCCCTATCAACTCTTATTCTTTTATTTGTTATTCCCATGACGACAAGCTCGATTATTTTCGTCGCCACCAGTTGTTCCGCCACTTTAGATCGGTCAGCACCTAGTGATAGTGGGGATAACTCGACCGTTCTTGCACCGAGCCAATCACTCTCCCCCACCGCGTCATCCCATAATAGCCCACGGCGCGACGTGCGTTGCGTGCTTGTCGTCGCCGGAACCCCAAATCTTTTATCGCGGAACATCTCCCTCTAGCTGCAAAACACTAGTTCCTACCAAGGGTAGGAAACGCGGAGTCGTCGTCGATCTTCGCGGAGAACCCAGACCCGCGCGCATTCCCAGGTCTAGCCCCACGGACGACTCCGCGGCCACCATCTCTGAAGCCACGTCCGCGACTCACACCATGGCCACTGTCGCGGTCACCACGGCCACGGCCGCCCCGGCCACCACGGTCATCAGCTGGTGCAGAAGGCGTAGTCTTGAAGCCGGTGTCGAGAATTGTCTTCTGGACGCCGTTTTTCGTACGGACGCGCTTACCTTTTATTGTTTCGCTGCCTTCGAGCTCGAAACTAGACAAGACGTCCACACCGTCATCTTTGCTTGTGAGCTTCATACCTGTAAACGCAGACTCGTCTACGGTCTTCGATGCACCGCCCTTATTCTTCTGCTTTAGCGAAGCCATCAGCGCGGTTTTTCTCTCCGCCTTTGCTTTCTCATAGTCTTCGAGCGTCACCTCGTTATCCGGCTCGTCGGGAACGATTTCCTCTTGCTCGCCCTCAGCAGTAAATTCTGGGACAAGAGAGGCTTCCTCACCGGGTTTTCCCCAGCCGCCCTTGCCAGCGCCGCCACGGTGGAGGCCTTCACGACTGTTACGCGGGCAATGATACGTGTCGGTTACAGTTGAAACGATCGAACGGTTCCATCGGTTGGAACTTGAGACCGAAATTTGGCTCTTTAATTGTTCGCGAGAAGGTCGGGTGTCGAGCGGACCGCGATGGTCAGAAAAAACACCGGTGAGGGCGGCGAGGTAGTTGTACATCGCAAGGGTCGAAGCTGAGCGGGGAAAGCGCTTAAAGATCGCAAGCAGCGATTCATGCGAAAGAAATGCGACCAATGACGTACCCCCGACCGGAGCGGTCCTGGCGGTCGTTGCGACGAGCGTCGTTGTTGCGGGGCTTGTCTCGGCGATCGTTGCGACCGCTTTGTCGGGGACGGCCTTCGCTGCCGACGACCTCGCCCTCGAACTCGCGAGGGGCACGAGGAGTGCGGGCGATCCCGCGCCCAGCGGACACACCGCGACCGGGCGCGGCTGTTATGAGCAAGAGAAAGGTGGTGCGCGGGAGAGGACGTCAGTACACCGAGAACGACAAGATCTCTGGGATCGAACGCGTTTTTTTCGCGGCGCGGGATTTTTCGTTTTTTCCATTCAGCAGCGTAGTGAGGCGCCGGGTGATCGCACGATACGACGCATCGAGACGACGCGCACAGCAGCGTGACGAATGCGATCAAATGCAATCCTGAAAAATGAAATGCGCACCGTGTTTCTCCGGGAGCTTTGCGGGCTTCTTCGCGGCGGGCGCGGTCTTCGCCGCGGGCGCCTTCGTAGCTGCCACGGGCTTTGGCCCGTCCTCCTCGTCGAGGAGGGCGAACATGTTTGCGCCTTGGAAAGCCATGGCGAGTGTCTTCGAAATTCGTGGGACACGAGTGCAGTTGACCGGACACTCGCTGACTTAGTTACGCCGGATAGGCCGTAACAGCTCCAAGCATGCACGGGTGGGAGTTGTTACGTCTGCCCGGAGACGCTAGACGAAGTCGCTTTGCCGGGACCGACGTTCTCTGCCCGGTTAGCGCGTCGTGTTCGCGTCTGCGGGGTGATGGAAGATATGGAGCGTCGTTGCGTATCCAGACGCGAGACGGCGACACGACCACTCGCCCGGTGCGACCGACGAACGGGTTCTTCCGGGCAGCGCGGCGATGTACTGTCAGCAGTGTGAGGGTAAGAGAAGAACCTCGTCGTTTTTTCAGGCATGTTTCTCGACTTTTTTCGACAGAGAATAACGTGTACACGTACAGTACGTGTACTGTACACGTACTTTCGTACGAAAGTACGAAAGTACGAAAGTACGAAAGTACCTTCGAAGGTACTTTCGTACCTTCGTATTACACGCGTTACTGTAGTTGTACGACTGTTGTACGTGTACAACCGTACACGTACAGTACACGTACACGTACGTTGTACACACTTAACGTTGTACTTTCGTACGTTGTGGACTCGTGTACGTCGGGATAGATATCCGATACGAAGGTAAATAAAAGTATTGTACGAAAGTATTTGATATTATTAGATAGGCCCTACAGCCTACACGTGTACTGTACGTGTACTTCCGTACTTCCGTACTTCCGAAGTACTTTCGTACTTTCGTACGAAAGTATTTTCGAAAGTACTTTCGTACTTTCGTACGAAATAAAGTATTACACTAACAACCTACTTTCGTACTTTCGTACTTTCGTACTTTCGTACTTTCGTACGAAAGTACTTTCGTACTTCCGTACTTTCGAAATAAAGTACTTTCGAAAGTACGAAAGTACTTCCGTACTTTCGAAAGAAGATATTCTAATAGCCCTATCATAACAAATAACTACAGTACAACGTTGTAGTGTACAGTAGTTGTACACGTACTATGGATAGAATATCTGTCTTTGTAGAGAAATAGGTCTACAGCTCTACACGTACTACGTGTACCATGGGGCCTACATAGTACATACCTTCGTACTTCGTATTATCCGATACCTTCGTATTCTATCTATCTTCGGGTACAGTACACGTGCGGTTAATATTGGAGTGTTAAATAAAGTAAAGTGGCGTAAAAAGCCCCACACACTCGGGGGTACGTGTACAGCTGCACACCAGGGGTTTAAATTTAATAATGGCTCTTCAGTATTTCGGAATTAGTACGTTGTTGTAAGCGGCAGGCCTCATTACGCCTAATCATGACTCATACTTGTACAACGTTGTAGAGAGGGCTAGGGCTAATGACTTCCGGAAATATACCGATACGCGGCTAACAGGGCGTCATACGATTTTCACTTAGCGCAACTCGTCTATTAGTGAGGAACTGGCTGGGGAGGTGAGTCCCGAAGAGCTTCTCAAAGTCTACGAGTACATAATGAGCGACGAGGGGGACAAGTACGCCATGATGTTCACCGACTTGCACCGTAAAGCATCCCTCCAACGTGTACTGAACGTTTGAAGCTAAGAACCTTCGAAGGCATTCTATTTCCGTATAAATGGTTGTACGTTGTACTTCCGGGAGAACTTCCATCCAGAAAAACGAAGGTATTCGAGTAGGGCCTCTACGTACGTGGACAACATAATAATATTTTATCACTTCCGGAAATAGATATCGGATACCTTCATTCGTACGGAAGTACGAAAGTACTTTCGTAGTACGGAAGTACTTTCATAAGTTAACTTCGTACCTTGAAGGTACGAAGGTACACTACACGTACACGTACACGTAGGGCTAACGACGCGTGTATGTTCTACACTAGCTAGTGTACGTATGTACGAAGGTAGCTACCTTCGAAGGTACTAGAGCTAGTCTGGCCCCACCGCACGTGTACATGTACAAATAGTAGTCCTGCTGCTAATTTGCTCACGTCGTACTGTCAGTTCACGCTTATCACGGGGATAAGGCGGGAGTACAGACTTCTAATCAAATCGCTATAAAGTTGGCTCAGTGCAGGCTCTGATCAGAGAACATCCGTCTCCTCTCTGCTCTTTGCAATTCTTCCGTCCAATGGAACCAGTTCAACAGGAAGAAAGGAGGTTTTTGTCCAATAAGAGTGAGAGAAAATTGTTCGGTATGAAAGTCTTTATTGACTTCTTGTAACTCCTCGAAGCCGGCGTGTGTCCTTTCTAATGTTATCGCCGCAGATACTTTTGCGAACCTTTTTGCGCTGATCAAAACCGTCGATAAGCTCGAAAAGGCATACGTGAGTAGTGCAGCAGACAGCGACCGCTATGAAGCGGCTTGTGCGGAACTCATCACAAAGTACAAGACTTTTCGTAGCTCCTGTGCAGACATAGTGCCAGACTTACATCAATTCATGTGGGGCAACCATCGTTGATTTTAGGTGCCTGGCATTTTTTTGCAGTGCTTATAATGAAATTTACATTATTTGAGTTGTCAGAGTGCTGTTGTCGGAGTGGTACCCTTCGAATCGGGTGATGCGACACAAGTGCCCAGGGCGATTTTTCGCGACTTCGCTGTTCCTGAACTAGTTCGTATGGCTGAGTGTTGTTTCAATTTGTCTTGACCGTTTCACACGGCCACGTATTCGCTGAAATGTACATCAGCTCGGCATCGCCTCCACGTGGGTTTTCCAGCGACGATCGAGCACCGCGTAAGTCGCTGCGGTGACCGTGACTCAGCAGTGAGCGTTGCTGAGAGTGTTCATCACTTCATAGGTGCAATGGACACGCTCAAACTGAATATGGCTGCAAAAGATCAAGTCTCCCCTATTCTTTTTGATCTTATTCAGAGCCTCTACAAAGTACCACAACTTCCAGCTGACTTCACTGGCAGGGCTTTACTTCAACGGTGGTTTGATCAGCTTGAACAAATGCGAGCTAGTGACAGGCTTCACGAGGATGAGGTGCGCCAGCTTTTGTTTGACATCGAAAGTGCATACAATACTTTCATGCAGCTCATAGGCCGATCATAGGACGACAAAGAAACGCACTTGATATAGAAAGGGCCACTGCGCGTATTTTGTAGTAAATATATAGTCTAGTCTATTGATACGCCCTCCTTGGAAACATATCCTTCTCCTCGATCTATCTCAAGTAGGTCCTTCCAGAAGTACTTCCGGAAGTACTTCATATACCTTGAAGGTACTACAGAAGACATGCGAGTGGGAATAATGGTTAAAAGCACATTTCACTATTATGAAAAGGAGGTAAAGTTCCAAGAGATCACATCAATGACCTGCCATGTATCCCCTGTCCCACTGGTAAAGCCAACCCATGCACTTTTTGTCTCGGAGCGAAGAACCGTGTCGATGGTTAGAGGCACTGACAAAAGTGGTAACTCCATATTATCCACGTAAATGTTAAAGAGTCCTGGACGCTCGCCTATAAAATGTGACAGATGGCTTGAGGCGCCAGTGAATGATCCAGATTCAAGTGAGCTTGCAATAGCTTCCCAGGTTACGTCAGGAGTGTATGTGATGACTGCTTCATGTTCCAATCCGTCAGTGAAAGAAGGCAAGTCAATAGTGGAACAAAGATGAGCTTCGTGGTGCGCTTGGTTTGGGTTAGGACCGTTAGTGTGCACTGCAACGTGCGGTTCATAAGGCTCTGCGTGGAGGTGATTGTGCCAAGTGTCAAACTCCACTGCAAGGCTGTGGCGCAAACCTTGGTATCCCAAGCCAGGCCCTTTTGTGCCCACGTCAGAGGATGTCGGTCTTGTACTTGTATCGTCGCGAATAACAAATGCAAAACCGTCTCCACCAACCGGTGAACATGAACCATGGGAGTGTGTGTGTATTGCGTTAGTAAAAGAGCGAGACACAGTTTGGACACTTGTGCATTGCTCAGCTCGGCTTGACACAATGAAAACAAAAGAACTTTTCCACCCTCCTGTCACATTTTCCCGGTGATCACTCCATACTGCACCCGAAGAATTACGCTGCGGCTGCGAAATACGCGCAGCTGAATAACATTTATTATGTTGAGTTGTGCCATCGAGATCACTGAAAGAGGGCGATACTGTTTTTACCGATAATATACCAGTTGCGTCTATTCTGAACGGTCCTCGCAGCTGGCCGTATCCATGATCCCCATCCTGCCCGTAAGCATTATACACATTTGCACGGTAGCTATCATACTGACGAGCACCGCCGCCACCATAGTCTTGCATCCACCATCCACCCGATACGCGCCAGCCACCGCCTGACCATGATCGCACCTGATTGACTGCAAAGCTCTCGGCAACGTTGTTTGTAATTGAGGAGTTGTGCCACTGACCTTCCAACCAGACTGACCACGGGAACCATGCTTTTAAACATGTCGGAGGTATCGGTGCACTCTCGTATTCCCATGTGGACGAGCAGGTGCACTTTTGGTCAATCCAACCTGTAGAGACGTCATAAATGTACTGGCTCAGCGGGTTCCAAGTTCCATTTAACAACCCAACTTCATCAACAATTTCTTCCGTCGTGAGAATACCAAGGTAGTTCCCCGGTATCTTTTTGCCATGTAACCTGTGTTTATCTCCTCTCCACGAAGACCCTGTGCAATACGGATAAATGATGTGCTCCATATCCGGCATTGAAGCCACAGGCAAGAAAATGCCCTCGAACTTCAATTTGGTAGAAAAACCATCAACCAATACAGTATTTAATATTCCAGTTTCGGCTGGACTCCTGACGATCTTCCCTTTCGTTCTCTCTTGCCAGAACTTAACACGGGAAGGATATTGGCTTGTCAACCCATAGGATATCGACTGCTGTAGATGTTCAGTAGCAATTTTTGCTACCAGCGTCGTTGGCAAAAGTGGAGTAGACACTTTCTCACCGGTCGTTGTGTCTAAAACGGGAATGCTACCACTTTCGAGTTCAGTCAATGTATATGGGCCTTCTTCTTTACCGAGAACTTTTACCACCCACTCGCGTTTCTTGCGTGTACTCAGAGGCGGCGATGGCTCTAAAAACATGCGACATTCCCCCTTTGCACGTTCTATAAAGGTCGATGCACCAGGCATATTCACAGCTTCATACCAGGTTTCGCTAATCGCGTGAACCCCATCGGCATCTGTTCCATTAGGAAGTACAGTCCATTCTGTCCATGCATCAACGGTGACTGCTCCGTTCGTACGAACAAAAACACACCATCGATCCATCCCAGTCCAACCTCTTCCAGGACTGCTGCAATCATATGGGAATCCATTATCAAATGCACGACACGTGGAACAATCTCCACCACAAACGCCACATCCATCGGTGGTCAGTCCAGATCCATGTATCCCATCACAACCAATACACGTGGATCCATTGTAACCCCAACCTTGACACTCCCCGCACTTGTCGAACAAAGCCTGACCCTCGCTTGTGAAGTATGTATGGTAGTCCATCGTGTACGGGTCAAAAGGGACTTTTGAATCCTTTCCATCTACTAGGACATCAAGGTAGCACTGCGAGGTATGATTATTATCACCTCCGCAAATACAACAAGCATCATATGTGCGTTCAGAATATCTCACCCCATCACAACCACTACACGAAGCGTTCATAAGAGGTTGAGCCCCATTATCCCTGTTATCTTGGCACGCATCACAACCATCCATAATCTTTCCACTATTTGGCACACCGTCGCAACCACAGCAACCTCCCATTCCTCTGTCACAAGCTTCTTTGAAATCATCTGGACTGCTACAACCGCTGCCGACCTCGCCGTTCTGGCCTATGAAATTGAGGTATCGGACATCATCAGAGCCAAAGCAATCGTCCAGGGTTTTACCACTATTGGGTACACCGTCACAACCGGTGCACGTCTCGTTACCTCCGAAGCATAACCCACATTCATCAATTGCAGAGTTGTCTCCACCACAGACACCACAGTCATCAGTTAGCAAGCCACCGTCTGGGATGGGTCTGCCGACGACCGTTGAAACAGAAGAGCCGCAACCCAAACAGGTATGATTGTCTCCACCGCAAAGGCCACAAATATCTCGTGGGTTCGAACGTATATTGAGTGAATACAACTCAGTGTAACATGCGCTGTTGTCATCTGATGCCAGATCTCTAATCATTTGCCAACCAACGTTAAAGTGATCGAGTGCACCTTGGAAAGAAGAGTACACAGTGTTGCTCCTGTTAAAAGAGCTTTTTAGAACAGATTCGCTTTCGATGAACCTGTTCAGCTCGGATTTTCCATTCCAGATAGCTGAACGACCAGAAGCCCAGAAGTACTCAGCGAGCGAATGTTTTAATGGTGGGCCATGGTACATTCCATTCGATAGATCAGCCCAGTGCTCCACTCGGTCTACACACTCGCAGCAGAAGTTAATGATATGATAGCCAAAGGGCACGCCACCACAGTCGCAACACCAGCTATGCGTATCAGGGGCGTACAGTGGGCAGTTATGGCCGCCGCAGACACCACACGCATCCACCTCGCCGCCAGAGTTCGGCAGGCCATCACAGCCGATACAACCAGCAGAGTGCTCATCTGGAATTCCTTCACGTGAGAAAATAGACCCAGTAGGCTCGCGACAAACACTGCAGTCATCAAAGAGCTGATGATCATGAACATGATTTGTCGCGGTATCACCACCAATGCTTACACAGTGCACACAAGTTTCATTAAATTTATCCGAGATTTTGTAACGGTTCAAGCACTGTCCACAAGCATCAAATAGTAAATCAGAATTCGGAATCCTGTCACACCCCTGACATGTCGTCGTGTCCCCGTTGCACAGGCCGCACGCATCATTCACTTTCGAATAAAACGTTCCCATGCCAGCATACAGCAGCGGCGATTCATCAGTAACCGCATCTATTTGAAACGAAGATTCGGCTCTGTGAGACAAGTCGCAGATGACGACGACAAGCAATAAAGAGCGTAGTGCAGTGAAGGCTTGTTTGGCAGTACAAAGGCGTCCGCGCAAAACATTTGTAGTCTCAGGGGGATACGGCAGTAAACTATCACGACCATTGATGTTGTTTTGAGAAAGGTGGCGAATCTGACTGGCAACTTCATACCAGGGCGCAGATAACCCTCGGCGCCGTGCGCAAACGCGTTGGGGCGGGGTGAAAAGTTCGCTGACGAAAACGCCGTCCTCGCGTGGGTTGGGTGCCGACTCACGAGAGCGGCGTAGAGAACGCAACGTGGTTAGAGCGTCAGGTGGCACAGGAGACCCGCCCATCATGCCGAGACTATCCCAGGGTCGAGGGCTACCACGCAGTGCCCTTCGTTGTCGTTTCTTTCGCGGTTAAAGGCCAACACAGGCGACAACACCAAAACAGAACTTTTAAAGATGCCTGCGAGGGCGGGAGATCTGCAAGGTGTCAAAATTTTTGCCGGCTTCAAATTTACCCCCCTCCGGAGCAGAGAGTGGAATACACGTAGTGTACACGTAGGGCTAGTAGGGCTACAGTACGTGTACTGTACGTGTAGACGAGCTGCTTAGGTATAGAATAGTCCTCTACGTAATTCGACAAAAGCCACCTAAAAAACGTACTCGTGACAAAAAACACGTACAAAAGTGTACGCGCGAGCACCCGCGCGCGAAACACTACTCCTCCGCGCGCGATGCACGTCTGCGCGCGAAACTTTGCGTGATGCCAGTTCTAAGGCATGCGCACAATGCTACGGCGGGGTTTTTTGACTTTCGCGCGCGTCGCGAAGAAATCGCAGATCTTGCCCGAAATCGCGCTTCGCGACGATCGCGTACCCCACTCGCGGCAGAGAGCAAGAACGCAAAATCCCCGGCGTAGGAAGTTCGGCGTTGAAGCCCGGAACGCGATGGTGCAAAAGAAAATCCGTTTAGATCTCATTCGAGGAAGGAGTAGTGTTTCGCGTCGAGGATCAGCTCTTTAAGAATTTGCTTCATCGTGCCACAACGCCTGGACGGGCTGTAATATCATGATATTGAAGCATTTTCCACTATCGCCCACGCCTCTTTCATCTCTTCTTTCAAGAACATGTCGAAAGTTTCGCGAGTTTTAGAGGCCTGGAAGACGGTTTTCGGACACCTAAGGACCTTCTTAAAAGAATGTCGCTGAGAGGTCCTAAAACCGCCTTCTAGGCCTCTAAAACTCGCGGAACTTTGAGAGGGCATCGGCGACCTATGGACAACATCGTGACGAAGTTTCAAATCAATCCGCCCAGCGACGGCGCGTGGGCGCGTACGAAAGTACGAAAGTACTTTCGAAAGTAGGCCTAGCCCTATGATACTTTCGAAAGTACCTTCGTACGAAAGTACTTTCGTACGAAAGTACTTTCGTACGAAAGTACTTTCGTACTTTCGTACAAGTACAACTGTACTTTCGTACTTTCGTACTTTCGTACTTTCGTACGAAAGTACTTTCGAAAGTACGAAAGTACTTTTTTGCCATTTGTATGCGTATTCAGCATCAATTTCGTACTGAGGTCACGCTCCGCTAATTAAATTTCCCGTGCCAAAAGTACGAATTTTGTGTGCGTATTTATTATCTCAAAAATCGTACTTTTGCGCGCGCCCACGCGCCGTCGCGGCGTTTATCAATTTAAAACTTCGCACATTTAAAACTTCGTCATGATGTTGTCTATTAAGTGTAGGCCAGCAAGTACTTTCGGAAATTTCTCTACGCAATTTCTCGACGGACACTAAACAACAATATACATTATTCATCTATTGCTCCAACATTTTGAGCTGATGAGTAGACAACGGCTGAAGCGCAGGAAACTGAAACCAAAACCTCTCCTTCAACCTTTGATGGTAGGTCATGTCTTACACCTACGAAGGAGGGTTCCGTGCACCTTTTCAATAAAATGCCGACATTATGTTGGAACCACGAATCAAGTCATGACAATCTCAAACCCACTAGGTAGCAATGTCATTTTGACCTATTGTGCTCGTTTTGTGAACGTTCCCTCTCACTCGAAGTCCCTAAAGCGCGCGAGACAAACAACGTCCGAGTTTCATAGGATTCAACGTGAGCTAGACATTGCCAGGCGTCGTGGTGGTCGGCAACATATAAACAATTACCCAGTTAGGGGCGAGCAGCATGAGCTAGATCATGAACTCTCCATAATTGGTGGAAGACAGGCATATCAGGAGGCCTCACTCTTGACCACAGGCAGGCACCGTACTTGCAAATGGGTGTTTTCGATCATAACAAAATTGGGACTTCGCCCAAAGAAGAGTCAGAGCCCTCTTGAAGTACTTGAAGTTGGAGCAGTGAACACGCAGCTCTTATCTGTTCCCTGGTTATCCGTCCGCGCAATAGACATTAAAGTAAGCTGTTTATCTCAGATAATTCTTCAGATATTTTACTCAACAACGGCCGTACTTTATGCAGGCACAACACCCACAGATAGAACAATGTGATTTCTTTGATATAGTTCCTGGAGGCGATTATAACGCAGTTGTGATGTCTATGGAATGATAACACTTGAACAACTCGCTCTTCTCCTGCTAAACATTATTTCCCAGGTACTGAACTGCATACCTTCGCCACACAAAAGAGGACAGATGCTTGCACTAGCACAAAGACATCTACGACCTAGAGGTCTTTTGTTTCTGATGGTATGGCGTGCCTTGTGACGTGTAATATGCTTCAGCGTATATACACATATTGCGTCTGTTCTTCAAAACGATTATTCGATACTACCGATATTTAACTCTACCTCGAGTTACTAATAACATACATTCCTGAATACTGCAATTCAGATCCCTCGAAGTTGTATGGAAAATTCCACCTATTACTCTTTTGACACGCTAACATTTTGTCTGGCAAATATAGGAATGACGGCAAGAAAATGCCGATGATACTCGTGTCCGCGATCTGATAATCCTTCATGTAAATGATGTGGCATTTGCTTGTTTGGTTCGTCCCCTGCCACCAGCCTAAACCCGAAGCTTTCCCCAAAAGTCGCGTTCTTTTGTGCTCAACGTGAGAGCACTGACTTGAAGTGCAGTTAAACTGAGTAAAGTGCTTCGTAGATATTCTTTGGTCAAACTCATTAGCTGTCTTTGCGAGATTTTTTGAAGCTTTTAACCCCCTCAATATAACATCGTGCTGAACTTCATGTATTTAAGCTGGAAATCTACCTAAAATCATTTCAAAACTTTAAGAAATACGTAACAAATGTTGAGAGCGCCAGCAACGCAGTGCAGTCGAAAGCACGTGAAGGTGAAGCTGACAAAGAATTCGAGAACTCGTGTCCAGAAGAACTGTCAAAACCTCTCGCACAGAGGGCTTCTGAGACTGCTGCCGAGGTTAAAAACAAAGTGTTGAGAGTTTGCAACAAGATCGAGCCAAAAAGAGCTACGCAAGCAGTTAAGTTTAACCCATGCCACTCAATTCTGCGCGAAACAAGTCCCAAGCATATGTTCCTGATCTCATCGAACACTGTTGTTGTGAACCGCATCGAGAATAGTAAAGTGAAAACGATTCCATCAACTGGGACTCCTATCAAAAGCAGAGGTTTAAGATACCAACGAAGCGCCCAAATCATGCCCTCAGGTGTGGTGGTGCACAAACTCAGCTGCGCAGACTGCAGAGCCGTGAAAGCAATACAAGATGCGCTCATCGCGAGACTGAAGTTCCTCTGTGAGATCTGAAGTGGGCCAAAGTGGAACAAAGTATTGTAGTAGCAGTTTTTAAAAGTTGGAATGTCCAGTAAGCCCTCATAAAAAGCGGATGGTTCGCGAGGACCAACCAATGGAATGACGCTTTCGGATCCGAGAACAGCAATGAAGAAAATCAGCGAGCAAACCTTTGTTACCACGCTTAGTTGTGGGCGCCATACTCGATATGGAAGTGCTGCTGCTGTCGAGAAAGCTAGTACCAAACAAACAGTGCTTTTTTCTGCAAGTGAGCCCCTTTGAGGTAGCAGCAGCATCGTAGCAAGCCATGCCTGCTTCAAGCGAGGGTCTAAACGATGCAGTGCGGAGGAATGGTTCGATACATAAGTTCCCAGAGGAATCGAAGGAAACTCGAGAAAATTGGCAATAGTCTGCTGAATAAGAGGGAGCTCTGTGTCACCAGTGTTTTTTTTTAGTTCCCACAGCGTCTCCACTCCATTTGCTGGCTGCTTCGTACTATGGTGCTGGACAACCCTTAATTGCACGGGGCTTCGGTACACTCGGTACAGTGATCGCACTCGAATATGATTTGACTTCCATATCGTAACCTGACCCCCGCGTCTTTGTTGTCCTGCCGATTTGAAGCAGAAAGTATTTCGCATTTCGTTTCGTTTTAGTAAGTTGGTACAGTCGCGAACACATGGACTCTTAAAAGAACAATTTGACGTCCAAAAAAAGATGATCAGACCATTCTCCTACAATGAGTAGCCACAAGAGTTTGTCGAGTTACCGCCGCGAGAAAAAGAAATAATAGCGTTTCGAGGAGAATATGGGAAGAATTTGAGGGCACCATAGAGTCTGAAGTCGATAAACCTTACGTGAGTCTTACGTGTACGTGTACGTGTACAGCTGTACTGTAAACCGTTGTATGTGTACGTGTACAACTAGTGTACACGTAGTCTAACGCGCGTATCATCATTTCCGGAAATAAAATTCTAGCTATTTCCGGAAGTACACTAGCCACTCACTAGCCCTACTGTACAACGTTGTGCACGTACACGTTTATTCGTGTACAGTAGGGCATTGATAATAGCAAATTGTACAGTACACGTACGTGTACGTGTACACGTAGCCCTACGTGTAATATCGAAGAAGATAATTTTATCAAGTATCATACTGTACATTTAATTTATCGGAATACTGTACACGTACTGTACTGTACGTGTACGTACACGTATGTAGGGCTACAGTACGTGTACTTTATTACGAAGATACAGTACTGTAGATAAATAGATTTACCTTCATAAAGTTCATGTATTTTCGTGCATGTATTAAAAATACTCATTGTAGTACGAAAGTACTTTCGTATGTACTTTCGTACTTTCGAAAGTAGTTGTACTTTCGTACGAAGGTAGCATTTGTACGTACGGAAGAGTTTTATGATACGGAAGTAGTTGTACGAAATATTTGTAGCCCTACTTTCGTACGAAAGTTTCTATTTTCAAGTAAAACATTTAGGGCTAGCATGACTATCATACGTATTCAGCAGCAGCAGGTAGTTGTACTGTACGTGTACAGTAGTCCTCTACGTAATTCGAAAAAAACCAGCATAAAAACGCACACGTGATAAAAACACGTACACGTACACGTGTACTGTAGGGCTACAAAAGTGTAAGCGCGAGCAACCGCGCGCGAAACACTTCAAGGATGATGGCACACTACTCCTTCCTCGAATGAGATCGCGACGGATTTTTTTTTGCACCATCGCGTTCCAGGCATCAACGCCGAACTTCCTGCGCCGGGGATTTCGCGTCCATGCTCTCTGCCGCGAGAGGGGTACGCGATCGTCGCGATTCGTGATTTCGGGCAAGATCTGCGATTTCTTCGCGACGCGCGCGAAAGTCGAAAAACCCCGGCATAGCATTGTGCGCATCCCTTAGAACTGTAGTCGTGCGAAGTTCCGCGCGCAGACGCGCATCGCGCGCGGAGAAGCAGTGTTTCGCGCGCGGGTGCTCGCGCGTACACTTTTGTACATGTTTTTCGTGACCCAGAGTACACGTACACTTTTACTCACGAGTACTGTACGTTTTTTTGCGAATTATGTGGAGGACTACCTAAGAGCAACTTTTAAGTTATTACCGACTGTGACAGGAAGCAGCGCGATAGGCGTTTGTTTCATCGAGCGCTCTCTGATTCGCATCTACTCGGCGTCGCGCGCGCACTTTTGCGGCTGTCTTGCTCTGGTCACGTATAAGCTTTCCACCTGGACTATAAATATCACTGAAACTTTTACTTCGAGTACGTTTCACTGCTGCCCACCGTGTAGTCCCTCCCGTACACGTATCTTTAGCAACCTCGACGCCGAGAGCGCGCCCGGCTCTTCTTCCGTCGATGATAAAGGCCGGGCCGGCGGAGGCGCTGATGATGATGAGCCATCGTTTGAAAGTATGGGCGCGACCAATACGTTGTTTGTAGCAAAGAGTCGGCACACTCTGTTGTTTCTACAGCCCGAACACCATAAGTCGTGGTCGTTTCCTCTTTCACTTTTGCAGGACTTCTTCTTCGGCCTTCCCCTATCGCGAGGAACACCTAAGCGAGAAGTTGCGGCAACTTGTGCGGCCTCCTCGGCGAAGAAAGCGGTGTCGTCCATGACTTCAAGCTATTTGCTCATACAGAACGACCTTCGCAGTTTGGCTGGTCGTTTCCAAAAGCCTAATAAGCTCACTCTACCACAACTCGTCTCTCTGCATACTGCACGAACAACTGTCGCTGAAATTCTAATGGATTGGAGACAAGCGACGAATCTCTGAGGTTCAGGAACTCCACTGCTTTTGTCCACAGTACACTGCAAAAGTTTTTGTTGGACACCACTCTGCACTCCAACCCCTCCTTGGCTGCTGCTGCAATAACACAGCTCGCAGCGTGCCAAACAATGCCCAGTCCAAATCCTATAGCAAACCCAACGCATACCTGCTCAAACGAGTGGTATCCTAAATGGACTCTACTCACAGCAACCACAAAGGCAACGGGCCACGACGATGAAACTGAAGCAATGACGAGAGGATCCAGCCTTTGTAAGTGCAGTGTCGTTATTGAGGTCTCATCCCCCCTCAGTCTACAGCCTCGGAGTCTACGGTAAAGGTGAAGTGAGTTTATCGTTGCGGAAAACGCAGCTAGTTGTGCGTGACTGGATGGCATGCCGTACGTGCCACAAAAATCTACCACAGCACACGAGCTTGGACGTGGGTCCTTTGCCCACCACTTTAATATTTGAGCAACGACTTCACAGAAGAGCGTGCCTGCAAGCGTTAGAATGTCCCACAGCTCCCGTCTTGCGAAAAAAACGCCGGAGGTGGCAAGTATACCGGCAATCGGAACGAGCGATGCGACTGCCATGAGTGAGCCCACTACGTCGTCGGGTGGGTAGCTGTGACGTGGGAGTCGGGTTCAGGGATTCAGCCGACGTTCGCAAGGGGAGGGAAATCGTGACGAACCGGACGTATGTTAAATTGAAAGGCTTCATGAATATCGAATGTTCATATGGTTGCCGTGCGGTCTGTACACCGTATATCTTGCGTAGTCGGGCAGTGAATCAAATTTCCGGTGGTAACATCTAGAGGCCAGGTCAGATAGCTCTACGTGTAGGGCTACATGACTGCTACATGTATGTGTACAATAAGTCGATCCTACATATTTATGTATGATAAATATCCGGAAGTACACGTAGGCCCTAATATTCATAGCCCTATCATATGTAGTACACGTAGGCAATCCATATTTAGGGATAAGCCTGCATAAAGTTGTTTATGATATGGGTATTTTAAATAATATGATGAGTGACAACTTAACTGATGAGATAGATATTGTATCTTCGAAGGTTCGTACTTCCGTATCTCGTTCGGTACGTAACAGGGGATAACTTTTAATATGATAGTAAATAAATAATGAGTAAGTAAAAGTTTACTTAGTTTTTCGAAAGGCGAAGACTTTTGCGGGTCGAGCGAAATTAGACCGTCGATTGTGAGTTAAAACTGCGGTACCTTGAAATATTTATTTATTTACCTTTTTTTCCGGCAGTCTTGTATTTACTTTAGTGTCGAAATTTTAGTAAGTTATAACCCCTGGTACGTAACTAATGCTACGCAACCCTACCTCTTGCTTGCGAGATTCTTTATAAAGCCCTTCAATCGTGATGGAGCGCTTAACAGTTAATAAGGACGATGAAAATTTCATTCGCAGCCGGCTGAGGACGCAGACGGCGACGGCGAGGCCAGGAGCTGATCCGCCCCTGAAAAAGCTATTGAAAAAATACGTAGTTTACTTCGACGCACTGGCCTCTGGGGGTAGAGAGGACAAGATGGCGAACGACGCACAAAAAGAAGCCTTCCTAAAAGATTCGGTGAATTTTGATCTGGCGATGGCAAGGACTACGTCTGTTGTGAGCGCGAATTCGGGAGAGATGGACGCCTACAGGGTTGATCACGGTAACGTCCGCACGTCAATCTCAAATGCAAAAGGGGACATCGAAGCACTGAAAAACGCACTCGATGGGGCGCGGCTCGAACGGCAGCATAAGGAAGAATACGAAGGCCTTCGCCGGCTGTGTGTTAGATACCCGCGACGAGAAACGACCGAGGCGGCAAACGCGACACTCCGAGGCTCGATACGAGAGCTTGAGGAAGCCAGCGAATCCAATATTAAGGTGTTAAAGCTCAGGAAAAAACAGTTTACGACGCTACTCCACGTCGTCAACGAGCTGACTGAAGAACTCGAGCATGAGGGTGAGGAGTTCGATTGCGCTGGTTGATTCAAATTGTTTAGGCGAGAAGAGCACAAGAAAAGCATAGAAAGACGGGCGGATGATGACTCGACGGCGTCGTCTGAACGCTCTGATTGTTATTATACCTCACTTTGTGACCATATTCTTGATCAGTATTGTTATAATCTCATTCACTCAAATTCAATAACAATTATAATTCGTCAGTTAATCCTCCAGAGGGTAACAGTGATCGATAGTTCAGAACCTCTCAACCCCCCCCGTTATCGTTTTCTTTCCGCTTTTTACTCCCGCTGCCATCTTCACCCTCGAACGCTCTAGTTGACGCCACAAGCGCGTTTCGCAGTCGCCGCTTCACCTCGCCGCTGCAAATCCGTGGCAAACCCCCTCTTATACCCCCAATTTTCAGCTCGAATATGTCGGTCACCCACATTCGCCCAGCGTCGTCCACTTTCGTTGTGATGTTTGCGCGGGTGATGTCCATAGGGAGTTCGTGAAGTGCAGACATCAGGTCTGGAAGTAAACCACGACGGTCAATGGTGTGAAATTTTATGTAACAATTATCATTTCTCAGGTCGACACTGAATTTTATCATGCCGTCTTTGGTATGCATAGAGTCAGTGGAAGGGGATGACGTGCGCGTGTGTGGGACGTGTTCAGGTTGAAAATCGACGCCGAAATCGCCACCACCACTGCTGCTTAATTTTGCTATTCGTCTTCGCTGTTTCTCGACCGTCACAGTCAATGTCCTTATCAAATTTATCGTGTCCTGCAGAACTGAGAATTTCGACCTTCTTCTATCTTCCCCCTGAGCTGCATCCTGCTCCTCACCGCCAGCAGGAACGAGACATCGCAGTTCATCGATCATCGCGTTTATCCGGTCGCGACGCTGCTTCTCTGATGCACCGTGGGAAACTCTCGTACCGTATCCATCACTTGCATCACCTCGAACAGGCGAAACAGAGGAACGCACTGTCGGTTTCGACGATAAATTCTTTTCAATCAATGGGTTCACAACCTTGTCCTGTTTACTCGAATTCAGCGTTTTTTCAACTCTCTCTGAATCACTGGTGTATGAAATGTAACGCGTTGAAGGCTGAAACTGGAGACTCGTGGTGGAGACGAAGTGCGCACGGGCTAACCCGTTTACTCCAAACTCCACGGCAGTATTGAGTGCTTCTTTCACGTGTTGAGCCCCACCACTTCCTTTTGTATCTCCACTGACGGCGCCAGCCACGTTCACTTTCCCTGCAGGTCGACCCCCCCCCTGGTTGGAGATGGTCATTTGGTCCTGTGAGACAATAGGAGCCAGCGTTGAAATGTGAGACTGTTCGAGGCTCGGCTTACTGGTCACTCCAGCTACGTTCTGGGGGACACTCGCAAAGCCTAGGTCAACGTGATTTAGACTGCCTACAACTGCGAAGTGTCATGAAGGACGAAGAGATAGGAGACATGTTAGTGATATGCCGATGGTTGGCACGCGATCGAGTATCACAAATAAGTAGAGAAACGGTTCGTTGGGGGCCTACAAAGCGCCGCGTGGATTGGGGGTAAGTGACTCACGATCAGAGGCCGTCGCTGCGTAACTTGTGCTTTCAACAATGCCTAGGAGTTCATGAAGCTCGCTGTCCGTAAAAGTGTTACCCCCGTCATTTGTATCGAACAAAGACGCGAGATCACTCTCGTCCGGCATCACGCGTATGTTCTCCATCGCTAGTTCGGGCGTGGCGACGCCGCTTACACGTTTATAGAAGGTACGAAAGTACTTTCGTACAAGTTAGTGGAAGAGCACTGGAACTTCCGGAGTACGTGTACACGTACAATATCGATCATGATAATAAAAAAACAAGCATAATAGTATGTAACTAGCCCTATGTATGATACCTTCGAAGGTAATAATATGTAGTACGAAAGTACGAAGAAGGTTTAATAAAATATGTACAGTAACAACTTATGTAAGTTCGTTGCTTTTAGGCAACTTATGTTTTATACAGTATACTGTATAATACGAAGATAATATAAAAGCAAGCAAGCATAAAACATGGATATACAGTATCATATTAATATATGTATAAGTTGCTTTATTATAAGCATCTATCATAACTTAAGCAATAACTTATTATTATTAAACGCAACTTTATACAACTTATCATTTATTGTAATAAGCAACTTTTACACACAATATTATGATATTATATATAAATAATATTATATATGTGTTTATTTACTAAAGTTTTCTATCATGAAACATTTATATCATATTTACTAATACTAAAACAACGTATGCTCTTGTAAAACAACTATTTGTCCGTGTATAAATCTAATAAAATAAGTTCATGTACAGTAGCCCTACTGAGTCCCTACTGTATGTTCACTACAAATTTCGTACGGAAGTAGGGCCTACATACTTTTGGCACGGGAAATTTAATTTATTATCGGAGCATAAACCAGGACTACACGCACGTGCGTGTACACATACACGTGTACTGTACACGTGCAGTAGTTGTACACAGCTACACACAGATATTTTACAACTTACTTTTTAGCCAGAATGAACGAATAAATTCGAATGAATGAAGGTACTGTACTGTACAACGTACACGTACACGTACGTGTACTGTACGAAGTTACATAAAACTGAAGAAGAAATTTCGTTGACTCGTGAGTTGCTTTCAAAATTTCAAAGAGAGCTGACCCTAGCGCCGCTTGCGCGCCGCTTCTCGCGCAATTTGCGGGCCGAAACACTCACGCGAAGAGTAGCATCGCATCCTACGCCTCGAGAGAGCTTTCCATCGCGCACTGACAATTTCTCCGCTACAGTCCCAAAAGCGCACAGCCCCGAAGACAATCCGTGATGGACGATCCGCACTACATGAATAATGTTCGGTATGATCGTCAGCTGCGTATTTGGGGCGAGCATGGGTAGGGAAACACAACTGACGCGTCTTGACTGTCACTTTAATCCACGTGTATACCAACCTCTCGGTCAATCGTCACAGCTTTTCGTACGAAACCCTCGTCATAGACAGAGAAAAATAGAGGGGTGCAAAGTTTGTGTGCTAAACTGCGGACCTACAGGCAGCGAGACGATAAAAAACCTTGTTCTGGCTGGCATTGCGTCCTATACATTAGTGGACAACACAGTAGTCGAGGAAAGTGATTTGGGCAACAACTTTCTGGTCTGGTTTTCTTCTAATTTCGTATTTTGGCCCGTTTTTCCTTGCGAATATTACCGCTATTCTATCAAGAACACCCAAGAAAGTTAGGTTGCGCCGCAGATCATCGTTCTAAAACATCAAAAGCTGTGTTGACCATCATTCAGGTTAATGAGGCAGACCTTGGCAGGGGTAAGGCTAGCACTGTTGCTGCAAATCTCCAGGAGCTGAATACTTCTGTGGCGGGCTCTTTTGTCGACGAGTCTCCGGATGACATTGTACATAATAACCCTGCATTTTTTGAGAGTTTCACGGTCATTTTAGCCACTCAGATGTCTTTAAGAAACCTCGTCGCACTTGATGTCATCTGTCGTCAGGTTGGAATCCCTCTGGTTGCACTACAGTCTTATGGACTCACGGGAACCATTCGCTTATCGCTGACAGAGCATACCGTTCTCGATGCAAAACCTGAAGAATCTGACCACGACCTGCGGCTGTCACAACCCTGGCCGGTAAGGCTGCCTCTTAACTTATGAAGCGGAGTGCTCCCTGCGTCTCTGCGTAATGTTTACGCCAGTAAACGTAATCCCACTCACACGTCATACTTCTTGAGGACCAACCTACCAACAGGAACTATGCTGTTTTGTACAACAGTTCAACTTGTCTACTTCTGACGACACAACGGTTAGGCAAGTACCACACGTGGTACTGCTCCTGCAGGCTGCACTTCAGTGGCGCGCAAAACATTCAGGAAGGTCTCCAGAGGACCACATTTCTCAGAAGGCATTCAAGGATTCGATTCGCACCTCACAATTCACACTCGATGAGGAAAATCTCAGAGAAGCTCTGGAGTCTGTGCGGCATGTGTGGAAGCCACATACTGTCCCACCAAATGTGAAAAAGCTATTTGAAAGAATTGAGGTCGACAATTTGACCTCTAGTACGCCTAACTTTTGGTTCCAGGTCGCAGGTTTGCGTGCATTTCTTGTTGATTCAGGTGGCATCATGCCTCTCCGGGGTGATATTCCGGACATGGCTTCTGCAACAGAATCGTATATTGCACTGCAACGAGTATATCGAGAAAAGGCTGCAGTAGATGCCGCGGAGGTTCACGCACACATCTGTAATTTCTTGCATGGAGCAGGGAAACGCGGGGAAACTTTTTCACTGAAAGATACTGTCAGTTTCTGCAGAAACGCGGCAAACCTACAAGTGAACCACTGGATTACTCTTGCTGATGAAGCTGCTTGGAAATCTGACTGTAGTAAAAACATTTCTTGTCAGCTGGCTGGAGAAGATACTCAATCCTGTGCTGCTCTGTATTTGATACTACGTGCAGTTGACTCGTTTAAAGAAAAGTATGGACGAGCACCAGGTGAAGTTGCGGTATTGCCAACCGCACTATTGCTAGGTGCAGCGAAGGATGATATGGCGAAGATTGATATTTCTCGTCTCAGAATTATCTTGCATGGCATACTTAGTGAGCTTGGGCTGAGTAAGTTGGGCCTTTTCGATGACCTGATAGTGGAATTCGTTCGCTCTGGTGGTTGCGAGCTCCAAACTGTTGCAAGTATGGTTGCTGGTATCGGCTCCCAGGAAGTCATAAAGCTTGTCACGCAACAATTTGTGCCTTGCGGAAAGACTCTGGTCTATGACGCAGTCGACTCGGCTGTTCTATCGATTATGTAGACCATGTAATGATTCAGAGAGCACAACTAATCTGATGACAGGTTTTATATCACACAATTTTATATGGCTAGATATGATATTCTGATCTGATAGTACATATATGTGTATTTCAGTCTGCGCTTGCGCGGTCTTAGGAAAAATTTCACCAGAACGCCCCTTGCTGACTGAAATGCCCATACGAATGCAAGGGCGGATCTCCTTCCGTCCTTCCCAGTACTATCTCCGAAAATGCGTATGTGCTCTAGTAGGCCCCCCGCGACCCAGAACGAAATCGGAACGAAGTTGAGTCCGGGCACATTCCGTCTCCCCCAACAACCGGGGGGGGACAGAAGGACCAGGTTTGCAAAAAAAATAGATGAGGTGCACTATCATATTAATGATAAATTATAAAATTCATATCACATCCATATTACCCATATGTATTATATATACACGAGTAACTGAGCTCTATTACGTTTATGGCAAGACATGTGTAACGCGAGTGTATAAACCCGTTACTTCCAGAAGTACACGTACGCATACTATCATATCCAGCTATCTATTCTAGCTACGCGATATCTTCGAAGGTAGATAGAATAGCCCTAAAACTACGGAAGTAGGCCCTAGCAGTGCCCTAGCTAGTACTTTCGTACCTTCGAAGATACTTCCGGAAGTACTTCCGTAGATATCTAGCTAGCGAGCCAGTGGATACGTAGTATGTACGTGTACGTGTAGGGATATTAAATACTGTCGCCTCTATCTGTCTATCAGAACTGTTATCCCTCATTCGTACACGTACACGTACACGTGCGTGTACACGTAGGTAGGGCTATTTCCGACATTTCGAATACAACTAAAACGCTTTTACCTTACTTCGTACGGAAGTACTTCCGTACTTCCGTACGAAGTATCATACTTTCGTATCATATGATAGATATTCATGCGAAAGAATGTTGTTCCGTACTTCCAAATACATACATACAATAGCCCTAAATAAATACGTACCTTCATTCGTAAATACGAAAGTACTTTCGTACTTTCGTACTTTCGTACTCAAAGTACTTTCGAAAGTACTTTCGAAAGTACTTTCGTACGAAAATACTTTCGTATTTTGGTACATGTACACAACACATATCAGATACACACCACAAGCAAGGTACACGTAGCCCTAGTCACGTACCGTTGTCGAGCTCCATACACTACGTGTACGTGTACGTGACAGATACAGCACGACCGCCAGAAGTTACCGGTGCCTTGGCCTTAAGCACCTCCAAACGTACCGGGTGGCGAGCACTTCTGCGTGCAGTCTCGTCTTTCCCCATTTTCACCCGCGTATCTTTTAGCCAACCGTGTTCCCCCCCACCGCTCACCGCGCGAAGTCCCTGCGTTTTCTCGCCGGTGCCGCTCCCTACATACATTTTCGCGATGGGCATGGGAGTAGGCGAGCAAGTGCGCAAGATTGAGATCGATGCATACACAATGTTTATGAAGGCCACCGCTATCACGGGCATGTCGTGGGTAAGCAACCACCGTGATCCACGTGCTTGAGCGGTGTCTGCGCAGATCACGAAACTTTACCGACGGAATCGCACGCGGTTGTCACCCCTATCTTCCCTCCTTCTTTGCACGCAGGATCGCGATGAGCTCGCGACAAAGCTCCGGAGAGAGCTTAACGTGAGCAACGACGACCATACGCGCATCAGGGAGAAGCTGTCCGAAGACGAACGAGTCTCAAACCTACGGTCCGGTTCGACTCTAACGTCCCAAATCTTTCCATCCACTCGAAACATAGAGTGAGTCAAACTGACTGTATAAACTGCCCAAACAACCAACCGCAGCGAGGCATGGATATCACGCCAAGCCATGCACGCGGCAAAGAAGGCACGGGTGGATCATATTGTCTCGCCAGCGGGAAATCTGGCAACCAAAAAGTCACCCGGACATTCTACACTCAAGCAATTCTCCAAACAACAACGATTTGCCACGGGAGGGACATCAATGATGGTTGACAATCTAATATGCCGTAAAGTCCAACGATTCTGGCCAGAAGAAGGCGGTTGGTTTGACGCCATCATCACTGACTATCGTCCAACCACTCAAGAGCACTGCCTTACATATGAGATAAACACAGAGTCGGAGACATTTGAGTGGGTATGTTGCACTTCGGACACTCTCATTTTTTTGCGAACTTGCCACCCCATGTTTGCAAATAAATTCCGTGTTCAACTCTGACCTACCACTTACTGTAATGAGTTCACTCAAAACTCTCAACCACATCGACAGGCAAACCTGACTGCTTTCAACGCCAAAGAGTTCAAGATACTCGAAGAACGCGTGGCTATTGAGGACTTGAAGTTTTTTTGCGAAGGCATGAAACCTGGTGCGGAAATGGCTACGCATAACAGCGCACTAGCACAGACACACGCGGCTGTAGGCGGCGTTAACAGTCTCGCGAAGAAGGCATTGAAGACAGCAGATGCGGGTAAGATTTTCGAGGCAAAAGGGACATTGAGCGCGCAGGAGGTTGCACTGAAAGCGCAGCTCGCGGCGCTAGATGACTCGGAGTCAGATGAAGATTGAGGAAACATTGTTGCACAGTCGGCGTGCACGGTTGATGCAGGTTTTGAACACAAAATCCGTACCCATCTGAGCATGCGGAACCATCAAATACAGGGAACTGACTGGTCTAGTCTATCTTTAAGACCATTGGTTCACTTGTGCACTGCCTTGATTCATTTTTTCTCATTGCAAACAGAACCCCCCATTCCTCGCCCTGTACTGTACCATCGCGCCAAAATCTCGACGGGGACGCCAACAGCATACCCGAGTAGAACAAGCTGATTCATTGCTGTCGTTCTCAGAAAACCCAATGTGTTCCACCTTCGCACACTTGTTGTGACGGATGATTTCATAAGCACGGGTGCACTCTTCCGTCGAAGTCGCCGAACTAGCTCATAGTCCTCTAAAAATGGCATCGGTGGGAAACCGCCTACGGCTTCGAAGGTTGATTTACGCACAACGAGGCACTGGTCACCGTAAGGAAAGTGGAAAAGGGAAGCACGAAGGTTCACTAGAAATTCAAGGATTCCAAAACGGATGCGAGCGAGTGTTGGTACGGAGACAGCAGCATCACCGTCACCAAGACGAAACCTAAACGCGCCCCACTCTGCGCTGCATTCGCCTCCGCCTCGCTCAGTGAACCGAGCCCAGACGTCATTCTTAAAAGATGGGGGTAACGTCGAGTCCGCGTGAAGGAACAGAAGGACCTCTCCCGTGGCCGCGTTCGCGCCAACGTTGCACTGCGTCGCTCTGCCCCGTGCTGACGCAAGAACACGAGCTCCCGCGCGTTTCGCCTCTAGCGCGGTGTCATCTTCGCTGCCGCCGTCCACGACAATGACCTCGACGGCACACCCTGAACCCATTTCCTTCTGCGATTCTGTCGTTCCTCCGAGACGTGTCGCACTCTCAACCGCTCCGCGCACACGTTTGGATTCGTTTAGCGCGGGAACGACTACGGAAATGCGGGGTGGCGGGGTGGACATTATGGACTAAGTGAGGGTGGACGATGTTACTCGGCTGCCTACTGTTAGTTACTAGCTAGGGCAGTCCTGCCGAGGAAGTAATCAATACGGGATCACAACCACCACTTCGCAGACGAGGAAAACGCGAGCAAGTGGTGGTGGCCTCTGTGCAACAACGCAACTTGCCAACGAAGCTAGATACGAAAGTACTCCGGAAAGTCTCCGGAAGTACTTCCGGAAGTACGTGTGTGTGTATCTGATTACAAAAAGACTGAGGGTTTAGGAAGTACGTGCACTGTACGTGTACGTGTACGTGTAGTCGTGTACGTGTACAACGCGTTATGTGCGTGAGTCGTACGTGTAAAGTGCCTAAATTGCCAGTGTTTAGGAAACCCCTTGGATTCGGACGACCCCATTGGGTGTCCCGAGTTTTGTTTGACGCGTCTTTGTTCGACTTGGCACTGGCTTTTCCTGGGTTCTTTTGAAGGTAAAGTGAAATATCCTCCACGGTGAACAAGGGGGGTGCGGCGCGCGCGACCGCGTCCCAAGGATTTTCTTGAGCGGGTGCGGAAGCGGGTGCGGAAGTGGGTGCGGGTGGAGGAGCGGATTGCTCAACCTCCTCATTTTCATCTCCACCTTCGAAGCCACCAAAGATCTCAGAGTTGTCGGGGATACCCATACCCCCCTCTTGCTGCCTTTGGACTTCCTGATAATACGGTAGGTGCAGACCAAGAAGGGATAACCCCATTCGTCTGCGGATGTCGTTGATGGTCTCGATTGTTATTTTGTATGTAGCCAGGGACTCCTTGTGGGGGATCGAACCAGCCTTAATTCTTCGGAGGATCTTGTTCCTGTTTTCTTCAAACACATATTTAGGGTCTTGACGGTATTTCTCAATGTAGGCGTTTTGTTTTTTTGTTTTTTCTTGTTGCGCGCGGGTTTTAGCTCTCACCATACTGGGTATTTACAGTATATTTTTATTTAACGCCAAATCCTTAAGCCACTTAGGTTTTAAACATCTCTAAAAACTCGTCACTTGCATCCTTGGTCTTGAAGATCACGAGACAATCGAAGTGGACACGTCCAAGCTTCAGCGCCAGTCGGTTGCTAAAAGGGAAGGACGAGTGCTCCACAAAAGCGACGTAGTACTTGTCTTGATTGATTCGCCACTCCTGGGATGTTTCTTTTACTTTCATCGTTTCGGCTCGAATCCCATTAGCACATTCGGCGACGAGTTCGTCCATACTCGTCTTTGATTTCCAGAACTCTAGTGAGCCATTGCAACAAGTATCAAATTCTGATTTGTAGAGCGCAGCGTAGTTATGCTTCATGTTGGCTTTGAGTTTGCGCTTGATTTTGGATAACGCTTGGTCGCGTCCGCAGGAAGGAGAGTTGCTTACTTCGGGAGAAAACCTGACGATAGTATTTACTCTCACCATTATGGTACACTTTACGTGTACGTGTACGTGTAGTTGTACTGTACAAGCTAGAATATTCTGGAAGTATTTTCCGATGTACATATCCGTATTTCCAAAAAAATCAATGTCTCGCGCTGTAATCTCGGATTCGTAGCTTTTATGTACAAAATCTCGTGTATGCAAATCAGTCTCACTCAAAAAAAATATGTACACGGTTCATCGGCTTGTATTCTATGAACGAAGATAAAATATTACGGAAGTATGATACTTTCGTACGTACTTTCGTACTTTATTTCGAAAGTACTTTCGTACGAAAGTACGAAAGTACTTTCGTACGAAGGTACGTGTACACGTACAACTACTGTACTAATAATAATAAACATACAGTACAACTATTATCTATTTTCGGAAGTATGATACCAAGTACATGTACAGTACGTGTACGTACATGTACAACTACAATACATTGACTTTTATTCGGAAGTACGAAAGTACTACTCTATCTAACTATCTATCCAGTCTGTATCCAATGTACACGTACGGAAGACTTTATGGAAATATTACCTTGCTTACTGTACACGTGTACACGTGTACGAAGGTATGATAGGGCATTGACAAAGAAGACAAAGGTCTACGCAGACCAGAAAGCAGTTTTTCACCCGCATCTATATCGGCAGATCTGCCGATATAGACCCGATCAAAGCGATCGGGGATTTTCAAACCAAAACTTTGAAAGCGTATTTTCATCGCAGTAGCCGATCAAATGCTTAACGCGGTTGAAAACCCGCATTCTGCTCTGCGTAAGTGTAGGTAGATTTCGATAAATAAATATTTTTAATTGTATTCGTGACTGCTTCCCATACGCATCGTGCGCAATATATATTTCTGAGATAGGAATATTTTTCACGCGCGCTCGCGACGAAATGGAGCGCGGAAACGCGCAATCGCGGTGGCGGAATCGCTTTGTCATACTTCCGAAGTACGGAAGTATATTTCCGTACTTTCGTACATAGCTACATACATACTGAACGTACAACTATACTGTATGATACTTCTGGAAGTACTTTCGTACTAGCTATCATAGCTAGCTAGTGTACATTTATTTTATTATCCTGCCTTCGTACACGCGCGTTACGTGTACTGTGCGTATACGTACAACGTTGTACACGTACTGTAGCCGGGTATCGGATACACGTGCGGAAACAGTATCTTCGTTCGTAGATAGGGCTACGAGTACACGTGTACAACGTTCCCCACGTTGGAGCACTTCACCACGTTGTAGTGTACGTGTACTCGTGGTGAAGTGCGGCTGGCACGGACCGGCACTTTTCAGCTGCTGGAACCAACAAGTTTCTCTTTCATAAAATGACCTCGGATGTTGAAAGAGTCCGAGTCGCGCTAATGATGTCGGCGGGTGTGACCACCGCCGCTGTACTCGTGCTATCGAGCAAGACCGTGCGCGGAGCGATCGCGGGCACACTTAAGGTACTTCTGACGCGTGCCATCTTCTTCCTGCACCTTCCCTTCTCCAGCAAGGCGTTCCACACATTCAATTCAATTTATATGATCCCGCATGTTAATCGTCATATAGATGACTGGCATCCGCGACGTGCACGCAATTTAGCTCGAGGAACGCAAGACAACGAAGCAAATAACTGACGCCGTGTTTTTTTACCTTCTTGAATAGAGTGTCGCTTCAACTATTCAGCCCACAGAACTGATAGAGGCATTTGATAAGTCCGACACACCTGTGATTAACACGAAGATGACGAACATATCATCAGTACAGTCGCAGGCGAGTGAACCTTTGAATACTGGTATTCCGCATGATATTGCTCCTAAGAACATGACCACGACCGGTACTCTCGGGGTCCGTGGGGACGACCCTGATGAAGAACTTTCTGCACTTGAGAGGTTTTGCACAGATGTCACTGAAGAAGCTAAACAAGGTGTTCTTGATCCGCTCGTCGGCCGTGACGATGAGGTCCGTCGGCTCGTCCACATACTTTGTCGGCGAACGAAAAACAATCCGATCCTGCTAGGTCGACCAGGTGTCGGTAAGACCGCTATCGTTGAAGGCCTGGCGCAGCGAATCGTTGCCGGTGACGTTCCAACGTCTCTTCTCGGTGCACGTCTCCTTGAACTTGATCTCGGCGCTGTCGGCGCAGGATGTCAGATGCCAGGCGAGTTCGAAGAACGACTTTCTATCGTTGTGTCTGAGGTCGTTGAGGCTTCACAAAAGGGGGGGATAATTATGTTTATTGATGATATCCACAACCTGTGCCCCCCCCCCCCTGGGGGTAACAACGGAGCGGCTATACTGAAACCAGCACTTGGACGTGGATTATTGAAGTGTATTGGTGCGTCAACAGTCGAGAAGTTCAAGAAGTCGATAGAACAAGATGCTGCCCTTGAGCGTCGCTTTCAACAAGTCCCTGTCGCAGAACCTGACATCGCGCAAACTGTGTCTGTTCTCCGTGGACTGCGACCACGATATGAGACGCATCATTCTATCAAAATACACGAATCTGCAGTGGTTGCCGCTGCGAAGCTTGCCTCGCGCTATGTGCAAGGTCGTTGCCTTCCCGACAAAGCTATTGACCTTCTCGATGAAGCGGCAGCTGCTGTTCGCATGCAAAAGTCCCTCAAGCCTGAAGATCTCGATGTAGTTGATCGTAAAATGAGCCAGCTTTGTAAGGAACGCGATCAGATTAAAGCAAGACTCATTGAGGATATGCACAAGCATGGTTCAGGCGGCAAAATGGCAGCATCATGCTTGCATGAGCTAAATGAGGAGCTTGTCAGGGAACGCACCAAACAGCAGAAATTGCTCAGAGACTTGGAAAAGGAAAAAAAGGCAAGTCGTGAGTACAAACGAGCGACAGCGGAACTTTCTTTTAGCGAGCGCCGCCTAGTAAATGCTCACGAGAAGCAGCGTCAGGCTGCCGATAACGTGAAGAAGGTAACAGTGGCATTGCAGCGGGCCCAGGATACAGACAATCAGGCAGAAGTTTTAGAGGCAAAAGCTGCAGCTACTCGGGCTGAGCAAGATGCTAAGCTTGCTGACAAGGAGACACTTCACCTTTCGGAGATAATTGCCAGGGCCAAGGTGGAATGCACTAAAGCAGAAGAGGAGATCATGAGTATCAGCGAAGGAAATGGGCTCATGACGAAAGACGAGGTTACAGATGTTGACATCGCTACGGTTGTAAGCCGCTGGACTGGCGTCCCAGTAGCAAAGCTTGTTGCATCAGAGAAAGCCAAATTACTTCAATTAGACGCAGAGCTTCACCAGCGCGTCATAGGGCAGGATCATGCCGTGACCTCGGTCGCGGAGGCTGTCCAGCGATCTCGGGCTGACTTGTCTGATCCGAATGGTCCTGTGGCCTCTTTTATGTTCCTTGGTCCCACCGGCGTGGGCAAGACAGAACTTGCCAAGGCACTTGCCAACTATCTTTTCAATAGCGATAACGCACTTATCCGCCTGGATATGTCTGAGTACATGGAAAAACACTCTGTAGCCCGTCTCATTGGTGCCCCACCAGGTTACATCGGCTATGATGAGGGCGGTATGCTCACAGATGCTGTGCGTCAGAAGCCCTATTCAATAGTCTTGTTTGACGAGATTGAGAAGGCGCACGTAGATGTATTCAACGTTCTACTGCAACTGCTTGATGAGGGTCACGTGACAGATACCCAAGGCCGGACTGTGTCCTTCCGCAACTGTCTCATTATTATGACTTCAAACCTTGGCAGCGATGAAATAGCATTTGGTGATAGAGGCAGGCGTGGTCGCCGTGGACCCGGTGAGATGAAAGATAAAGTAATGGCTCACGTCCGCGCACATTTTCGCCCTGAATTCATTAATAGGCTTGACGAGTTCATCGTTTTTGAACCGCTTTCGCATTCGCAGATAATGGAAATAGTTCAGTTGCAGTGTAACAAGTTAGTGGAGCGTGTTGAAGGTCAGCGCATGAAACTGGATTTGCAACCAAGTGCGATTGATTACCTTGCACGCAAAGGATTTGATCCTACGTATGGCGCCCGTCCTGTCAAGCGCGCCATTCAGTCTGAACTCATACAGAACATGGCAAACAAATTATTGCGAGGTATTTTTCAAGAAGATGACACCATTGTTGTGTCTGCAGATAAAGATGGTCTTGCACTTACGACAGGACCAAAGATCGTGCGCGATGTGCCAGTGTTACTTGATGATGCAACCTACTAGATGGTAGACGAAACGTGATAACTGAAGAAGCACACACATTTTTCAGCTGGAATATTCGCTGATAGGTGGTATTGTATTTTTTGAAGTTTACGCAGAGAACTATAGAGCACAGAGAACTAAGCTCTTAAGACAAATTCTATTGTTCATATGAATGAAAGATCTACATATTTAGACCATGGAAATATATTTACCTTCGTAGTGCATCGCGTTTTTGCCAAGTATCCACAAAGCTAAGTACTTGCAGGCAAACCAGCCATAAAACAATGGATAGGTATTTCAGCCAGTTGCTGTACTTAGAATTCCGAAACAAATCCACTGAACCTTTCGAACTATTTAGGTTAATGAGCAGCTTGTTTCCAAGCAAATGATGTGGTTAACAAAAGCGCGCACTGTAAAACATGTGTTCTACAGGAACCACAATGTGAGCAGCCCCTAGAAGTACTAGTTCGCAAGGCGGAGAGAACGTTACTGAAACCACGTTCTCGTACGAGTAGTCTGAACCTAAACTTTTACCTTCACTTGTTCACTGGAATATTAACTGAAAGCAGTCCTCTCTGCTTTGCTTCTACCCATAGCTGTGGATTTAATCTCGAAGCAGATTCCAGCCAATGGACAGTCGCGTGTACTTCTTCTGCTGATTTCACACCTACAGCGACCTTCTCGACGATAGCTGGCAGCAGAGCAAACGCGATAGCAACAGCAGGTAGCGGAGCTCCAAAAGTATCTGCCAAATCACTCCAAAGCTCACGCCGTCTTATAATTTCGGGTGATGCAACGTCATACTTATATGTTGATCCCCCAACAAGGATTCCACTCGCAAAAATCCCGGCGACGTGGACCTTGATATCCCTACGCTGACACTCCAGCAAAACTTCAAACCCGTCCTGGTCCAGTAAGTTCCACGCACCAGCGAGCATAATAGAATCAAAAGTGCCTCTGGGCTTACCACGTATCATCCGCATCGTATAGGCTGGATCATTCATACCTAGGCTCACGTTTTTAATGACTCCACTTTCGCGTAAACGCAGCTAAGCGTAGGGTCCCGAAATTCTCAACGAAGAAATAAAAAATCTGCACTTGTGTGTTTCGCAACATAGCTGACGATTTGAAGAAGTTATCGTCCGCACCAGCTCATCAATAGCACCGCCGCTTGCCATGGCATGGATAAATGACGTCTCATCTTCAACATCATGCACTCTGAGCCCATGTACTGCTGCAGTCCCGAGTCGCCTGAGGCTGTCTTCGTGAGAGCAACTCACTCCTAAGCTGCTGTAGTCAAGCACAGGGACGACGCCAACAGGGGTATTCGGGAATATACAGCCAACATTTCCCTGTATGTTGCTATGCTCAATTCTAGGTCTGTCCTGGACTGCAACCTCGGCAACAGACTTAATAACGCGACCAACCTGTACTGAAAAGCATCTCACTATGGTATGAACGGATGTAAACGTTGCAAAAATGGTGAGCAGACGACACAACGAAAAGAAGGAATTGATGTGAAGAACAGACTATGTCAGTTATTCGTCACCTTACTCCATATTCGTATTGAACTGTGGGAACCGTACATTGCTACTGCTCGACCAAGTCGAGTTTCGGAAAGCCCGAGACCGTAATGCGGTGCAGTATCAAGATCCAAAAAACCGAGGTCGAGAGCAGTTCGGATGGTTTGATAGGCCTCATGTTCGGGTATGGTTCTATAGATTCCAGCTAGCGGTGAGCAACCGAGGATCAGATGGCGACTCACCTGAAATCTTTCGTTTCGTAGAGAAAGTTCATCCATAGCTCGAGAAGTTATGAAAATCTATCTGTAAATCTTGACAGACGTATACAACAGCATATATGACCCTGCGTCGCAACTTCGGATGACCTTTCGAGCAGAGTTTGTTTTATTTATAAGGATGACGCGTGTCGGCGTTCTAGCTCTTCGTTCGACGTACGGAAGTACTTCCGGAAATAAGATACTTCCGTTCGGGTCGATCAGCGCTTCCGGCGCTTCGGCCGTCGGTCGGTTGGGGGAAGTGCGGGTCGGGTGATGTCTTGATCGGGACACTGGTTTGAAACTCATAGGTCACGAACGGTGCCTCCGCGTCGTCGCCCGGCGTGCCGTCGAGGTTCGTCGGATAGAGTCGTCCCACGCCTCCCCGCTCGCGCGCCCGCGCGCGCCCGCGTGCGCCCGCGCGCGCCCGCGCGCGCCGCGCGCGCAATGGGCGCGTCGCCCAAGCGTGAAGAGGCACGACGCGTTGAGTTGCGAACCCACACTCGAAACAACGACTCCGGTGAAACACGCGAGATCTGAAAGCGCGCGCCCGATCAAAGTTAGGGCGGCTTTTATGAAAGCCTGTTGGCAGGCCGATTTACCTCTATCGGTATACTGTACAACGTTGTAGTCTATTTAGTCTAATAAACAACTTAGGCTATGATAATATCCTTGTCTAAAATAACTTACATATCCTACTACGAAGGTACTTTCGTACGAAGGTAGCTACGAAGGTAAGGTAGCTAGCTAGTCTAGCTAGCTAGCTACCTTGTAGCTACCTTCGAAGGTACCTTCGGGAGTCCTTCGGGTAGCTAGCTAGCTAGCTACCCGAAGGAGCTAGCTAGCTAGCTAGTCTAGCTACGAGAGACTACACGTACTATAAAAATATTTATGTCTGACACTACACGTACACACGCGTTGGCTACAAGTGTGAGTGTAAAATATGGCTAGTGTGTATCTATCTATGGCTATTTCAGTGCTATTACCATGATAGACTATGATAGTCTACGACGCTACACGTAGCACTCACGCAGTAACAATGGGCTTGTATCATAGTCTAGAGCTCTAGACTATGAAGGTACGGAAGTACGAAAGTACCTCCGAAGGTACGGAAGTACGGAAGTACGAAAGTACAAAGTACGAAAGTACCTCCGAAGGTACACGTGTACTTCCGTACGTGTACACGCACGCTTATTATTGTGGTGTCAAGTAGCGTAAAGTGGCGTTAAAAGCCCCATAACTCGATATTAATTTAAATGCTGTATTATGATTGGCACACGTACTTCATGGCCCTACGAAGGAATGATATCAGCGTTTGCAAAACTGTATTCGCCATAAAGATAACAACTTACACTACACGTACACGTACGTGTACGTGTACGGAAATAATATGTTGTTTATCGTTAGCCCTCAACGTACGTGTACAGTACGTGTACGTGTACATCTGTAAAACGTTCTAGCCATAAAAAATACGGAAGTGCTTTCGGAAGTACAACGTACACGACTGCACGTACAACGTTGTACCTTCGAAGGTACTTCCGTACCTTCGAACTTCCGGAAGTACTTCGCAAATAGGGCCAGATACTTCCGTACGTGTACGTTGTCCTTCCGAAGTACGAAAGTACGAAAGTACTTCCGTACTTCCGTACGAAGGTACAACGAACGTACTACCGTACTTCCGTACTACGTGTACTGTAAGGAATATGATTATCTCAATGCGCACAACGTGTACAACGTTGTACCTTCGTACAACGTACCTTCGAAGGATTGTGATATTTAGTATGGCTAATACATGTAGTGTGTTGCTGTGTACGTGCACGTGTACAACGTTGTACTTCCGGAAATAGATTTACTTCCGGAAGTATCATAAGTTTTTTTACTTAACAACTTTTTATGTTGTACGGAAGTACGAAAGTACGAAAGTACTTCCGTACCTTCGTACACCTCCCAGTACTACTTTCAGTGACAACTTACGTACAACGTACGCCAAACAAAAAAATTGCCTATTCCGTGTACACGTACAGCTGTATTGTACGTAGCTATGTACTGTACAGTAGCACAGGCCTCCGAAGTATTCCCTGACTGGTGATTGGCTGCCAATCTGCAAATTAGCGACAACTGGCATGTCGGGAACCCTAGTTCAGTCGCTTCGAAAGCGTCACTCTCTCCTGCACTCCTCACTCACAGATTGTAAAATACTATGGCCGCTTTCGCCACTTGCACTCCGTCTCTGAAGGTAAGCATGCACTGTTCATTCAAAGTCTGTTGATTCGGCTCGTCCGCTTCGCGTTCCATTTTCGCGAACTGCAGCTTTCGCGATCGGGAAAATCCCTATCCGTTTCACCAGTCCGTCAAACCTGGCCTTACACAAACGAGTGGTGCACATGTTCTGCGAAAAGAACACGGCGACGTTCGAGATATATTCGCCTGTACCTCATTTGATTCGACTGCTAACAGGTTGATTTTCGCGGCTCAACCACTGGCTTCACGCGTGGCAAATCCGTCAAGGTACGGCGTTTATCCTTTCCAGTTTGTGCCCTTGGACACTGCTCGATTGGCAAGAGAGCTCCGAAATGAATACTTACAAGTATGTTATCTGATATAAGTCGTTTTGTAGGCGGTTGTTGTTACCACTGTCACTGAGGCCAAAGTAAAGGTTGCCATCAACGGTTTCGGACGGATCGGTGCGGTCACCAGACTACGAACACTTGAACTCAATTCTTTCTTGGTGACGTTGCCCTGTTCGTCTCACGATAATGTGATTTAGAAGATGTCTAATGCATTGTTACGAATACTGAAATGGTGTAAATTCCTTCTTTACCTGAAACAGGACGCAACTTTGTCCGATGCTGGATGTCTCGTGGTGCGGACTCTCCTCTTGAGGTGGTGTGCGTGAACCAGTCTGGCGGCGCGAAGCCTGCTGCGCACCTTCTTAAGTACGACTCTATTCTTGGCACCTTTGATGCCGACGTGAAGGTTGTTGATGATGAGACCATTTCCGTCAATGGAAATATTATCAAGGTTGTGTCTGACCGTGACCCCCTCAACCTTCCGTGGAAAGAGATGGGCATCGACATTGTCATCGAAGGCACTGGTGTGTTTCTTGACGGACCTGGTGCTGGCAAACATATTCAGGCTGGTGCCAAGAAGGTTGTCATCACCGCTCCAGCAAAGGGCAATGATATTCCGACATATGTTGTTGGAGTCAATGCGGACACGTATGACCCCTCTGCGAACATCGTTTCTAACGCCTCCTGCACAACAAACTGCCTTGCGCCCTTCGCTAAGGTACTTGATGACAAATTTGGCATTGTCAAGGGCACGATGACCACTTGCCACTCTTACACCGGGGATCAGCGCATCCTGGACGCATCACACCGCGACCTTCGACGCGCCCGCGCTGCTGCCCTCAATATCGTACCCACATCCACTGGTGCGGCGAAGGCGGTTGCTCTTGTGCTCCCTCAACTCAAGGGCAAGCTCAATGGTATTGCGCTCCGTGTCCCCACCCCGAACGTTTCTATTGTTGACCTTGTCGTCAATGTTGAGAAGAAAGGAGTGACAGCCGAGGAGGTGAATGCTGCTTTTAAGGAGGCCTCTGAAGGTCCCATGAAGGGCATTCTTGCTATCACTGAGACTCCTCTCGTCTCAGTTGACTTCCGGTGCTCTGATGTGTCTACCACTATTGACGCGGCGCTCACTATGGTGATGGGCGACGACATGGTCAAGGTGGTCGCGTGGTATGATAACGAGTGGGGCTACACCCAGCGCGTGGTTGACCTCACCCACATTGTTGCTGCCGGTCTCATCGAGGGAGGCGAAGTCACTGTTGGTGATCCAATGGATGCTTTCTGCGCTGACGACCCCTCTGCTGAGGAGTGCAAAGTTTTCGATTAAGTCCTGCACTACATGGGCGTGTGAAGTTGAGGAGCCAGAGAGCAAGGCCATGTACTAAATGAAATGCTGTGTGCCCAAGCAACCTAGCTTCACGGCAACTTTTTACAACTTTTGAATCCACAAGCACAATCTACAGCACCTATTCTTGTGAAACGCCTGACCATCTTATGAATGAGGAGCGTGCACAAAGCCCTCCAAAGAAATCCTTTTGGGGAGGGATCAGGCTATCTCCACCTGCCTCATGGTGAATACCAAAGTTTTCACTCTGTGCCTGACACAATATGGTCGGAAATCTTCCACTCATAAAAATATTTCTCAAAAATATTCCTTGCACTCGCCTCGCGAAGCCAATTTGCAGCCCAATACATCGCCTTTTAGCCGATGTGAATTGCCGAAGGGCTGATACCGCAAGGGCTTTCCTCGTGAAACTCTGTCGCCACCACTTCAATATATTTTGAAAGCTCCTTCTATACTATGTTATGTTCATTTTCCAGGCAACTAGTGATTCGACTGATACAACATGCTCCACTCAGAGGGTACTGACTTACAGAGATCAAGTCATCAATGTAAATAGAGTCTATCGACCCGTGGCTCATAGCCCCTAACGTAAACACAACTGGCACTTTTTCTGGCAAAGTTTTAACGTATTGTCTAAGGTCACTGACATATGGAGCGCTGAAAGAGAGCCCCACTCTCTTAGCACCAGCAGGAAAGTATTGGTAAACCGGCGATTTGACCACCTTGATTAACTTCTCAGGGCCATTCGTTGTGCGTATGGAGAGTTTCTGGAGGAGCTGAACCATGAGTCCACAAAATCGCTTAAAAGTACGCGGGATGCGGGTGTTCGGGCTGACCTTGAAAAGTACTTTATTGTTCGTGTGGACGTATACTTCATTTATATGACCGGCCTTGTTAAGGGGACTATCAAGGATCGCGAGAAGCTCCTGGTGGACAATATCAGGGCGATAGCTCGCCGGATCCCTACCGTTGCGGCGAAGAAAGTTTGCGTGGTCGTCACAGTTGAGTAGTTGGTATCCTTTTCCTATCTTTGCTGTTTCCAGAGAAGCCTTCTCAAGGACGAATACGAACCTTCCTTCAGCTGCGGAGTTGTCGACATCAGCTATCGGCGGATTCATCGTAGCAACGATCTTTTGTTATTCGGGGGAGACCTTGTAGTGTGTGTGTGTTATTTCAAGTCTCCGTGACGTGCAGCCCTAGAAATCTGCTAGTGTGTTTTCACTACGTGTACAAGACATGTTTTCTCGAAGTATTTGTTGCCTTCGTGTCTGCTGACTGCGCCGCGAAGGTACTGTACGAAAGTACAATGTACTTTCGTACGAAAGTACTTTCGTACGAAAGTACGAAAGTACAAATGTAGTACGGAAATAGATACTTCCATATGAAGGTAATAAGTTGCTTACGAAGGTACCTTCGAAGATAGATATCTATACTTTCGTACTTTCGTACGAAGGTACGAAAGTGTCCATACTTTCGTACGAAAGTACTTTCGAAAGTACTTTCGTATCATACTTCCGGAAGTACTTCCGTACTACCGTACCTTCGTAGATAGTTGTACTACAACTTAGACTACAACGTTAGTTGTGTCAACGAAGGGCATATGATATACTTTCGTTCCGGAAGTACGAAGGTAATAAGTTGTCTATTGTACACGTACGTGTACGTGTACACGTGTACGTGTACAGTACCTCCGGATATTTCCGGAAATACTTTCGAAAGTACGAAAGTACGAAGGTACCTTCGAAGGTACTTTCGTACTTTCGTACAAGATATCATACTTCCGGAAGTACACGTACAGTGTAGTGTACTGTACAGTACACGTACGTGTAGCCTAGCTAGCTAGCCCTAGATGTATTAAATTAGTAGCCCTTGATTGTAGATAGCTAGCTAGGGCTAGATAGCTAGCTAGTAGTACTTTCGTACGAAGGTATTCAGGTATCCACTACCTTCGAAGGTAGTGGCTAATATCAGCGAGAGGATATGAGCTTAGAGAGGATATTAAGAGGATGGCGTATGAGCAAAAAGTCAGAGCATAGTACGTTTTAAGGTACTGTAGTCCTCTACGTAATTCGAAAAAAACCAGCAAAAAAACGTACTCGTGTCAAAAACCAGGTACAAAAGTGTACGCGCGAACACCCGCGCGCGAAACCTATCTTCTCCGCGCGCGATGCACGTCTGCGCGCGAAACTTTGCGTGATGACAGTTCTAGGGCATGCGCACAATGTCAAGCCGGGGTTTTTCGAATTTCGCGCGAGTCGCGAAGAAATCGCAGAACTTGCCCGAAATCGCGATTCGCGACGATCGCGTACCCCTCTCGCGGCAGAGAGCATGAACGCGAAATCCCCGGCTTGGCAAGTTCGGCATTGAAGCCCGGAACGCGATGGTGCACAAGAAAATCCGTTTAGATCTCATTCGAGGAAGGAAATAGGTTTCGCGTCGAGGATCAGCTCTTTAAGAATTTGCTTCATCGTGCCACAACGCCTGGACGGGCTGTAATATGATAGATACATCCGTACTTCCGTATCAAGGTACATTACGTGTACTTCCGTCCGTATCTATTTCCGTACCTGTACGTTGTAGTTGTACACGTACGTGTACAGTAGGCCCTCCATAACGACGTGCTTCGGGAAGTACGGAATTAGTACGTGTACGGCATAGGGCTACAGTAGCCCTAGCTAGTGGCTATCAGCGAAAGGATATGAGCTTTTTATAGAAGATAAAAGGATGAGCGTACGTGTACGTGTACTGTATGACAAAATTGTCAGAGCGTAGTACGTTTTTAAAAGGACGAGCTCATCCTTTTAACTGCCGCGCCGCGCGAGGACAGTCAGAGAGGCGCGCGCCGCGGTTGCGGCCGGAGCGTCAAAGCAAATATCGGCTAGACAGTGTAACCGATCTGTCCGGCGGCGAGTTTTATACACCTGGGGCGCTGAATCAGGCTGTACCGGCGCACAGATCCGTCGTTTGCAAAACAGACTCGGCGTTACGAAACATTTGCCGTCTCCTGAGCTCGCGCACGCGACCCCGGAACTTCGTAAAGACAGTTCCAAACGTGATAAAACTTCATGAGTATATCCCATGAACACATGCGCACTTATTCAAATATCGCACAGCGTAAAAAAAACACGATCGCTTGCGTCGGCAGTCGAACTCCGCGGGTCGAGGCTGTAGCTGCGAAAAAAAAATGCTCTTTTACAAATCGACACGATCGCGCCAGTCTATGCTTTGCTCATGCGATTCAGACACGAACGCGATCGATCCGCGCGCCTCGAGGGTGATGTCATCTAACATGCCGTGCAGTTACAGAGCCAAAAACGGCGTCTGCGCGATGTTATAGCACACCGCGCGCTCATCCTCTTAATATCCTCTCTAAGCTACTTTCGAAAGTACGAAAGTACCTTCGAAGGTAGTTCTAAGCTCATATCCTCTCGCTGATAGCCACTATCCTATCTAGTGTACGTGTACACTGTACAGTATCTATGTTGTACACGTATACGTGTACATTACGCGTACTTGTAGTCTATGTATCATATGGACTCATCAGTTGTATTCTTTTTTGTATGACATGATATCATAGCCCTACGTGTACGTTGTAGTCTATGGATAGGAGATCTAGCTAGGTGATAGGATCCTCTAGCTAGCTAGCTAGGTAACATAAATAGAATAATAATATTATTAATAATAATAAAATATGATAACAATAAAGGGCTATTATAATATAGAAGTAGTATGGATTCCGTAATCCGTGCGATAATATCTACTGTACGTTGTACATGTATCATAGTTATCTACAGTACGGGGCATGAATCATTTTATTTATTATGCTAGGGCTGAATAACTTCGTTGTACGTGTACTGTACGTGTACGTGTACATGCTTGCTTGACTCATAAAATAATACGAAGGTAATAGTGTACGGACGGATGTACTTTCGTACTTCCGGAAGTATTGAAGTACATACGTGTAGAGTATGCACGGAAGTACTTTCGAGAGTAATAACAACTTACTTTCGTACTTCCATAAAGTACTTCCGTGTTTCGTTCCGTCCGTAACCGGTGTACACGTACAACGCGTTACGCTTGTATGTGCAATAACGTGTGGGTTCAGCGACTCACACTGGTCTACAGTACACGTACACCTCGGAACATTTCTTCGAGTTTATCGATCCGTGCGCGTCCCGCGAACGCAGTCGTTTCCGGATAAGCGATGTTAATCGAGAACTTCTCGGTCAAATCGCCGCACGTCACGTACTCGACGAATTTTATAGAGTCTTCTTACACGTGTGCAACTCCAACACTGCTAATCTTTGTTTGAGTCTGCGATTTTTCCGTTTTCGATGTCAAATAGAGGTCCTAGTGACTTCGTTGGACGATCACCACTACCGCAACTTCTCGCAAAGTCTGTTCGCTTCTTGTCACTCTTGTTTCTGTACAGGTACCATGACACGAAGTTGACCTCAGAAGATCTAGGAGCTGGAAAATCTGCTTGGACTGTAGAACCTATCGAAACAAGGTTTCACTTCAAGGTGAACCGCCATGCTCCGAAACTAGGGTGCGTTACGTGCTGTGATCATCGGTATCTTCTTGGATAATCGTCTGAATGGAGAACAAAATAGTAACCCTTTCCTGACACGCACTTGCTGCACAACAGGATCATGCTTGTAGGTTTAGGCGGCAATAACGGAAGTACATTGACCGCTGGAGTCATTGCCAACCGCGAAGGCATCACCTGGAAAACCAAGGAAGGCGTAAGAGTTCCGAACTATTGGGGCTCTCTCACACAGGCAAGTACTTGTCGTGTCGGTGCTATCAACGGACAAGAGGCCTATGTTCCATTTAAGTCTCTTCTTCCCATGGCAGAACCCAACACCATTGTTTTCGACGGTTGGGACATAAGTGATATGAATCTCGCGGACGCCATGGAACGCGCAGCTGTTCTAGACTGGGATCTGCAGAGACAGTTGACTCCTCATATGAAAAAAATCGTTCCGCGCCCAGGAATTTTCGATCCCAAATTTATTGCTGCCAATCAGGAAATACGTGCAAACAACTGTATCAAGGGCACAAAGCAAGAACAGATGGATCAAATTCGGCACGATATTAATGATTTCAAGACAACGAGTGGAGTGGATAAGGTTGTTGTATTATGGACTGCCAACACCGAGCGGTATTCTGAGCTTGTTGTTGGACTCAACGACACGGAAGAGAATTTGCGTCACTCGATTAAGAACGGTGAGCTTGAAGTCTCGCCCTCGACGCTGATGGCGCTAGCTTGCATAGACGAGGGTGTTCCTTTCATCAACGGATCGCCGCAAAACACCTTTGTGCCTGGTGTAGTAGAAGCTGCGGTTCGTCTGAAAAGCCTTATTGGCGGCGACGATTTCAAGTCAGGGCAGACGAAGATGAAGTCTGTGCTAGTTGACTTTCTAGTTGGTGCCGGAATCAAGCCCACATCTATCGTCTCCTACAACCACCTCGGCAACAACGATGGGATGAATTTATCGGCACCCCAGACATTTCGATCGAAGGAAATCTCGAAATCAAATGTTGTTGATGATATGGTGAGCTCTAATAGTATATTGTACAAGCCTGGGGAGCGTCCAGATCACGTTGTGGTTATCAAGTATGTTCCAAACGTTGGAGACAGCAAGCGTGCAATGGATGAATACACCTCTGAGATATTTATGGGCGGGCGCAACACCATTGTGATACACAATACGTGCGAGGATTCTTTATTGGCAGCACCACTCATTCTGGATATGTGCCTGATCGCAGAGCTTTCCACGCGTATTGAGGTGAAATCTGATGGAGAAGAATACCGTAGTCTGCATCCAATTTCGGTACTACTTTCGTATCTCACAAAGGCACCACTCGTGCCAAGTGGTACCCCAGTGGTGAACGCACTCGCCAAGCAGCGAGCCATGCTGGAGAATATATTTCGTGCTTGCATCGGACTCGCACCAGAAAACAATATGCTCTTGGAGCACAAGTGAGAGCCACCTGTTTCCATGGTCCTACGTAGGCGACCAAGATCTATGCATAACTATGGACAATGGGAAACAGTCCAGTTCAGCCGCACATACTACAGGTATATCCCCTCTTGGTCGACTATGCGTGTCTTGCACGGCTTCGTATCTAATAAGAACATACCAAGTAGAAAGCTCTGTGTCATGTAATGTAAGTAATTTTCGTGCTCCTTTTATGAATAACACGTGTACACGTATACCTTCGTACTGAGCTGTACATGTGAGGTACCTTCGTAGCCCTACAAGTAATGTTTGTTTATATTACGAAGGTACCTTCGAAGGTAGATCGTTGTACATTGCATGTACTTCCAGTCGGCACCAAGCTCCATAGCACCCAACCCACCACAAGGATCCCAGCCAGAAGAACAACGTTGTACTTCCGGAAGTCTATTTCCCGCCGGAAATAGATACAGTACACGTAGTTATTTTATTAAAACTGGTATGGACGGGACTTGTACCCTCGAAGATAGATACACACTGTACACGTACAGTATGAATAAGTAAGGAAAATACTGTAGGGCCTATTAAAAATAAGTTGCGAATTGTTTACGAAGGTAAATTTTATTATTATAAATGTATGTACGTGCGTGAATATGTGTATTACTTTTTATTATTATTATTATTATTATTATTATTATTATTATTATTATTATTAATATTAATATTATTATTATTATTATTATTATTATTATTATTATTATTATTATTAAATTATGAGTTGTTATGATATTATCGTATTCATATCACACACTTTCGACTCTCTCACGCATGCTTCGTATATAAATATGTAAAATTGGCTACGAAGGTATCACTTATGTAGCCCAGCCAGTCGTAGCCCTACATAATACGGAGGTACTACGTATGATACAGAAGTACACACGCTATTAGATACGTACAGACTTCGAAGGTAAGTTGATGCTACCGTCCGGAACGAAGTACGGAAGTACGGAAGTACTTCCGGAAATAGATACTTTCGTACTTCCGTACAACTACAACGTGTACACGTACTTCCGTACAAAATATCATTTATCTACAATAATGTTTACGTTGTTATTTTTCGAAAGTACGAAAGTACGTGGCTACGTACTACCTTCTTCGTACATAGCTACTTAGCTAGTGTGTAATATCATAGTCGTGTAACTGTCGTGTACACGTACACGAGTCGTACACGTACATACTACATACCTTCAGAAGATATTTAAACTATCTATCTCTACGTGTACGTTGTACTGTAGATAGATAGATGAGTGATAGATGTATGTCTATCTCTATCTCTATCTCTACAACGTTCGTTGTACGTTGTAGTGCTAGAATACCTTCGTACTAATGTACACGTACTGTAGGAAATCCAATGCGAGAAGGGACCTGGGGACGGGTAACTGAAAACGTTTTCACACTGCCCGAAAAAAAATGCATCTCCGAACGCGACCTCGCTGCCAGAACTGCCCACTGGAAACGCGACAGAACGGATCCAGCCTCTGACTAAAGAGCTAAGGAATGACGTGACCGAAACGTGACTCTTTGTCCATGCGTAGCCTGGAGAGGGGCCCAAATTCCAATACAAGCTATTTGGGGCAAAAAAAAATTACACAGCAATTCTTTTGGTTCGTTCCTGCGAAGTGTAGGATGCCGGCTACTGGCTGGAGGGTGACTTCTTATTCGTGAAGGAAGGAGAGGGCGAATATGATGTGCGTGGGTACGACGAGAACGAAGGCGTCGTGGAGGAACTCAATTTGGGCGTCGCGATCGTGTAGTTTATCACTCGTGCGACGGACGATAGTGAGCAGATTTCTAGGGCTGCACTTCACGGAAACATATATATTAATAATTAACACACACACAGGTAGCCCACACACAGGTAGCCCTCAACAGTTGTCGCGCTCGGGACAAAAGACGAGCTCGCAGCACGAGTGCTCGCTAATTTCGTCGCGACGCGCATTTCTAAGGCGCACGATGTCAGTCGTGATATCCCGCGCGTCCATCGTGCTTCCCTGCGCGCACGTCCACGCTACAGGTGCGGCGGTTTGTCCTACTCAGCATCGTTGTTCTCCCGAACGAATTGTCGGTGTTCGGCGCCGAGTCACGCGCTCTCGTGTGTACGCGCTCGCAGACCAAGACAGCCACAACGATAGCTCAGATGCGGTTGAGATCAGAGGCGATTGGAGGGCGTTCCGGTGCGTCTTGGACCGACACCATCCCCCCACCACTCCGGGGCGGGTAAACAGTTTACTTCAGACGACTGACCAAGCCACGTGCTTCCCCTCGTTCCCGAATCGCACGCGCGCAGAGCGTCTCTCGTAAAACAAGAACGTGATCCCGAAATCTCGAATGAGCTGGCACATCCCCAATATAATCACGTCGTCTTGACCGTCCAAGATGCGAAAGCGTCTGAAGGAGAGTCAGCGTCAGGCACTGTGGGCGGTTGGGCGCACGCGCTACAGACCCCGGAGACCGGCTGCCTCCTCGTCGCGCATGAGAAAACGTCAGACTGGTGGAAACACACTGTCGTTCTAGTATTGCACCACGATGATGAGAAAGGCTCGATAGGGATAATTTTAAACCGCCACACGAGCCGACCGCTGTCTGTCATTGTCCCGGAGCTAGACTGCGAGCAGAATGCAGTGCTGTTGGCCTGCAAGGTTGGCATCGGCGGTCCCATGGGGACGGAACGGAACGCGCGCTGCCTCGTCGCACTAAGCAGAATATATATCCCAGGTGTTACCACAGAGGTCGTTCCCGGGTTGTGGCACGTCAGCAACTTCGAGGCTGTGAAGGAGACGCACGCCGCATCACTTCTCCTTTTCGTGGGGTACTGCGGGTGGACGCCAGGGCAGCTCAAGAATGAAGTGGATGCAGGGGCGTGGTATCTCGGCGTCGCGAGCGCGGATACCACGCTGAATCTCGCTTCGTCGCGGATAAGAGGAGTTGCGGAGCCGGGAACGGACGCAGCGGCGGTCCTGTTGGACGGCGCAAGCAGTACCGCCTCGTCGCTGCATGATTTGTCCGACAACAACTTGTCGCTGCCAGGGAGCGATCTTATGGGTGAGGCAGCATGGGAGACGGTGAAGTGCATGATCACTTGAGCAACGCTCGTAGGTTCGTGACAAACGAACATATCTCCCATCGCCCATTCCTTTGCGTACATTGAGGTTCGAACAAGATAATCATACAAATTTGGTAGTTTTGGTTAGTTACCATAAAACTAGCCCAGCCTGCTGCCGCCGTCACCTCAACTACAAAACTCAAGGAAACAAGTAACTATCTGCTCAAAATTCTACCACAAAGCACTCGCTTACTTCTTAGGTGAAACTTGGTGTCCAATAACAATCCTGTTACCATAGGGACGACCAAAGGCAAAAGAAGCGGCAGGTATACCGCTATTTTGTACACAGGAGGAAAGTACAGAGTGGAGAAGTTCTCCCTGTGAAAATGTAAATTTGTTGCAGTTTCAGAAAAATGCCTCGCAGCCAATGCTGTAACCTCCATGCGCGGCTGATAGATATCGACATGCATTGTTTCGGCTGCTTCAACAGTAGTAACGGCATAATTCGCTGCTGAACTCCTCAGCGACATAACCGCAGATGATGCACACGACAAATTCTTCAGAAGTTCCGAAAACAACCACTCATCCTTCTCAGAAAAAATGTGTTGAGAAAATGTGGCGCCAGCCTTCCGCGACTTGAACCGCGAAAAAGTGGGCGAACAAGAGCGGATAACGGTGGGCCCCACAATAAAACCGTCAATCGAAGTTGACATGCACAGCGATATATGGCAATGGCCTGAGGTGAAGGGCCAGATGTTATTGATTTCGCCGGTTGTTATCAAAAACGTCTCTTTTAACGTTGTCACGGTCTTTGACAGGGAAGTGATGCAAAAAATACTGTTCGGGACAACCAAAAGGAGATATGAATAAATATTAGTCGCGTTATGGTGCAGAATTGATCTGCATTTCATAAAGTCACCCAAATCATAGGTAGGGGCGTCAGCAAAACGAATATCTTTACCAAAGGCATCATGCGGGGCGCAAGCTCCACTGCACATGCGTGATATGCAAGAGCTTAACAGTCCCAAGTCCACCGACATATCTGCGTCCGTGTTTATGAATTCCGTCGACCACGCTGCTCCGAGACCTTCTCCGTCATCCTCCTGAACGCTTAACGAGGCTGCGTTGACTTGATTGAGCCATTCCAGCGAGCATGTCCTAACATCACTACCTAATTCAGTTTGGAACTTGGCACTCGTCATTTCCCGCGTCAGCGGCGTAATCACCCACGCGGGCGTGCCGAGGCATATCGTGAGAACGATCGTAGATGTACTCATTTTGAGACGTTTGCTCCCGGTTGGCCGACGAAGTCGCATAACAAACCTCGGGCTACATGTGAGCCAATCCCGTTCTGCGTCGGGTGAGAAGCTCATCATAAAGGAAAAAAAACGCGTAGTCATTTCAAGCAAGGAATTAACGTCCTTTAAAAGGTTTAGTGAAAGCACGATAACGAGTGTTGCGGAAACGAAATACTCGCTGTACATAGGGGTTCGTGGAAGTTGTAATAGTAAGGTTGGGCCACTGAGAGGAGCGCCCGAGCGTTGTCTCTCGGACACTTGACGATCCGATTAACGGCCATTGTCAGGGCGCAACCGCACATGACTGGCCGTATTTACCTCCATGGAGCCGAGGGAGCCTCTGGACGAAAGCGCGTTCATTCAGTACAATGTAGCCCTGCATACGTGTACACGTACAGTACACGTAAGTGTACAATTAGCTTTATTGTAGCCCTACAACGCAAGTACCTTGAGTATTAAACGTTGTACACGTACATGTACACTGTAGCCCATGTATAAACGACGTTGACATGGCCGTTCGCAGGGTCGCCTGACACTTGGAAGAGAAAGCCTGGCGCATGCGCGGTCTGGCGAAATTAAACGCTTAGGCCACCAGAACCGGGGAAATCTTCGATTTTAACGGCATTGTGGAGCGTTGCCGATACACGTTACTTCTGCGTCACTTGCAAATCACAAGGTTTCGAGGATGGCAACTATAGTTGGAGTTGGTGTCGGCGTGTTTGTGTTAACGATTTTGATGTACGTCTCTGTGACTCAAGTCCTATTTCTCATTGCTGATAATTTTGCTTCTTATAACGCATCACTGAGGTCCACCATTCACAGGATGATTTCCATTCTCGCTTGTTATCTCGGAGGTGGAAGCCGGTATTCCAAGTAAGAACGTTAGGACTTCAAACGACCTCAACTTCTCTCGCAACTAATCTTCGATGTTCTTCAGTCAAATTTCATTTGGCACGACCACACTCTTTTTGCTCGTTGCCGTGATTTTACTGGTTTCACCACGCGGGGAAAGTAATAAGAGTGTCATCGAAACAGAAATCGAAGTGAGCTACATTTCTCGAGCATATTGCCAACTTGAATTTTGAAAGTTTTAGCTTCTCTCCTGACATCTATTTTATGTACTTGTCAGGGTTATGATGACACAGTGACCCATCGTGCACTGATGTTGGCATCAATGTTGATGGCTATGTTTGTTGCTGGAGGAGGCATTGTTTTTTCTCATCTTTCATCGCCTGTGTTTTCAAAGCCCGTTGACCATCAGATCGATGTCTTGAGCCTCGAAAAAAAGGGAGGTTCCGCTGATATCCGCTGATAGGAATCTTAATATAAGCACATTTTTTTGTGATCAGCTGTCAGCATGGATTTGTGATGAGCTTTGTAGTATCTCATAGTGTATTGAATCACGTCAAATCGATTTTGCTTACAATACTATCATCGTCTTGCTTCGCATGCACTTTACCAACTTTCACAAACAAGCATTTATGAGTCAGCTCTAAAATTTACTAGGACTTCACTTGCAGGTCTCATTTATCTATCCCCTTTATTCTGAGTATCCTCCGCTTCTTTCTCTTTGCCTTCACTTGCATGCAGATTAGCCTGCCTATGATCATTTTTAAATTCTGCTTCATTAACGCATGCATCTTGGACACTATCATCGTGAAATGTGTCCTCCACTGAAAGCGCGAAAGCTTGCTGGAGAAGAACACTGTCGCTTAACACCGAGTCTGCACCAATGCTCGATGGGGAAATAGTTCTTTCTTCCTCATCAGAAATAATTGTGGCTGTCAAGACTTTCGTGTCTGTGGGTGGAGCATTCACGTCTGTAGCAGTTTGTGCTTGTGCTTCTTGTCGTGCACGCTCCTCTTCAAGCGATACACGCAGTGCCATAAGAAGTGCTGGATCATCTTCCCCATTGACACCAGCAGTGCTGTTGAAGCCCTGTAGAGCAACTTGACCTGCGGCTGCTGCTGCTGCTGCTGCAAATCCGCTTCCATGATTGCAAGAATCTTCATCCAGAAAGATGGGTGTGTTGAGGAGTACATCGGCAAGAATCTCCCCTGGAGGAACTGTTACCAGGTTGCTGTTCCCATTTTTACTCACAGCTTCAATAAAGGCACTGAGTTTCTCAGCATTCTTTTGCACATCACCGAAGCTGACAACGTCAACAGCTACATTACACTTTTTCAACTTTTTCCCAACTGCGATGAGCTCACCGTGTTCGGTATTAATCGGACTGCCAATGAAAAGAACGATGCGCATGCGCTGATGCTTGTTCTGGCGGTGCTTCAATGCAAGATGTGCCACCTTCAAATAACAAGTAAAATAAAAGTTCGTCAGCTACGTCGTTCGCAGGAAGTGCAAAAAATTTCACAGTGCCTAGGGATGAACGAATAAGATGATCAGTTAACGAATACCTGTATTCCTGTGGAGAAGTTGACTGCACCCTCCGTTGATATGCCATGGACTGAATTAAGCACTTGCCCGAGGTCATCAGTTGGAGTCACAAGAACTTTTGGTACACTCCCAGCCAGGCTGAGTACACCGACACTGTTCTCTGGATTAGATTGCGTTTTAGCACCCGCTAAAAGATTGATAGCATCAGCTTCTGCCTGCATAACGCCGGCTGATTAGGCAAGAATGAGGGAGCGTTGAACGACAACGTTGCCACGTTGACAAATAACTTGGGGAAACGTTCGGAGCACTTACTTGTAAACGTGTTGGCAGATAGTCGGAATTCCGAACATGATCACTATTATCGATGCATATGATGGTGGCCTCGAGCACCATGTCGTTCAGCCCAAAGAATGTATACGAGCTAAACGGGTGAAATAAAAAATAGGCTATGAAAAGGCCAGTTCTTTTCGGGCTTTTTCCGAGTACAACGTACAACGTACTGTACACGTACATACGTGAAGGTACGTCCTACGAAGATAATATCTGTTCAGTATAAATACCTGTTCAGTATAAATAAGTTATCTTATTTATGTACAGTACCGTTATTGTAGTACGAAGGTAATAAGTTGTTACCTTCGTACTTTCGTACAACTTATCAGGTACTTTCGTACTTTCGTACTTTCGTACTTTCGAAAGTACGTGTACTTTCGTACGTACAGTACACGTACAGTAAGTTAATAAAACTTTAACTTCGTTCGTAATATGCATGATATCTTCGTATGATATTATTTTTACGCACGTACTACTAACTACACGTACTACTACTACAATAATACCAAGCAAGATAAGAGTGTAATAAACAACTTACGTGTACGTACATGTACAACGTAGACCTGCCTGCGTGTAGTTGGACAATTGTCGTAGACAGGTATTCTATACGAAAGTACTTTCGAAAGTACTTTCCGTACATTCGTAGACACTAGCGTAGCATTACGTATCTACGAACGAAGGTACTTCCGGAAGTACTGTATGTTGTATCATACGAAAGTACCGACCTTCGTACACACGTTGTACAGCGTTGTAGTTGTACTTTATACCTCAAGTTCTTACCTCAAGTTCTTTTCGGTTTTTTTTCTGGCCCTAAAACACTTACACCGTTTGCAAAACTGAAGTGGCCAAAAATTGAAAGGCATTTTCATCCCACGGGATCGGAAAGGGATTTTCGGTCGATCGCGAAATCGTTTTCCGGCGTCTTTCCGCACCCGCGCGCGCTCGACTCGCCCCGCCCTGTTCGCACCTTGCTTGTTCCCTGGGGGGATACCTGATACCAGCCTTCCCAGTCAGTAACCATGATCCAACCTGAACTCGTAGTTCCCACTCTTTGTGATGTACCTTACCCACGGTAATGCCTGATACCCGCTCCTCTCTAACACTTTTAAATACCTGACCTGCACCCCTGATACGGTGTAGTATGGAATCTCAAACTTGCACGTGATCGGGGGCTTCTTCTGCACTGGGCCATCATCCTCTAGAGCAGACACTGAGGGAAGGGAAAATTTCGCACGCATCATGATTTCCTTCCCACCCTGCACGCTCTTTATCTTCCACAGCATTGCCTCTTGCTCCGGGACATATGCCACGCTTCCTAAACCTGTGTTTACCTCCGGCGATGTCGCATCTGATGAAACTGGTAGTTTTATCTCCACGCCTGTGGCTTGTAGCCTAGATTTGAAGTGCGTGCGAACCTTCACAACGTATTCAACCCTGGACCTGGAAGGTCGATTCACAGAGGCTTCAATCCATATCAGCGGTTTCACGTTCGCAGTCGATATGCGATAGTTCATGAGGTCGAAGTGCCCATCCGGCGGGATGAAAGAGATCGTTCGATCGTTCTCAAACCGAGCCAGGCGAACACATTGATGAAATTTAATATCATCGAGCTCAACACTCTTTCCCTTTGTACTCCGGTTCTGCGCGTGCAACATGATTTTATCGTTAAGGCCGAGTTTGCACTCTGGCATACCACTGAGGTATGCCCGCAGTCGTAATGCGCCGAAGGTTTCCGAGTTCACAACCTGTCCCGCCGCGTTTACTACGATGTTCAAGGATTCGACCACATCAAGGAAGACTTCATTTTTTTGATACCGTATGCCTTCACTTCTCCACGATACGGCGTTCGTGACCGCCATGGGGGCTTTAGGGGCTATGAGCTGATGCGCGCCGACGGTTATGAACTCGCTCAGGATTTTCGCCTCTGTAAACTGCGGGTATCCGTTGTCCATTACCTCATCTAAGAGCTCGTAGATTATGACAAAATTGTCACGAATGGACTCCATTCCGTAGCGTCATACATACGATTACACACGTTTTTGTAGCAATGTTTTTTTCGCGACGTGAAAAATATGCTGCATGTAGAGCATTCGAAGAAAAGAATCGTGACGCGTGGACGACGCTAATACATGCAGCCTCACCTCCTCGAGGGTCTTGAAGTAGTGTCTGAAGATGTCAACCAAACGGTGTAAAAATGTGAGCAATGCAGCTGCATTACAATTGCTCTTCGTGATCGCTAGCAAGTACAGGTTGTTGTGCGTGATATAAACGTACGATACCTCCGCATCAGAATCGTACATCACAGGTTTAAGCTCGGACTCAGACTCTGCGTCTTGCACCGTAGCGTAGGGTTCAGCAGAAGCAGAGTTCGGAGTTGAGAGTGGACGGACGACGATTTCGCCAAGCCAGGTCGGTGTGATCGGTGTGTCCTGTAAACATAGGGTTTGCCATACCCTCGCGACGAAGCGATCGATGCACGCAGGAGAGATGTCACCGCGCCAGTCTCTAGAGAGGAGTTTCTTCATGTTTCCATCCAGAATGTGAAGCACAGAGCAAACCGCGGGTGAAGTCATCGTGCTCGACGATCTGCCAGCTCGCACGCAGAATATTGATATTTATTCTATAGACCAGATGCGCTAAGTCACCAAATTAACGCCAAATTAACTTGCGATTTTTTTATTCAAAATTCGTATGAGCGTCAGTCAGACGCGCCCCCTCACGTCCGCGCTTTCCCATGCGCCGCCGCAGCTTAGATTGACCTGAACCTTTGCACAGCAGCCAATTGCGATTTTAGACAACAGATCCATGCATTTGCGCCGCGAGAAAAAGACGGAAAGATCGTTTTCGGACCCCTAGGTAACTTTTATTTCTTTTTTCTTTTTTTAACTTTTAGACCGTTGTTTACAAGTCAAATTCTCCGTATCCGCGCAAAGTTCCCCAGGGGTCTGAAAACGGTCTTCCCGTCTTTTTCTCGCAGCGCAAATGCATGGATCTGGTGTCTAAAATCGCATATGGCTGCTGTGCAAAGTTTCAGATCAATCCGAGCTGCGGCGGCGCATGGGGAAGCGCGGACGTGAGGGGGCGCGTCTGACTGACGCTCATACGAATTTTGAATAAAAAAATCGCAAATTAATTTGGCGTTAATTTGGCCGATACGCGGCTGACTGGGCGTCATACGATTTTCACTTAGCGCATCTGGTCTATTTCCGGACGGAAGTATTCATACCTTCGTACATACGAAAGTACTTTCGTACGAAAGTACTTTCGTACGAAAATAGATACTTTCGAAAGTACTTTCGTACGTACGTACTTTCGTCGAAAGTACTTTCGTACGAAAGTACTTCCGTACTTCCGTACGAAGCGAAGGTATTATCAGATCTGAGTGAGAGTGTCAGAGTGCTTTTGGGCTGAAGGCACACACGTGTAGTGTACGTGTACGTGTAGCCATAGACTATTTTTATCCTGACTTCTTGCATTCCTCTGCAACGGCGTCACAGTTGCTTGCCCATATATGCAAGAGTCCATCGTGAAGATCTGTGGGAAACTTTACCTTATTAATATCTGATTACTTTTCTTGAATTTTCACAGTAAATGAGTGGCAGCTTCTCGGGTGCGATCAACCCAAGTTCTGCCTCTCAGCAGCTCCAGGCTTTCGCTGGACTGCAGTTATCGTACACTCGCACGCACATACGATTATGTGCCACATCCCATGAATCTATTAACTCGCGAAGCACCGAATGCGCTCATTTGGCAGCACTTCCACTATCTAGCCGACATAAAGACGTTTCGGCGGCTCCTTCAAAGCTCTGCAAATTTAGTCTTTTGAGAGGTAATAACGAGAAAGGTACAAGAGTAAGCTTTTCATGCTTTGCCACCAGCTCCACGGATTCACTGGAAAACGCACCTTGGAACGATGGTAGCCCCAAAACGTTTGACGTGGAACAACCTTTGAAGGTCAACCAGGATATTCTTATTTATCAAGCTCGACAGTTGCGCAAAAAAGCTACGAAAATGCGCAAAACAGACCAGCGTGTAAAGGTGCGCCTTGATGCGATTCGCGTCTTCGAGCGTGCTAAGAATATCGACCCAAGCGACGGGCGCGCCTACGTCGGAATCGCGAGAGTGCTGCGGCAATTGGGTGACAACGAAGGGGCGCGACAGTGCTATCAAGATGGTTGTGATGCGACAGGAGGGGACAATGCATACATATGGCAAGCATGGGCTGTACTCGAAGATAGTGTTGGAAATATAGCAAAGGCTCGTCAACTTTATGATGCGGCAACAGCAGCTGATAAGACTCACGCAGCCGCGTGGCATGCGTGGGGTATGTTAGAAAAAAACCAGGGAAATTTTCAACGTGCAAGAGACCTTCTCGTTAAGGGCGTGCGACTGGTTCCTGAAACTCGCGCCAGCCCACACTTATTCCAATCCCTGGGAGTCATGGCAATGGAGCGTCGACGCATGCAGGAAGCTCGAGAGCACTTCATGGCTGGTACGAGAACGGATGCTGGGTCACAGTCTGCAGCGCTATGGCAAGCATGGGCTTTGCTGGAATCACGAGAGGGCAACAGTGACATAGCACGCAAACTTTTTCAAAGAGGTCTTCAGTCAGACCCAGAAAACAGATACATCTGGCTGTCTTGGGCCGTCCACGAATCTCGTCAGGGATATGTCGACCGAGCAAGAAGTCTTCTGGTGAAAGGTTGTAAGTTGAACCCTAGGGATCCGCCACTGTTACAAGCACTGGCAAGGTTAGAAGCTGCTGATGGGAATATTTCTGTCGCGCGAAAGTTATTTGAGCAAGGGACCAAGTTGGATCCCCTTCATCAGGCTAATTGGCAAGCATGGGCACTGGCAGAATGGAAAGACGGGGATGTTGCTCGCGCTCGGGAGCTTTTACAGCGTGGCATTTGGGTGTCACCCCGGAGTTACAATGCATGTCGTCTATTCCATGCGTGGGGTGTTCTTGAGGAACGAGAGGGTAATTGCTGTCTTGCTCGACAGTTATACAAATGCGGAGTGAGAGCTGACCCATCGAGCGAGGTCACTTGGCTTACATGGTCACTCATGGAAGAGAAACAGGGAAATGATATACGCGCTGCTGAACTGCGTAGCTTATGTGTCCAACAGCGAGCTGAGGAAGCCATTGGGCAGTCTGACCTTAGTCCAGCAGCTATGTTCGGAATTGACTCAGCTTTAAGGCCAGTTTTGCGATCATTAGCATCGCTCGTCGGGAACCCGAGCACTTCCTTGCAAGATGACATTGATGGTCAACCAGATATGATGCAGACCGAGCTAGATGTAGTGCTGGCCGAGCCCCTTTTTGGCGTCAGTGGCCCTGACGAGCTGTAGCACACGTCCTAAAACTTATCTTATAGTCGTGAGACTGTGTCAGATTAAATGTGAGGCGATGTCGTTTTCTAGGCTGATCTAAACTAGTCTACGTAAATACACTTAACAATATGATACTCGATGGCACTGAAAATTCAATTCAGGACGCCTCAGAAACATCACAGTATTGTCCACTCTTGAAGTTATAGTGAGTTCCCAAATTATCGTAAGTTGTGCCAACGCGTCCATGCCTGACATTCGACATGGTAACCTTTACCTGTACAGAGGTCAATTGACTAACAGGCTGCCGGCACAATATCATTCCGAGGTGTGAGAGGACCAAGTGCAGGCGATCCTGGTCAAAAAGGTACCAATAAGCAATCAAAGCCTCGAGAGAAGAAGCCTCACGATGTTGAAGTGTTTTGTGTCCTGAGCGGGACTCGTGGCCAAAGTTGCGTCCCCATTCGAGAATGCTGATTTCGTCATCGGTAATTGTACCGTCAGCCAGCAGACGCGCCAGGTGGTCACTCATTGCTACTGACGAACACCAGTTGAGTTTAGTGGCCTCCTGTGGCCGTATCACAGTGCCGCAGGGTGAAGTTCGACCGGCTTTCTCTGCTGAGCGGAGTATCATGTGCTGTCTTGCGTAAAGTTCCCACACGGCGTCTCCAAGATATGTGTATGCCAGGGCAACATCAGGTCCTCGATCGATAATCTTGACAGGAATCGGCACAAGATCACCGGCTGTACGTTTGGCCTTCATCGAACATTCCCAAGAAGCGCGTTTCTTGGGCTGCTTGCTCCTGGCACCCTTCTTTTGGGGTTTTTTTTTTGCCTCGGTTTCGACGAGTCTGCGAGTAGATGGCCGACTTCTTCGGCAACCCCTGAAAGCAAGAAGAACCCTTCGAGAATGGAGAAAAACTTGATTTATGGAGAGATGACGCGGGTTCGCTGCTCCGTCACCGTTCGACCAATAAGTTGTTTGTTTCACGATGATGTGGGGTGGGAAGAACACCTTTTCGCACATATGCTTACGAAATGCTTACGTGTACGTTGTATGAACACACATACACGAGTAGGGCCCAAGGGAAGACGAATGCGCAGTCCGCGGGCAGGCGTGTGTGTGTGTGTGGTCCGCAGGTGTGTGTGAATAATACATCCTCAGTTTAGCGCAGCCCCAGTATACTCGTACAACATAGTGTACCTCACGTCCTCGTAAAGACCCTCCCCTTCCTCCCCTTCGTTCTCTCTCTTTCTTGTCGGTTCTCCGGTGAAGAAGACCCCCTGCGTGGTTAGGTGGGTGCGAGCGATGACAGGTGTGTGTGTGTGTGTGTGTGTGTGTGTGTTAGTGTGTGTGTGTGTGTTAGTGTGTGTGTGTGTGTTAGTTTGTGTGTGTGTGTGTGTTGGGGGTTGGGCAGGTGTGACTATAAAACGAGCGCTATCTACAGTACGTGTACACGTACTAGTACTAAAATCCAAACTCAAAAAGTCAACTCAAAAAGTCAACGGGTACTGTGCGAGTACGTGTACGTTGTACACGCACAGTACAACGTATGTACTTTCGTACGAAGGTACTAAGTACTTTCGTACCTTCGAAGGTACTTTCGTACTTTCGTACTATGTAGGGCTAGGTTTTTTCGATTTTTTTTTCCTGCGCCCTCAGAGCTTCTCAGATTTTTTGGCCAACTAGAGGCGAATAGGGGCGAATTGGACTCACTCCGATCAACTGATCGGCGTGGGATGAGTTTGGCAGTTTCTCGGTGAAACTGATCGATTGAGTTTAGAGATGAGCCCCCGTTTACCGTGCAGCGAAGCGCACCCACAGGCCACCTTGTTCCCCACAGTTTTTTCTGGTCTGGTGCCGACCACCTCCTCACGCGCGCAAAAGCTGCGACCTCGGATGCGCACTAAACCGCGTGATATCACGATCATCGACTAGAGGGATGCTAGTGTGCGAGTTTGATGCGTTTTTGGCGTAAAAGAGCTCACGAGTGTGAGTGTGTGGAGATTACAAAAATAGGGATCTGTGCGGACTCTTCTATTTTCCGCCCCACGAGCGTGCGCGCACGTCCAATTTTTGTGGTGGGGTAGAAAGTTCGAATTCTTACTTTCTTCTTGAACACTTTGACACACCTGCGACTGCGCAGGAGGCGGAGAGAATTCTAATTGAAATGGCTCCACTAGTGATCTGAAAAGGGTTCCCAGCTTAAAGCTGCGCCATCCGCCCACTGTTGAGTTAAGATGTCAGTTTGTCGTACTTAAAAAAAAGAGTTGGTCAAGAAAACCTTGACAAGCTGTCGCCGTTTACTAACACTCTCATCAGCAGGGCAAGGTGGGTCATATTTCTTCAGTATTTCAGCATACTCCAGGCCCATCTCAAAGTCTTCTATGACTTCATCTGATATATCCTTTTCCGAGACCCAACTGGGTGGCATCTCTGATATATTACGTTCATAAATACAGATACAAGACACAATGCAAAAATAGGAACTAAACTTGCCATCTAACCACTCAATAAGATATTCCTTTTGCTCATTTTCTGTTAAGCGGCAAGCTTTAATGGCAGCAGGAGGTACCTCTTCAAAAACGAAATCTTCCAGCGTCCTTGTAATAGATTCCATTATAGAACGACGGGCATATGTCACAGTAGTTGCCGGTGTGCTTAACAAGAGTCCTTCAATGAGGTCAAGAGGCTGTCGGAAAATGCTCAGTGGGAAACCATTAGTTGCACAAAAAGTGAGAAACGCACTGATCGTCCGGAAATATCTTGCAACTCAGGGTCTGCTCCAGACTTCACCAATGTACTGACAATATCCTCGTGCAAGTAACCTGCTGCGATATGAAGTGGAGTAAAACAGTCTTTGTCCTGCAGGAAGCAGAGTCAACGAACACGGTCGGGATAAACAAACTACATTGCTTGCCTTAGCATCAACTTCAGCACCATACGCTAGAAGTGCGCGAACACATTCCTGACTGCCTAAACCAGATGCATAGTGCAGACCACTGCCAAACATAAATCAGGCCCGATCCAAAATGATAGAAACTGGTGTACCTCCTATCATTCGCGTCGCGTGCACAAGCTAGCGCCTGGCCGCCACCTTTAAGCATCTCTGCGATCTCAAAAGCATTACCCTGAAGACACGTCTCTCATCCTTAGCATGCAAGTAAGTTTACTAGAAAAACATACAGTTCTGCAACATTGCCACCATTTTGCTTCGTAATCAGACTTCACATCCTCTGCAACCTGATCTGACCTAACCCTGTAGTGAAAAGTGTGACAACGATTGGATTCTGACCTTTGGGCACACATACCATATATTCATTTCAGGCTCAAACATTTGCAAGAGATATTCGAGAGTAAACCCTTTCTGAGAACGCAAAAGACGGACGCCTTTGGCAAATTTAACCCTCACCACACCGTCCTCTGAAGCGGCACGGACGAAGAGCTTTTTAGCCTAAATAATAAGCAAATGAGAAAATTTGCTTCTCGAAGTCATGAAGGCGCGGGCTGTGCTCAGACCGTTCTTGTGTGATTTAAGGTCTTCTTCGACCGCATGAGTCGATGCATGTGGATGCAGCACGTACGCGCAGGAAGGCAGGGACGCACTATCGATGAATGACAACGGTCCATCTCCAGTCTTAAAGCTCCTGAACACGCGATACGTGCAAGTCTTCTCTTCTAATGTTGTACACGTGTACGGAAGAGGGCTGCGTAGTACGGAAGTACTTTCGTACGAAAGTATTTCCGAAAATAGATATGAATACACATACACGTACAGGTACGTGTACAGTACCTTCGTATTAGTGAAGTACGGAAGTAACAGAAGGCACGTACCTTCGTACTTCGTACCTTCGAAGGTCGGTACTTTCGTACGAAAGTACGAAAGTACTTTCGAAAGTACTTTCGTACTTTCGTACTTTCGTAGTATTTATTATTACCTTCGTACATAGGGCTATACTTTCGTACGAAGGTACTACTATTTCCATATGAAGGTACGAAGGTACACGTACAGTATCTATTTTCGTTCGTACGTACTTTCGTACGAAAATATTTTCGAAAGTACGAAAGTATTATTATCTATTTCGAAAGTACGAGAGTACGAAAGTACAACTACGTTATGAAGGTACGTACATACGTACGTGTACAGACAGGTACACGTACTGTACTACATCGCTCTTTAGGCCGCCTCTCCGAAGTTCGACGGGTATTTTTCACTTGATGGGTTGAATTATCCCACACCGATCATGGTCAATCTTTAATAAGCTCTTCACCGTAGATAGCAGGCATAAAATAAAATCTTAGGTGGTTCTCGCTTGTTAATAATAGGGGACCACTTCTTGAAGCATGACAAGTGTTCTGACGAGCGGTCGTCACCAACGATATTTTTCTCCAACTCGGTCGCCGCTCTTCGTGAAAACTTTGCGATCAGTGCCTAACAACAATCTATCATCACCGATTTTCACTGCCGCCGCATATTCCTGGCCAAAAAGTTCTTCTTCCGAGAAATTTGAGGAAGCGAGAAGTTTAGTGCAGGACAGGTTTTGTTATTTTGCCCCAAAGACTTTTTATGGGGAACTTTTAAGTAGAAGTGTATGGGGCAGTCAGCTTGCATCGCCTTCATCAAAGTTTAGCAGGCATTTTCAATCCGACATGTACGGGAAGTCTTGCTCAAAGTTTAGTTTCAGTGCTAGCAGGCATCCGATAGTCAGAGACTGCACACAAAGTTCGAAAAAAGAATTTGTGGAGAAGGTATCAATCGAGTTTGCAAACGAAAATGCAGCGGGTGTTCCAGGGACCGGTATGCTTATGCGTGTCCCGCGCGTATCTCCCTCCGATGATATTTTATGTTCAAGTCTGAAGCGTGCCGCTCGCGTGACCCCCACAAAGGGTCTGAAAGTTCCACTATTGAAGGAGCGCAATCGCAGCTCAAAGCAACTTGATGCTCTTACAACTCTTCTTTGCAAGCCCCTGAGTGACTACATAGCTGGTTTCCCGCGTTCAGAGCGGCTACATCCTTTCGAACGCGACTTGTTAGAGCTCACTTTTCAACATGGACAATACCAGTCAACCCTACGTCAGATAAACCTGCTGCGCAAGGGTTTACTTAGGATTGGCAAACAAGAGGCAGCCCGTGCAGCGAAAGCAGGCAGCCCCAAGGAAGCAATTGATATACGACTCACAGGGTTTTCAGAACTCCAACGTCACTTCAAGCGGGGAAGCCACGTCATAGATGAGCTCAACGAGATAGCAAAGATTATTCGCAGGTTACCGGTAGCTGAGCTCCAAACTCCTATGGTTGCACTGGTTGGTGCACCTAACGTAGGCAAAAGCAGTCTTGTAAGAGTCCTCTCGAGCGGCACACCAGAGGTCTCTAACTATCCGTTTACAACGCGTGGCATCAAGATGGGACATTTATTTATCGAGAACGACCGGGTCCTCGTCACGGATACACCGGGGCTCTTGTGGAGGCCGGTATGGACTCGCGAACACACAGAACACTTCAATACTCTTCACTTTAAAGTTCAAGCCGAAAATTTAAAATTTGAGATTTGAACCCTCTTTCTCGGAAGGAAATCGCAATAAGATTGAAAAGCTTACCATCGCCACCCTGGAGCACTTGCCTACGTGCATAATTTTTATCACAGATTTGAGTGGGCTATGTGGCACTTCAGTTGCTGACCAACTCTCTATCCGGGCAGAACTGTATGAGCGTTTCGGGCTACACCGCCCCTGGGTAGATGTTTTGTCAAAATCAACACTAGTTCCTGTACTAGGTGGACGCGTGTCCTCATACTCAGATTATTCATGGTCGGATAAAAATGACATTGAAGCGGTAAATACGTCATATTATTTGATTGGAGAGGGTGCATTGGTTGCTTCTGCAGAGGAAGGTTTTGGAGTCGAGGAGCTAAGACAACTGATTACAGACAGGCTTATTAGCAATCGGAAATCTCTCTAAAGTCTTCTTGAAAAATAATGACCGTCGCTCTCCCTGTTTTGATGATTTGAATGTTGAATGACTCGTAGCATTCCTACAACACTTGCTGCAAGCTATTTGCTCGCCATATTAAATGTTTTCACTGTACAAGTTTGAACACTTCAAAGTTGGCAACGTGCTCCTTTACTCTGTGGGCACTGCCATGCCAGAAGTGGCATCGTTCGGGGCAGTGGCAGAGTCAAACTGGTTATCTGCATCTTCCCTCTCTCGTAGAGAAGTCAATGCAGTAGGTGTATCTGCTAAAAGCAACCCTTCTAAAGCCAACGACTCGTCATCATCCATTTCAAGCTCAGAACTAGGGATCGCAGAACTAGGAATCCCACTTGACACCTTGACTGCGTCCAGATGGCCGTATTTCTTTGGTATGTCCTCGCTCGATCGCGTGGAATCGTTAGCTACAGGTTTAATGGTGTCTGCTTCTTTCTTACTGCGCCGCTCTAACTTACGCTTCGTTGCATGAAACCGATTCTTGATAGCATTTGGTGAGCGACCTGGCATCAATCGTGCTAATACAGCCCACTGATTACCAACATGCGCCTGTAGTTCAATGAGCCTCGTCTGTTCATCTCTAGACCATGGTTTTGTGGTCAATCCAGGCTGAAGATAATCCCTCCAACGTGCATACACCTGTTTCTGCGTCTTTGTTTTTAGTCGCGTTGCTATAAGCTTCCATTTACGTGGTCCGTGTTCTGTAACTAGGGTACGAACCAAATCATCTTCAGAAGGAAGCCAGCTGCGTGATCGTGACCTATTTGCTTCAAAAGCATAGCTGCCTTCAGCATGACTGCCTTCAGCGTTCATCATCTCAAAGTCACCAGAGAATGCTGTTGCTAGCTCAGTAGGCAACGGAACACCAAAGTTATTGGCTGCTTTTTCCATCGGAGGAGATATTGAAAGCAGCACTGGCACATTAACCTTTGGTTCTGCATCTCGAATTCCAGAGCGCACAGTATCCGTTCTTGTGATATTGACAGTATTTGCTTTTATACCATTTCCCTTAGACTCTGGTTCTGGTATTTCTATATCGGCAACAGCAACCATTTTCTGTACTTTTGAACCAGTTTCCTCAAGATGAAGCTGAGTTGCATAAATTTGCGCTGCTGCAGGTCCTGGACACTGCAGGTAGTCTGCGCTCTTCAAATCGGTACTCCGCTTTGAATGCTGCAGTATATCCAGGGTGGACGAGTCCGTGTTCAAGGAAGACAATATAACTGCAGTGCCCAGAGCACCTACTGTCTTGAGGTCTCCATGACGCAGTGAATTACTACAACCATGCGCAGCAAGGGGGATACCAGCTTCCACTGTTTTGGTTATTGTTCGTGGCAAAGTAAGTTTCCTGGAAGTAACTGAAGTGGCAGTAACAGAGGAGAGCATTGGCAACGAAAACTTCGACACGTCCGTTGAACCTTCTGCAGTACTGAGTTCTGACGGAAAGGGTATACCGCGAACGATGGAGAAAAGTTTGGAAAGTTCCCTGTGGTTGAAGTATCCAGTACTGTAGTTTCTGCTGCCATCTTCTTTGTCACAATCATGGTGTTCTTCTGTCGTCGTAACTGTACTTTTTGTGTCATTTATCAGACCGCGCCCGAACTCGTGTGAAATCGTAGTCGCGTCGCGCTTCACTTCCCGACAAGCGTGAGCCGGGCGAACGAACTTGGGAAGTACTGTTTTTTCAGCTTTGCCTGCACGAACCGTTTCTTGAAGTATAGAATCCATTACATAAGTAATACAGCCTGACCCCGCGTATATCTTAGCGATCCCATTCCTTGTTGAACTGGTGAAGAGGGCGTGACAACAGGACAGTTCTGGCGTCAGCCCATTCTCCCACTCTCAACAGTCTCGTACGGAGGTAGTGTCGTGTACTTGTACGTGTACAGCTGTACACCGCGTTGTACACGTACGGAAATGGATACAGTTACACGTGTACAGTAGTAGTACTTTCGTACCTTGGTACCTTCATAGGTAGTTGTTATCTACACTACATACGTGTACAGCTGTACGTGTACAGGTACGTGTACGTGTAGCACTCGTGTACAATAAGAAAAATGAGGGTAAAAAAAAGGTAAAAATTTTACCCTGATTTTACATTGACTTTACAGTACCATGGTAAAATTGACCCCGTTTTTACCCTGATTTTACCCAGATTTTACCCTATTATTTATGTGCTCGATCGCTCGATATATTAATAATAAATAATAAATAATAAATAATAAATATAAATAAAATAATAAATATAATTATTATTATTAAAATAATACGAAGGTAATAAATAAATACAGTACTTAGCTACTTACGTACGTACCTTCGAAGGTACGTACGTAGCTACATACGTACCTTCGTACTTTCGTACGTACGTAGCTACGTACGTTGTACTTTCGTACTTTCGTACGTACTTTCGTATGTAGTATGTACTCGTACTCGCTCGCTCGTTAAATCGTTCGCGCTCGTCGCTCGCGCGCTCGCTAGAGCCGTCCTTTGCTAGGGCACGGCAGTATTTCTATATGGTCGCTCTCTAATGGATAAAATATGACTTTTCGACGGATGCACTCGAGCGGTAGCACCAGCAGTGTTTCTTCCGGAGTTTTATGCACATGTTGTACACGTACTCCAGAACCCTTGAACCATTGCAGCTCACAAAAGCGAATGCGCTCGTTGCTAACGCGGTGATGCAGCAAGTAATAGTGCACGACGTCTCCATACTTATCTTCTGAAGGCGCGTCCGTTGTTCTGAAGCACACGTGATACGAGCATCTCGATTGATGACGCGAGTAGGCCTTTGATGTGAACTCTTTTCCCCCAAGGCTTGCACTTTTGAATCGTAGCAGTGTGAACTCATCTAAGCTGTGCTTGCTTGTCTTTGATACCAACGCGCGAAGGTGGCCCAACCTGAACTTGAAATCAAATTTAATCACTCGCTCCTCCCCTTTGTCCAGTAATCGTGTAACTGACGTGAAGTCGTCTCGCAATTGATGGTCACTGATAGTTCCAGGTTGTTGTGGCAACATCATCATGTCTCCAACATCGTTTTCAATGTTTTGCACAGCACATTCTAGCAGGTGCATGTTCCCCAAGAATGTTTCCGGCATTATGACCACTCGATCCTTCACGTGCTTCTTTTCGCGCTGCACTTCCCGCTCTACCCAGAATTCCATGCTGTCCTTTATCCATCCGGTGTATTCTTCTTGGTCATGCAGATGTTGAGCAAGTCTCAGATTCATAGTACAGAGTTGTACTGTTAACTTAGTCTCAACGATTTTCGCGTACTCTCGCACATGATCTCGCGCTTCCAGCCTTTTCTGATCGACTTCATCCTTAGATAAATTGTCGTATTCATCAAAAGAACATAAATAATGCCTCACGGCAGCGCGTAAGTGCAACCAGGCTTGATGTGAATCGGGGCAGTGTTCTTCCAGCAATGGATGTGAAATCTGGCAAAACGTTTCTGCCCAGTGTAGCCAATTCTCCATCACCCACGTCCCTTTCTTTTTCACGATATCGACGTAAGGTCTGCCCATGTCGTGTGGGAGCTGCAGACGCTTCCCTCGTTTAGTCAACTCATTGCGAGCGCGATTTGGCAGCACATTACGTGGGCATGCTCCCGTGTAATCCATTAGCACGTAATACCAGAAACCCTTTAACAAGCCATTAATAATAAGATGTGCAGCAGGAATCAAGAAACCATAGTGAGTGTCGAACGCCGGCAGCTTTGCGAGTAATGTTATACCGGGTCTCCCAGCTTTGTTCGGCTCAAGTTCTTTTCTCTCTACTCTTGTTGCAAGATCCATCGAAGTCTTGTGATTCAAAGCTAATCTTTTGTCCCATGCATCAAGCTTTTCACCTGGGAAAAACGTTTGCTCAACAGGTTTCGCATACCCCGTGAAATATGTGCCCGTGCCAGCATTTTCGAATGTACTGCCTTCAAATAAAGAACGGAAACCAGAGCGAGGCGACTTTACACCCATGAAGCGACCTAATACAGCTCTCGCGGGGCCGTCCGCGCTACAAGTAGCTAGGTACCATCGCGTTTTATACGTCTGTTGCAAATATGAATCGTTTAGCTCGAAACCATGCTCATAAAATTTATTACTTTCGTACTAAAGTACGAAAGTACAACGTTGTACTGTACTACGTACTTTCGTACTTGAAAGTACCTTCGAAGATAGTGTAACTAGCCCTAGTTGTACTGTACACGTACAACGTTGTACACGTGTATGTATCTATGTTTTGTACACATTTGTAGTCATTACTTAAAGTATTTAGTAGATATGCAGCATTACCCATAAACCACAATTATAACATAAATATCAAAGCAGTACAAATCCGAGATGCATGGTGACACCACAGTAATGATACTTCCTGGTTTTATATCACATGATGAGACGGTAACCACGCCACATGCGTGAAAGGTATCCACAACCTTGTTACTCGGAGGATGCCACAACCAACTCTGAGCGTAGCAACCAGAGCTCATAGCGCGGAATTGTAAACAAATTTTCGGTAGTTCAAATCAGAATCATAACTATATATGGCACAATTAATTCAAGGATTCTTGAATTAAGGTATTCCTGCCTATGATATTGGGTGGAAGAATGCGTACAATACAGTACATTACAAAATTTCCATGTACGTAGGAAAGGAAACAATCTATCCAGAGGTACCGAGGTAGGAGGTACTTTCGTACTTTCGTACTTTCGAAAGTACGAAAGTACTTTCGTACTTCTTACTTGAGTACGGAAGTACATGCGGAAGTACTTCCATACGGAAATACCTCCGACTTCGTCTACAACTCTACATGCATGAATCATCGCTCTCGGACAGAGATGCCTCGTCGGTCGAGCCGTTGGCGCCCTCGCGTGCGTGGACCGGGAACGGCACCGCGGACGCAGACGATCCCGTCACGATCGACATGTGAAGAGAGCGTCGTAGCATACGTGAATATGATCGATTACACCAACCTCATCATACAAAACTACGTGAAATACAATACGAAGGTACAGTACAATTCAGACAGAACCGCATGCGAAAGGGAAATTGCCGGATTCCCTTCGATTTCTCTTCGCGACTCGGTTGCTCGCATTCTCGACTATGAACATCATACCGCCGTTGGCATATGGATTCATGATTCGAGACATGTGAATCCTCGACGCATCCTTTCATTGGGGACGGGACGACAAGAATCTCCCCATCCCGTCGAGGCCCCTGTGGAGCTCCAGCAATTAAGATCAAGGTCGTGTGACCCGGTCTTGGGGGTTGGACATTTAGTTTTCAACTAGCAAAAGTCGCGCCTCCTTAAAAAGTCATGAGCGGCGACATTGCCCCAAGCGCAAAGATGATGTTGCCGTTGATCTGCTGGAAATATATATATTTTGTTTGAGGAAAACTATTAAATTCTAGTTATGGGTAAATCTAAATTTCGAGTAGTATGTCTAGCTAGTTGTCTACCTAGCTAGGGAAGGTACAGGTGCCACCACTACTGTTAGACTACACGTACAGTACGTGTACCTGTCGACTATCAGCTAGTAGGGCCAGTGTAGGGTCTACAGCTCTACACCAGGGGATAACTTACAAAAATTTCGACACTAAGTAAATACACGAATGCCGGAAAAAAAGGTAAATAAATAAATATTTCAAGGTACCGCAGTTTTAACTCACAATCGACGGTCTAATTTCGCTCGACCCGCAAAAGTCTTCGCCTTTCGAAAAACTAAGTAAACTTTTACTTACACGTACACGTGTACTCATTATTTATTTACTATTAAAAGATAACCCCTGCTCTACACTCTACAGCGCGCAGTCTACAGTCTACACGTACAGTACACCTACGTGTACGGGTAGGATGTGTAGTTGTGTACATTCGTACGAAAGTACTTTCGTACAAAGTAAAGTACTGTATCATACGAAAGTAGATTTGTACGAAAATAGAATACTTTCGAAAGTACAAGTTGTACTTTCGTACGAAAGTACACTCATGCCAGCGACCCAACCTGAGGTTGAAAGACTTTTGGCGACGCCGGACTCATGACACTCACAGAGGTATCTGTGTTTTGCTGTAAATACTCAATAATGTCCCAATATCTATCTGTTCCTGTCACGAGAACGAGAGCGAATCCTTGTGTCTCATAGTTATTTTTGATTTGATGCATAGAAATTTCATTTACAGTCAACCCGTTAACAATGTCGGTAATCTGATTGTAAATTTTACGTGTCATCATTTTTTCACTTGGCATTTCAATAAAAATAATAGAATGTTCGGACGCGGCTCAGGTCTCTCAATTCCTCGTTGTGGATCTCATCCTTCGTTTGCTCACGGGTAAATTTCCCCTCCCCAATGGTAGTAGAGGGTGGTTGAATCACATGTGTCTGGGGAGCGTCCGTTCGAACCACCGACATCTTTAGGATTTCTAGGTCGGGTTTCCGATCAATCTTTAGGATGGTACTGAGTGGTCCGTGGGTGTATACAAATACTGGGAGATATGCGAGTTGTTCCACCCCCTTGGCCATCTTGTGGGACCAAATCATACGAAAACCACTCCCCTTTGTCCCCCTCTGGACATTACCATAGACAGCTGCATCTATGATTTCATTCCAATCTAGGGAACCCTTAGCTATAGAGAGTGCGCAGAGTCCATTGTTCTTGCAGGGTAGACCCTTTTGGGTCAGGTGGGGGCAGCGAGTACCAGAGAGAAGAGCCTTCAACTTCTCGTTCTCGATGCGGATGTATTCGTTTTCAGCAATGATAGCAAGAAGTTCCATTTTTAATTATTTTTGTTTTTCATTACAATCACTTAGGTAAAAAAAAATCTAACTAAGTATTAATGGGGTTATAAATACGGTGCATTTGCGAACAATTGTTCACATACTGTACGTGTAGTGTACTGCACGTTTTAGTGTACACGTACAGTACGGGTAAGGGCATAAAAGATAACTAACAACTTACTCTCAACCGAATCAACAGATTCGGTCTCGGGTGCTGCTTCACTTCCACGCGATGCATACCGCACTGCTACACAAGCGTCTGGCACTGAGGTATCCGACATCTCCAACTTTTTGCTCCAGTGCGACACCAAGGTCGGCAATTCCCTGCGCCTTGCACGTGGGGAGCACACGCGCGGCAGCATCAAAAAGTGTTCCGACGAAAATTGGCGCCGAGAAGAACCTGTCAGGCAGCCGTAAGAGGCCGGCTTTATTCGCCGCCGTCGTCAACTCCGGCTTTGCCCCGACGTGCTCATTACAGCGAGTAGCGCGAGCTCCTAGAAAACGCATCGCAAAGCCGGAGATCCTCGCTCCCGCGGGAGATTGGCCACAGCTGCGTGCCGCTGTCAACGCCGGAGCGGATGCAGTGTACTTCGGCCTAAACGCCCTAAACGCACGAGCTCGAGCTCCTAACTTCGACGTAGCTGAACTACCAGCCGTAATGAACTTTCTGCACGAGCATGACACACGCGGCTTCGTAACCATGAACGTTCTTGTCTACGACGAGGAGCTTTCACAGGCGGAATCCATAATCCGTGCTGTAGCTGCTGCAAGTGTCGACGCTGTCATCGTGCAAGACATTGGTCTTGTCTCGCTGGTCCGGCGCGTCGCTCCTAACCTTTCGATCCATGGCTCCACGCAGATGAGCGTCACGTCCCCTGAAGGTGCCGAATTTGCTCGGGAGCTTGGGTGCAGTCGTGTTGTGGTTGGGAGGGAGCTCAGCACCAGAGACATATCAACTTTTTATGAAGCAACAGACGTGGAGATTGAGGTGTTTGTTCACGGCGCGTTATGCGTGTCTTACAGTGGACAATGTTTTAGCAGTGAGGCCTGGGGCGGCCGAAGTGCCAATAGAGGGCAATGCGCTCAGGCTTGCCGCTTGCCGTATGGCCTGGTTGTGAATGGGCACATCAAAGATATGGGAGATGTGAAGTACCTACTGTCGCCACAAGATTTGATGGCGGTTGAAATGGTCCCCGAGCTTATCAACGCAGGCGTGGCGTGTTTCAAAATCGAAGGGAGGCTTAAAGGTCCGGAATATGTTGCGCTGACAACATCTATGTACCGACGCGCAACAGATGAAGCCTGGGAGGCACGAGGTGGGGACAACAGGGATGGGCCTTGGCCACACAAGTCAAAGTGGGTATTATCAGACGCAGATCGAATTGATCTTGCACAGGTTTTTGCGCGGGGCCAAGACGCTGATCATGACGGCTTAACCCCTGGATTTTTGGAGGGGCCGATGCATCAGCGTCTCGTTCGCGGTCGCGCACCGAAGCACAGAGGGGTTCTGATTGGCAAAGTCATCGGTTGCAATACCCGCTGCGGCGTCAGAGTCACAGTCCGACTTCGAGGAAGTGCCGAGGTGAAGCGCGGAATCGGGGTAGTCTTTGATCGTGGAGCCCCAAACGAGCCCGAGGCCGGCGGATATGTATACGAAGTAATTGATCCATCTACAGGGCAATCTGTAGCCAGGACAGCGGCAGATGCTGTGTGCGAAGGAATTTATGAGCTGACCTTCTCGGATAATGTATCATCTTCGTGGGGAAAAGCTGCAGCGCGGGATAGGAACCCTGTGATGCCAGCACCAGGCGACTTGGTTTGGCGCAGCAGTGATCCAGAACTTGAGACTCGGCTACGAAAAATGGCCACAGAGAGTTTGCCTCAACAGAAGCGAGAGCCTGTGACAGTCCGGCTGTCAAGCGGTGGCGTGGGTTACCCTCTTAGCATCGCGATAATTGATGGCGAAGGCCGTGAAGGTGTCGCTTCCACGACCGCGCTGCTCCAGCCAGCAGATAATGCACCTTTGTCATTTGCATCAATTGCCAAAATGATAGGTCATTTAGGGGGGACTCCATTCGATGTCGGTCAACTTGATGTCAGTGGATTAACGGGCCTTGATGCGGGTGTATTCATGTCGGCCCGTGAGGTAAAAAGGGCACGGCGTGAGGCGGTTGAAGTGCTGCTCGTGCTGCGTCGTGCATCTTCTACTTCCCCAGCAATAGTTCTGTCAGACGATGCCGCGCTGACAACTATGTTGGAAGAAGTGACGTGGTGGGGCGATGCCATCAGTAAAGTTGAGGCAGCGCCAGAAAACTGGGCCACACATGAGCTGGCTTGTAATCAGACAAACGGGCCTTTCCTGAGCCTACTATGTCGGACAAAAGAACAAGCAGTTTCGGCTTTAAATGTGCCATGGCTCAAAGAGATCGTCCTGGACTTCCTCGAGGTGCACGGCTTGCAAGACATGGTACGTTCGGTGCAGGCGAGCGGCCGCACCGCCGTCGTAGCCACGCCGCGGGTGCTCAAGCCAAACGAGGAGAAGTTGTGGCAATTTTACATCAAAATCAAACCAGATGCACTCTTGGTCCGATCGTCAGGATTGATGCGAACGTTGACGCATTTGAGAGGTTTGGAAAGCGGAGCTCTTAAAATTCCTCCTCTTCGTGGTGATTTTTCTTTAAATGCCGCCAATGCTCTTGGTGCATCCACTTTACTCCGCAGGGGTATGCTTCAAAGGTTGACTCCTACACATGATCTCAACGCGAAACAACTAGTGGCGTTGTCTAACGCTCTTGGACCTGCGGGCGCGTCAAAGCTAGAAGTCGTTATTCACCAGCACCTCCCCATTTTTCACACCGAACACTGCGTCTTTTGCCGGTTTCTATCTACGGGCAACAGCTACAAAGACTGTGGGCACCCATGCGAGACGAATGTCGTGCACCTCAGAGATGGCGAAGGCGCGGATCACCTTGTTCTGGCAGATATGGGCTGTCGCAACACTGTGTTCAATGCGAGCGTGCAAAGCGGTGCTGAGTTTGCGGTCGCCTTTTTGAGAGCCGGAGTGCGTCACTTCCGCGTAGAGCTAGTGGACGAGCCTTCCGACGTGGTCGTGGACATTCTTGAAGCATATCGCAGAGTCTTACTCGGGGAAAGAAAAGGTACTGATGTGGTTGAGTGGGTTGGTATGCTGCCGGACGCCAACGGGAATAGTCATGGTTCAGGACGAGGATCACTTGAGATAAAAAAAGAAATTGACCGGAACACGATGAAACAGACGGCGACAGCGGCGCGCGATGTGCAAGCAAGCAGGACTTGAAGCGGTCTGATAGTAATAAGAAATGTCTAGCAGACTGGAGCGAAGCTCCTGTCTATAGACACCAGCTGTACGAACGTACTGCTATCAATATTGTGCGAGAATCGATTGACCTCAACATTTTTCTTCGTCAGCAGTGTGATTCTAGCTCGACATCAGCCTCTTTCTTATTAAAATTTTACGCTGTGCTCGTTGAATTGGTTTCGAAAGAGCCGGGCAAGTGAAATAGGTGGCCTTAGAATACCTTTAGTTGCACATGCGAGTAAACGAACTCGTCACTTTTACTTCTTTTTGATGGCATATTCGAAGGAAATGATTTTCATCTAAATTGTTCTTGCTTGCCCGTGAGGTGAAGCTGTTCGCCCAAGACACTCACCTCGTGTCTGCTATTTTTATTCTATCTCTGAACTCAAGCCCGAAAAGTGAGCACGTATACATCATCGCGTTGCCGTGGGAAAACAATGGGCTCGCGTGCTGAAATTGAGGGACAACCCTGAACCTCGCAGCGTGTCTACGAGCACTTTTAGCTTGCCGTGAAAACGTTTTCCTTCTGGCTTCGGAAAGTAGACAGCGTTTACATTCACGGCGTTGGACCTCTCCGCGATAACTTTCCCAATAACCGAGGCGGCAGTCTTGTCCGCGGTATGCTTCAGCGTGACCTTCAGCGCCTTTTCGACTGTGCTCGCCGTTGCCACGATCTACGTGGGGGGAAATATAAAAGGTCAGGGTTGTCCGAGCGACGCACGTATCGGAGCCCTTCTGCGGGTGAGACGAATGCAACTCACATGATTGTCCGTCCGACGCAGCACTTGAGCATACACGAAACTGTTGCTGAAAACAATTTTCAGGTGGTGAAGTCTTTCGCCGACCGCTAGAGACTTGGTGGTCATCCTCGTCGTGTCACCCTCAACGTTGCTGCACAAGCAGTGTAGGGCTACACGTACAGGGTACATGTATCGGTTTTTCACCCGGATAGCTAGCTATCGTCAATCTTGAGTATCATACTTTGTACAGTACGAAAGTACAACTAAGTAGGGCTAGAACTAACTTTATCAGTAGCCCTACAACGTACTGTACACGTACAACTAGGGCTACACGTATTACTTTTGGAACGGGAAATTAAAATTTATCGGAGCATGACCATATTTTTAATAGTACGTGTACAACGTACACGACTACACGTACTGTACGTGTACAGCTGTACACGTACGTGTACGTGTAGCACTCGTGTAGCCCTACCAGTCGTGTACCATGTACAGTATGTGAGCATATTCATATGAGGCTGTACCAAGATATTAGATACGAAAGTACCTTCGTAGCACTCATGAAGCCATAGCAGTGCCATAGCCCTACTGTACACGTACAGGTACAGCATTTAAATTAATATCGAGTTATGGGACTTTTTATCACGCCACTTTACTCTAGCTAGGGATATATTTATCAGAGTACAATAATAGTGTAAGCGTACGTGTACAGCTGTACACGTGTAGCCCTACGTGTACAGCTGTACGAACTACGAAGGTACTTTCGAAAGTATTCTATTTTCGAAAGTACTTTCGTACGAAAGTACTTTCGAAGGTACAGTGCACGACTGCACGTACATGTAGGAAGTACACGTGTACGGAAGTACGACGTACGAAAGTACCTTCGTACCTTAGTTCGGTACAGTAGTGCTACATAGTACATACACACTACAGCTGCTACTTTCGTACGGAAGTACCTTCGTACGAAAGTACTTCCGTACTTTCGAAAGTACGGAAATACGGAAGTACTTTCGTACTTCCGTACGAAGGTACCTTCGTACCTTCGTACACAGCTACACGGTCGCTTCCTTGAGACGGCCACAAGGAAGCACCGCAACTCGTACGCCATGGCTACCCCGCCGATTACCGTGAAGGAAATTGTTTCGGTGCGCGCTACTGTTTTTATATACCCTTCAATGATTTTATCTTCCTCCTGCGCCCATCTGACAGCCCTTCCCTGTCCGCTCAACAGCTGACTTCCTGCGGAATCAACCCACAATGCATCTCCTTCACCAACCTCACAATGGAGAGCGAAAATTTCATCTGCGTGCGCGAGACAGGCGTCGCCAACTCAGTTATCATCGTGGACATGGCGTCGCCCGCGCAACCTATGAAGCGACCAATCACGGCGGATAGCGCGTTGATGAACCCGGTCTCTAAGGTGATCGCGCTGAAGGCAGCCGTCGCAGGCACGACGCAGGATCACCTACAGATCTTCAATATCGAGATGAAGTCCAAGATGAAATCGCATCAGATGCCAGAAAGTGTGGAGTTTTGGCGCTGGATCTCGCCCGACATGATCGGAATCGTCACGAACTCTTCGGTGTACCACTGGAGTATGGAGGTGTGCTAACCACAAAAATTGCGTTAGGCTTGATTCCCCACCCTCCTCGCCCTAGATCTTTGGCAGTGACGCAGCCACGGTTGAAGAATTGAAGCAACATGTGGAGATGATTTTGGAGGCTGTTTTCCCCTTGAAGACCGCGTTCCCACGTTCATCTCTCACAACTTAAACATCCGAGTATATGTTTTCGAGGCTATACTCTCTTTTGCTTTTGTTTGTCCTGCACTGGAGCTTATCTACCATGGATGTTCCTTAGAAAACCGTACATGCGTTTCTTTCCTTTCCCTGTTATTGCGCGGATATCGCGACTCCCCGAGTCCATGCCCGTTTCTGTGAGATACGCTCCTTCTTGCATATCATTCACTAAGTTAAATCTTTTCTTCTGTATATCTTCAACATATCTTTCCCCATACTTGAGCAGGGAGACGCAGCACCTCGGAAGATGTTTGACCGCACAGAAAACCTCGCGGGCAACCAAATCATATCATATCGTGCATCCGAAGACATGCAGTGGTTTACCCTGGTTGGGATCGCCCCCGGTAATCCTGCCCGACCAGCGCTTGTTAAGGGAAATATGCAACTCTACTCAGTGGCGCAGTCCCGGTCACAGGCTCTTGAAGCGCATGCAGCAGCGTTCGCAACGCACTTAGTTGCAGGAAACACGGCCAAATCGCACGTCGTCGCATTTGCTCAAAGGATGGTACAGCCAGACGGTTCTATCTCTAGCAAACTTCACGTGATCGAGCTTGGCGCACAGGCTGGACAGAGCCCCTTTCAAAAACGCCAAGCAGAGCTCTTTTTCCCACCGGACTTCGTGGACGACTTCCCAGTGTCAATGCACATCTCAGAAAAGTATGGGGTCATATATGTCGTCACTAAAAATGGTCTGCTATTCGTGTACGACCTTGAGACGGCAACTGCAGTTTACCGCAACAAAGTGTCGAACGACCCCATATTCATTGCGTGCGGCTCACCTTCGAGTGGAGGCATTTACGTGGTGAATCGCCGCGGGCAGGTGCTACTCATCAACCTGAACGAACCTGCGGTGGTTCCGTTCATCTCCGGTCAGCTCAGTAATGTAGAGTTAGCGATGAGTTTGGCCCAACGAGGCAATTTGCCCGGTGCTGAGGCACTGGTAACACCCAAGTTTGAGCTGTTGTTCTCCCAGGGCGATTTCAAAGCAGCAGCAGAGCTTGCAGCGGACTCGCCCAAAGGAGCGCTGCGAACCAGGGAAACCATCGCAAAATTTCAGGCAGTTCCTGCACAACCTGGTCAAAACTCTCCTCTGCTGCAATATTTTGGCATTTGCCTTCAGCGGGGGAAACTCAACGCGTTTGAAACTTTGGAGTTATCCCGGCTCGTTTTGTCACAAAATAAAAAGGTGCTCCTCGACACGTGGATGGCAGAAGATAAACTCGAATGCTCTGAAGAACTCGGGGATATGCTCCAAAATGTAGATCCTGATATGGCGCTGCGCGTGTGGATCAAGGCAAGAGCGAATAACAAGGTTGTCGCCACTCTTGCAGGGAAAGGCGAGTTCGAAAAGATGGGGAAATATTGCGAGATGGCGAATTTTAAACCGGACTACTCTTACCTGTTGCAGAGTACGCTGATGAGCAATCCGCAGGGAGCGGTGAATATCGCGATCCAAATTGGCAACCAGTCCCCACCTCCACTTGATTTTAATGCAGTTGCCGACCTGTTTTTGCAGCGCAACATGATCAGAGAAGCCACAAGTTTCTTGCTCGAAGTTTTGAAAAAAGACCTACCTGAACAAGCTGCATTGCAAACCAAGGTTCTCGAGATTAATCTTGTCACCTTTCCCAACGTAGCGGACGCTATACTTGGTCAAGGAAAGTTGACACACTATGACCGCCCGCGCATTGCTCAGCTGTGTGAAAAAGCAGGTCTGTACATGCGCGCATTGCAACATTATGTCGAGGTGTCTGATCTGAAGCGTTGTTGCGTGAACACGCACTCTATCGATCCTGCGGCATTGATCGAGTGGTTTGGCACTCTGTCAAGGGAATGGGCCCTCGAGTGTGTAAAAGAACTACTTATATCAAACCAACGTCAGAACCTCCAAATTGTTGTCAACGTATGCAAGGAATACACCGAACAACTGACTGCAGATTCCATAATAACGTTACTGGAAGAGCACAAAAGCGCGGAAGGCCTGTTTTACTATCTTGGCTCTTTGGTTGCAACGAGTGAAGACCCGGATGTGCACTTCAGGTACATCGAGTCGGCTGCTAAGACAGGTCAAATCAAGGAGGTAGAGCGCGTCACGCGCGAGTCCAGTTTTTACGATCCTGAGAAGGCAAAGGTCTTTCTGATGGAAATGGATCTGCCTGATGCGAGACCGCTTATTAACGTATGTGATCGATTTGACTTCGTACCCGAGCTCACCACACACCTGTACCAGAAGAAGCTCCTACGATACATCGAAGGATATGTACAGAAGGTAAACCCAAGCAATGCCCCACTGGTTGTTGGCGCATTACTGGACCAGGAGTGCGATGAGGACTTCATCAAGAATCTCATATTATCTGTCCGTTCACTTCTTCCTGTTGGACCGCTTGTGGAGGAAGTTGGCAAACGTAACCGCCTAAAGATGCTGACACCGTTCTTAGAGCACCTCGTGTCAGAGGGCTCAACTGATCCCAGTGTACATAATGCCCTTGGAATGATCCTCATCGATAGCAACAGCAACCCAGAGCATTTCCTGACCACCAACGAGCATTACGACAGCAAGGTAATAGGTAAGTACTGCGAGAAACGAGATCCTAATTTAGCTTGTGTAGCTTACAAACGTGGGAACTGTGACTTCGAACTCGTGGACTGCACCAATAAAAATTCGCTGTTCAAGCTTCAATCCCGCTATGTCGTCGAGCGCATGGATCACGATCTTTGGGCGCATGTCCTCAACGATGAGAATGCGCACAGGCGCCAGCTGATAGACCAGGTGGTATCCACTGCTTTACCTGAAAGCAAAAACCCTGAGCAAGTCAGCGTCACAGTAAAGGCATTCATGACAGCTGAGATGCCACAGGAACTCATCGAGCTGCTTGAGAAGATCGTCTTACAGAACAGCGCGTTCAGTAACAACCCCAACCTGCAGAACCTTCTCATTTTAACTGCCATAAAGGCCGATAAGACAAGGGTTATGGACTATGTCAACCGTCTCGATGCATTCAATGGCCCAGAGGTTGGCGAGATCGCGGTGGGTAACGAGCTTTACGAGGAAGCGTTCGCGATTTTCAAGAAATTTGATCTTCATGTTGATGCCATGAAGGTTTTACTCGATTCTATCGAGTCCATTGATCGTGGCAGCGAGTATGCCGCGAAGGTTGATCTTCCAGATGTTTGGAGCCAGCTCGCCAAGGCGCAGCTCGCCCTCGACGTTGGCGCTGCTGTTGCATCGTATATCAAGGCGCAGGATGGGGCTGACTACAACGCTGTCATCGACGTTGCGAAGAAATGCAACGACTACGAAGCATTAGTCAAATACCTTGTCATGGTGCGCAAAAAAGTCAAAGAAGCGCGCGTGGATACCGAACTGTGCTACGCATACGCTCGCATTAATTCGCTAGGCGAGCTTGAAGAGTTCATCATGACACCCAACGCCGCAAGCCGAGAGACGGTTGGCGAGCGATGCTTTTCTGAGGGACTGTATGAAGCAGCAAAGGTTATGTTTACTGCAGATTCTAATTGGGCACGTCTTTCATCAACGCTCGTCAAGTTGCTGAGGTATCAAGAGGCTGTGGATGCCGCACGTAAAGCGAACCAGACCAAGACGTGGAAAGAGGTGTGTTTTGCGTGCGTTGACTGTGAACAGTGGCGACTCGCTCAGCTATGCGGGTTGCAAATTATCGTCCAAGCAGATGAGCTCGAAGAAGTATCCTTGTATTACCAGAGCCGCGGTAGATTTCCAGAGCTTCTTTCTCTCATGGAAGCTGGCGTGGGGCTGGAACGTGCACACATGGGCATTTTTACTGAGCTTGGCATTTTGTATGCTCGGCATCGCCCGGAAAAGCTGATGGAGCATCTCAAGTTGTTCAGCACGAGAATAAACATTCCTCGTCTGATTCGCTCGTGCGAAGAGATGGCGGCGTGGAAGGAGCTCTCCTTCTTGTATATCGCATATGATGAGTACGATAATGCTGCAGGGGTCATGATGGAACACCCTGATGCCTGGGAACATGTATCGTTCAAGGATGTTTGCGTCAAGGTGGCAAATGTGGAGGTGTATTACAAGGCACTCAATTTTTACTTACAGGACCACCCTACGAAACTAAACGATTTACTCACCGTATTGACCCCTCGAATCGATCACACTCGGGTGGTGGATCTGATGCGAAAGGCTGGACACTTGCCCTTACTGAAGCCTTACCTGAGCGCGGTGCAAAATTGCAATTTGAACGCAGTAAATGATGCAGTGAATGAGCTGTGCATCGAAGAAGAGGACTTTCAAGGCTTGCGCAATTCCATTGACCTTTATGACAACTTCGATCAGATGTCCCTCGCGTTTCGTTGCGAAAAGCACGACCTGCTCGAGTTCCGTCGCATCGCCTCTTATATTTACCAGAAGAACTTGAGGTGGAAGCAATCTGTTGAGTTGTCAAAAAAAGATCGTCTTTTCAAGGATGCCATGGAGGCTGCGGCCCAGTCGGGTGATCGTACAATCGCTGAGGAGCTTCTCAACTTTTTTGTTGCTGATCGAAATCGAGAATGCTTTGCTGCTTGCTTGTACACGTGCTATGACCTCTTACGAGCAGATATCGTGTGTGAACTGGCATGGACAAATGGTCTGATTGATTTCGCAATGCCTTTCATGATTCAGGTGTTGCGCGATTACACTGGTAAGGTTGACTCTCTGGTTGAGGACAAGAAAGATCGCAACGATGAGAGAGTGGCGGCAGAGAAGGAGGCAGTAGAGCAGCAGATGAATCAGAACCTCTACGCACAGCTTCTCCCAGCGGCGTTACCGGCGCCAGGAATGGATTCCACAGGTGGCACGTTTGTCCCAGGCACGATACCACCCCGTGGCATGGCTGGGTATGGCTCCGACAGCATCTCTCCAGGTGGGTACATGCCACAGCAGCAGGGATATTTCTGAGGTTTTGGGCCAGACTACCAAAGCGTACAGTAAGTTGTAGTGCAACTTACGTGTTTTGTTCAACCATTAGATCGCAATTCCGCAGAGTCTATGCAGCGCAGAGATAAAACTTGATTCAGGAACGTCAAGCGAAGAAATGTACAACAAGCAAGTCTCACAAATTGTTATCCCAAGCATTTCCAAGCCAACCCTTGAGGACACGAAGAAGAGTGTGACTCCTGTTCAAAATATTATTTGTGTATTCCTCACCGGTACAGAGGCTACATTTACGTGTATGTACACATACCTTCGAAGGCATAGACTAGGATATGTATAATGTCTAAGGACTTCTGGAAGTATAAAGTTGCAACTTAGTCTACAGTATCCTACCTTCGTACTTCGGGAAGTACGTACCTTCTAATAAGGTACGTAACAACTTACTTCGATATTCCGTAAGTGTAGCCCTACAGTATATGTACATGTAGTCTATGTAGCCCTGCATTATTATAGTCTAACAACTTATTTATACACGTACAAGTCTATTCAATGCTAGTAGTGTACGTGTACGTGTACACGTGTACTTCCGTACGTGTAAAATACCTAAGCACCTTCGTTCGCATGATATAAAAGTTTAGAGAGATAACTGTACACGTAGCACTCACGTAGCCCTAAGTTGTTTTACTGTATGTTGATATGCAAGTAGAATATTATTGTAAGTTGATTTGCAAGTAGAATATTATTGTAAGTTGATTTGCAAGTAGAATATTATAAAACAACTTTATTTTATTTATAAGAACATTCATACTGTATATAGTACGTGTACTGTACGTGTACGGAAGTAAACTTATAATTAATACCTTCGTACCTTCGAAGGATACATGCACGTGTAAGGCATAGCTAGCCCTTGTATCAAGTTGTTTTAGCAACTTGTGGCATCAACGCTAATTCGCGCCGGAAGTACCTTCGAAGGTATCATCGAAGGTATTCTATTCTCGTACAAAATCTATATGTTGTTACGTGTACTTCCGGAATACTCCCGTACCTTCGAAGGTACGAAAGTACTTCCGGAAGTACTTCCGTACGTTGTACGGAAGTACAATGCATCCGATACCTTCGACGGTATCTACCAGGGGATAATAACTTATTACTAAAATTTAATAAGTATTTCAAAGTACTGCAGTTTTAACTCACAATCGACGGTCTAATTTCGCTCGACCCGCAAAAGTCTTCGCCTTCGGCGTGTAAATAAAACAAATACTTTCGAAATACTCAATCAAGATACTTTCGAAATACTCAAGATAAATACTCTAGATAAATAAATTTACTTTTACCCATTATTTATTTACTATTAAAAGTTATTAACCCCTGGTACAGATAGAGCTACAGACCCTGTTACTCAGGTATTTGAGGAGTGAATACTTGAATAAATACTGAGTAGATAACAACTTACTCGAAAATCGTGTATCTATTTATTCATTCGCCGGAGGCGAATTTGTTTTCGAAATATTTACAGTGTGTACAACGTTGTACTTTTAATAGTGTATTTATATATTTACGCAAATTTATTAAGTTGTTATTCTTTGCTGAATGTATAAAATAAAGTCGTTACTGTATTTATTTATCTACTCGCCGTAGGCGACGAAAAATACATTATTTGTATCTACAGTATATATCTACTCAAAGTATTTGTATGTATAAATAAAGTAAGTGTATGTGTATAAACTGTATGTGTATGAGTATCTATATTTAAGTAAATCTATCCAAATAATAATAATATTAATATTAGTCTAAAATACTGTACAGTGTACACGTAGCGCAATCTAAGTGCAAATAAAATACGCAAGTACGTGTACTGTACGTATGTACTTCCGGAAGTACTTTCGAAAGTACTCAAGAGTATCTATCTAGCTACCTTCGTACTCAAACATGCCATGTGCAAAATACTCAAGAGTATTTTTATATATCTACCTCCGTACAACTACAGTACAGTACTCAAACTTCGAATATCCGAATACTCACCAATATCCATCTACACGTACTCAAAAATACTTGTAACTAATAAATACCTTCGAAGAAACTCGATAAAACAACTATCCTACTCACTTGGAATATTTCTTTGAGTAACATACAGGGCTTTTAGATATGATACAGTACAGAAATATTGAAAGTGCGGAAGTACGGAAGTACGGAAGTATTTTCGAAAGTACCTTCATTCGTATCTTCGAAGTACGAAAGTAAATTTATTATCGAAGTACATGTACGGAAGTATGGACAGAAGTACTTCGAAAGTACGGAAGTACTTCGGAAGTACGGAAGTAGCTTCGAAGGTACGGAAGTAGGCAGGGCTACAGTAATACATACATAAACATACATTTATATCTTCGTAAGTATGATACTTCCGGAAGTACCTGGTATCTATTTACGTACGAAACGAAGTACGGAAGAACGAAAGTACTTCCGGAAAATATGTACACGTACTGTACACGTACGTGTACTGTAGGATACTTTCGAAAATATTTTCGAAAATACTTCCGGAAGTACACGTACGTGTGCGTGTACAACGTTGTACTTCCGGAAGTATTCTATACCTTCGAAGGTACTTTGTACTTTCGTACTTCCGGAAGTACTTCATTCCGTACGTGTACCTTCGTACTTCCGGAATACTTTCGTACCTTCATTCGTACGGAAGTATATATTCTATTTCCGCACGTGTATGTAGTATGTACAGTACAACGTAGTTGCACATGTACTGTACTTTACCTTCGTATTTATTAGGTCACGCTCCGGTAAATAAAATTTCATGTGCCAAAGGTGCACGTGTACACGTACGTGTACAGCTGTACACGTACACTACAGTATGCAATTTGATTGCGTGTATTTTTCAAATCGCAAAAAACGTGCTTTCGTGCACCCCTTCGTGTACGCTTCGTCGCTGCGTCCAAGTAAATAGTTTATAAGTTTATAAGTTGTACGTTGTACGGAAGTACCCCCGAAGTACTTTATATTAGATCGCCATACGAGCTAATAATAAGTTTATGATACAACTTTTTAGCTAGCTACAAGCTCTAGAAAATCTATTCAAAATAGACTACACGTACGTGTACGTGTACTGCAGAGGTGCAGACGTGCATTGTGAAGTGCGTAGCTAGCTTCGTAGCTAGTACACAGCTGCACACGTATGAACACGTACACGTAGCCATCCATACATATTATTTCTGGAAGTAACTTCGAAGTGAGGTACTGTACAACGTACAACGCGCGTTTATATGTTGCTATTGTACACGTACGTACTGTACGATAAAGTCACACAAAAAATATATGAAATAAAGTTGCGCATTGATTGTTTGCGTGGACGCGTCGTGTATCGGATACAACGTTGTAGCTAGTGTACGTACGTGTACAACGTTGTACCTTCGAAGGTACAGTAAATAAACCAGCAGCTAACACTAGCCCTTGTATGATACTGTGTATTCTATATTATAATACGTGTACTGGATGGGGTCTTTGTCGGCACCTTACAGTATCCATTTATCTATTTCAGCCCTGCCAGACCGGATTTTCGAAATTTGGCACGCTGCGATAATTACGCACTTGCCCCGTTGTTGTCTCCAGCTTTTTGTATATTAAATGGACAGATTCTGCAGCTTTACGCCAGGATGGGTAAGCAAAATTTACTGCCGCCTTCCAACCGACTCCGATGTTAACACCCCAGTGAACCGAACCATAGTCAGTTGCAATGTACTCGGAAGGTCCTTGTAGATGGCGGAATACACTGATCTTTTCCCCACAGGAACCTCTCCAGGCAATTACATCAGTAGGATCTAACCACAGCTTGCGCTGCTCAAGACAATCAATCGAATACTCAAGTCCTAATAAGTTACGAAGATATTCGTGCAGATAGTTCATGTCAGACTGAGGGATCGAGTACCAAATCACCCAGGCTTGCGACTCAGGTGGTGCTAGGATGACATTCGCAGAGCCAAAGGCATAGTCTTCTATGTGGCAGCAGAACATGGAACCAATACTCATGAAATATAACCACGGTGAAATAATGCCTGCACCCCACAAGGCTCCGGCACAGCCATTTCCGGATATAACTGATCGATCCGTTGAGTTGAGGGAAATATGATTTTCATCTTCTCCGGATCTTCGTTTCGCAACCAGCATTTCTTTAGATTGATTTCCCTCGAGTAATTGTCGGCGCCCTTTCATCATCGAAGCGGCCACTGATGACGCTGAAACGCAGATCTCCTCGGGAAGGCAACGCTGCTCGCATGTATGGAGCATGCCTCGCAGGAAAGAACTGCCTGAGACAGAGCTAGGCGCCCATCCATGTTGCAATTTATTCTGATGCGAATCTTTCGATGGGGTTGCCGTGCTACTGTCCAGGGCACCAAGCGCAACTGAAGTTAGGTAAGGATTTCGAACTTCAATGCGCGCACGGAGTAGATTTAGGAACAAGGCTTCACGTTCTGTTGGACCAAGTACCAGATACGGAGAGCACGTCGACTTAAAAGTCGTATCTAACTCAGCGAGCATTGTACCGAACGAGGTTCTGGTCGACTTGCTATCGTCCTCTACCATTTTCACGTCAGATCTTGTACCTGAGGGGAGAGACTGCTGCAAAATGGAATACTGTCCACGCAGGGACTTAAGCTTCACGCTGTTATCTTGCAAATGCTTTAAATTCAGAAAAGAGCTGCAATCTCTCGCAGCTTCCCAAACGCTATCACAGTGGACCTTTATGGCACCTTGCTGCTGTAGGACAGAAAGAGAGGTGCAGTGGTACCCTCTTCCTTGGAGCAAGTCACTAGGTGAGGAGGAACCGACAGTAACTGAAACTCCAGCAGCAACTTCACAATTGAAATCTTTCTCTTCGTCACATCTTCTCCAACTGCTTGAATTATGCCGGTGCGACGTGGACTGACAGAAATTTTCGACGTTGCTTTTAGTTAGCTGCACATCGCCTTCGCTTGTGTTTTCTTGAGCACTTAAACGCGTATCTATAGCTTTGAGTATCTTTCTGGCTAATCCGTGTTTTTCACAAATTTGGACACGGCCTTCGTTTGTTTGCTGGACAAGTTTTCGTGAAGAATTGCACCGTGTCCTCACCGCATGCTGAGTTTTCATGGCATTTAAGCTCACACCTGAACATGCGGGCGGTTGATGCGCTTCGATCCGTTTGAACGACGGCAAGGAACTCCGAAGCTCTGTACACTGTTGAACTTCGTTCGCACTACAAGGCAGAAGAGGCATGCATTCGCCAATAATAGACATTCTCGTAGTTTTTTTTTGACATTCTTGTCGAAGGAGGAAAAACGCAAGAGCCTCTTCATGATGGTCTCTGCAAGAAATCCGATGATCCATAACAGGCGAAGCCAGGAAGGCGGTTTTAATAGTCTACGATTGAACTTCCGGAAGATAAAAGTTCACAACTTCACGATGTACGGACTACGGAAGTATTATTACAGTACGTGTACTGTACTGTACTGTACAACGTACTGTATGAAGGTAGCACATATTATGTAGCCCTATCATATCAGTGCCCTATCTATTTGCGTACTATGCCCACTCTATGCCCTACCTCATATGGCCTGCTGACTGCCTATTGTATGCTACGAAAGTATAGATACTTCCGCACGGAAGTACTTTCGTACTTTATTTCGTACCTTCATTCGTACTTTCAAAGTACGAAAGTACTTTCGTACTTTCGTACGAAATAAAGTACACTATGTAAATATGTACGAAAGTACTTTCGTAGTACACGTGTAGTCGTGTACAGTACTACTGTACACGTACAGTACACGTATTTAGATCACATATCTTCGTACTTTCGTACCTTCGTACATGTTTACACGTAGGGCTACGTGTAGCCCGGATGGGTTTTTTATGCTCAGTCTTTTTGTATCAGATACTCGTACAGTACACGTACAGTACACGCACAGTACACGACTACACGTACAGTACGTGTACGTGTACAGCTGTACACGTCGAGGATTGTGTAGCTGTGTACTGTGTACACGTACACGTACAGTCGTACACGTACGTAGTCTGACAACTTTATGGAAGTACGGAAATATTTTCGTACTTTCGAAAGTATCTATTTTCGAGCGAAATAAAGTACAACGTTGTACCTTCAAGGTACGAAAGTACTTTCGAAAGTACACGTACTGTACACGTGTACAACGTTGTACACGTATTCATATGATACTTCCGTCCTTCCTACCTTCCATAACCCGAAGGTAAGTTGTTAGCCCTACCTCCATAAAAAAAGATCAGAGAATCAGGGCGGGTGGGGCAGGCCCTGTGACTGCGGTGTGTAGACTAGTTCAGTGCGCATGGTGGCTTCACGTCAATCGTTGAGTGAAGCACGTTTTCTTGTGCACCCAAATATCCTGAACGAGGTTTTTGATGTCGTGGACGTTACGGGCAGAGGTTCAATAACCGTGCACGACTTCATAGTGGTATGTCCTTCATTTTTCAAACTCACGAGCTCGGCTTTGTTGGTTCATTGGTTATGTTTTCCCTTGGAAAGTTCTACGGCCCTATATCGTTTCTCATCCTTGTATGTGCTCTTGTCGCCGATCGATTGCGTGCAGGCTTTACGAACAAACCCGGTGATTGGGCACCTACTTGACCGAGGTACAATATCTGGCCAAATGGAGGACTCAGGGAAACTATTTGAAAATGTATTCCAAAGGCTTGATTGTGATTCTATGAAGAGAGTAAATGCTAGTGATTTCCAGGGTTACTTTAGAACAGAAACAAACTATCAAGATGATGCAGACTTCGCGCACTCCAAGTTGTCCCCTGGAACAAGAACGTCTCACTCAAGTCAGCCAAAAACTAAAGCAGAAGTTTATTTCAGTGGTTGTTGTCCAGGTAGACGAGGGCGGTATGGAACCACTGGGCGAAGAGATGATCCCCGAGCTTCCCGAGGCACGATTTCTAGTCACGCTGGCTCACATTTTTCGGAAATGCAGGGATTTCCTAAGAGTAATTTTCAAGAGCAAAGTGTTAAGGGCGAGTCAACAAATTCAGCACCTGCTATACCTGATAATTGTGTCAGCTTTCAAGATGAGAAGGAAAGCCTTCGCGCGCAACTTCGCCACAAAGAGATTAAAGTAAGAGCTATCGATAATCGGCTTGGAGCAGTTGAGAAAGATATTATGCAACTGCATCTAGAATACAACCTCCAAAGTCTTAAGCAGGACATGCTTGTCCATATGTGGTCTATGCATATGCTTGACGCTGATCACGAAGATGAGAACTGATTTGCAGTGATACGATTTTTTCTTGAAATATATATATATATATGTGGCGCAGCAGGATCAGTAAGCGAATCGCACTAGCGAAACCTTTCTCCCCCAAACGGATATTATCCATCGAAAGTGTACGAAAATAGATAGACTACCAGGTCGAAAAAAATTGCAGACGTTTAAGGGCAATGAAAACAGTGAACAAATGTGATTGTCTATAGAAATGTTTTCCAAACTCACGCGCATTCACTGAAGAAATCGAACCTTTACTGAGATAAGAAAACTTGTCTAGATTTTGAAGCACGGTTGAGGTCACTAAAATCATGAATCTAAAGAACAGCTCTTCACGTAGCACTAACCAATTACGTTTCTCCCTAGTCTCTTCTCAACTAAATTCAGTGCTTGGAGATGATTTATCAGGATTTCGTGCGTCAACGGAATTATCGTGCCTTTCACATCCGAACCGGGTGCATCATTCTCCTGGTGAAACTTTGTTAGGCAGTGTTTTGTAAATCCATAGAAATCACTTACTTTTCGATCTCTTGGGAGAGGATAAATCGCAAGGAAAGTTTCTCCAAGGTTGCATAAATGTACGCTGATTTTATCGGCCAAGGAATAAATCAAACTTTGGCTTGGAAACAAGCTGGGGTGTACAACTTTGTTTTTTTGCTGTGCACTAGAAAAAAGAGTGGGGTCAGGCATGTTGCCAGGCAGGTATGCATCAAATTGTATCCGATTTTGAGTTCACCTCTCTAAATGATCTACTTCCGATTCCAAAAACGTCAGAGCATCGCTTATTTCGATCTGGTTGGCAAGCAGAATCTGAAGTTGACGTTCCATTCTTTCTTGAGAAGTAGAGGCTTTTCCAAGGTTAGCCTGTTCATAAAACAAAGGGATTTCTGGAAGTCCGGCGAGCATGCGCGAACAGGATAGCATTTACCTGAAGATTCAACAGATGATTGCGATTATTCAAGATGCAATTATCCCACTCCGCGAAGATATCTGTTCTTAACACGAAAGCACTCTGAAAGTCCGATTTGAAACTTCACAAGTCGAAAATAAAAAATTAATCTTCTTCTTACAGTGCGCTTTTGAAGCTCGTGATTCCAGTTAAAAACAATTTCGCCTACGCTCTTTGCTTGAACTTCCGATGGAATCTGAGAATCCATTCTCGGCGACCTGAGTTACCTTCAAGGACTAAAAGAGGTAGAGTCAAACTGTAGATAAGTTGTTAGAGAAAACTGTAAACTGGCCAAAGTATGATATGAATAAAAAGTTATGATATTAATAAATACCTTCGAAGGTACAGTACAATATAATATGCATGATAAGTACGAGTACGTGTAACTTTATCTATGAATATCATATCATATCATATTATCTTCGATTCATAACAACTAAATATATCTACACGTGTATAAATATAAATAACTTTTGCTTATCATACATATTTAAATACCTTTATTTATTTATATAATAGACTAACAAGCGAGCGAGCACGCAAATAATATAAATACGAAAGTAATATCGAACTTATTTAAGATAAGTTGATATGATATGATATGATATGATATGATATTATTTTTACGAAGGTACAGTACGTGTACGTGTACCTTCGAAGATACTTTCGTACGAAGGTATTTATTACTAATACTACTACGTACGTACGTAGCTACGTACTACCTTCGAAGGTACTACGTGCACTACTATTTATGTAATTAATACTTTGTATACAATGTACTACTTTCGTACTAAATAAAGATCGATAAAACTTATGGAAGTATGATACGAAAGTATTCTATTTTCGTACTTCCGTAACAACTTTATCTTCGATGATACGAAGGTAGATAAACAACTTACCTTCATATTACTTATTCCGGACGGTAGTATTTGCTTAATATGCTTTAATGTACGTGTACATACTGTACAGTATGATATTGTACTTCTATTCGATTCGTTCTCGAACGAAGTGGAATACAGAATCCCTACTGTACACGCACGTGTAGTCGTGTACAGCTGTACACGTACACGTAATATGTACGAAAGTACGAATGTACGAAAGTACCTTCGAAGGTACGAAAGTACTTTGTACCAAGCAAGGTAATCCTTCGAAGGTACGAAAGTACTTTCGTACTTTCGAAAGTACTTTCGAAAGTACGAAAGTACGAAAGTACTTTCGTACTTTCGTACAGTACTTTATTTCGTACGAAAGTATAAATAATATGGCCTACAAAAAATATAAAGCTGTGGTAACGCCCGTGTTGTGTCTTTGCCGAAGAAGGGCCTTCCGTGAAATGAATGTGAATTTGTTTCGAAGAATATATCCATGAATGCTCGTTCTTCTCCAAAAGAAGGCTTCTTGAGAAATTCACGGCTGTTTTTTTTCTCAAATGCGTCAGCAGCAGCTTTCGGTTTGCCAAAATAATCTTGACCTCACAGGCGCCGCTATAGCAACTGCAGACCGAACGCCCAATAGAGATTTCATCGATGATCAAATTCTGGTGGAGCGAGAAAATGTCCCTTCTATTTCTCTCCCGCGACAAAGCACAGGTATATGCCATTTCGCACTTGGTAGGCTTCTTGAGCACTATTCCTCGATGGCAAACAGTCACGGTTAAAATCGTTTCGACGGCGTGCATATGAAAAGGAAGTCTTCCGTTTTAGAATGCAGAGTATCATATTTTCTCGTTTTTATTCCGGATTATTTTTAGACATGGGCGGTTCCCTTGTCAAGGTGGTGTACTTTTCTCAAGACAGTGAAGACAAAACTGGTGACCTTCCTCTTGACTCGTCGTCGATGCTAGGAGGAGGAAGGCTGCATTTTCGAAAATTTCAAGCAACACAACTGGAAATTTGTTTAAATTTTATAGAACAAAATCGCCTGCATCTTGGCGCTGAAGGAAGGAAGGCTATTGTCAAGGCAACTGGTGGAGGTGCCTACAAGTAAGTCTTGCTTATCCTGCTCATAAATTTCCTCCAATACGAACATATTTCCATTGCTGTTCTTTAACCAGTAGACGTGTTTGGAGAAGCCAGATTTATTACTTATGTCTAGTATGGTTCATTATGATGCACTATACCTCGAGGAATTCACTGTTATTCCAACGTCGTTTTGGTATACAACTTCAGAAAGAAGATGAGATGGAATGTGCAGTTGCAGGTGCAAACTTTCTTCTTGAGACAATCAGAGATGAAGCATTCACCTTCACTCACGGTCAGAAAGACTATGTTGTTCCTGAAGATTTGCACGAAGATAACGATGATCTGTTCCCCTACCTGCTAGTGAACATAGGCTCAGGTGTCAGCATCATTAAGGTTGACAGGTCCTCTTTCGAGCGCATTGGGGGCACAAACATAGGTGGCGGTACATTTTGGGGACTATGTCGACTTCTCACAGGACTTCAGGATTTCGATGAGATGCTTGCGTGCAGCGCAGCTGGAGATAACAGCAAGGTTGACATGTTAGTCGGTGACATTTATGGTGGTCGAGACTATTTAAAAGTAGGGCTGTCAAGTAGCACCATAGCATCCTCTTTTGGTCGGGTGGTGACAGAGGAAGGTTCACTTGAGGACTATAATAAAGCTGACATAACACTCTCTCTGCTTCGCATGATAAGCTACAATATTTCACACATTGCGACGTTGATGGCAGTTAAGCACGGGCTTAAGCGCATATTCTTTGGAGGCTACTTTATCAGAGGGCATGCGTATACCATGAACACAATATCTTTTGCAGTTGACTATTGGAGCAAGGGTGAATTGAAAGCGATGTTTCTTCGACATGAAGGATTCCTCGGGGCATTGGGTGCGTTTCTTCAAGATGCTCAGGCACAATCATTTTACAGTGTCCCGCTACGCGGTCCCTGGATAGAAAATATCATGAAATACTCTGTGCCATCGTTTTCTTGGAAACAGAGAATGGATTTTAAAGCTGATCATATAGTCGAGCCACAAGTAGGTAAGGTATGTACTGACAATAGCTGCCTGTATGGTATTGCCTCTGGAACATCAGCTTGCTCTGTTAAACGTGTACGCTTTGTAGCTTTCCTGCAGTGTTCAATATCAAAAGATGAGCAAACTTACAACAGGAACGGTACTTTGTCACAGTCTGTATATTTTGGGACATGCTGCACCAACGTCGACAAGAAGAGCTTGAAAATAATTCCAAGTTTGAGTACTCACAAAAAAAACTTGTCTGACCAACAGGCTCGGCGGAGAAAAGACACCGAAAGTGCTTATATCAATACTTTCCAGGACCGTTTTCTTGAAATGGACAGGCTTCAGATGGATGTATTGAACCTCAAGCAGACATTGATTACATTTCCGCTTCTGTGCTGCCCTGTCGAATATGAGCCTGACATCATAGATTTGCACGAATCTCGAGAGGAGCGAGAATATTGGCTTGATATATTGCACGGCGTGAGCCAGGGTCTATTAGAAAAGGCCTTAACTTCAGAAAATACAAGGCATGACGTCTGTGAAGCCTGTTCTGACGATGCGGGTGAGCGCGTTGCCGCGTTCAGTACAGTTTTTTGTGGACATCTTGACAGGTTACGCGAAGAGCCTAGCGCATACGGTCGCATTGGCCTTTCTGGACTTTTTGAGTTGCGCGAAGAATGTTTACGAGCTTATGGTTTCAGAGATGCTTATTTTCAAGTGAAAAAACAAGAAAATGCGGCCGCTCTTGCAGTACTTCCTGACTTATTTTCTGAACTGGATGGAATGCTCGACGAAGAACGCCTGCTTGTTCTTATTGAAGGTGTGTTAGCTGGTAATATTTTCGATTGGGGGAGCCAAAGCTGCGTGGACCTTTACAACAAAGGTACTGTTCTCGAGATATATAGGCGTGCTCGAGCTTCAGTCGCAAGACCGTGGGCTGTAGACTGCTTCGACAAATTTCGAGCAGTGTTCTTTGGCAATGGTATTCGAGTGTGTCAATACAATAAGGCCCTTTTGTTTTGCGATAATAGCGGTGCTGACATTGTGCTAGGAATGCTTCCTTTCGCGCGTGAACTACTTAAACGTGGTACGGATGTGTGTCTTGTAGCGAACTCTCTTCCTGCAATCAATGACGTAACTGCACAAGAGTTGCGCGAAGTTGTCCATCTTGCTGCTGAAAACTGCAAAACTCTCACATTGGCACTCTCTGCCCACCTTCGTTCCTCGGACAATGCATCTCTTGTAAAACCTTCAGGAATTCTTACTGTATGCGCAAACGGCAGTGGCTCTCCATGTCTTGATTTCAGACGTGTTTCGTTAGAACTTTGTAAAGCTGCAGAAGGAGCTGACCTCATTGTTTTGGAGGGAATGGGTCGCGCTATTCATACAAATTTCAACGCCATTTTTCACTGTGATACTTTGAAGCTAGCCATGATAAAGAATTCTCGACTGGCAGAAAAACTCTTCGGTGGTAAAGTATACGATTGTGTTTGTAAGTTTGAGCCACTGTGCAGGACGTAGGTATACGTTCAGATGGATTTTCGGGCAAGTTAGTGTACAGATTCAATTGGATGACTAAAAGATGTGGCAAGGTTAATACGTTCAGCAAACAAAAATGACCGAACGCACGTTATTTTGGCATTTTCGTTCGAACGAGGAATGCATATGAGTAGCCTGTGCATATGCGAATTTACCTCACTTAGGAAAACGAGGCTTGAAACCTTTCTGCAAGTTGTTGTACCTCCATGTCCTTGAAACCAGGAAGTTTATGAGGAAATATAGAACGCTTTCTAACGTGTGTTTGACGAAAGGGGAGTTCAGTAGTAATCCTTCATGACCACCGGAATACGAATCAACACGTGGCAGTCCTGCTTGTATGGATTGTTTTTCTTTTAATGTACTCAACTGCTTGCAGCGTCAGTCAACCTTTGAATCTTCTCTTGCAAAATGCTTCAATTCGGTCCCAAGCAACCTGGATAAGTGACTCTGGTACAGTGGTCACAACGCGTATGAAACCGGGAGCTCTAAAACATTCTCCTGGTAACACTAAGACCGACTCTTCTGATAGGAGACTCTCGGCAAAATGAGAAGTAGTTAGACATCCTCTAAAAGCACAAAGATCTATTTTCACAAGTAAATACATAGCGCCTTCAGGAGGAGAAACTATCGAGAGGCCATCGATGTTCAGCACACGTTTTTCTGATAGTGTCGTGCATCGGTTCAGTGCACACATGATTTCAGAAAGCCATACACTATCATCGGTTGCTAAGATAGCGGGGACAGCTGCTTGGATTGGTGCACTTGGACCAAGGGATATTTGACAGAGGTTGTTGATGGCTGCACGAACGCCAGAACCGTGCAGATTCCCTTGAATATCATGCACGCAAACCCACCCCAAGCGCCAACCAGGAACTAACCAGCGCTTGGATAGCGCACCCACGATAAACATTGGTACACTGCAAGAAAACTCAGCAAGTGACACAAACTCCTTGCGGAACGTCATTCCAGCATATACCTCGTCAGCAAGCACTGGTAACTTAAGTGCACTCGAAATTCCGACAATTTCTTCAAGATGTTGCCTGGAATATACCGCTCCGCATGGATTAGACGGATTGTTTATCAGTATAGCCGCTGTCGACGTATTGGCTAAGCGTCGAATACTGCAAAGGTCCACCTCCCACCCTCTGCCTGGCACTAAATCATAAAAAAGACAAACAACACCATGGCGCTGACATATAGTTTCATACAGAGGAAAACCAGGACGAGGGAGTAGAATATTTTTGCCAGGCGCAACCAAAACCGCGATGCAGTGTTCAAGAGCCTCAGAACATCCAGCAGTTACGTAAACGTCGTGAAGAGATAAAGGGTGACAAAAATCGTGAGAGTGCGCAGCTGCAATTGCTGCACGACACGCCGCCGACCCAGTCGACGCCGTGTACCCGTCGTGGTTGCCACTTGAAAATGCGCGGACAACTGCAGAAACAGCTTCCTCGGATGGTTTGAGATGCCCATACGCGGTGGGGTCGCCCTGGGCGAGCGATATCAACTCTTTTTGTGGGTTCTCTTTCCCGAGAAGGTCATCCACTATTATCCTGATCGGATTTTTTGACTGTGTTAAGGTGGTTGCACGCACGCGCCAGTTGGTTGTATCGCGATTGCTAAAGCCCGCGAGACTGTCACAGTTTGTAGTGTCCATATTCCAGAAAATGCTAGTGACAACTTCAACCCATCTACCTTGCCTTCATTTCCACCTCGCTACGCGAGTTTCGCAGAACACTCTAAAATAATAGACAAGTTGTACACGTACTGTACCTTCGAAGGTCTTCTGTATCTTCGTAGCCCAAGCGTATGGGCAATTCGCGTGCTCGCTATGGGCAATCAATCACAGATTAATACGTACTCAAGTGTTGTGAAGGATCGACTTATTGTTAAGTTGTTTATATAAGTTGTTTGTTGTTTCATAAAATATTTATTTTATCGTACTACTACTACTGTACGTGTACGTGTAGCGTAGTCATACGTACAGTATTATGAAATGATGAATGATTTTATACGTGTATTTTTAAGCGTTTTAAATAAAAATACGAGTCGCGCAGGGATTCACCATAGAAGTAAAGAATAAGAAAACGCAACGAATGGACGGTGGCGTACCTCGTGTGGTTGAGGCTGGAGTGTTTGACGGCGGGAGGGAAGTGACGTGTGTGGGGGGGGCGAGTTGTGTTCCCGAAGACCTTATCTGATCCGTACGTGTTCCCAAAGACCTTTATCCGTACGTGTACGTGTACAGCTGTACGTGTACGTGTACATATGTATGTAAGGCCACGATAACTAAAACTTGAGGTCAGTGCAACATTTAGTCAGAAAGTACACTACGTGTAGATGGGGTACGAAATAATATGTAATTGAAGATTTTACGGCATAACAACGAGCATTTACTGTAGGCTAGAACAACGGCTTTATTGGCTTCGTACAACGTCGGAAGTACTATCGGTACTCGTATTCAATAAAACAACACATACAATGTGACAGGAACAGTAAAATCGTAAATATTTCCGCAGGATGGGTGGGATATTAGTTTCAATATATATTTATATTAAAAGGTTTTGAAGACTGACTGGAACTACATACGATGGGGAGCGGGATTTCTTATGAAATATGTAGCATTTTACACAAATATATTACGGAAAAAAAATTCTTCCGCGGAGTTTGCTGGGAGGGTGGGATTTTTTTTTAAATAGATTGCGATTTACAAATGCCAAATTTCGCAAAAAAAGGCAGGGTGGGTTGCACTGACCTCAAGTTTTAGTTATCGTGGCCTATCTAACGTTGTACTGTACTTTCGAAAGTACTTTCGAAAGTTCTTCCGTACTTCAGACAAAGCCCTGCCGCGCCACGCCCTTCTTTTTCTGACGGCCGCGCCGGGAAAGCGCTGATTTTATCATTTTTCATATTTGAGAACGGGGCTTTACCTGCAAAAAGATCGTACTTTCGGACGTGTACGTCTTCTGTGTCTAGACAACATATATATAGCTTTTCCATATTTTCGGATGACGAGAAGGTCGCATCGTTTGCCTCCATGTCACAATTCTCTCACAACTGCTCTTCTCATGGATACCTACCAAATTACCATGGCTTACGCGTACTGGAAGAATGGGACCCACGCGCGTTCTGCGGCTTTCGACCTCATCTTTCGAAAAAATCCGTTTTCTGGGGAGTTCACCATATTTGCCGGACTTGAGGAATGCTTGCGATTCATATCAAATTTCAAGTTTACCGAAGAAGATATATCCTTTCTCAGCAAGTAAGTTTTTTCGATTTCCAGTCAGTTATGCCTCGCTTGTGCAAATTTGGATCGTATTTTGTTTTCCTCCGGTGCATTCCTAGTAGAATATCTTAAAGTAAATCAATACGTGAACATATCGGAAAGCTATGGAGACTGACTTGCCATATTTTTCCAGCGAACCACTGTCCACTTCAATGGATGTCAATTTCTTCAAATTTCTTCGCCAATTGGATTGCACTCAGATAAAAATCTTTGCACAACTTGAGGGTAGCATAGTTTTCCCTCGCGTGCCCCTCATGCGTGTCGAAGGCCCACTGGTGATGGTTCAACTGGTTGAGACGACTTTACTTACCTTAGTTAATTATGCAAGTTTGGTAGCAACAAATGCTGCGCGACATCGTCTGGTAGCGGGTGACAGTGCTACACTTCTTGAATTTGGCTTGAGACGTGCACAGGGTCCTGATGGAGGTAAGTAATCTCACACATGCTATACAGTGACGATCGCGAGGATAAATCTTACGAGTGTGATTCATTTTTTTTTTCTTGACCTTATGAGTGCAGGCGTCTCTGCTTCGAGGTACGCGTATATGGGTGGGTTCAACGGCACGTCCAATCTTGAAGCAGGGCGACAATTTGCCATCCCGTGTAAAGGGACACTTGCACATTCTTACGTGCAATCGCACCAAGGTTTTCAGGATATCGGAGATCCCCGGCTGAGACTCCCTGATGGGAATATGTGTCCTGACTTCCTAGCACTGGTCGGTTTATTTAAATCAAAATGGCTGTTTTATCTGTTCCTGTTCCAGATAAAAGTTCATTTTGAACTTGTTTTAACTGACGCGACTCTACACCCCGGTCATGGATAGGGCAGCTTTGTTAGACAGATACAAGGAAAGTTTTCCAGATGACTTACGCTGGACGAAAACAAATCAAAGTGAACTTGCTGCGTTTACATCGTATGCACTAGCTTTTCCGTCTAACTTTTTGGTGTTGGTTGACACATATGATGTTTTGAAGTCGGGCATTCCAAACTTTTTAGCTGTTGGCCTCGCTCTTCGGTCATGCGGATATGAACCGTTAGGAATACGAATCGATAGTGGAGACCTTTCGTACCTAAGCCTTCGGGCAAGAGAAATGTTGCAGCACACGCAAGATTTACTCGGGGCAAGTTATGCTGAAGGCTTCGCTCAGCTTGGCATCACCGCAAGCAATGATATACATGAGGAAGTATTGCACTCGCTCAACCAGCACGGACATGCCATAACGTCCTTTGGAATTGGAACGCACCTTGTGACGTGTCTGCGCCAGCCTGCCCTTGGTTGTGTGTATAAGCTCGTTGAAATTGACGGTGCACCTCGCATCAAATTAAGTGAAGATGTTGAGAAAGTGACCATTCCAGGACGCAAGGAGGCGTTCCGGCTTTATCTAAAAAATGGCGAGCCCGTGGTTGATGTGATGCTGCAAGGTGACGAACCAACGCCTAAAGTCGATTGCCGCATTCTTTGTCGGCATCCCTTCATATCATCAAAGCGTGCTTATGTCCAGCCAGCACGAGTTGAAAGACTATTCCACCTCGTCTGGGATGGCATGAATGGAGGCGTTCCACCAGACCTTGACCTTAGTCTCTGCACTGCTAGATCACGATGTATGTCATCAATCAAAATGATGGTAAGGCTTCTGTCTTCATTGTACTTCTGTTCTTCTTGATATGTCTTGCTTGAATTTTGAAAACAAAAGTTGCTTTCAATGTACTGGAGCCCTCTAGTAGCGCTCCGACCATCTTAGGTACAGTAACCCTACACCGTACAAAGTGAGTGTCAGCGAACAACTCTATGATTTTATCCACAAGCTTTGGCTTGAAGAAGCACCCGTCGGAGAAATTATGTGAAGCTTTGAGTTGTGAATTTGGATTGAGAGGATCGGTCAACGGGCGAGCTGATGTACAAATGTATGTTTTTTCTTGGAGTGGGTAGACCTGAGAGGATTTTGCCTCAAGGATTGCATGTGACTTTCCACGAAACACGGTACACTTCGGCGCGTATCTGTCTGCACATTCAGCACGTTTGCCTCCTGCTTCAGAAAGCCACCTCATGGACATATCATTTCAACGGCACAGCAATTGGCGAAAGAAGAACCCTCCAGCAATAAAGGCCCTCCAATACTGCTTTGATATTTGTTTTTCGTCCATTGCTGCGCAACCTTGATAGATCAGGGTTGTAGTGCTAGTCTAGGCTATCTAGAGACAAGATGAGCTAATGAGTAGTAGATTTTCTCTTGAGTGTACTGACACATGATTGTGTGGAAAAGCTTTTCTTTAAGGTCACGGTCCGCTATTAAATTTCCCGTGCCAAAAGTACGAAATTTAGACTAAATACGCATAAAAAAGGTCCTTAGGGGTCCGAAAACCGTTTTCCAGGCCTCTAAAACTCGCGAAACTTTGGGAGGGCATCATCGACATGATAGACAACATCGTGACAAAGTTTCAAATCAATCCGCGCAGCGACGGCGCGTGGGCGCGTACGAAAGTACGTTTTTGCCATCTGTATGCGTATTTTGTCTAAATTTCGTACTTTTGGCACGGGAAATTTGATTAGCGGACCGTGACCTTAAAGGGCCTTCCCAGAACCGTATATTTTCAACTTCTCGTGGCCAGATCTACCAGAGCAATGTGTCCGTTAGAAATTACCAAGTGTCCGCGTGGTGCAATTATCGGCAGTACTCAAAATAGTTTTTAACCTAGTAATTTCTTTTTTTGCCTCGATTCTTCGAAGTGACTCAGCTCCCGAGAAATTGATTACTCGTGCGTCTTGGACAGCAATTATCTCTGACGCCAGCCTTGCTGTTTCCATGCCAACTTCTACAAGTGTCGCCTGTGCTGCGACACCAGCTGTACGTTCTGCATGCAACCTGTTCCGCACAAGCTCACCAGACAGACCTATCATCTGCAGGTCTTCAGTCATGTACTCTATTTCAAGGGCGGCAGATTGTCCCGCAGTCTCCCATTCTGACTGCATTCTATTAGAGTATTCCAAATCAACGAGGGCTTGCCGAATAGCCATGTCTGCTCTTGATGTCGCCACTGCCAGCACTGTTTTGTGTGACACTTGCGCGTCTGCAAGAAAATGTTGCATGCGTCTATTTTGTTCAAGAAGACTGGCATTATTCCACTCACTTGCATGAAAACGTTCCTCAAGCAAAGTAAAATGAGCAGCAAACACCTTAGTGAGACTGCTTTTTAAATTAGCAGCAGTAATTCCGGAAGATAACTTCACAAGGTTACTCTCAACAATTAAACGATTGCTGGATTCCAAAAGCAACTCCAAAGTCCTTCTCGAACGTTTTTCAGCATCAATGCGTGCTGTGACTGCACTTTCGACATCTTTACAGGCACGGGCGACACTGAGGTCTCGCTCAGAAGTCGCATAACGGAAAGTGTGCTCTGTGTTCTCCAGCTCTGTTAATGCACGCTCTTCGAAGGACGCAGACATCGACGCGGCAGATTTCGCCTTCTCTGCGCGTACAAGTGCGATCCGCTCGGCGTTCTCAGCGGCCTTGATGGCCAGTATATATGACGACCTTTCCAGAGCAAAATTTCGTCTTAAAGTCTCGAACTTCGCACAAACGACCTTGAGATCATCTTCACCTGTGAATTCTCCATCATGCATTTCACGAATGCATGCTGCCGAGTTGGATTTCAACGTTTGCTCGTTCTCTAATAGAGAACAACGATGTTCAAGGTTAGCTACATGTGCCTTCAATTGGGAATGGTGCACGCTTGCTACTTGTTCAGCACTGTTGAACCTTCGCTGTAACTGTTGACGGATCTGCCTCTCTGTGAATAGGACAGCCTGCAGCTCAGTAAGTAAATTATTCATGTTCGCGTGTACCACTTGTTTCCCATGATTAGCACCCACGACTTTCTCAAGTATTTTCTTGATCACTTTTGCATCTTGTATACAGTGTGCTGCTTGACTCAACTTCTTGCGCAGTGTACCTGATGCGAATAACTGATCTTCAAATTCTTGCCAAAGCGTATCAAGCTCTACACGCAGTGTGTGATTAGATTTGTTCTCGAGCATTGCTTCAGTGCCATTTACTACGGCACTATCAAGTGGTTGTTTGTCAGAACTATTTAAATTTTCTTGAGCTGCAGAAGCACGAAGCTTGCCGAGCAGGACCTCTAGTACCGACAAGCGGCGTTCCGCAGCAATCATAGCAAAAGAAGCTCCGCTCGTTTGCAGAACAGAGAAATCAAAGTCATGAAGGGTTCCTGCTAGTGCACGTGCAAGTCGAGCGCAGCAGGCGTCGCGCTGATCTGTCCCGACAATGAATACAGTACTTGCCAGGGTACTGAATAATGACCACGCACCCCGCACGGACATTTCTGTTTCAGCTGCGCACCAAAAATGAAGAGTTCCTTCCTCCGCATTGATATCGTTACCCTCGGTAGCTGCTACAACAAGTGCAACACCATAGCGCTTACATCTTCTTCGTGCACTTGAAGCAGTCGCCTCTGACATTGGACCTATGAGCACTAACACACTTCCGGCCAGCAAATTATGGTCCAGGTATACAGACGAAGCGCCACGTTCCCCCGTGAGCAAGCGCTCAATCGCTATGTCTATCATAAAGTCACCTGCCACCGCAACTAGTAACAATACAGGGTTAACTCGCGTGAGAAATTTGTCAGCTACTTGGGTCTTGAACACTCTGTCATACACGTCTTTTGACATGGATTTAGTTGACTTCGTACCAGGACTCGACGACGTACAGCAGGGGAGATGAGCTGCAATTTCAGCGGCATGACGCGGCGTGCGTGCTCGTACTCCACGTAAATTTGATGTCATACCACCATTTGAGTTGATACTGTACCATGCCAAGGGGAACCCGCTTGATGACAGGCGAGAAACCATACTGCAATGGAGCGGTTCCTCGTCGAAGATCACGGCCAACGGCGGTAGAATCATCTCTGTGTCGCAGGCTAATTGTAGAGGTCCCAGCGTGGGAGTGACCGCAGAAGCAATTTCCTTGGGCAACTCGCCCTACGTCAAGTGTTAGCGGTCAGTCAGTGAGGTTTAAAGAGGTTCTAAAGTGCCGTTGTGACTGTTTGTGGAAGGCAGACTAACCGGAGCTACGGTCATAGCTGCAACTTTGCAGCACACGAAGAAGCTTTCGTTAATTTACGGGCAAGCACTACTCGCGCTTCGTCGATGGTGTACCGAGTACAACATCAGACGCAGAGGAGTTCGTATCGCGCCGAGTCGAACGAGGTGCCTCAAGCTCGTCCTCGCGTTTCCGCCCAATACACAAAGGGCTACTATCTTCGAAGGCGCGGAAGTACGGAAGTATTCTATTTCCGTACAGTACAACTACAACTACTTCCTTTAAGGTCACGCTCCGCTAATTAAATTTCCCGTGCCAAAAGTACGAAATTGTAGCTGAATACGCATACAAATTGCAAAAACGTACTTTCGTACGCGCCCACGCGCCGTCGCTGCGCGGATTGATTTGAAACTTCGTCACGATGTTGTATAGCATGTTGCTAATGCCCTCTCAAAGTTTCGAGATTTTAAAAGACCCGGAAGACGGTTTTCGGACCCCTCAGCGACTTTTTTAAAAAAGGTCCTTAGGGGTCCGAAAACCCGG